CTTACTCCAAGCATATCCCCTACCCTATCGAAGATCTACATGCACAGAAACAGAAACAGAAACCACCAAACATCTTCATCCATCCTTGGACAGACAGATAGCTGTATTTACTATTTGCCAAGCAGGGTATATATATATATATATATATATATAAATCCACACAAGAAACGAGAGGAGAGTTGTTTAAATTAAAAATACTGTGCCTGGTAGAATACAGTAAAAATACCAAGATCTTACCTAGTCACCAGAATATATCAGATGAGAGGTTGTCTAGGAAGAAGAGACGCTAGAGATCTGGGCTAACACGTAAAGCTGATCACTCACACCAGCCAGGGAATCAATCTCGGGGGAGAGAGAAAGAATTTCCACTCATATTCATCGATAGATAGATAGTAGCATAGACTGCGTAAGCTAAAAGGTAGGTAAGGTAGGTAAGTAACTAACGCCCGCACCATATTTTCCATCCATCCATTCATTCAACCCATTCATTCATTCATTCGCTTCGAGAAAGAAAAAAAGTAAAAGAAGTAAGTAAGCACAACAAGCAAGAAGAAGAAAACTCCAACCCATTCGCTTGCTCAAATTTCAAAGCTTGCTTGTTTGTCATCAACCAGTCCAGAGTTGTTTGTGTATGTGTGTTGTGTTGCGGTCTGGTCTGTTCTGTATATTTCTGTCCCACCCGCTTACTTATGCCATGCTAAGATGAGACGCAACCACCACGTTTCGTCCTGCCAGCCAAATGGTATATGATTTGATTCGTAACGTCGTATCCGCTGTTGAAATTTTTTCCCCTCTCTCTCTCTCTCTCTCGCGGGCGCTCTCTGATTCATTATGCCATTACCGCTTCTGCACCGCCCGTTTCGTCTTCTGTATCCTTCCCGTAGAAACCTTATTCGCCGTCTGTCAGCTCGATCTTTTCCGGCCCGTTGGTGGGTCTTCGGATTCTGGTGTCCACTCTTCCGGTTGGAAGTTTGGATTGTTGTAGTGTGCCACGTTGTAGTGACTGTTCTTGAATGTGCTCGTCTGGAACACGACAGGTCCTTCCCACTCCGCGGCAGCTTCCCATTCGTATTTGCTCGGTCGAAAGCTTGATGCTGAGCTGGGTGATGACAGTTCCGACGACAGTGGATGGCCCGATAGGGAAGTATGCGATGAGAGGGACGGCCGATGAGGCGCAGGTAGATGAGTAAGGATTGGAAGTTGTGTCGTTGGCGGAGGGAAAGCTGAGTGGGTTGAAGGGAGTGTTGGGGGTGTAAGCGAATTTGGGGGCGGCGGTTGGGCCGGGAAAGTCGCCGGAAGCCCGTTCGAAGAGACCTTTGCCGACGAAGCGCCAGGAGAGATAGGAGAGACAGATATCGAGGATGGAGTATATGCTTCGAGAGGTGTTGTATTGTATTGTGAAGGAAATCCATGATGTGATTGTTGTTGTAAAGAGAACCCTGGAATGCAGGAGAATATTGACATATCCAATCCTGACATATCGCCCATTACTGCTGGGGTAGTTTGTATATTATGTCGATGGCTCAGACTGGTAGCTCTTTGAACCTGGATATTGGTATTTTGTGGGATCTGAATCTGTGGGGCTTGGTCTTTGTAGAGAATATCGTAGTGACTTGGTCGATACAGGAGATGGATCATTGGACCAGCAGGGTTTGTCGGTACACCATTGGCATCCTCAGATTGAAAGACGTGACTGTTTGCCTGAGATCCCTCACTTCGGTCAAGGTAGACAATTTCCACCGCAAACCCAACTGGTTTCAACAAGGCATCAATAAGAAGTGTCATACCCAGATGATCGATCTCTTGGTTGACTGGCTCAATCCAATTCTTGGTATATCCATCGACACCTAATCCATCTGGAATGAAACCCTCGTATGAAGCTGGATTGGCCTTTAGCCACGAGCTCGCAAGCAACCGGAAGTAGTATACGATCGAATTGGAGATGCTTGGGTCGTTGAACCGTTCTCTCAGTGTTGCTTCTGCTTGTGGTATCGAATGCGGTAGCAAGTTGGCCAGGTCACTTAGTAGACCTGTCACCTCCTCTGCCATATCTTCGTATACCCATTCTGAAAAGCCTCCAGCAGTCTTGAGTAGGTTGTTGAGTGAGGTTATTCGGGCGACTTCCTCTTCCAATTGAGCCTTGTTCCGCAGTCGCAGGAGGGTCTCGAAATATGAAAAACCAGCAGCTGCCACCAATTAGCTATGAAACATGGATGCGTATACGTTTGATGGAGGGGGAGGTCATGGAGGTCATGGAGGTCATGGAAGTCGTCGAAGAGTGATCATGGAGTTGAGCTTACCCCGCCATCCGCAGTTCCCATCACCCAGCACCGGTCGATAATGCGAATACTTCTGCGGTAAAGCCTGGGACCGAATTAGTGAATATTCAATCGGCAGCAGTAGAGAGACTCACCGAAGTCTTTACAACGTAAATTGGATCTGCCTTTGCGTACTCCTCGGTGATCGCCAGGCTGCTCTTCTTGTCCCCTACCAGAGGTCCCTCCAGACAATTAGCATTGATCACGTCTCACTTTCAAGCTCCAGCCTACCTCTAGCGCGGGTTGGAAGTCTCTTGCCAGCGCCTCCTGGGCTTCCATATCATTGTTGGCCATCTTGAACGGCTGCGCCGGGTGTGAATTGTTGTGGGGAAAGGGTAGATGGGGGTTCGCATTGAGGTTGCTGTTGTTGTTCGTAGCGACAGGACTGAAGATGGGATCTCGAAACACTGTCGGACCCGCGTTGTCCACCACGCCAGCCGCAGGTTGAAAACCAGGAAAGGCAGAAATGGGAGATGCAACCCCATACGAAGAGAAAGGAGAAAAGGGAGTTGGCTGTGGCTGGAACATGCCTCCTCTCGTCCCTGCTCTCGTGACCGAGCACCTTTCTTCTGCAGAATTGGCAGCAGCGGTGGAGGAGGTTTGAAGTTTTGTGTTTGTTCTCACACACGCACGCACTCACACGGCAGCGCAGCGCAGTGCACCGCACACACACACACACAATGGCTCACGGCTGGGTGTGTGGATTGGCGAGAGACAATAACCACCACAACCACAACGCCAGAACTCCAGGGAATCTCTGGCCTCGTTTATTGCCGTGTCGCACAAGAAGGAACACCAAACCAATCCGATGCTCGCAGATCAGAGAAGAGAGACAGGGCAGGCGTGCAATCCTCGAGAGCCTCGTCGCTCAGCTCAGCCTCTAGTGCTGTTGTTGTTGGTGTTGGCTCTGGTGGTAGTGGTGGTGGAGGTGTCCCCAATATGTGGTGTGGTTCGTGGTTTGCTGCTGGGCAATATTTGATGGATCAAGGGACGATGGCGGGAGAACGATGCGGGAGACGGTACTAAACTGCACTGACTGGATCCCAGATACCCAGGACCAGATGGGCGCCTCCAGAACTTTCAGATGCTCGATGTACCGTACCGTACCGTACCGATGCAAGCTTCACTTCCACTTCCACTTCCCCTTCCCCTTCCACTTCAGATTGTCGGAGCCGGTCCCGCGGTGCACTGACTCGCGGTCCGTGACGCTGCTGATGCTGGTTCTGGTGCTGGTCCCTTGGTCGGTGGTGTCTGGGACCTTCAAAGGACGCAACCCTCCCCGGCTCCTGTACATCGGCGATCTGCACAGGTCGAGATGCTCTCCAGAATTCAGCCTAGAAACAAGCAACAGCAACAGCAACACGAACAACAATAACAAGAAAGAGGAGAAGGATGAGGAGTAGCTGCTGTTGGAACAAATGGACCGCCAAGCAGGAGGAGGTCTCGTACGGCGTGGAGCACGGGCATCAAGAAAGGGGCCGTCGGCGCTGCTGATGGTCGCCGTGGTACCGTAAAGGACCCAAGCAATAATGGAGGAGGAAAGGTTAATGCTACCTAGGTCGTGGTCCGATGCTGGCTCAGATCAGACCAGGCCAACTCAGAGACCAGCCAGAATCATCCGTAGGTGACCGGAGCGGCGGTGGGAGTTTGTCGCTGCGCTCTTTTTCTGCTTCTTCCTCGTCTTCTTCCTCTTTCTCTCGCCGTTGCAAAAGTAGGTCAGTAAGTACGTACCGCGAAGTCCTGCTGTCAAGTACAGTACGTTGCTTCGCTGTAGAGGGTGCCCTGCCCCACCTTCCTGCGTACAAGTCTCGTCTATTTCGTGCTTTGATGGCCGAATATCACAGCCCTCGCATGTTGCCTGTGGCTGTATACTGTAGGTAAGTAGCCGGAGAGGAGACGTTATGATGTAGTACCTCCAAGATCGCGGGGCACAACACAGGTACACCGATGATTATCCTGCACTTGTTCAAAGCTGGGGAAAAGGGGGAGGAGGGGAAGGGGAGGGAAAGGGAGCACAGAGAAGGACTGAAAGAGGGGGTCACAGAAGGAACTATGGATGTCGGGCAACGATGTATCTTCCGGTGTCTCCACGCTGCATGTTTGGGACGGACCACAAGCCAGTACAACAGAGGGAGAGGGCAATCTATCATGAAGGCATGAGGCATGTTGGCACTCCTAACTCACTCAAGCTCCATCCATCGACAGGGTCAATCACCATACACAGACACCGCACCGTGAAAGAGGGCCCAGCTTGCCACAAATCCTAAAAGTCCAAGAGCCAACCCGACAATGTCGGCATTCCGATAGGCACGAAAGCACACGACAATAGGACGTCTTTCGCCTTATCCTGTGCCGCTGTACCATTCGCTCCTCGTCAGCTCCAGCAGCTATCCCGTCCAATAAACCCCCCTCGAAGACGATGAACCGCGCGCTAAAGGCGTCAATTTTCCCCAAGATTCTACTGAAGGTTTCCAGTGAATGCACGGCGTTGCGATGTATCACATTGGCAAGCTGACCGACCACCTCTCCAACTGGAGGTTCCGAGACCTGCTGAATGCGACCCTCCTTCATGCGAATACGACACTGTGACATGGAGTAGGATTTTCCGACCCAAGGAAAAGAGCTCTCGAACCACCCCCAAGTCAAGTTCAATCGGGAATCGATGTCCCCAATCTCAACCTCAGGCTGCCTGGCTGCCGACGTGAAAAGATTCCGTCTGTCTCTCGTTACCTCTCATCATTGTTTTGGTGCTGCGTGAAGCCAGCGGATGGCTGCATGAAGCGATGAGACCTTCCATCCATCCTTCCCTCCCTCACCTTCCCTTCCCCTCACAATCTGTTTAAGGGAGACGAGACGAGAGAGCAGAAAATCATTTGCCCTTCCCATCCCATGCCATCCGTACGTGGGACTGGCCTTATATTTGCAGCATGTCGGCATTTCCAAGCTCTCCGCTCATCATATGTCATAAATACATCCAACCAACTCACCAGACAGGACAGACAGACAGCGTCCGGCTAGTTAGTGTGTGTCCAATACGCTGGGAAAGAGCCCCGATGCAAGGGTGACACAGCTTTCGCTGCCATTGGACGGGGCTCCCTCCCCTCGTGCCCCGGGCCGGGAAGCCTGCGTTCGTGCGTGCGTTGTGTGCGTGTTGGCAAGCTCGCACCAGCGAACGGTACGTCGTGGACGGCGCTAGGATGGCTGGCTGGCTGGCTGCTTGCTGCAATGTATGTAGGTAGGTATGTAGGTATGCCAGGCCAATTGTATGGAGAGGCAATTGTAGGCGATACATACATACATACATACATACATACAGTACATACAAGTTCCAGAGGATAGAGTATGAACAGGGGAAGGAAGGGAGAGAGAGGAGGGGGAGAGGGTTGGGGGCTATTGTGGGGCGGCGACCGCTGAATGGTTATCCTCTCCCCTGGTTGCGGGAAGCTCCCGTTCGTTACTTACTGGCACGCTGGTGCACGGCCTTGATATCACTTCCACTTCCACTTCTCTTAACTCGTCTTCACATAGGTACGGCATGAAGCCGCTATCCTCCCCGAGAGGGAAGAAATGGCTTGGCTGCACTGCACTGCACGAAGGGTTTGTACGTACGTACGAGGAGCGAGAGGCCAATGAGGTGGACTATGCATGCATTTCATTTCTGGCCAAATCAACGCCTTGCTAATGTAATGTACCTACCGACGGTGCGTCAAGACAGACAGCGAGCGTCGAGCGATTCGCTTCTTCGCTTGCTTTGCTTCGCTTCGTAGCGATACCGCACGTATTTTGTTTCGTTGATATGAGTCCACATACCATACCATCCCATACCAGTTGTTTCATGCCTTTTGCTCGTTACCCGTGTGACCACGTTTTTCTCTGTCTGCATTATGCACTCCACTTGTGAGAGAGGAACAAGCCCTAGATCAATGCAGCAATGCATTCACCGTAGCCGATTGTCCACCGCTGCTACTTCCTCCTCCCTTTTTGCCTAACTTCTTCCTATGGTTCGACGCTCCTAATCCTCCCCCCAGACTCGGGTTCCCCCATGTAGCAGCAGAAGGCTTCGCGTTTCCACCACCGGCGCCGAACCCCAGGCTCGCCAGGTCGTCCATGCCAATCTGCTGCACATCAGGCATCTTGAAGCCCTCGCCGTCGGCGAACACGGTGCGGGACAGGGAGTCGAGGGCAGCCGTCCACTCGGTCATGGCGCGCAGGCGGTCCGCGTCGCTGGAGTCCTCGATCTCGACCGTGCCGTCGCGCTGGTTGATCTTGCCGTGTACTTTCTTGTCGACGATCAGGAAGCCGAGGATGTCTTGTACTTCCGAGACGGGGATCTTGAGCGCCTTGCCGATGAAGGCGAGGTTGAAGCGGGTGTAGGGTGCGATGAGCTTGAGGACGGCTTTGGTGCGCATGTTGCGGGTTACTTCGTCGATGTTCTCGGCGATGAATGGGTCGGACATCAGGTCCTTGTTGTCGTTGAGAACTGACTCGTACTGGTGAATGTCGTCTCGTTGGTAAGCATCTACGAGGTTGGTCATGGCTGCGATTCGAGGGTCGTTCTTGTAGGGCTTGGTCTCCTGTGATTCGAAGGGATTGATGTCCGATTTCATCAGCATGGTCGTAAGGACTAAGTACTTTAGAACTTGGATTCGCTGCAAGGAACCAGCTTCGTCGTAGTTGCGGAACGATTCGAAGAAGTCACTCTGTGCGTCCTTCCAGTTCTCCTCGCTCATGTGCATCTTGCCACCACATTCTCTGATGATGCCCATGATCTTAGGATGAGGTACTGCTGACTTGACTCTCAGAGCTCGCTGGTACAATCGCTTCAACTGCTTGTTGTTCTTCGTCTCGGCATACATTTGAATCTCCAGGGCGTAGATCTCCAGAGAGTATGTGCCTTTGCTTGGATCGTCAGAGCCATCCTCCCGTTCGCATGCCCTATGAAGCTCTCGCAGCTTCTTCGTAACGACAATGTAGTCCTTTCGATCGAGATAGAGCTTCAGGAGCTTGATGTTGGTCTTCAACCAGAGTCTCTCGTTGTTTGTGCTTTGGAAGGACTCCAGGGTCTTGGAATAGAACTCCTCCATGCACTTCCCAGCTGCAGCATCTTCAGATCCCTTCTCGATGTAATCTAAGATGTTGTTGATAGACTTTTCTGAGTAGTTCCGGGTGACTGCGCTCTTGACATATGTGAGGAGTTCTGAATAGTGTTCGACAGCCTAGACCGTCAGCGAGAGCCAAAGCATATGTTGCTAACTCATACCTTTTCATAGAGACCAAGCTTAAACTCCAATTTGATCGCCTGCTTCAGACCTTTGAACCCCCAGTCGCCCTTCTCCTTCTCAAGCGCAGGTACTCCTAGAAATTCTTCGATTGCGCCTTCTGGATCGTTGACCTTCATCTGCTTGGCATTGTAGTACTTGTTTTCGATATCGACATCACCATTCTCTTGATCATCATCGTCTTCCTCATACTCAAAGTCATACCTGTAGCTGTTAGCTTGAACAATACTAGCAAACTAAAGCTTGATGTACCCCTCATCCGAATCTTGCATGAAGTCATCGTCAGACATAGTTGCGAATGTGCGCAAATGATCGTGATGATGCTGAGTGTGTTCTAGTTAGCGATCAGGAAATATCAGGTCGCAAGAAGTTGTTTGAAGATGGTGGAGGATTTGAAGATGTGGGGAGTTGAAGCTCCCAAGGCTGCGTTGCCTAGAGCTGCAGATAAAGCAAATCTATTGGTTGGTGGCTTTAGCGTGCTACTAGCGCCTCATGCCTAGATCGAAGCCTTGTTCAAATCCTGGTGGCTGTCGCAACTATTCGACATTCACCAACAAACCGATTTCTCCTCACATAGAGATTCCTACGACAGCGATAATCTCTCAGGAGACGACTGTGAAAATACTTCGCTCCATCCCCTACTATCTCTATTGTTCCTTCCATCCTGTGGCCTGAAATAAACAACCGCGAAAATGGGTGGCGATCTCAACTTGAAGAAATCATGGCATCCCGTGCTCATGAGCAATCAGAGGCGGGTGTGGGAAGAAGAGAAGAAAGCCCTCGATGAACGCAAAAGAACCGAACAGCGTATCAAAGAACTGAAGGAAGAGCGAGCGAAGGAGGAGATTCAAGCAAAGCTTGAAGCAGCAGGCAGCCGAAAACGTGTTGATCGAGTCGACTGGATGTATCAAGGCCCATCGAGTGGACAAGCTGGTACTACTGAGGAAATGGAAGGTTACTTGCTTGGAAAGCGACGTATTGATGGCTTGATTAAGGGCACCGAGCACAAGAAGTTGGAGAAGCAAGCCTCTGAGCAGAGTTTCATGGCTCTGCAGAATGCAAATACTCTACGAGATACGGCTGCTAAGATTCGAGAGGATCCGATGTTGGCGATCAAAAGGCAGGAGCAGGCTGCTTATGAAGCTATGATGAATGATCCCATCAAGCGAAGACAATTACTTGCAGCTGCTGGCCAGGGCGAGGAGAAAAAGGAAAAGAAGGAAAAGAGACGACATAGACATCATCACAGAGATCGAGATGGAGAGCGTGATGATTCTGATGAGGAGCGACGACGAAAGCGAAGAAGGAGAGACGAGGATGGACATCGATCGAGTCGATCTGAGCACCGACGAAGAAGATCACTCACACCAGAGGATCGAGGTCGCCGCAGATCAGACAGAGATAGAGATTATGAGAGGGAGAGACGCAGAACCTCCTACTCCAGATCCATATCTCCTCGACCACGAAGTAGTCGGGATGAGCCACGTCGCCAAGGAAGATCTGATAGAGATAGAGAGTACGTGAAGGAGAGACGCAGAAATTCTTCCTCTCGGTCTGTTTCTCCACCTCCGCGAAATAGTAGAGAGGAACCACCTCGTCGGGGTCGAAACAGACATAGAGACGAAGAGTACGATGAGAGAAACAGACGCAGGAATACGTCGTCGAAGTCTGCTTCACCACGTCCACGACGAGATAGCCCCGACAGACCACGTCGATCAACCGAGAATTTCCATGAGCGTCCCAGATATCCGGAGAATATATCAAATGGTTACAACCGGAAGAGCGGTTTCAGACCGCAAAATGGGACACGCCCAGAGGCATCTGCTGAAGATAAGGAGGCCGAAAAGCAACGAAAGCTAGCTGCAATGCAACAAGATGCCTCAAAGTTGGACATCGATCGAGAGAAGCGTTTGGCAGCACTTGCAGAGCAGGAGAGGGCTACTCGTGAATTTGAGGATAAAGCACGAGCCAAGTCCGCGAAGTATGGAGACAAGGGTGACTTTGTTAATGGTTTGCATAGAAAGGCAGGAGAGATCTCTTTGGCTGACCGGATTGGACGTGGGAAGCAAGGCCTTATGAAAGATGATCATTGATGGAGTCTATGGCAGTTGTAGAATTGTTGTGTCATTGAGTTCATAGTTCTACTGCAGACTAGCTTTGCTTCAGCATTCAATAGAATAAGCATATTTGAAGCACTTTACATTGCCAATCCCTCTCTCAATTTTTGAAGGCTTTCGATGTTGTAGGCCTAGTTTAAATCTATATAACCATGTACATTTACAAGGGACAGGTAGTCATGTTCCTACAATTCTCACTGCTTCTTTAGCTACTTCTAGTGATCCTTATTCTGACCTCTCCATTTTCTTCACCGGGTCATTGACTTGCAATATCCTGAACAGCCTGCAACCAAACTTTTCATGTCCTCCTACCAAGACCAAGAACATCTCAATCCAAACTCCTCAACAATTCCTCCTCTTCCTCCGAGATTATCCTCCTCGGCGCTCTCTTCAACAACGGTCCAATAACCTCATCATCAACATCCCTCAAATCCTTAACATCAACCTTCCTCACCCTCTCCTCGCCCCCCTCCCCAAACAACCCCTTCGCAAACTCCCTCACCCACGTCCTCCCCACAATACTCGGCTTCATCCGCGCCCTCAACTGATCCCCCGTCTTAACCTTCGTCCTCCACCTCCCATCCGCACTAACCTCCACGCCCTCCCCCTCACTCACCACCCCTCTCGCCCACGCCTGCCTCTCCTCCCAACTCGGCGCCCCGCTCTTCCACATCCCCTCCTCCTTCCCCAGCTCAACCATACTCGTAACCCCCTTCCCAACCAACCCACACGCCACGATCCGCTCGAACCACCGCAAGTCCGTATTCACATTCAACCCCACCCCATAACTACTCACACTCCTTCTCAAATGCACACCGAGCGCCGCTATCTTCCTCTCCCCTTCCTTCTCCCAAACCCCAGGATTCTCGGTACGGACCCCTCTTAGGCCCCAAGCCGACAATGTGTTGATCGTTGTTTGTTCCAGCAAATGCACGTAGCAGCGCACACTAATCCCTTTCTCCCACCGCGGCGGGAACCGAGCCCGCAGATCGAGGATGGGGTAGATGACCAATTGGCCGGGGCCGTGGAAGGTCGTTTGGCCGCCTCGCAGCGTTTGCTCGATGGTGGCCCATTCGGGGTCTAGATTTGGGTTTTGGAACGAGGGGCGGAGCGGGACGAGGGGTTGTTTGAGGATGGAGAGTTGGGAGGGCGTGAGGGAGGCGTGTTCGCGGCGGCCGGTGGTGTAGACGGGTGTTGGGACGAAGGTGAGGATTGTGGGTTGTGGTGGTGGAGAGGAGGAGGGGGCAGCTTTGTGGGCGAGGAATTGCGAGACGAGGGCCGATTGGAGGTGTTGGGCTTGTGGGAAGGGGGTTATGTTTGGGAGGTGGATGTGGCGGAGGAGGGTGGGTGTGGACATTGAGGTTGGAGTGAGAGTTGTAAGTTTTGAGTTGGGAGGACGAGGCGGAGACAAGGCTGATTGTGCGGTAATGTTGGATTGGGGTGCCGTAGTTTGGTATATCTTCACGTCTCCAATCAGACCAGTTGTTTTCTCTCAGCCCCAATGCACAGCGAGAGAAGTGACTGAAGATGCCTCTAGAAGCTAAAGTATCAATTGCCATGGGAGATTGTTATTCATCTCTCTCTTCCATGTTCTGTATCAGCACCTCCTCTTTGAAACCAACTTCTCGATGGAGAGTTGGGTTTCTGCATTGCACATCACAGTACTAATACTTATTTTTGCTATTCTCGCGCTTTTACCTAGTATTTTACAAGCTTTCGCTCGACAAGAACTATCTCTGTACTGTCACAGCCCTGAGCATATGCAAGAGCCGATAAAATCTGGGAGGACATCTAGAAAAATTGCGTGCCAATGGATATTTACAGAGCCATGCATTTTAGATGTTCATTCTTTATTGATAGCAGAACTGATAGCTTTTTCGTTCCAACAAATGAAGCGGTTGTTACCCATTGCCGATTATGCGCTGCGAATAAAAGGGAATGGCACTGCCTCTCAGGTTAAATCAGGAATTTCCAAAGCTACGGGACTCGGGGATGTCATGAGATAAGAACTGGACGGGAGTCCTTGGCTCATGACTATAAAAATTGTGAGTATCAAGGCCGGGATCTGATACCACCATGTACCATCAAATGACTCGAAATTGAAGAATGTAAAGAAATCCTGGGCCATAGAATTCCAGAATCGTTTCCTCTTCCTTTATTCTCCTCCCTCGTTCGAACTTCACCCTTCTGCCTTCCCCTCATCTTCCCCTTCCTCCATGAGAATGACCCTCAGTTAACATCCAACTATGTAACATGAATCTACTTTGTAAAGCACATCTTTCACATTACCATCAACAAGTCTCCAGAACTCCTCACCTTCCAAACATTCTTATCAATTTTCAAACGATCAATGCCTTCGTCTCCTGGCAAAAGCTAGACGCCCGCCCTTCTCATTTCATCTCTCGCCGACTTTCTCATTCGACATCATGTTCCAATGGGACCCCTTCTGTTCAAATATTCTTCAAGGATCAATCATCGTTCACTCTCAGTCTCGAGCTCCAATTAAAGACAACGAAGTCTCTCAGTCGAGATTTTTGCTTGAAGCGATGAGAGCTCAAGTATAACCACACTCCAAGAGCAACAAAGATGATGAATTCTTAGAATGAGAAGAAAGTTGCGGCCTCTGAGTCTTGGAATGTGTAGTTCCCGGATCCTTAGCTGACCTCATCGAAGAGTTGAAAAGTGAAGATGTAAAGAATAAAGGCATACATTGTTGAAGACCAACTGTGGGCGTGAGATGCAAAGTTAGACGTCCGAGAGTTTGCCATCGACCAGCTTCAGCTCGCAAGAAGGCTTTGCCTCTCAAACAAATAAACGATGAACATCAAACAAGCACATATACCTCCACCTCGACCCATATAAGAACACTCGTCCTCGATGAAAAATTTTATCGGGCTCCTCAAGCAACCCCAATACAACCTTTTACCTCACCACCGGCCAGCTTTGACCTCGTTCCAATTTATGCACGGCCTCGAAGCCCAAAAACGTCGCGGAGAAATCAAAAAGTCAATACTGACGGTCCTCGGACCTTCCCCACCCAGTTTCGGCCCGCTAACCTGGATAGAGAAGGAGCCCCATGCGAGGCCGATTGAAGATCATCCGCGTAATCATGCGTCAAGCCACAATGGAACAATTTATTGAGAGCGTGCATATGCATAAATATGCAGTATAAATAGGACCCATCAACTCGTATTGATTAGAAGGAGGTATCGATTGTGGCGTAGATGTGTGGCATGTTTTGTAACGCGATACCCGAATCCGAGCTGGTGGAGTGCGAGATAGAGAAGAGGCTCCTTACTGTTATGGGAGAAGAAGATATCTGTCTGTATTCCGGAGATTAAGCTGCAAGAGGACAGGTAGATGATTAGATTTGTATAATTACAAATTATACGCAATTATTGGTATCGAGATGTGGCTGGTGCAGTGTAATTAGCATTATTGGCTTCCACGCTTGTTTTCAGCACCGACGCCCAGCAATCCAGTGCAGTGCAGCCCCATCCCAATCCCGCAGGCCGGAAAGCCCAGATCCTGATCTCACCCGCCTGTACGCTTGCGCCCCAACCTGGTCTGCTCCGCTGCTGCTGCTGCTGCTGCTCTTCTTCATCATTCACTACTGTACGGCACGGCATACTGTATCGACAATTCCACACTCTCCTTCAATTTTATTATTCTGCACTCGAAGCAATCCTACCGACGACCATTTCCTCGACTTCGCTATCTGCCATTGCTGAGGCTGCAAATTAGACGATTCGATCCAATCCAATTCCAAATTGTTGCGATCCCTCCTTATTTCGGATTACCTCACCAGTTGAACACTCGATCTTGAAGCCCCATCCGTACATTGCAGGCGCATTGCTACACCTCACCGCAGACCGATCCGAGGATACATACAGTCAAGATGCCGTGTGGACTTGGAGGAAGCAAAACTACGCAGCGGAAACTGGTCTTATTGTACGTCTTACCCCCAGTTTATCTACCCAGCGCATGCCATCCAAGCAAACCCTACGTCCTAAATGAAGCTAACAGATTGCAACAGAGGAGACGGAGCATGTGGAAAGACGAGTTTACTGAACGTTTTCACAAGAGGGTAATTCCACCTCCCGCAATGGCATCAGGAGACCGTACTGATGATAATCCAGCTACTTCCCCACCGTCTACGAACCCACCGTATTCGAAAACTACGTCCACGGTACGTTCCCACCCTCTACAATGAGGACCCGAAATCCGGGTACCTGCAGCAGCAAAATCACTAACACACAAGGTCTCAGACATCTTCGTCGATAATGTACACATCGAACTCTCGCTCTGGGACACGGCCGGCCAAGAAGAATTCGACCGTCTGCGCTCGCTCTCCTACGACGACACGCACGCCATCATGCTCTGCTTCAGCGTCGACAGCAAAGACTCGCTCGAGAACGTCGAATCCAAGTGGGTCGGGGAGATCGCCGAGAACTGCCAAGGCGTGAAACTCGTGCTGGTGGCCCTGAAATGCGATCTCCGCGAGCAATCGGCCGACGACGAAGCCGCGGCAGAGGAAGGCGGCCAGCAGAGGGAAAAGAAGGAGATGATCAACTATAATCAAGGGCTCGAGGTCGCGCGGAGGATCGGCGCCCTGAGGTATCTGGAGTGTTCGGCGATGCGGAATCGGGGCGTCAATGAGGCGTTTACGGAGGCTGCGAGGGTGGCGTTGAGCGTGAAGCCGAATGGGGGGAAGGACGACTCGAAGTGTAATATCATGTGAGATTTCTGCGTGGGAGTGGAGGAGAATGGAGAATATGGGGACCACATGGGAGTCGGGGCGTTGGAGGTCTAATGAGCGTTTCCTTTGCTGCGGATTAACGTGTGCGCCTCTTCTTTGTTTTTCTGGTACATGGTACATATTTTCTTCTTCTTTCGAGGGATGGATGGACGGTTGAGGTTCGGATTTGGTCTCAGGACTCAAATTTCACGGCCAGACGAAGCAAACAATTCCCCAATACCAACCAACCAACCTTCTCTTCAACATTCCCAGGCGTTTGTTCTGCATACCCATCAGCCAATCACGGAAACCTTCTTCCTTTACAAAACTTTCTTCGCTTCTGCACATAAATTTTCTCTCGAGAGGATCAGATCTGGATTTGGCTGGGCTGGGCTGGCGGCGTTTCTTTCCGAATAGCAGGATAGGGTGTTTGCGCTTGCCGGACGGAGGGGGGATCAGTCAGCAGGAGGAGGAAGAGATGTTAGTAGTACTGTATTTTTTGGTTTATAATGCATCAGAGAAAGTCGGGTAGAGAAAACTGTCTATTTTCCCACATTTTCTGCTGGCTTCCCATTTGAGGTTTCTTGTGATTGGAGAGAAGGTAGAAGAGGGACCCGGTAGACTGGTATGTTGCACGTCTTTCTCGATTTCTTGATTACAGGCATCACACCCTCTTCTAAAACTTGCTGCCACACTCCCAAGGGACGGAAGGCTTGGTACCATACATGATGTTGGGAGGGCTTGGCTGAGGGAGCTGAGTGGAGGAGGGGTAGCGCTAGTAGCGGGAGAGTATTACGGGGTTAGGGGGGTTACCCCGGATTTTTGGTTGAGGTCCTTGTCCTTGCGTTGTACCTTAGGGTTTGGATCTCGATCGGGGCTCTCTTGCAACATACTACTACTACTCTCTTTATCTGCATTTGCTACTAAGGCTTCCTGTTATCCTGCTTTCTCAACCCGACATTATAACCCTGCAATCTGAGGCTCTGATGTTTATTACTTTTGTTGGTTGAATATCTGGTTTCTGTTTTGATGGTTTGTTGCTGTTTTCAAGCTTTTCGTTGTCCTAGGTTTTGGGGTAGCTTTCGCCAGTGAAAATTTTCTTTATGGGCTGGGATATTCTTAGGACATGAAATGAACAAGTTAGGATGAAAGGGGTTTCTTGTTGTCATTCTAACTCCCATTTTCAAGCTCTGTTTTGATGTTAACGCTTATGTTCTGTTGTCAGTTATGATGTTATCTTGTTGACAATTACGTTCTGTTGTCAACACTTCCTTGCACGGCCAAAAGTTTTGTTGCGGTCATTTTCTATCTTGCGGCCAATATGCTTTCTGTGGTCAAGAGTTGTTCTGCGGTCAACACTCGCCCTTATCTCGTCTTGTACAGACTTGTATAGGGTTTTGGTTGTTCTGTGATCCTCATGGGAGATGGTCTAAGAGGTGTTTTTATAGAAGTTCTCCATGGTTACCCGGCAATAGTGAGCACACTCGTCTGGGTTATTGTCGTGATGGAGTTTGTTCCTCGTATACGAGGACGCTTTATATATAAATCTAGCTGAGGGGTTATCTTTGAGATTGGTGAAAGAAATGGTGAATTCTTGTAGGTTGATGTGTGAGTCGTTGGTATTCACTGTGCCACATTGAAGCTTGTCCAGTCACAAGCTGCAAGAATTATCCGGCTCCAACGGGATTCGTCCTGAAGTAGCAGAGAATCCGTTCCGAGCTGCCGATCGTGATCATCACGATAAACTCGACTTGTTAATTGCAGGAGCATGCACAGAGGAAGCAGCTGCGAATGTGATTGATGACTTGCCGGTGGTCTTGCCAAAGGCTACGGATTGCTTTAACCCTACTTTCGTACAGATAACGAAAGCCTTCTTGCAACATGCACCACTGTGTATAGGCTATCGGTCGTACATTGACCTAAGTAGGCGCCTAAGGAGTCTAATGCTTTGAAATACAATTCTAGGAATAAATGATTCCACAATAAAGAAAATGTTCCGCTTGAAGATGAGCTCATAGCATGTTCGGTCTCGCTCCCAATGGGGAATTTACAGGCTATCTGCCATATACCAAAGTGTGTAGAGCCTATCTGCCGTATATTGGCCTGAGTAGACGCCTAAGGAGTATAATGCTTTGAAATACAATATCTCAAGAACCAATGGTTCTATGATGGAGAGATTATCCCCCCATGAATATGAGCTCATGGCACATTCGACTTTGCTCCATGCTGGATACCACAATTACCGCAAATACGCTCATCTGATTTTGCTTTCAAATCACAAGGTCTCTTAGTTCAAAGTTTTGGGACGCGGCGACCACCGGTGTCGGCTACGTATTTGGGCTCTTGAATTTCCTATTTATCTTCCGTTGAATCACCCATTTTATCTCTCATATCGAGCAATCTAGGCTCCTTCTGTGTCTTGAACTACGCCTTCAGATAAGCACTTCAACATCCTTCTCTATCTACACTACTCTTTCAACATGGACTCCCAATCCTCGCTACTTCGGGTGTTGATAGTAGGAACTGGTTAGTACCTATGTTGTATATCCCTATGACCTCCCTGATTAAGTTGTCTAGGATCTGCGGGGCTACTATTTGCCCATGCTCTGAAGAAAGTAAGCAATGCCATCACTGCCATGACCGCTGTTCACACAACTAGGTTGGAATTGCCTACACTGTGTTTGAGCGAGACACAAGCTTGTACCAACGACCTCGAGATTGGAACTTTAGCATCCACTGGGGGCAGAATGGGCTCAAAAGCTGTCTACCTGAGCATCTTCATCCTTTGATAAAGGCCGTGCAAACTGATCCGAGTTATGACAACAATGAGAACAATAGTATGCCAATTTATAATGGTCAGACAGGAGAATTGTTGAACCCTAATCCGGTTCCCTTCGCTTGGCGAGTCCAGAGGAGAAAGTGGCTCGCGATGTTGCAGGATGGTCTTGATATCAAGGTACGTCTCCCATTTTCGAGATGACTACCTCGTTTATATATACACTTGTCTAACGGAATATAGTGGGGTAAACGACTTCAGCATATTGAAACCTCAAACAATATCGTAACAATTACCTTCGAAGACGGTACAAAAGAAAGCGGCAATCTTCTAGTCGGTGCTGAAGGTGCACATTCGCTCACTCGCGAATACCTTCTAGGTCCGAAAGAGGCAGCGCTGCTGCCAGCTCCAATCGTCTCCAGTATCACAATTTCCAGGGTTAGCAGAGAAGCCGCCCTCGCCCTCCGCGCCTTGAACCGAAATCACGTAATTACTCTCCACCCAGAATCACTCTTCACCTGGACGGGCGGTATGTTCTCTCATGATTCCTAGACACACATCTGCTAATGAGTCACAAGTCCATGATGCCTCATCCGAGGATCCTGCAGAATGGACATTCATGTTGATCCAATCATGGCGATCAGACGAGCCGACAGGTCTCGAAGGCGACGACGCTATCCTGCAAGATATGTACATGCGCGGAAAGAAATATGCTTATCCATGGAACGAAGTCTTCACGAGCATTCCTCTTGGTACAAAAGTGTGGCATAACAGACTCTCAACCTGGTCGCCCAAAGCATGGGATGGAGCCGGTCTTGTCACCATAGCTGGCGATGCTGCACATCCGATCACTTTCCGTGAGTCCAGTTCACACTCGCATTTAAGATTTTTACTTACCCAGAACCGTCTCAGATCGTGGACAAGGCGTCAATAACGCCATCGCTGATGCAGCAGACTTCCTCATCCACCTGCAAACCATGAAAGAGCACACACCTGAAGAGCTCATCGCTGCCGTCAAGAAATACGATGAAGCGCTCGTGCCGAGAGGCAGGGAGGCCGTTCTAGCTGCGTATAATAACTCGATGCTGGTTCACGATTGGGAGACTGCGATGCAGTCGCCGCTTTTCACCAAAGGTTTGTCGAAGTATCAGCTGGAGGAAGAAGATATTGCGGCTATTAAGATTGTTGATGTTGCTGGGCCTGCTGCTGAGAATGTTTTTGCTGAGGCTGATGAGACTCGCTCTGTCCCTGAGATTGAGATTCAGGGTTGATTGGAAATGGTTTCTCGTTTCTAGTAGAAGATGTTTTGAAACAGATGGCCTTCAGAAACGCAGAACAACAATAATATTCATTCCACTCAAAGTACAGTTGATTGCGGAAGCTGGAACAGGAACCAAGTTGAGCCCTTCATTGATAGGTGTGCTATTGGAATAAAAACGAATTCAAGGACAATTTGGATGGATTGCTAGCCGACGGCCCGCAAAACTCCACACGTGACGGACGGCTTCGGTAAAACTGTTGCAATTTGGTTAACACATTGATAAATTTGAATAAATCAAAATTAAAGAAACCGTTTCAGCAAGGACCGCTGGCGCAACGGTAGCGCGTTCGCCTCCAGAGCGAAAGGTTATCCGTTCGAATCGGGGTATGTAAACTTCTTCCATGAGTTGAGATTCCAAATATTAATTATAAACAGTGTGGTTCAATACCTCCTGCTGATGTTTTGGCTTTTGTCAATTTTTTTTCGTCTCGGTTACTGCTTCTCCACACTGTTGGCCACCGAGATCACATAACAAACCAAGGTCTAAGGAAAGTACGAAGTACGTGAATAAGTCTCCGTCTAATCCCTCAATTCACAATTTCCGTTTGCCTAAATCACATACATTAGAGTACTCTTTGGTTACATCAAACCCTCTGCAACCATGATCTGTGATCAAGTCCCAGCCACTGAAACGCTTGCTCGAGTACTTAGCTTTTTAGATAAGAAGCTTCTTGTGTTTGTCTTTCTCAATCTCAAAGATCTAGCAATTAATCAAGCTGGCGGATGCGATATGGGTAATCACGGCCTATTTAGTAATTTTTCATGCACATTTGATCTAGGTGTAGGATGAGCTAGGTAACGAGTTCTTAAGCGGAAGGTTTGCCCTAAGCATCGCTTTGGCCGTAGAAGTGAGTTCTTTGTCGTGGCAGTCGCGGGTGCTTCATATAGACGTTATGAACGACGCCTGGACTAACAAGTCGAAGAAATTTGTTGTTAGCTATTCTGCTTTTTATTTCTAGGTCTCCTTTGAAGTTTTAATAAATACTTTACATAATATAATAAAGAAATTTTCTTTGTAAACTTCAAATTCATCATTATTAAGGCGTGTTTATAATTATTGTTTTAATCTAAGTGATCTAAAGTTTTAAAGATTGAAAAAGCAAATAATCTAATTCACATTCGTTGTTTCTATTATATATTTAATTTCTCCTCCATTACATCTTCTTGTCTTCAGAAACAACAACATTCTCAACATCTTCACTATTTCTCCCATTCAACCCATGCAGAACTTCCTTCTTGCCCATAGCCTCGAACGGCATCGCCCTCGCCTCTGCAACATTATCTGGAGGACTGATCTTGCAAAGCAGCGTATACACCGCCATCGCCGTAAACGTGCTAACCAGGTACCCAATATCATACAAATGCATCGCGGGCCCCAGCTTGGCCGCCATACTCTTGACTCCCAGGGTCCCCAAGAACCCTGGGAATGGCATAAAGATACCACAAACATAAGCGACATACGCTCTCCAATGCCATCCGTGGAAATACCAGTACCGGCCTTGAGGATCAGACGTATAGAGATCTTCGATAAAATAGTTGCCTCGACGGATAAAAAAGTAGTCCGCGAGCATGATGCCGACCAGACAACCCATGAAGATACCCATGCCAGTGATGCAAGACAGGAAGACGGCGCCAGAGACGAGGACTTTCCAGGGAACCATGCACCAGCCGCCGATGATGCAGCAGATGATTTGGCCGCGGACGATGTTGATGTAGCGAGGTGCTAGAGCGGATAAGTCGACGCCGAATGGGATGAGGTTGGCGATGAAGTTGGTTCCGACTTGGCCAACCATGAATGTGACGGCAACTGAAATTGTTTAGCTGCTGGTCATGAATAACGGTGCAAAATATTTACCTAAGAAGACAGCGAATTTGGTCTTGGGATCGTTGTTCTCGGCAAAAATAGCGTCAAGAATACCAGCAGGATTCCAGATAGCAGTTCCCCAAATCTTGCCCGTGCAGGAAGCGGCAATGATGCCCATTATAGCAGTGAAACTCGCAGACCAAGGAGCGGCAAGGAGTTGACCGAGAATCTGATCTCTTGGTCTTCTCGAATAACGAGTAATATCAGCTATTGGCGACCGTCAGCACAATTCCCCAATATGATGATGGAGGTAGAGGACATACGCTCAGAAGCAATCAAAGGGCCAAATTCTCCATTGATAGCATTGTTGATAGCACCAACGATTCCCCAAGCCAGAAGTGCTTGTTTGTTGGAGCCTTCAGCTGTAGTTACAGCGAGCGCTTTGAAGGAGCCGGGTCCACCTGATCGGACGAGGGACCAGATGAAGAGTCCGAGGCAGGCGAATGGGATTGTGCAAGCTTTGAATGTGATGAGCCAGCGGAGTTGATCTGGGCGGAAGAAGCAGGAGCCGAATTGAAAGCACCAGTACAGGAAGTATGCAACCATCTATGAGAGTTAGTGTTATTCATATCTGCGAAAACAAGAGGGACATACAAATCTCGTGGTAGTCCCAGAGGATTCAGGCAGTGAGTTGTGGAGGTTGGTCCAAGAATGTCTGAAGTATGTTAGACTATGCTCGAATACTACAGTATGAGGCAGACAGAGCTTACCCAAAGACACACTGGAATACAATATCAAGGAACAAAGCACCGAAGTAGGTTTGAATCCCAAACCACACCATATCCAAAACGCAACGAATGCCAACAGGGATAAGTCCACCCCAAGGACCGAAGGTTGCTCTGATCCAAACAAGGAAACTGTACCTTTTGTCAGTGCCCAGTCATCAACTTCAATTGCAAGTCTGGGTTCACATACACCAATATGGTAGACACTTCCACCTCGACCGTTCCACACAGCCAACAAACTACCGATGAGAAGGCCGACGATGATTGCGATCATAGCATCGTACCAAACGAGACCGCCTGCAACCATGGAAGAGCCTACACTCCATGTTGATGCACCTAGACGAAAGATATCAGAATCACATCTCAAGAGTAGAGTGAGGTAGGTAGACATACCCCAACTTTCACCAATCCAATAAGAGAAAAAGTTCCATGCTCTAAAATCTCGTCAGAATCAAGACAAGATACTTCGGAGTAATGGAGACTTACGTCCAATTTCGTCGCTCTGGTCTATGTACAAGTTAGTCAAAGATAAACTGGCATAATTAAAGGGCAAACTCACCTAACAGGATCCAAATCCTCATTCGACCACCGATGAGTCCCAAACCGATTCACAAGATCCCCATCCGTCTCTTTCATACGCACCGCCTCGACAATAGCAGCCGGCACACCCTTAACAGTAGCCGGGAAGCTCACCACGCGTCTACGAACACGATCCATACTCGCAAGAATCCTGTACTCTGCAAAAACTGACAATCGAGGAAGCCTACATTTGTAGACATGCGAGCCCACTCTTGCTATATAGTTCCCAAACAGCTGGTACCCACCGATCCCAGGAAAGGCTTCTTATCCTCACACCTCTCGTGATTGGATCCCATCACGGCCATATCAGCCTATCGGTCTGGGCCTTTCTGGATACCGAGGAGCTCAAATAGGAGAATTCCCCGTGGGGACCAGCTTGACTCGTGCTGATCGTGAAGGGGCTGATAAGCATATCGGCTGTCAGTTCCCGACGCTTTTTATCGAGTCCCGATGGGTTCTAAGTTCTGTGATTGTTCTTATCGTGGAGGCTCCATCGATATCTTGGCGAGATTGGCGTGATTGTCGGGATACGATGCAGGGTTTTCGGGATTCCGATGAGTTGGCAGATTGTTGGGATGAAGCTTCACGTCAAGAGTAAATTAAGTGCACATAAAAAGAAATTCAAGGCGGAATCTAGACTGTTGATATAGCTGAGCTTGTAGCCCTATGAAATGCCGATTATTGGTCTAGAGTCCCGTTAATGTTTGGGACAATGGCAGTGGGAGTTTTCGGGACTCGCTAAAGTCAGGGGCGAAAGTGGGGGTGAAAATCCTCGGATAGGTTGCTCACAACAAGAAAGGCATGAACAGAATATAAGGAATGTTTACATATTTATCTAACGTAAAATCATAGAAATCATCAATATCAACACAAAATATACAAGCGATCCCACCCAGGCTCTCATCAAGAATGCCAATTCTTCTCTCTTGACCCTTTTGCTCCCTGCATCTCCATCTAGGCCTTCAACATCTTGGCAGTCTTGGCGCTGGTTGTCGAGGTGGAGTTACCTGCACCAGAAGCGACCTGCATAGCAAAGACGCCTCCGAATGGACCAGCAGGGTTTGGATTGGCCATCTTGACCAAGCAGACACCTGATTGACCACCGACTGTGCCAGTGCAGGTGGTTCCGGCTGGGATGGCAACGGAGAAGGGCTAATGACGAATAATCAGCTGCTGTTCAGTCTGAGTTTGATGGCTGGAGATACGAACATAGTCCTTGTTCACATTTTGTGCACGTTTTGCAAGTCCCATCTTGGCAAGCATTCTCAAGCGAAGAGTATTACCATTTGGCAAGATTTCTCCAAAGGTACCTGGGACTTGCTGAGTCACCTCTGCCTCTGTGCCAGAAGCGAAAGAGCCTGTTCCGGTAGGATCGACGATAGCTATGCAGTGTCAGTACTTTGATTTTTGCGATGTGTAAGCTTCACATACCAGTATAAGGGCCAGCACCATCAGTGGTAACGATGTGCAATGTTCCAGAAAGGCTGCCGCCGGAAGAGCTGACTTGAGGTAAGGTTGAGCCGGATTGGGCAACAACATCAGTCATGCCGTCCAGAGTGTTCTTTCCCTGTCCTTCTGTTCTGCCAAGACCGTCTGATGCTGCGTCGAGCTGGTTGAAGATTGTGGTATCGACTTCGGTCTTGTCGTTTTGACCAGCGCCAGGCACGACACCACCTTGAATTCCAAGGGCAGTGGTATTTCCGCCAGCATCACCAGTCTGTACATGTCAGATTTGTTGCCAAAAGGAATAGTGGAAATACGTACAACGACTGAGACTTTGCCGTGGGCTGCAACGAGTGGAGAAGCTGCGAGAGCTACAAGAAAGATCTTGGCGAACATTTTGAAAATTGTGGGAATTGGATGAGTAGAGATGTATGTATGTGAATAATTATAAAAGCTGTATCCTGTACAGAAAAGTGAAGGGAATGCAGAAAAATCCAAGTGAAGTAGAGAACTGTAGACTGAAGGCTTGCTTCTTGATGATGAGTGAGGATATCTGATTCCTGCTGGAAGCTTGGCATCTTATATACTTGAGGCCAAACACCACTCAGTCAGTTCATCTACACTATGGGATGCCCAGACCTTTGGCAGACTTGGCACTCAGACAGTCTCCTGGTTTCGTATCTTGGCGCGTGGCCACGACGATGTCACGGTAAAGACTGCTGTATCTGTCGTGAGGCTGCTGTCCAGGCAAGAAAATGGACTGTCAAATTCAGGTGGTTGTTTCGATTCATTGGATGAAGCTTGGCGTGAGACGAATTTGTCCTCAGATTCTCGCGATATCGACTGCGCCTCTTAGTTTCTACAGAGTTGGCGCCCGAAGGAGCTCGTAAAGAAGGTCTTGTTTGGAATCGGAAACACCAAACAAGCTTTTCCAAGCACAAACAAGCAATACGTCAAGGTCTGGGCAGAAGTCCAGCCGACACCTCGGTTTCGATTGCAAGAGGGAGTATATCGGGGAAAATAAAACGAGGGGGTCCTCACCAGGAGAATTATCGATCAGAGCAGCGATCAAAGCGATCATTGGTGCACGGACATTTTCTTAAGTTATGAGGTTATATCAGCCGCACGATTAGTTTCACACCAACAAGCGAATGGCTTAGATCCCTGAGCAAATCCCGCAACCTAGACCAAGCTTTGTGTCAGAAGTCTTGTTCGAGATGGCGCGGCGTATCGAGTCTCATACCAATAAGGTCAGCGCAGTCAGATTCGGGAATCAGATAAACAGTTCGCTACCGAGAATGAGGGGTAGATAGGGGGCAAGGGGTGCCGATTGACCGTTTTGTAGATCCTCAAACATGCAATCGAAACCATATGGTCTATGGCCCTAGTGAAGATCTTCCAAGCCGGAAATCCGTTGCGAAATGCAAACAACCATGAAGCAGATCACAAAGTCAAACGCGGCGATAGGATCCATTTGGAGAAAACAAAAGTTAGCCACGAAACTTGATCGTCTCAAGGAGTAGCGAACGGCATTCACACCCTCCTCTTCAAAGGTTCTGTAGAAGCGCGAGTCCAGTTAGCCCACAAATACATCATAGGATCTAGCAATCTTGAGACAACCTCCCTCCTCTCAGCCTCATTGCGTCGTGTTCATTTTTATGCTTTGGCAAGTTCCATGACGAGCTCCTTCTGCAGCACTTCATCGCATATGGCCAAAACGGGACAAGAGATATTGGCTCAGAGGTGAGACTTTCACGAAGGCGGTAAACTGAAGTTCTGTACCACATGTAGATCATAGGTATGATGCACAGATTATGCTTTGCTGTAGCAGGTTCGCAACATCGAGTGTACTAAGAAGACTACATCATATATAGCAAAATAATAGAGTGCCAAATCTCTCAACAAAAAGGGATCGTCGACAATGAGACTCGTGACTATAACTCTTTGATACCAGAAATCACACATCATGACCTGTAGAAATATCTTGAAACTGAAAAAAGCACGATAATAGTGTTGCCTTGGTGGACATTGTCGGATGAAGCGGCAAGAATGCCACTAATCGAGGCTTGACTTATCTCCTTTGGGCCCTGCGAGACTTCGGTTTGCTGCCAACCTGCTTAGGGCCATTTGAAGCGACAGCGGCACTTGCTCGTGGTCGACGACTCCTTGAGGGGCCGCGGGCATCTTCATGGTCTTGGACAGGGGGTTCTGCCTCAAGGGCACTTGAATCCTCATGAAGAAGTGGAACATCTGCTGAAGTCTGTGGTGGAGAGATCAAAACCTTTCCTGATGGCTTTTGCTTCGAAGTTTTTACAAAGGCCCACAGTGCATCTTTTGTTTCAGTTGCAAGCCGATAGCCGATGTCCTGTGCATTCCTTGTACGCTTGTATGCGCGCTGAAAGTCTTCGAAAGACTCGCGAGGAGTATCGCTGCTGAGTTGGAATTGATGAACTCAACCTCTGCATCTCTGTCCTCAGATTCGTTATGAAGCACATGATGGCCGTAGATTTTGAGATTCTGAGCACTGAAAGCAACTGTGACGGCTTTCGTTTGACCGTAGAATTCCTTGTCGTACTTGCCCATGTAAAGGTGCGATGCCATTGCGGCATTGGCCATGAGGGCTCCATCGTACGCACACTGGACTTGAGCTACCTCGATACTCCCGTCAGAGCCCTTTGCCTCAACAGCAAAAGCTGGCATGCCAATGTTGTACGAAGTGGGAGCAAGTGCCTCAGAGAGGGCATCAATCGCTGCCCAAGGGTAGTCGGTTTTCCGGTAGGACTCAATTATGTCTGGTTTGGCATCGGAGAGGCCAGTGCTGATATCATTATCAACCTCAGACCAGGCATAATTGAAGTTCATTCCATAACCCGACAATTCAACCTCAGTGGAGTGTTGTTTCGAAATTAGTGGGAAAGCCGAGCTCTGAAGAGTCATCTCGTTACGCGGTCCTTTTGTTCTCACAAGGTATCGTCGATAAACGGATTCGTCGGGTGGTTCGGACTCGCGAGCTCAATCTAATAAATCCTTCAATGTCTCGACGTCGTCAGGAGGTTGTACATCGAGGTCATCGAAAACTACACCATTTTTCATCAATCGAGGCCCAAAGTCCTTGTCGGTAGTGGTCGTTGAGGTTGACTGCCGTGAAGACTTTCCGGACTTTCCGGTACGAGCCATTTTCTCCAGTGCCCTTAAGTTTCTCTCAGTAAGACGAGCTTTCTTAATAGGCTTTTCCGGGCTGTTCTCCTGATGAGCTTTGAGTTTGCGTTTCCGAGTCTGCCTGCTGTCAATTCGGCGGGAATTGGAGCCTAAGTGGGTGTTAACATTTCACTCTTCGGACACTTCAAAGGATAACAGACCTTGCAGAGCTTCTGGCGATGAGACTGGTGTAGCTGCAGAGGTATTCGGGACTGGGATTCGTGGTCTTGACCTGGCATCAACAGCTCCGACAGCCTCGAGTCTTGCCGGTCGTCCTTCCGCAGACAGCGGGTATTGGGGGTATTGAAGCCTATCGAGACCCCGAGCTACAGAGGGAGCGTTGACTTTCGATCGTAACCGTGGGCTTCGCCTCTGCGGAGCTGAAATCAGCATTAGCAATGTCCTCAATCATCCATGAAGTGGACTGTCTCTCACCTGGATCAGCTTGTCCTACGCCGTTCAGCTTTCGCTGAGAAGCAGCACGCTTTTGAATGCGCGCAGAAGGCATCTTTGTGAGACATGAGCGCTGAGTGTGTTGCGTGACCAAGTGAAGGCCTAATGTTGGGTCAGAGGATTTGGAGGTCGCGCATGAAAGATCGCGATAGCTTCGAGAGGTGCGGCTACTGCCAAGATTTCATTGGGTCGCGGCTCCCTTTTAAAGTGGAGCCCAGTCCCTCGCATTGAATTCTGCCGCGGAAAACGAGTTTCACTCACAGACAATTCGCTGACAAGCAACGATGTCTCTCAGCCCATTAAGTTGGTACCACCAACTTGCAGCAGATGAGTCAGTGTCGATGAGTTGGCACACCATCTGCTTCGCAGGAGAGACCGCGGATGGAAGTTCCACAAGAAAATGTCCGAAATCTGATGGGACTCTTAGACATTGAAAATGTGTTTAACCTTATATCTTGGCTAGTAATTAAGTAGGAATTTTGAACAGTTCCTTCTAGCTTCGTTTTTGTACTTCGTTCTCACTGTGCTCTTGGGGGAGTCAAGTTGACATCCTCTTATTAGACAAGCCAGACTGGATGCTTTTCGAAAGCTGGCATAACCAACTTTTGATAGAAGTATGTATTCTACTCTCTTGTGTTTGTCTAATGTTGCCCCGCTGCTGCCTATTCGAGGCCAGGCCTTGCATCGTGGCCTCATTCATTCGACATCCTCGCCTTCAGCGAAGCCTGAACTATCCCTCTTGGAGCTAGCAGACCGAGTACAGGATGCAGTTCAATCCAACAAACTCGATTGGTTCTGCAATCAGAATGCACACCGAGCCCATGAGTGCAAAGTCAGGATACTCTGTTCCTCATTACCGGACCACAGAGTGGTATGTACTGCGAAGGCTGCCTTAAATTGCTCCCAACCGAATCAGGTAGATATTGATCAGTCGCTCAATGTGAGAGAATAGTGAGTCTTTACTTGGGAAAACCTTATATTTCTTACGAATCCATTTGAACTTGGCCACAGTTGGCCTGCTCTTCCACCTCTAATATGCTACTTCACCTGCCACATCTGATATACTTTCGTCTCATGGCTCATCAACTGCACCCAATATGTTCAGCGGCCCGAGCTCCTTGTGCCGCCACAGATTTCGCAATCTATAGTTTGGCCAAGAAAGCTCCAACTCCTTGATGAGAGGCATCACAGCCGTCTCGGTCCAACGATTGATCAGCGCAACTGCAATACTGCCGTCCGACATGTTCTTCGCGTACGATTGCAATGTTCCATTTCCCGCGTCCGCTACCTTCTCAGCTGCATTTCCGAGCGAGTCCCGATTAATGGCAATGACCTCCTTATTAGTGAGTATCTCTATTGTATAGTTGTCCATATACCTCACGTCAGAGCCAATCAGTAGAGGGCTTGCGACCACCGACCAAAGACTGAAATGATCCTGTATTCGGTATTGCTGGCCCCAGTACCAACAAGCTGGGTGCATTTCCCAGTCAGATTCATAATCAGCATGTCATAATCGTTCCAATGACCAGGCCTTGAATATTTGGTAATATTGTTTTCACGATCTATCATTTCCAAGACATCGTAATAATATCCGTCCCTCAGACCAGGATACACAAAATTATCAGAGATATCTCGTCCGATCCGCCAGTGGTTTGCGCGTTCAGCAGCGGCCCATTCCTAGATGTCTTGCCAACCGCAGTGGCACGCGTGGTACACGATCGGATGGATCTGATTCATGAGAGCTGTCGACATGTCAAGGATGACCTTCTTCACTTCGTCTTTGGTCGCATACATATGCGAGCAACAACTATTATACTTCAAATGATCAACTCCCCAAGAAGCATACAATGCTGCATCTTCATTCTCTTTCCCCTCGCTTCCAATGAAGCCCGAACAACTTGTTTGTCCTGGAGAACCATACACGCCGAGCTTGAAGCCTCGGCGGTGTGCATAGTCAGCAAGTGCGTTTATGCCACTGGGAAACTTGACAGGATCTGCTTCGAGGGGATTGGCGCTTCGATTGGAACGTTAATGCTGCTAACCATCGTCGAGATTTATATACACAAAGCCAGCATCACGTAGGCCATATCGCTCCATGGTGTCCATAGGTTCCTTGACAAGTGCCTCGTTGATGAACTCGCCAAACATTTTCCAACTATCCCAACCCACTGTAAACAGATCAGCGTCCTAGTCAGGGACGAGTCAATGAAGGTAGGCAACAACATTTGTTGGGAAGTGTCCCATTCAAGGCTGGTCATTGAAACCCTGCTTGCTTGGGTGATCGCCAAGCCATTGCTTAGACACCGTACTTCCACCACCATAGATAGAAGTAGAAGAAGTGACGTTAGAACAAGCATTTGGGGAATTTCCTGTCGAGTCTTGCTGGAGTTTGACCGAGCTGGATTCTTAATATGGCCCAAGTGCCAAGCTTCTAACGCTCTCTGATATTTGTTCCTCCATAGCATGATCCGGCTTTCGAGATCCAGACTGAGGGTAGAAGCCATCCCTTCCAGTGCATGAGTTTCGCAAACCAATAGCCAAGATTTCCCCGCGAACAATTCATTTGCAAGGCGTTATCTGACAGCGCCTTCTCCTGGCTCAATTCAATCTTTGCTTTGTCCGGAGAAAATATCCACTCTTTCTTCTCCTCACGACAATACTCTCAGGAGCTACGGTCAGCTGATGAGGATTAAGCGAAAAATCGCTTGACTCTTTCGTATTATCCAAAGCACAGAATCGGCGATTATTCATCCAAATTGAGCAGAATATGTCAATTCAGATCAATGGAACACTTTGGTAAAGCTCTATTAGCACTGAATGTCATGAAGTAGTCTTTGATACAATGGATTCACAACTTCAACCTTTTCAACCAATCATTTTAAAAGTGAAAAGAAAGGTGGAAGTGTCGGACATTGTCTGTACCATCAAAGTATGAAACATATCTCGGCCGATATTTGAAGACCTCCATTCTACAATCTCGATGGTCTCCAACTCTCTATCTCCCCGTGAACAGCACCGAGGGGTTTCAGCTGCATTGCAGCAACTGGGAAACGGCACGCGAGCGGCTGTCTCAGACCAGCACGGACATACATTAGCTCTTCACATGTGGGATTTCTAGGACCTAGACTCATGTTGTTCGAGATTGTAAATGAACTGTTGCGCTCGAGGTATGACAATAGTAATGTTGCTTAGCAATTATTTGCGATCAAGTACACTCAATTGGATTATCAACATATAATATTCTAGTTGTTTGGTGTAATCATTCAAAGATCACCGACCGCAAATTACCTCGCTGTCTCATATGCAAAAGCAATCTCAATGACAGAACGCCTCCCGGTCTCGCGTCATTGTCTCAACAACGCCACATTTACTAACCCACGCCCAACCACCTCTCCGCCAAGCCATCAATAAGAAATGTGATTGTGATAATCACAAACAGAGACATCTCAGCATCTTTCTTTCCTCTGAAGAACAAATTCTTCCAACTGTCATCTCTCCACCTTCTCTCCTGCCATCCTGTCACTCGACCACCATCATCCACACAATGCCTACACGCAGTATCCGTTCATTCATCAGCGATCTTTCCGCCATCGGAGACGACGTTCGCAGCACCGAGCCCTTCCCAGAGTATAATGTTCGTACTACTAGAAGAAATGAGATCTGTCTCAAAGACTGACATGACCTAGGATCCTTTCCTTCACGATCCGCAGTACTTTCAAGCTCCAGTCTCGACACCGCCATCATACCGGACAATGGAATCAACGCAGAAAGTTCTTTGGGATCCCGATGATGATGATAGTGTCATTTCGCAAGAGCTTCAGATTATCTTGTCTTTCCTGCTTTGGATTGCTATCTTCTTAGCACGTGCTCCGTGTCTTGTTTTTGGGACTTTGCTAACTTGATGTGAAGGGATTGGTATTCGTTTATGAATATAAATGGCATAAGTCGCCAACTCGACAAACACCTCCTTAATGTCGTCTTCGCAGTAGATGAATATAATCTCATTTCTTGCGAGGTATGAAGCGACAATTCGGCAGACTCCTCTAGGCAAAGTCAACTTGACTCAAAAACTGTTCGCCAAACATCAGCACCTCATTTTGGTGCCGTTGCAGGACAAGTACTTCGAGAGCAAAGTCGAAGAGTACGAGGAGGATGCCGACAGGATATCAGGAGATATGGATGATCCACATTAGGCAGGTGTGGTCACCACGTGACATTCATCTTGATCCAACAACCTTCTCTACCTGTTAGTGGGAATGAGGAAAAGGAGAGATGGGCTCTATGACGATAGCCTCTTTAACCAGACTCAGGTGGCTCAAACTACACACCACCTTGTATATTCACGATCGTTTTACTTTCCTCAAAGGGAACTACTCAGTATCGCCTGATTGAGGTAGGCACAGCCAAGACACCATCTTTTTTCATTCCATACCGAAGATGTGACTTTTGCTCTCGTCTATCATTTCACATATGTAGCCGAAGCCTAGCATTGGGTCAAAACAGCCCGACTGGAGTGAAACCTGTCAGACAATCACTCAACTATCAGGGTGGGTCTGGCCAGAGAGGTTAAGCTGTCACGCTCTTAGTTTCAAAAGCAGACGATTCCTATGATAAAAAGGATGGTGAGGAGGAACCACCGGTCCAAAGAGTAGCTCCCAGTTAAGTACTGAAACAGCTCCTTTGCTTGCTCGTGCTGAAAGAGCTCTCATGCTTGCCGGTTTGCATCATGCAACATCGCGTGATGCGGGAGTCAGCCAGTTTTCCACTCAGAGATACATGTGGGACGCTGCCCGAAATGCAGCTTTAAAATGATGAATTATGCAGCAAATTATTTAATTTGACTTCAATCAGATCCCAGTCAAGTCTCAAATCTTGGGTGTGTTGGCATAGGGTAGCTGAGGCTTCTATAAACACGTGGATGTCGAGACAGATTAACACATTCGTTGTCTGAAGGATTTTGTCAATGCCACGGGATTACCTGCTTCTGCCTTCTCTTTCTGTTTGTCTACTATCTTGCCCAGGTGTTTCGTTGCGTGTCTACGTTTAATCAGGTGATCACTGATCTGGCAGAATCCTAGCTGGGATTGTGTTGTTGAAAGCTTTTCGTTGCACATCTACATTTAAGTGGTAAGGATTGGCCAATTTTGCCGGCGAATGAGAGCATGAGAGAACTTTTCGTTGCGTCTCTGCAATGAAGGTGGTGAAACTGGCAGAATTTGGTTTCGTTGCATGTCTACAAAGGTGCTGAACGATGGCAGAAACCAAGGACGGTAGTGTAGAGGAAGTTCGTCGCATATTTACGTGTAAGTGGTGAGGACTGGCAGAATCTTTGTAATTGAGAGCTGAGTACTTCGTTGTACATCTACATTGGTGGTGAAGCGTTTTCTGCCTGTCCAGTATTTCTGCCGGCATTCACCACCTAGACGTAGATGTGCAACGAATTTGACTCTGCTAGTCTTCACTTCAGAACGTTAAATACGTAACGAATTGCCTTTCCATGACAAGTAAAGCTACCTCCAGCTTGCGAATTTGGTCGGGCATTGTGCTGGCTAGCCTACTAAAATAGGATTCGTGTTGCGGCCGATGAGACGATTAAACCTTCTACCTGCCATCTCTTTCTTTCTTTCTTTCTTTCTTGCATGTCAGATCTTATAGGTTGTTTAAAGTGAGGCCCGAGACCTGAGACCTGATCTGTGCCGGTCTACTCATCCATGCACTCTGGTCTTGAGGGCAATTGGGAAATTTCAACACTTATTGCCCTGGGTATCAGCCGTGAGTGCGGAATGAAGTGAAAGGACTCTCGAAATAGAGTGGAGAACCGCTTTTCTTCTTATATTCTGCTTGCAACAACATATCATTTCAATCTGAAGTTCGTTTTTCCACTAATCTATTTTACTTCACATCTCTACTCTTCCGAGGAAATAGAGAAGATTAGACATAGAATTCTGATGACCAGTTGCATTGCCAGCATATTCATGATGGATTCGCAGCCTAGAATTTTGCAAAAAAGAGAGACAGAGAGAGAGAAGGTCCCGCACGGACAAGGATCGAAAGCTAATCCCAAAATGGAGGCATCCTTACGAGGTTGAAATTTGAATCGGCTGAAAATTCGAGAACTCCGATGACACGCAAATTTAGTCGATTAGATGTCCTTTTACTTTTGCTAGCGCACATAGAAACGGAAATAATATTTGCATAATATTTAAGCCTTTGATACGCAATTCTCTCAAAAGCAGTACTTACCTTCCGTCAGACTTTTGCTACAGCTACCGCAAGAACGGCTAAGCGGGCGTCCGATGGTCCTTTATATGCAATTACTTCGAAATTAGAGGCCGCTTTACTAAAAACCAAGACTAACCACTCTAATGTATGGTTTATTGCGTTGCTAAACTGTTTGAATAATATACCCGTGAAGCTTTAGCTCAAATCTTGATTGTCTCGTGGCATAGAAACCCATGTCTTGTCCGGTTCCTTGGAAGCGATCTTATCGAGTATAGTCACCAAGAACTTTTTTCCTTGCTCCATGATTAAAACTTTAGCTATATATATACTTTACTGAGAAAAAAGATCAAGAGCGAATTGTTCATTTGTTTCGCGTCGAAAAAAGACTGATGGAGGAGAGGGGTAAACAGTAATCTTCGACGCTAAAATAAGACTAATTATTGGGCTTACTATGAAGGGAAAAGGCGACCATCCCAAGACGGGTATTACTAGAACAAGATCGAAGAGCATGAGGAGGATGCCGAGTGGATAGTAGGAGACATGGATGATCCACATTAGGCAGGTGGGGTCACCACGTGACAGTCATCTTGATCTACATCCAAAACCCTCCCCTACCTTTTGCAACAACTTCCTTTCAGATACACTGAATAGTCAAGACTCTGCTCCCAATTAGCCTTCTCAAATCCCATCATGGACTCCCCAGTACAAGCACTTCCCCAAAGACTAGCAATCGGCATGGTCCCTCCCACCCTCCAACTCCAACCAGAACCCCACCAACAAACCACCACCCCCAAAGTCCACGGCATCCAAGCCTCCCTCCTCATCCCCGGCCGCGGCTCCCCCATCAAAAACGCCATCCTCATAATCCACGAAAAAACCATAACCTGGGTAGGACCCACCGCCTCCCTCCCCCCAAAATACGTCTCCATCCCCACAATCCACGTCCCCATCCTGCTGCCCGGCCTCTGGGACGTACACACGCACTATTTCGGCGTCGTATCCTCGACCGCCGGCTATGACTCACTGCTCGGGCCCGCTGCACTCGCTGGTGCTCGCACCGTCCGAGATTTAAAGAACACTTTATTCGCTGGCTTCACTTCCGTGCGCGAACTGGGCGGGTATGCGGGTGAGATCTCGCCTGCTGTTGAGGATGGGAGTATTGTTGGACCGCATATCTATTCGGCGATTGCGCCGATTTCGATGACGGCTGGGCATGGGGATATACATAACTTGCCGATAGGAACGGTGCTCGATGCTTGTGCGCATGGATTACCGTTTGCTGTTTGTGATGGGGTGCCGGATTGTATTAGGACTGTGAGATTGATGATTAGACGAGGTGCGAAATGTATCAAAGTCTGTGCTACGGGTGGAGTATTTAGTCTTCTTGATAGTCCGCAAGACACGCAATTCTCGCCCGAGGAGTTGAAAGCTATGGTTGACGAGGCGGCGCGGGCAAAGAGAGTAGTGGCAGCGCATTGTCATGGGAAGGAAGGGATTCTGGCTGCGATAAACGCGGGAGTGAAGACTTTCGAGCATGGAAGTTATATGGATGAGGAATGCATCAAGCTCATGCTAGAAAAAGACATCATTTATTGTCCGACAGCTAGTGTCGTTGAAGGGGGAGCTAGGAACGCAGATGATATGCCACCGATCAATCGCAAGAAGATACTCGAGACAGCTGTGCATGCCAGACACGCTTATAGATTGGCCATCAAGAACGGAGTCAAGATTGCTCTAGGGACGGATCAAGCGTCGAGTACGCCTGGGAATTACAACTCGCACGGCGCGAACGGGAAAGAGATTTTCTATGCTGTGAAAGCGGGGATGACGCCGCTGCAAGCTATTGAAGCTTGTACGGCGATTAGTCCAGAGACTTTGGGGCCACATATGGCACCCAAGTCGGGACAGTTGAAGGAGGGTTATGATGCTGATATGATTGCGCTGTCTGAGAATCCTTTGGAGAATATTGACTTGTTGTCTGAGCCTGACAACATCACTCATGTATGGAAAGACGGGATGCTTTCCAAATCTCCCTAGACTGGTTGATCACCGAACGGCTCTGACAAGGTCCTGAATATTGCAATTATGGATGATTGTGTGATATTGTTGAAAGATGAAGACAATACATGGTCAGGAAACTATGGACAGACAATTGGCCAGCAAGGATCTTTGCAGAACCAAAAGTAAAATGATTGGGGACAATTCATCAGGATATTGATAACAGTACATATCTCATGATAGACTTCCAAACATAATCAATGACACATCTCATCTCTTGAGAAGGTTCCCGCATCAGCCGCTCTTAAACAAGGCGATTGTATCTTGATACGCATTAACGTTATCAAGATAAAGAGCAAGGCTGTTGCCATCTCTGGTAATCATAGAGATACTTCCAATCGTGTTCAAGTCATACATGTTGATGTTCTTGCTAGTCGTTCCTTCAATACTGAAGATTCTCGTTTGACAAGCTGCACCATTACCTCCAGGCGGTGTGACGGGATTGGAACACGCTATTGGAATTGTCAGCCATGAACAGAATGGAAATGGATCAAAATTAACAACTTACAAACGTTGTAATTGTTGAAAAAGCTATAAAGACCAGCTCCATAGATCAGTATATCTTCGGATCCAACGACTCGCATTCCCCAACCCATAGCACACGCTGCAAAAGTTCCATTCACTCCATGACAACTGGTCGAAAAATCGGGATCATTCCAACCGGCTACGACAGGAGTTACCACGCCAGCTTTGGGATTGGGTTGCCAATAAGCAGTTTCCGTTTGGATTAGTCCTGCGAATACTTCCTTCGTATTTGCGAATTGATATTGGTAGAGATCATGATGCTCGACAGCTGTTCCCACCATCCAAATCGTTCCTTTTGTTGAAGCACAATACAGACCACGGCCAGTATAGATTGTGACCTGGGTATTGTTTGGGTCGTCGATATCATGGTCTGCTGTCCAAAGCCAGACATTTTCCAAGTAGAGCCCAGATGCTGATGGTACGATGTACATGCTCATGAAAGCAGCAATGCAATTGGTATTGACGGTTGAGCTGCTTGGAGTCGTCGGGCACTGAGCCAATTGTAGATTGGACCCTGCAAAGCCACCGATACGAGTGTGTACATCCCACATACCCGAAGGAGTTGACGCAGGCGAGACGAGATTCCATTGTATAAGAATCGCACCAGCTGTAGGTCCTTGGGTGGATACGATCATATCAGACCATTCCACGATGCCAGATTGACCAGTAGTTCCCACCGACACAACTGGTTGTGGGCTGTTGATATTGGAGAAGAAAGTACCAGACCCCATGATTACCGAGTACGATTCGCCGACGATCTTTGAGCCTACTGGGATGAGGAGCGTCGAGGTGACCTTGTAAGTACCTGCATCGAAAAACACGACAGATTTACCAGCGGCCGAATTCAACACTGCGTTCAGTGCCGCTGTGTCGTCTGTCACTCCATCTCCCTTCGCACCTGCAGAGCGAACACTGATAAATGATGACAATGGCAAAGACTGGTACTGAGGTTTGGACCTGGTGTAATACTTGCTGCTGACTGTGAGAGAAGAAGGTCTTGAGAATGGTGTGAAAGCTTTCTCGAAATTTACAGGCCCACTCGGTGTGTACTCATGACCTTGGCCCCAGCCTCCGATGGTGGTGGTACCGCCACCAAGTACTTTTCCTGTCGGTCCTTGAACAGCAATAGGCGTGTTTACTAGTGAGACTTTCTCCAGGATCAAACTTCCACCAGTTGGTGGCTGCGATGTGGAGTTATGAGCAGTCAGAATGGCGATTCCAGTGTTTGTGAAAGTACTGTCAATAACAGTAACCGAACCCTAATATCAACGTCAGATCGTCTCGAAAAAGGATTCCAAAACAAAGTAAAGAGGAAGACTCTCGAGACTTACGGTGGACTGACCAGTGGTTCCGCCTGCAGACATATCAATCCCAACAGAGCAATTGTTCACACTGAGACCCTACTCAATATTAGACGACGCTCATGATCAGTGAAGAATTCCCAACCTGATAGGTCCAACTCCAATCCCAAATGTGGTCAATTGCTGTGACCGCATTGTAGAAAGTCAGATTGCGCACAGTGAATTGCTGATTGCCAAACACAACTCCATTCTTTCCGCCATAAAAAACGAGGTCGCTCATGAAACCACCCGAACCTGGGTCGAATTAGCCTGAAGAATGACAGCGTGGGTGAGAATGTGGAGGCGCCACGCACCGTCCTCGATGAAAATTCCTTGTTGCTGAGTTCCTGGGCTGTCATTCATCTTGAAAACACAGTTCTGCAGACTGGTTGCTTGAGCAGTAGGCCAATGCAGAGCAGTCAACCCATTGCTTGGTGGAATCCCAGTGAGATCAAAAATAAGATTTCGAATTTGCCGGTAGAACACATTGGTAGCTGCAAACTTCAGGCCGTTTCCACCATACTGATCTCCATCTATCAGCCCGAAGCCCGCGAAATTCTGCGTCGGTTTGAGTACTGGAAGATTGTTCGGGTCTCCGATGATTTGCGTGTAATAATAATTGATGATGGCAGTAGAGATCAGATAGGTGCCAGCAGGAAAGTAGACAATCGCTGGGGTTGTTGTGCTTCCAGCACATGTTCCGGGAGCGCAACGCCCACCTGCCGACATGGCATTCTGAATCGCTGCAGTATCGTCCGTAACGCCATCGCCTGTATACTGTCAGAACTAAACATAGAAACAGATGTCAGATCCAACCCTTTGCTCCAAAATCTTTGACATTCCGGAATACTTGATACGAGCTGTTCTGGTTGAAGGCGGAGATTCCTTGGTGTTTGATGGTCTCCAGCCAGTACGGTGTTGTGCTTGCTGTGGAAGTAGCAGATATTACAGAGGTTGACGATGCCTTCAAAGAGGTCGACGATACTTTCGACGAGGTTGAGACAGTTGAAATTCGAGTACTAGTCGAAACGTGTACTGATGACGAAGTAAGAGACACCGCCATAACATGGGAAACGACGCCCAACAGCACCGATAGCAGAATGTTAATCTTCATCGAAACGAAAGAAATTCAAACGAGTGTGGAGTTGCTGGAGAAACACAGAGATTGAAAATTTGAGGAGATTTTGAGGCTTATGAGAAAAAGGAGAGGAGACAGGGCTGAAATGCAATTTCAATAGCGGGAGACAAGATCAAAAATTTACCGGAAGAGGCAATCACGATCCAGCGCCTCTTCCCAAAAAGACTCGCACGCTGGCGCCATTGCTTGCTCCTGAGGAAGGAAAGATGCGCCCATGCGTCGATTTCCGCCTCAAATTTGGTTTGCAGGAGCCAATTGCGGCTGAGATCTGGACTCGTGGAAATGAAATAAAAGGGGCTGCCTGACTGAGCCACGGAAGTTTGCGACGGCTTGCAGCTTGTGGCTCGGGTATGGGCATTCGGAGATATATGCCGGCATCACTTGGTTCATACCTGTGCATCTCGGGATGTTGCATTGCATCGGAGATCTTATGGTGGTTGTGACGGGTAACTCAATTTTCTAGAGCAGAAGAGCTTAGTGATGGAAAACGGCGAAACGTCGGGTAAAAACCCGATTTGCATACACGTGACTCTACAATTTGCTGTCCTGGATCTGTTTCTTTGCTTTGAAGTTTTTCATTCAATAGTACAGAAGGTTGGTGAGATCTATTTCGAGATAGAAGTGCTTATATTCCATTGGACTTCGATGACCTCGATTCTTTCACGTGATTGTGAACTTACTTGGACAAAGCTGACTGGCTGTCAAATCAGCTTTTGACTTAATTCAAATCAGGTCCCAGGTTGCCCTGCAACAGTTCCAAGATGGTAGGGATCTTGAAGTCTCCAGAGATGAGCTTAGAGGATAAAGCTATCTGGTTGGAAGGGGCCTTGAAACAAGCCAAAGCGCACATTGCCGCCTGTCTCGAAAGCCATACGAGGTGTTCTTCTCAACCTGCAAACAAGCTCCCGGTTCGAGTGATCGATGTTGGTCCTTCCGATGGATCAAAGGATCCCTACCTGCTTGTCTCGGAGGATCAAATGAATTTGAAGGAGGATGAAGCTGGAAGCAGCCCTCCAGATGAAAACGACCAGATGAAAGACTTGGAAAACTCAATGTCTACCATGAAACTGAACAAGGAGGAGGATTTAAAGTATACAACTCTCAGTTATTGCTGGGGACAATGTCAGACTTTTGTCACTACACTTGAGAATATCGAAGCGATGAAGAAGATGATACCCTGGGACAAATTACCCCGCACTATCCAAGACGCCATCTTGATCACTCGAGGACTCGGCATACAATACATTTGGATTGACGCTCTATGTATCATTCAAGACTCTCCGTCAGATTGGGCGGCGGAGTCCGTTAAAATGGCAGAGATCTATGGAGGTGCATTCGTGACCATCTCTGCTGCACTCGGTCCTGATGTCCATTATGGATTGACGAAATGTCAAGTCAGTCAAGGGTTGCAAGTACCAAGGTTCGAATTACAGAAGAATCCTTTGTATTCTCGAGCTTGGTCCTTGCAGGAACGAGTAAGCTATCAATTCTTTGATTTGGTAATTCGTAGTGTAGCCTTTAATAGTGGGCTGATACAAACTTCAACAGATGCTCTCTCCACGAGTGCTAATATTTGGCATCGAAGGCCTCTATTGGGAATGCTATCAACATGGCAATTCCAGTCGAATCATGTATCGACTTCCCGAGAACCCTTCTCCTCAAGACTGGCACATCATCGTCGAGGACTACACCTGCCGCAACCTAACAAATGAACGAGACAAACTTCCAGCATTGGCAGGCCTAGCAAAACTGTACGGGCAGATGAATCTCCAGGATTACATCTGCGGCTTATGGAAACAGACATTGATACTTGATCTAATGTGGGCTCAGCACTGGGTACTGCTTGGAAATCCTGCGATAATAAATCCCCCAACAATCTACCGGGCGCCCTCATGGTCGTGGGCCTCAGTCAACGGGAATTGCACTTTCCGAGATCAGTACAGAAGAGGGGATTTCAAACAAAGGACAGAAGTGCTAGCTGTCTTCTCAGATTCTATCAGTGGCCCTTTAGAGAAGCCAATGGAGAGTGACGAATGGATTCTCTTACGTGGTCCATTGTTACGTATGAAAGTCAAAGCAGGGAACATGCCATTTGTTGGAAGTTATTGTACAGTTTTCTTGGACGTTCGAGAGCTTGACGACGCAGACTACTCGACAGCAACCATGGATAGCCACGTAGAAGCGTCGTCGGAATGGAGAAGCGACACATGGTGTCTTCTTCTTGGAAGCGATGATGCTGGAAGTTATGGACTGGTACTAGTGGAAGCAGTGGAATATGGAGAGGGAAACTTCAGGAGAGTTGGATATTTTGATGCGTACAATTGGGAGGATCGCTTTAAAGATTGTGGGGAGTCGGATCTGATGCTGATCTAGCAAATCCAGGTGAGGAAGAGGCCTGAAGAGCCTCGACTCCGTCGAAGTAGAGTGTCTGACAAGCATGCTTAGCATGCTTGAAACGTGCTCTACAAGTATGCAAAACGAACTCCTGCTGTATCTGTGTATACACACACCATCAAGTCATCAACAAAGGCTGGTGGAAACACATATTCAGCAAGTTATGGAAACCTAGGATCTCTATAACCAAGTGATCATTGGACAATTCATACACCAACTGCAGCTCGGGAAGAAGGGAGGGACGAGTACTTAAGCAATTTTAAACTCGATTTTTGAGGACAGTCAATGGGTTCTTCTTGCACATCGCGCTTGATGCACATTCTTCCAAGTCGCGTATATTGACTCACTGTCAAAGACATTAAGCGCATTCCAAATCGGCATGCCAACATTGCTGCTACAGAACAAAGCCGTCCGTCATCGAATCTTCTCAGCCCTCCAAGATTCCGAACTTCTCTTTTAGTCGCTATGACTTTAACATCGAGTATTTTTACATCGCCCACCTCGGTGATGGATAGCTCATCTGTTGATTCAGGATCATTGAGGAAATTTCTTATCTCTTCCCCAGCCGATTCACCTCCTATGATCCTCCATCACTCGCTATCGCTCATAAAGAGGTTCCGGCTATCAGTCTCTCTGACTCTTTCTTTTCTCGATTATCAATCTGGCGTAATGAAAGTTCATAACTTCGAGCATGTCTTTTCCACCATGTCTGTATTGTGTCTGATGTAGGTATCCATTCGTCAGCGACATAACCTGGCGACTTCGAATCCAGCGTCCCAAAAAGGCTGCTCAGGTAACTACGACTTCGATCAATTCTCGCACTTGACGCGGGTGGCTTCTCAATGTCCTCAAAGTTTGTTAGCATAGCTCGATAGGCATCTTCTTCGTCACGATTCCCAATAGCAGTGGAAATATCAACTAGCCTCCCCAATCAATATCCAATGCCCGCCTTTCCCCAGGAAGATTCCACCTTCTTGTACCCTTTGAGTGCACGTTTCGCGGAAGAAAAGGCTCCCGCATAGTCCTTTTTGTAGTAGAATCCTTTGGATATATGCAAATGATCTAGTAAGATATTAGGGCTATATTTCGACGGTAATTGAGATTGAAGTGCTATTAATTCCGCCAAAGTCGCAATGCCATCGTCGTATCTTTTGGTTTCCATGAAAAGCACAGCTAACCAATCTAGAGCTCTCAGTCGAAGCTCTAGTAGATTCTCCGGCAAGACGTCTAGACCGGAAGGAATGCGAGATAGGCAATTCTTCAGATGTTTCTCAGCTTCCAAGTACTGCTTTGAAGAAAGCTGTTTCTCGCCTTGCTCTAACAGCGACTGAATGAGCTCAAGCTCTAAGTCATCGTCGGAGTCCGCCTCTTCTCGTTCTATGAGTCTGTTGTTCCGAGGATCCAGAAATGGCGATAGGATTCGTTCGGGCTGATCTGGCTCCGTAAACTCATACGTGGTGTTTGATGCCATCCATCGCAACATTGGCTCCCCAGGCTGCGTCGGAAAGCAATCTCCAAAGTCCGATTGTAGATCAGAATTATCGACAGCTATGATAGTGGACGCAGATGAAACTACTGTGGCCGCAGACCTGACGCAATTGCGCAAATTCCGGAAATGTTGGAGGACTTCGTCGTCTGCCGAAGCAGAACTCATGTTGACTTCCAACCCTGAAATCCGCCTATTGAAGTCCGAAGCTAGGCGACGGATAACTTTCTGGATATCATTCAAGGTGGGTAACACCGTCTGTGAAAATTCTTCCGAAGCGACTTGATTCCATCTATGACCATTATCAGCCAGAGTCTTCTTGCGTTTTCAGACAACTTACAGAATGACTGTCTGCAAGGATAGTTGGAGAGTATCCTTATACGCTCGAATTTGTTTCCGGAAAACAGAAATCTCCCCAGAAGCACTTTGCAAACGCATATGCTTTCTCGTTCTGTCAAAAAGGTTACCACTCTTGCTGACCTTCTTAACAACTTCTTGCAGCTGAAGCAATGTTTTCTGGCCATCCTGGATACAAGTAGAAAGCGTGCTCCAGTGGCTTCCAATATGTCCAGTAGACTGAAGCGATGACTTGATTTCCTCTCGACCCAGAGTATCGTCCATCAAGGTCAACACATGAGTCAAGCCTTCCACTTCCGAGAGGAGAGCTTTGATCTTCGTATCCGCGATAGCTGCTCCATTACAGAAGTCCTTTATTGCTAGCCCAGTTGAGAAACACGTCTTCAAAAGCGTGAAAGCACCAGTGGTAATACTCGATGGATCCATCTTCTCTATTGCCAGAGTCCAAGGTAGGTAGTCAAGCGCTGTGTGTCACGTGCCAGTGTGCAGCCTCGACCCGAGCATATGTTAAGGAACCAAAATCTTCGGAGAGCGCTTCGGAGCGATGGTCAAGAAGCCAATTTTGAGTATTTGCAGGTCCGGGTAGATCGTCTGCTAACTCTCGTGTCGTGTGGTATGTCCACGAGGCTGGGGCAGCAACATGACCTTAACACTGTTAAGAGTGCCTCCTCTTCAGTGCTCATCGTGCAATCTCACCTGTATCAACGTAAGCACCGTAGAGATTCCGGATGCAACGAAGGTCTTTTGTGTTAAATATGCGCGGATCGAGATATCGTAGATGAGGTTGAAGGATGCCTCCAGAGTTAAGGAGCCCCACCTTTCAGCTGTCAGGCTAGCCGTTTTTAGACCTTCGATCCTCGAAGCAGGCTACAAGGCATCAATATATAGCGTAATGTGATTATATAGAGATAAAATGTCTGTCGGTAATCGGATACTTCATAGCCTCATAAGATCCTTTTCAAGTTAGCCAAAAAGTATTCGAGTAGTAAGGAGCATCAGGAACTCAAATGTAAGTGTCACGCTTTGTGGCTTCCACCCAATCATTTCTTATTCACCATGTCTCCCAGTCCCATAATTGCTTTTCTCAGCCTCAAATACCCCTTCTCCAAAAAGAAACAACTCCCCAAAAAGCCACGATCCCTCTCCCCAAAAAATCAATCACTTCCCTCCCACCTTCCTAAAAATGCATCCCTCCTCCCATCCTTCCAAATGGCTACCCGCCTCTCTCCCCGCATCAGCCGTCGCTATGGATCCCTCGCAGCATTCTTATTATTATTATTCTCAGTCTGGCTCTGGGTAGCCGTCGACCGACCCTACAATTTCCCTAGCCACATCGGATGGAACATCTATTCTAATTCTCCTCAATCAGACGTTGTCTCCGAGGATATTTTCGATTACCCACCAGTGCACTCGTCTGCCATCAAAGCCGTATGTGCCGCCACACAATGGAACGAGAGTCTGGTCTTCACTTGCGATGATAATGTGGGAGGAATTGGGCATGTTCGGAATAGCATCTTGAACTGTGTCCGCTTCTCGATCGCTGCTGGAGCGGGTCTGGTCTTGCCCAGGATCAGTGTCAGGAATGACTCCGATATTTCAATCATACACACTGGTTCCCTGACAAATATGGCATATTTATTCGACACTAGGCATTTTATCGACTCGATCAGCCTTTCTTGTCCGGGCTTGACGTTATATCCCGAGTTGGATGATTTCAAGAAGATTAATAATGCGAACAATCCGATACGCTTGAGTCCGCAGGCGTTGGGTGTCAAGTTTCCGAAGACGGGAATGGAGGATCCGAAGAAGTTTGCAACCGCGATGCCCAAAGCTGGGATGGACAAGCCGGAGAAATGGGGAGAGTTGTTTCATGAGTGGTATGCGGATATTGGAGAGCAGTACCAATTCATTGGTACAACGAAGGGACCTATATTCATCGCTTTGTTGCGATCATACCTGACATGGCCAATTCTAAGTGATGGGCAGGCATTCTCGACACAATTTGGAAAGATATTGAAGCTGAGAGCCGATGCGAGGAGTTTGGCAACAAAGGTGGTGAAGAATATGGCAGAGAAGCACAAGTTTGCTGCAAACGTTCATGCTCCGATACTAGAGAATTCTTTTTGGGGTGTCCATTTGAGGACTGAGAGTGATGCACTTGAAAGCCTCCCAGAAGTCTCAAAGGACAGACTATATCCGACTTATGCCATGCAGACAAAGCTCTATCTCGACTTTATGACGCAGGAGAGGAACAGTGTGAATTCAAGCTTGGTATATGTCGCTTCAGGCGATCCAGCACAGGTAGCAAATTTCTGGAAAGATGCTAAAGTGATGAATTGGACGGTGACCACCAAAGTAGGATTACTGAGGGGGAAGGATTTAGCGGAGTTGAACGATTTGACTTGGGACCAGCAGGCATTGGTGGATTTCATGGTCTTGGCCAAAGCGAGTCGTTTCTTGGGCGTGGGACATTCTGGCTTCGACTGGGCATTGACAGGGAGAAGAACAGTTTCGTTGTCGAATAAGAATGGGACGAAGATCGACAGTGCAAGGAAAGATGACAACAAGGAGATCAAGAAAGTAGCGGTGGCAGAGGTTGGAGAGAGCGCATTCTTGAACCAGCTCTTTGGGGCTAAAGGAGAAGTCAAAGCATACAAAACATGTTTGTGGCCTTGAGCCTTGATGGAAAGATACAAATATGTACGTATCATCAAGTGGATAATTTATTCGTATATCAATGCAATGCTTAAGCAGGGCATGTTTAGACTGCCCGTACTTCAAGTACATATGTTGGGTAATGCGACGTAACTCAAACATGATAGAAAGTTCATAGTCCTCAGCCGCAGAACTTGACAAGGAAACCTTTCCTACTTTGGGTTGTATTCACTTGCTTACGTATAAGTCAATCCGGAGTCAGCCGCGCTTTTATCGTCGGCTTCCTCGCACGAAAGGAAGGATCAAAATACAATCTAGGGAAGAGTCCGCGCACGAGGTGGAGTGAAAGTGGACTCAAGACATCGCTGAGCAAAAGCACGCGACTTTCCCGAATTGAAGACACTTGCCAGTATTGAAGACATTCGCCAGCGCAACCAAGCACTTGCTTATCATGACTCTCGTTGAAGAAGGAAATTCTTGCGCTTTGAAATTCGAAGAAAGGAAGCAGAAGCTCGACCTTCTTTTAAGCTTTCGGACCATGTGGGTCTTGCCGATCAAACCGCGAGGGATTGCAGCAAAGCTTGGAGATGACGTAAGTTGGAGCCCCTATTTGACATCTTGGCATGTATTTCCGAACTCCTATTTCGACTTCATCCCATCTCTAATTTATATTCGAATCGTCCTTCGATGGTTGTACATTCAGGGTAGTACTTCAATTCATCTCAATCACGAGTTTCCAACCTATTGTGTTAGTGCCGATTTTGTTTCATATCTTTGCGATGGAGGTAGCTCAAGTGGTCTGAATGTCACTGGCAGTTCTGGACAAATGCATGCTGCCATATTTACCCGTTATGCGCTCATTCTTTATCCTGAACATGTTTCTGTAGCACTTCTATTTGTGTCTTTCTAATTGTGCTCTTCCCGACGCGGAAGGGATTCTGCAGCGTCGACTAGTTTCTCATCGAGAATAATCACCTTATTTTCTTCTGAATATCTGAACACGAGACTGTTACGATTCAAGATAACCTCGGTCGACTCCATGGCGTTGTTCAGCCCCCGGGTTCAAACTTCCCAACTGCGTTGGTCCACTTGCATCAAGATGCATGGTCTTGGCGAATAGAGGTTAATTGCCCCAGACAGTATTTTCAGTATACCGAACACTCTCCACGGCGACCTTCCTCTTCCTTATCAAGCGGCATTCAACATCCCATTTTGCTCGTCGAATGATTGGCGGTCACCCCGGTGCACGCGTGCTGCAGCTCTGCACAACGAATAGGCGGTATCACGGTGCGCCATGTCTCGGTTTTCTGTGGTGGCACCAATGCAAGGGTTTTGGAAACATTCCAATGATTCCAGACCATGACAGGGAGTCCTTATCGTCCCCGCGAAGTGGGCGAACCCTATGTGGAAAGCTTGACTGTGCGGGTGTTCCTTCCAGAATGGTTCATATACCATGGATCGCCCTTGCGCTACAGAAGCGTCTCCGATATTTCTTGGCTGCATCAACATACAACGTCTGTTGTGAAATCACACTGCACGATACAGACATACACTGCTCAAGATGTCTGATTCTCCTGTTGCAGAGGAGGTCAAGGTCGATGCTACGGCGGTGGTTGGTGATTTGGAGAGTGGCGATAAAGGAATTGTCAACCATGCTGCTCCTCTTGCTCGAGAGCTGAAGGGCCGTCATTTGCAGATGATTGCAATTGGTAATGCTCTTCCACTCTCTTGGTATTGTGCTTGGATCTAATTCGTTCAGGTGGTGCAATCGGTGCAGGTCTATTCGTCGGATCTGGAAGCGCCCTCCAGACTGGAGGTCCTGGAAGTTTGGTAGGTCTCGGAACATTCAGCTTGGTCGTGGAGTGACACTGACTTTATCGCTAGGTACTAGGCTACATGATCATCGGCTCTATGCTGCTCGTCACCGTACAGGCTCTTGGGGAGATGGCAGTCCTCTTCCCGGTCAATGGTGCTTTCTTCACATACATTGTTCGCTTTGTCGACCCTTCAGTGTAAGATGAATGTGCAAAACAGAAGAATCCAGCTGATGATTTCATAGTGGCTTTGCTGTAGGATGGGATTACGCGATTGGATGGCTCACTGTTCTTCCTTTCGAGCTTACAGCTGCTGGTATCACGATTCAGTTCTGGCGCGATGACATCAATATTGGAGTCTGGATTACAGTCTTCTTGGCCTTTCTCACAATCATCCAAATCTTCGGCGTCCGAGGATATGGTGAAGGTTGGTGATCCTCTTACTCATGCCCCTTTCTAATACTAACATCTTTCAAGTCGAGTTTGTGCTTAGTATGATCAAAATCATGGGCTGCATAGGCTTCATCATTCTCGGTGTGATCATCGACTGTGGTGGAACTGGACCCCAAGGCTACATTGGAGCCAAGTACTGGCATAAGTACGTTAAGTTCTGCTCTCGTTCTGAATTTATCCTAGGAGCCGAACTCTTCGAGATCGTCCTTGGATGAGCTATATGGCTCCTGGATCTCTGTCCAAAGTCTATACTAACACAATCCGCAGCCCGGGAGCCTTCAGTAATGGATTCAAAGGTTTCTGCTCTGTATTCGTCGTAGCAGCTTTTGCTTTTGGAGGAACCGAACTTGTTGGACTCGCCGCAGCAGAAACAGCAAACCCCCGAAGATCAATCCCGACTGCGACTAAACAGGTGTTCTGGCGTATTTCCTTCTTCTACATCATCGGATTGTTCATTCTTGGGTTGATTGTCCCAGCTAATGACCCGGATCTCCTGAATTCCTCCGGCGCAAACACGAAGTTCTCACCATTCGTCATTGCTATCCGCCTTGCCAATATTAAGGTCCTGCCTTCAATCTTCAACGCCATCATCACAATCTCGGTCATCAGTGTTGCAAACTCTTGTACATTTGGTTCTACGCGTACTATGCAAGCTCTCGCCGAGCGAGGCATGGGTCCAGCTTTCCTTGCTTATGTCGACAAGCAAGGCCGTCCAATCTGGGGTGTTCTTATTCAACTGCTCTTCGGTCTCTTGGCTTTCATTGGAGAGTCAAGCAAGCAGAACGTCGTGTTCAACTGGCTGTTGGCACTTTCGGGCCTGTCATTCTTCTTCACGTGGGGTGCTATTTGCGTTGCTCACATCAGATTCAGATCTGCTTGGAAACTCCAAGGACATATCAAGGACGAATTACCATACCAGGCAATGTTCGGCGTTTTGGGAAGTTGGTATGGCTTTATCCTCAACGTCCTGTGTATGATCGCCACCTTCTACGTTGCGCTCTTCGTAAGTTGACCTCCAACCTCCTTATTTTCGAAACCAATATTAACGTCAGCTCAAAAAGCCCATTGGTGGGAGTCCCAACGCTCAAGATTTCTTCAGCTACTACCTTGCCGCACCACTCATCCTCGCCCTCTACCTGTTCTGGAAGCTCTGGTCGAGACATTGGGCCATGTACGTGCCAGCCGCAGACATGGATATCACATCTGGCCGACGAGCAATCGATCTCGCAGATGACTATGTGCCAACGCCCAAGACTTGGGCAAATATGCCTATGAGAGTTTTCCGAGCTCTATTTTAGGCTGGATCTTGCTTGCTGTGTATTTTGGGGGAGAAAAGAGGGGTGTATGTAGCTTTCGCTGTGAATAGAACGATTATTAATCCATTATTGAATTTATTTCTTCGTCTACTATCAAACTTGGAATAAATGACAATAGTGTTCCAGAATTCAAGGGACAATATGAGTGGGCTAAGCCTTAAGTATGGTTTGATATTTGAAAGACACCGGGTGCGAAAATGGAGTGAACTCACTTCTACTTGAAGAATCTACTTCCCCACTTCTACCATCCCACAAAGTCCGGAACAATATCATCAAGTTATATTCTAATTTTCCCGGCACTCTTGCTTTCTTCTCCCGTAACCACGAAAGACCTACATGCATGCATGCAACCCACCTACCTATCGCGCTGCCTAGCACCATGCAAAAAAAACATACAACATCCTACACTTCTTACTCGATATCTGAGAATTCTAGAATAGAAAGGTTTTCTTACCAAATTAATCTTATTAATAGACATAGTCTCGATGCGAAGTCTCCACGTATAGTCGTTGGGGTGTGTTCTGGAAGGGTAGGGACATTGGCGAGTGGATGTGAGTTGGAGATAGGCCGAAGTGAAGAATCTCGATGTTATAGATGTGGATGCCGGTTCAAGAAGCGGTTGTTGTTCCTGTCTCAGGAATGGTAGGTTTCTAAAATGTGGTAAATGCGGGGCATCTCTGAATGCAGTACCTGGTCTTTTTCAGACGCGAGGCTGAGGGTCATTGGTAGGAATTATCTTAACGATGCCCGAAGTTATCATGAGCTTCAGGGTACATGTATCTGCAGTATTCGGATCACGGCATGGAGAAAGGGAATGTGTTTGCTTATTATGGCATCATATCATTCATCTAAGGATGCTCAAATCTAGGCTATCTACCAAGATCTCAATGCTTGCCAGTCTGAAATGACCGCAAGAACATGAACGCAAGGAAATTGGAAAAAAGAAACACCATGCGCCACACTGCGAGTATCACCGCGCCTATCAGACTGCAGTATGTCAAGAAAAGCATATCCCATGTGCTCCATACACCTTCCAATAGAGATCTCGTTTAGTCGTTGAGCATGTCAACCTCGTCATGTCGTTCCATGGATGACCAACGTTTCCGCCAGATGCTTCTCCACCTGCTGTAAATCATAGGAGGAACTAAGAACGTCGCCTTCTATCAGGCCTAGAGAATAAGGGGTATCGGAAGGATTGACTTGTCTTCCACCAGTTGTCCAGAACTGCAGTCCAAACTGGCCTTGATGTCGGCAGTAGCAATCCATGAGTTCACTCATCTTTCCCTTAGACTTCATCACGAACCCGACCTGAGCGCCGTAACGATCCATGACGGATAAATTGACCTTGGCCTCTTCCACAAAAATGAAATCGCCATTCTCCAATCCGAGTGATGCTAGGGTGTCTTCCTCTCGAATACGATATCGCTCAGAGTTGAAGAAACTAAGAGAATCAAGGTTTTTGCCTGCTTGAATGGCGTAGTGTGTCATCAGCTTTTTCATCACTGTATTCGAGTTGGCCTTGAAGAATGTTTCACCACTAATGCTGCCCTTGACGCTGACGCTGATTTGCATATTCTTTTTCGTTGACTCCTCTTGATCAGCTGCACCGCCCTCTTGGTGCAGGTGAACGTCTACAACGTCCTCATCCTCGAGAGCAAGAGATTCAGGAGTATCAGTAGGGATAATGCGTTTGCCATCTGGGGTGAAAAAGCGCAGACTGTCGACAAGTTGACCTTGCTGGTTGGCGAATGTATTCATGACCTTCTCCATCTTCGTAGTGAGTTTGACTCTATATGTTGTGTCGTTGCGATTCTGATCCATAAGCTTGATATTGATGGTGGCCTTGGCACCCTCGTCCTTGGGCTTCTCTTGCGCACCTTCTTCTCCTCCATTCCCACCAGTCTGTTCTCTGAACACTTCAATCGAGTCTCCATCCTCCATCTCCTTACTCAGCGGCGTATCATTATCGGTGATGCGTTCGCCTTCGAGCACGAAACGGATGTCCTCTCGTCGGATGCTTTGGCGTTCGCAATATGCATCCATGACCTTCTTGAGCGGGGTGTGCATCTTGATTTTGAAGAAGACCTCGTTACGCGACTGATCGACGACCTTAACATTCAGATACTTGGGAGCATCTTGGTCTGCTGGTGTATCAGCTGCTCCTGCTCCTGCGCCAGCAGCAGGAGTTCCATCGCCGCCTTGTTGCTCGACCATAGCTTGTATTTCATCTCCTTCTCCCATCTCTAACTTTTCTGGAGTCTCGAAGTCTTGAACTCGAACACCATGGAAGAGAAATCGAATAGAACGGAGCTCGATAGATCGCTTTTCAGCGTATGCCTTGAAGACCTTGTTGAAGTTTGTACTGGGCTTAATTCTGAAGAAAGTTTCGTTCTCGGATTGGTCTTTGATTTTTATGCTCATTACCTGCTTGGGGGTGGTAGGCGTCTCTTCTGGCTTGGGCGCATCAGGAGGAGGACTGCCGCTAGCATTCGACGTTGTCATTCTGTGTTGCGATAGGAAGGAGTGGTATTTATCGATATGTAACTGGGAGCTAATCAGTGTTGCGCCTTTCGTAAGAAGGGACGAGGCTTGCGTTGGTGCAGCTAGCAGATTCCCCCCGTAAGAAGATATGCTGTAGAACAGGTAACGAGGAAAGCAAAGCAGGTGCGAGATCTATTTCGATGAAAGAATGGTTGCTTTCAATGTCCCAAGAGTTCCAGAGCTCGCACGGTGGCAGACTGAACACGATTTGGGAACCTCGTATCTCCGACCTCGCAGGAAGGGTGAATGAGCTATCTGCTTGAGATCTGCGGGATGCGCAGTTCGGAAGATACTCGAAGGATGGCTTTCGCGCGCATGTAGAGGCCAACGGCGAGACCTCGAAGACAAGGCTGCGAGGTGATTGTTGATTGCACAAGTCTCCAGAGACGGAAGTATGTAAGAAGAGAGAGTATACTACCTAGTTCACAAAGGCACCCCCATTATGATCCAATGATCAGAAACTTGAAATGGACGATTGTTTGCCAAAGTTGAGGAAGTCGCAGGTCAAGACGTTGATGAGGAGACGCGACTCGACGCGGCTGACGCGATTTAGCGTGAGTGAAGTGCTCTTGCTTCTTCCTGCACGAAACAATTCCACAACGATAATTCCAATCCGCACGTTCAAGCGTTGACTTTACTGCAATTGTTTACATTTCATCTTGCAGCGCACATCCAATTGTCATCAGAGCTATTCTGTCCAATGCGCCCCCCGAAGTCTCACATACTACGCTCGCCGGTGCCAAGTTGCCACTACGGCAACAAGTTTCTAAATACAGAGTCCTTCGGGTTTGGACAAGTTTGTTCCCTTAGTCGAATACCAGTATATCTTCGTCAGTGAATACAGAGCAAAACAGGGGCAGAACACGCTAGGTCTTCATTGCCTTGCTATCCAGATTGGCCTCTCGGATTTTTCTCACCCAGAGGTCATCAATCCAGTCCTTTCTGATCTTCATTATCTTCAAGCCAATTGGGTTCTGATCGGGCACAGTCTTGAGAGCAAGAAACCTTAATCATGCCAACCTGGCTGCATCAGTCAGATCTCTCTGGAAAGCATCGAGTCAGAGCTCTCTTATGTTCATGATTTTTGCGAGCGCCACTTCGAAATTGTCGCATTACCTGAAGTCTGCTCTTCAATGCTCTTCAAATGAATGGTTTTGTATGAGCGATATCGTGTCGAAGTCGTACGCAGGGCCAGCAAGCCATGTGAAGTTGTCTGGATTGGCTGCTCGAAAGAAACGCTCAGGCGTTGCTATTTGCGTTTGCTCAAGATCCAGGCAGTAAGGTGAAAGAAGTTTCTTTGCATAACCGGACCAGATATTGTGGGTTCCCACCGCATAGCGCTTCTTGTCCCTCGCTGTGTGTATCGGAGTGTCGGCGTCCGATCGTGGGAAGGCCGTCGTACTGAATCTCGGCGTCAAGAGTTCATCGAGCGAAGATGTAACGTTGCCATAATACTCAGCTCTATGTCGAGAGATGGGAACGCGAAACGGTCTGAGGCGTAGTCGCAGACCGTTGACTAAGACCCGGTGATGACCGCAAACTATGTTTTTCCCATATCGGTCGTCGCAGCGGACACTCCTCTTCCTCGAACAAGTCTGAGCTCATGACCACCTTTCGCATTTGCTACCATTGCGCCTTCTTGACGACATCAGTGTAGAGCCTAAGGCATGTCTTGATCCTCATCGTTCGAGATTGAAATCGATTCTGGGCTTGACAAGAACTCATCAGCTTCCTATGCAGATTTAGAACCTTGGTGACCCAAAAGTTGAGCCAACGGTTCACCGATGAGCCCAATGATCGACAGAGGACCGCAAGTGCCATCTCTAAAACACCTATCGTAAAACACGTACCCAATTGAGTTTGACCTGCACCTTTCTGTTACTCTTCCAGTCTCTCGGGTGGTGGCGTGGATGACAGATTTCTGGGTTTTACGCAATACTTCACTGCGGATATCTTCATGTTTGTCAGAATCGGGGGTCCCGAATTCAGTCTTGTGGAGATGTTCTTCCACGCGAGATTTAGGCTACGAGCTGAATTTACCCCAAACCTGGCACATCCATCGCTTCATCACTGTGCAGATTTTCAATATATTTCCTAGTACCCCACTGGTACGCTCGCGTACCGCTTACCTCTAATGCGGGTAGTTGATGGCATTGTCAGTGCATACACGCTTTAGCGAATAGGGGTGCCCGGCATTTGAATCCCAAAGTCCGCGCTATTTCCTGTCTGTAACACAAAGTCGCCAAGCCTTGACAGCGCCTTGGGAGTTCCAGAGCTCTGGGAGATCTTTCTGTCAGTGACGTATCCATACGATGTTTTTCCCGAAAGATCTAAGGGTAGCAGCGACGGCATGAACGCCTGGCGGGGCGAGCTTTGCACTCATGGCTGTGGATGGGATGAAGGCAGCTGTATTTTCGCATATACGAGTGTTATTGCCGAGAATTTCAAAGTCTGAATCCAAACGCTTCACCTTCTCGCAATTGCGAAAACACTCGAAAGTGAATCGCAGCAAAATCTTTTCAGAATGTTGGGCTACACTTCGCACTGTTACGTGTTCATTTGCCACGACTCTGAGTTTTTCAGAACCAAACAGTGCTCTGGTTCGCTGGTACTTTCATGACGGACTGCGCTCTTCCCTAGCATAAGAGAGAAGGTTGTCCCCATCAGTCAATGTTAGGTAAGGAGAGCAGTTGAATAGTTATTTTCGGCTCACCTCATCTCGCCTTGCAATAAGGCCGGGCTGAAACGTTCAGCCTCAAGCGATCTATGTTTCAAAGCCAAAGTGGAAGCCAACGTCCAATAAGGAAGTCGATCTTTTTCAACACGCGTCTGCAGATATTGTTTTGATTCTTCTCATTCGTGTTTCAGAACCATTATGTGAGATACCTCCGTTATGCGGGTCGGCCCTGCTCTCAATTGCGCGATATCTTCTCTTATCTTGCCGCGGTTCAAACTTCGTTGCTGGGAGCTGAATGCCATGGGTCTATGAACGAATCACAATTCGAAGAAGATCAGTAGCGGTGTCATACAGAAAGCTTCTGATGACTTCTGCAGTGAACAGAATCATTGCCACACTAGTCTTCGCAGTTCAATATCTTACTAACATCATTTCTCGTTTTGTGATTTGATGTATCGTACTTCAGTACTACTTCTTACCAGGCAGCTATGTCTTCAATGCTTAAAAAGCGTGTTCCTAAAGTGGAAGTGAAGATTGAGCAGAGGCCCTCTTCAACTTAAAGTTCATATCTGCTTGTCCTTTCAATGTTTGGCGTCTTCGAGCAGTTCACTTGTCCTTATCTTCGACTCAATTGCAGTCTCTCTGCCTCAAATATTGACAGCTTACCTGGTTCCTATCGATCCGCCGTTGCGCCGCCACGTCTCCACAAAATTCAAAGACCTGATGAATAGCAACTCTCCGGGACTAAGCCATGGATCGAAAGCGTCCCAAGATATCTCGCCCCCAACCGGACCTTCCGCAAGCGACACGGTTTTTGAACATGTCTATCCAAGATTTGAAAGTTCCCGGGAAGAAAATGAAGCTCGAGATACGTCAGCCAGGAGAGTCACCACGCGGTACTGGGCTGCGACCACATCCTCCTGATCCTTGTAAGCATGTTCTTCCAGCCCGGGGCTTTTCCCCTATCCTGATTTTGTAGCCGCTAGACTGACTGACCTTGTTTGCCTACATAGTTTTCGGCGTGTGATACTTGTCCACGTATACCGGAGTTGGAGTCATGAAGGTCATGACATGTGCTTGATAGAATGGACTGCGAGTGAGTTGGGAGTTTGGTTTTCTTTTCAGGCGATGTTGAGGATCACATTCATTTGCGGAGATACCAAGGGTTTCTTGCGCTGTTGAGAGTTGTTTTAGCATTTGGAATTTCATAGTAAAGTAAAGAATAGGCCGTGCCTTTCTACCGTTTGCTTGAAGCAACGGTCCCCATCCACTCCTTCAATTATCTTGCGCATATCTCTTTCTCGTTTTTTTAAAACGTTTTCATCGACGTTGAACGTTAAGATTGTTCCTGTCCTCACATTCGTATCAGTCCTGCAATAACTTGTTCTCGTGAGTAATGTCTTTTTGAGATTTGAAATAAGAAAGTCATGCCCTGTTAAGCGCGCTATGCCATGGAAAGGACGTTAAGTGTAACTGAGGCGCGCTTTCCCGAGTCTAATTGTGGATTTCCGTAGCGGATTTCCCATTTCCCTTCTCGGTCTAATCGCTCCCCGACCATCCAAGGCCTTCCACTGGTGGGACGATGAATAAGTCAGCAGTCCCACTGTAGAAGATCTGGCGCAGTCTGCATCTGCAAGCAATACAAGTCATACAAGAACCTGTTCCATGACTGCAAAGAGGAACGTCTGAGTCACATATACGTCAAAAACGGTCCTCAGCATCCCATTCTATTCCCGCTTCAATCTCATCTGACGAGCTTGCACGATAGATAAGTGAGGTTTCGGAAGTCCGGAAGGCTGATGCCCAGACATCTAAGTGGCGAGAGCAAGGATCTGCCACAATTTGTGTAACCTAAGCACTGTTTACTTGGGAGCCCTTGTGTCGATCCTACCAGGCTTAATCCTAAAATTTCCGCAAGGCGTCCAATGATCGAAAGTCAGACTTATGTTGTTTGTATTTACACCACCATACTGCAGTCACGAGGAGACCAATAGCCCTCTCATAAAATGCGAGCGACGTTGGATATTTGGAGAATATGAGGATGCGAGAGAATACCGGTGACAGGTGCGGTATATTTGAGGCCCCCAAGCTCATCTCGTCTCTTTTTAGAATAGAGGCACGAGATCGATCAGGTGCAAAGTCCTGAGGTTTTCACACGCACCGGTTTTGACGAAGTTTACTGAAAATCAAGGTTTCAAGGACACTTATGACCCAAAAAGGGGGCAGGGCTCAGGCACACCTTGTTCCTATCTGTGCCGCACCGCAAGGCAGTCCTTCATCGGACGTGGTCACGCCTTTCCCCAACAAGCGATACCTCGAGTTTCCGGCGGCAAATCAGCCTCATGGGAATGGAACACTCACGCTGTGAATTCCGCAGGGCTCCGTACGTGGGGTTTCATGTGCCCTCGGTGGGATTGGATGGATAAGGCGCGGTGTACAGTACTCTTGTCATCTTTCTTTATCAGGCATATGGAGTTATGATATGCTGTGCAGGCTCAGTGTGAAAGCCACGTTCTGGGTGATGCTTAGCACTGCCGGGTTTACGATGCAGCCAATCGGTTATTTGTCGTATGGCTTGCCTTTTCCATCGCATCAATTCGCTATAATTCGCTATCGCATATTTATCCTATCAATTACGATAAAGCGATTTAAGCTACGGAGACGAGATCGTGGAGCTGGGATCTGTTGGCGCAAGCGCCGATGGGCCGGGGGGTTGAGGCTGGAGTGGTCTTGGACGATATCCTCTACTCAGCGCCAGTGAGAAGAAGTTGCACAGGCAAGGCAGCACGCCGTTCTTTTAGCAGCCTGATTTAAATCGGGGTCGGGAAAAGCTGGAGCACTGTTGGAATGCGCTTGAGTACTGCGGCAGTTTGCCGCCGTGCAGGTGCAGCTGCTATCGTAGTAGGTTGGTTTCTTTTGTCAAATGGTCAAGTCGACGAAGCGAATGACTGTCTATGTTTCTTCAGATGTAAGACTTTCTGGTATATATTATGGGTGCCGGAACACTAGGTGGAGGGCATCCATCTTCCAGTCAGCCAGCTCATTCACCAATCGACATTAAGTGCTCAGTTGTTCTTCCCTTGAGGACACTCCGTCGTTTACAGTCCTTGATTTCTCACTCTCGCTGCCGCCTTCATCAAGTCCATCAAGTTTCTCCACATATAATCGAGTTCGAGCTCTCTTTGTTTCTTTTGTCATTTCGTTCAGCAATTATTTCAAATAGCTTATACCACCCTCAAACCATAACCCCACCACACCTACTCACTTCCGGTGGCAAAGTTTTCCCACCATGCCTTCGAATAATCCCAACCCCCAGCCAAAGCCCAACCCACCAGATCCATGTAAGCCTATTCCTGATCCCAAAAAGTACTTTAAGTGGGGTTGCTGACTTTGTTTTAGTTTACGGGCAATCCAATTGAGCTTACTAGTTCACGCGAAGGAATGGGAGTTTCAGGGACAACAATCTTCAACGAAGTCAATTTTAGCGAGAAAGCATAGCGAGGGGCAATATTTCACGGCGAGGGCTACAGTACTCGGGAAACATGGGATGATTAGCATTGGTTCGGATAATTTGCACGACGCGGAGGGCCACGTGGGAGTTCTTGGGATTGCGCATACTGCATGGAAGGATTTCTTGGGAAAGGATGGATAGATTCGGGAATGGCGCACGTCAGTCGGTTTTTTGGGGCATGCATTTTCATGGAGCGACTTTATGAGGAGGATTGTAATGGGAAATACGTTCGCGGTTGTCGCGCGCGCGAGCGTTTGGGTGGCAAACTTGTCTCTCCCTTTTTGTTTAGTTCTAGCAATTTACAACACTGCTGGCACAGTTTGATTAGAATTTGTGGCTTAACCCATTTTTTACGGCATTCTGGCATGAGGCAAAGATATGATCGTTGATTCCAACACGAGTTAGTGGTGGCGAATGTTGGGAAAGGTATGTTTGAAATCTCGAACTGGTCAATCAGATAAACAACAGTTTACCTCTTGCAGATACTGGCACGCAGGCGGCGTACGTTCCTACTGTGCCGGATCCCTAAGCGCGAGCTTGTGATAAGTGTGGGAACTGTGCCATCCACGTCAGCTTTATATCTGTACACGGCAGCAACAGCAGCAGCAGCAGCAGGGAAACGAGAAGGGATAAAAGAAGGACTTACTCACCCACCAACATCGTATGTTTTGCCACCACCAACCTAAAATTCTTCAGCCCGTTGTTGGGAGGAGGATCCTTTACCAACTGCATCTGAGATATACTTACTTCCCCGCTTTCCCGTATCAGCGGTCCAATGGCTTGATAGGATGTCTGTTCTCTTTACTGGGCCAAGATCAGCGTCAAGTCTGAGCCTTGGACTGGGAGGGCCGCATCCAGGCATATGGCGTAGTCTCGGGAAAGCTAGCAGCGTAAAGGTACCGCCATGATGGTACCTTGTGCTGGGAAGATACTTCGCCAGCTGCTGTTGGACAGTGGAAGGAAACTAGTGTGAATTCGTCCGCCGAGATGGTCCGATGGATACCACGGACAGGAGAGGAGGTAGTACGCCATCAGGTTGATTCAAGATGTTGGTGACGAGGAAAGGCTAACGTAAAATCAGCTGAATGTGCAATCATGCGGGCATGAGGCCTCGCTACCAGATCTGCAGAATCTTTAGCATAGCCACGCGCTGCATACTCACTTGGAGGAGTCACAGTGACGTTGTCGATAATAGGTATACAGCTTGCGGATACAGGTTCGGTGAACTCGGGGCATTGTTCGGTGATATTGCAGGCTGAAGATTCCAAGTTCGCGTACATTTCAGCTCGGATGCTTCGGTATTCCGACATTCTGCGAATTAGCGATGGAAGCCCAGGACGAATCATCGTGGGTGACACAGGCTAGTCACTTATATCAATAAGATCCGTGACGATGAGTCTGCCTTTGTAGCTACCAATAAGCTATAAAGATGGAATTAGCCGAATCGCCAAGGACCGTCATACGTTCGGAACTACCTCCAAAGGCTTTCATATTACCTCATAGCCATTCGACGGCAAGACTCCAGTTTAAAACTCCTAAGATTCTATTTCCTGTGCTAGGGGACTTCGGAAAGCCGAGCTTTTTCACTCGATAACTATTGAGGATAGTAAAGATATTATTCATGTAAAGGAGAAAGGTTTACTCACTCGAGACTGACGGACACCATGTCCTTTTATGTCGCGACGAACTCGACCGACTCCACTGTGCTCAGGCAAACCATTGGCTTCACTAGGAAACCCGCCTCAATACAGGAAGACCATCAGCGGAAGGGACATACTCAACTTCGCTAACTCCACCGAGGTACATTACCGACCCTTGGTTACCGCTACAGTACTGAACTTCGAATCGACCTACAGTATTGATGGACACCATATCTTCTGATTTCGCCATCCCCGTTGGCCTGGTATTGTATGATTGCCGTAAGAATTGGAATATGAGATAATTGTTTTAGAGCCTGTATGACGATACAAGTGAGAAAAGTAAGATATCTCGAGATTCGGGAATATAAAGGACTTCACTTCTTTCGAACACTATTTCATTTTTCAAACTTCTGTTTTCAGTCTATATATATTGTCCCACCAACGCTGGAATATTATTCTCTTATCCCAAAGCTGACGATTATCCGAAAACACCTAAGGAACAAGTTGTAATAAATTTCTGGCCAAGAAGTATTATGCACTGCAAATGGTTGTAGTAGTGCAAAGCGATGACCATCGTTTCTAAGAGGCGTTGTGCTTGGGGAATTCTGAGATACACGGCAGTGAGAGCGGATGTGATCTTCACGGTTGGTAGGTACTTGTTGCGCGTGGGTTGGTAAAGAGAGGGTGAGGATATGCGCGAAACTTGCAAAACGCGCAAAACGATTTCAGAATGTGACTTGAAACAAAAGTCTTAGATGGTGCCACAAGCACATGAAGAACAGTGAATTTGAAAAGAAAAGTGAATATTAATAGAAGAAATGGATGTAGCAGTGAGGCATAAAATCGTTCATTTCAGCAAATTTACACTATACAAAACCCAATAATTAATGAGAATAGCGACAAGCGATTCATGATCACATATGGAAACTCTCGTTAAAGAAGGTCATCGAGTTTTACGTGGAGATCTGGACTTTTGACTCAGGGGCAAGAAGATTCTTCCGAAAATAAAAGCAAAGATATTTTGCACACTCAAAGACTATGCCTTTTCATGAAATGACTAGCATACAATGACTTGATCAACGAAAACGGACCGAGCAGTCTTTCGAATAGATGCCACAGTCCCTTGATTTAAAAGTACTCTACCCCAACATTCAGAGATAACGGATTTAGATAACATATACATTATATATATTCTCTCTCAAATAGTATACTCCTACAAGCGCCGCCATATTTTTGTGCTCGGAACCAAGTTCTACACCAACGAACAGACGAAAGACTCAACAAAGACTCCAAATCGAATTCTATTCATTCATTACATCATGACCTCCCTCTGCTCCCCTCGCTCACACACCAGAATCATACTGATCAGGTTCATTCGAATTCGTATACTTCATCCAGTTGGTGCAAGTCTGCGACATAATCGACGGCAAATTCGTCTCCGTCTTAATCTGCCCAGGCAACTCCATCATATTCGCATACAAGCCGCCCGACACGTGCCACGCGATATGGCAATGGAACGGCCAGATCCCCGGATTATCAAGCGAGTACTGCATCACGAAATGTCCGTTCGCGCGCACGAGCTGCGTGTCTCGACGTTGGGGGTTAGACGGATTGACAATGGAAGTCCCGTCCCAGTTTCCAGACCCTTCGTGGAGGATCTGCATGTTGTGGCCGTGGATGTGCATGGGGTGGGACGCGGGGGTCGGGTTGTTGACCACGATGCGGACGGTGGAGTTGGTGCCGAAGTTCTGGACGTTGGCCTCGGGGTCGAAGGTCAGGTTTCCGGACTCGGCTTGCAGAAGGACGGGAGCGTTGTAGTCGGCGCGGAAACTGACGCCGCCGAGGGTCCAGAGGAAGGAGCCGGTCGAGTTGACGTAGTAGTTGATGTCGAGGTTCTGCGTTGAGGAGGGGGTAGCGGCGTTCAGGGGGAACATGGGGACGGTGAGGGAGAGGTCGTCGTTGGCGCAGGTTCCGGGGTCCGGGATGTTCCAGGCTTGGGATGTGGGCGCTTTGGAAGTGTCTGCGTTGGTGTAGTAGATGGCTGCCAGTGCGTTTGGCTGGTTGGCTTCGCTACAGAGGGTAGAGATGTTGGAGCGCATCCAGAAAGCGGAAGTGGAAGTGCCAGCGTTGGCTGTGACCAGGACGTCAGTTCGTTGACCAATGCCAAGAGTCACGACCTGAGTAGTGTAAGGTTGCTATTAAAGTCAGCTTTGGGAAATAGTCTTCACATGCCAAGAATACTCACGACAGGAACATAGTCATTGGCAATGACGGTCATGTTGTGTCCATCAATACTGAATCTTTGCAAACCAGCAGAGCCAGCATTGATCAATCTTAATCTGTGTGTCTTGCCAGTAGTAAACTTGAATCTAGAAAGACCTGCGTTGCTGTTGCACGGCGTATTATCACCAGCGGCCTTGGTAGAGCAGTTGAAGTCCATCTTGCCGTTGATCAGGTTGTTGTCAGAATTGGGTCTTGGGTTTCCATTAGACTTCATAACCTCCTCCACGATCTGTAGGTACGGAGTGTGATACCAATCCTGGAGGAAGACTGGTCCAAGATCGATATCATAGTTGAAGTTTTCGTGAGGCCCATGGATAATCATTGGTCCCAAAAGTCCACCTAGAAGATGGTGAGTAAAAATAAAGGCAATAATTGTCCATGTGACTTACCAGAATATTGAGCAGAGTAGTGGGAATGATACCTGCGCGACGAATTAGTACTCCAGAAAGACCTCGTAGAAAGCGCAGAAACCATTCATGCGGATTTACTTACCATGAAGTGCCATACAGAGAGGCTTTGAAAGTATAAGTGAACGATGATCCAGGAGCAATAGGGCATTGTGACACTGCTGGAACTCCATCGGCATACTCGGTCCCTTTCTGAAGCATACCATGCCAATGGAAAGTTGTTCCTTCAGTAGGGCCAGTGATCTGGTTGTGGACCGTGACCTGAATCGTATCTCCCCAATTGGCTTCAATCTGAGGGCCAGGGAACGCTCCATTGACCAGGAGGACACTGACTTGGTAGCCATCAGGCGCGATGGTACCTCTAGTGACCGTGAAGTCGTAATTTCGTGTGACCCCCGTGTTGGGAGCAGAAGTGTAGGGGTTGCTGCCAGCTGCAGTGAGAGTACCCCATGGGAACCCAGCTGGGAGTGGGTTGTTGGTAAGGAACTGTGGAAACACTGGTGCTTGTAAAGTTCCCCATACGCTCGCACTAATCGAAGGTTAGTATGTTGTGTTTATGATTCTCGTAGGACAACGATATCGTGTGATGTTGTCCGACTTGAGATCTTGCAAGAGAGGACTGACCCGTTTGTTTGTTGCTGAGTCAAAGACCCGATGATGCCAAGCAGCCCACTGACTATACTACCGAGAAGAGACATTATGAATTAAGAGGCCCAATGGAAATGTCAAACGAGTGACTGAATCGTGACCAACTTTGGCTGACGAGCAAGATTGAGAATGAATGAGCAGAAATGGAGAGTACTTATAGAGCTGTCTCTCCCTAAGTGACGGTCAAGCTCGACCTCCACCTTCGCAAAGACCAACTTTTCTCGACAAGGTTCAATAAGACCTAGCTCAGCATGGGCTTGTCAAAATCCCCTGGTATGGATGGGTCACAGACTGCTTTCCGGCGCCATATCCCAGAATGGCCTGCTAGTAAAAAGCTTGAGAAGCGGGTTAGAAGGGAGGACCTCCACGCCGTACGCTTGAGCTCATCGTATTGACAAGCCAACATTGAAGATGGGGAGACTCCGTGGCAAAGCTTGAGCAAAAGTGGAAACGACAACGAAGACGGCGCCCAACCACAGAGTACGGACGTCAGACAAGGACAGAAGGGACTGTATAGTTATCCAGATCTGCACATCAATGATGAGGCTGAGACTCCAATGTTCAGACGGAACTAGAAGCGATTGGTTGAATGTTTCCCAACTAGGCAATAGGGGATGGGAAGTCCTTTTTTGGATTGGAGATGCAGTCATCCGATGCAGGTCGAAGAACGAAAGCTCTGAGCTTTCTGTTTCCGTAGCGTCTGCATGGGCATGATAGAGGAACAACACAGGATGATCCCTCCAACAAATGACTATTTCGGGTCAAAGTTTTGGAGGTCTGTGTTCCGTCTATCCCGCGTGCTCGGCCACTAGAACGCCAAGGCGCACCATCATCACCACCAGATCGGAAAGATATGCAGTACCCCTTGGCTTCCCCTCGTACACAGCGATAATACCTGCAATTTGCGAATGTTGGGAAAAACGCTCAAACAAGTGAGATTCAAAGGCACCCCGAAAATTCCATAGGGAACGGATTGGCAGAGAAATTCCCCCTGAGAGGTATATCTGCAGGTACTATCAGTCAGCCGCAGCGGAGGCGTTTTCGGAATTTGCCCAGATCGATATGTTGGAAGAACAACTGTCGAAGATGGAGAAGGCCCCCATAAGAAAGAAAATGGCTCATGCATAGCAGATGTCGTATTGTTATGCACGATTCGGTGTTGCAAGATGTTAGTGTATATACTAACTCGCTGCAGGGCAAAGATGTTGTCGCTTGCTTGCTTAAGTGGGAATTTTAGAGTTAGATCCATGCATAGATCTCCCGCTTTGTCGGAAAGACGGCGCTAGATGTCCAATGGCAAGAAGGGGCTCAGTATAGCCTCGTGAGACTCCGTTGGGGACGTCCGTGACAGTCCGAATGCAACATAGAAAGATGAGCTAGAAGACGACTTTGAAGCAGTCGCTCCCTTCGTCCCATCTATCAGTCAATGCAGCGTTTCACCTGTTCGCTCAACAATCGTCATGGACTGAAATTTGAAGTCTTTTAGCTGAATACCATCATGTCGACAATCCGAGAGTACTTGACCGCCGCCGCATTGATCGCGAAGAGGCAGAGTCTGCCCTGAATCCGTCTTTTCTTCACCAAGCCTTGTGGAAGGATGAGAGGAGTGCTCAGTGGGTAGTGCTTATCTGATGTGCCGTGTACGAGGAGCCAGGACGAAACGAGGAAAGCTGGGGAAATGCTAGTGGCGGTGGCTCACGACTCGGGATAATCTTCTTGCGAGTCAGAGAAGATTTCAAGACAGGAGTCAAGACTGGCCAGCGAGTAGCGATACGTGCAAGTTGAGCCGGCAGACCTGCAAGGAACCTCTGCTGACGAGTACATCTGCAGTCCTACTCGATATCGAAAATGGCTGCATCAAATGCACCGTGCCGATGGAAATATTTTGGGTTCTTGCATACAGAGAATGCAGAGGAGATTGATGGCTGCAGGAAGGACTGAAGAATGCGGAATGATGGTCTGCACGCTCTGGGCTTCTCCAACTCACGCCTCTGCCTGCTGTGCCTTGCAGCCTCCGATGTTGTCAAACCGCGATTGTAAAGTTAGTTATGCTGAGGACAAGCGAGTGTCAAGGAGCTCTTCCCGAGGCTGTATGGTCAAATTCAGCGAAAGGGGGGAAAAAACCGACACTGTAGGAAGTTGCTATTTTTTGTTATAAGGTTAGTGTTTGCTGCAATATCAGTGTGATCAATCGTGGCTTTCGAGCTATTGTAGTCGAGTGTGAAAAAGAATGGCCGAGTGCGGCACAAGGAGCGAGAACAGGGCCAAATTCCATCGACCTCTTTACACTCAGCCGCAAGGATTGAAGGCAAGCCTTTTTGTTTCAAAGAATCGTTCCGTGATCTCAATGTTGTCCCGAAAAAAAAAAGCTCCTGAACCTTATTTTCGTCCCTACATGTGGGCGCACAAGAATGTGACTCCTCATGATGTTGTTTCTGCAGCGCGTTTTCTGTTGCACGTCTAGCATTGACGCATCTTGGTGGATACTGCGGCTCAATCAATAGATGAGAAAGGCGAGAAGATTGATTCGACAATTTGGTAGATGTGGTGTCACAACAGGGTCCGCTTATGTAGGAGTCGTCAAGCAGGTCCTTGTCACTTGTTTGAGTTCTTGGCAGGGGCCGAGAAGGCGGCAACGGGATAAAAGAACCCTACGGAAACTCTATGTCGCCAGATCTGCTATCTAACCGTGCATGCAGGAGATTATCGATATCTTGCAGGATTTTCGCGTCGCCGAAGGTATACTATGGGGTGAGTAAGAGCGGTCAGAAATATCCTCAACTTGCATCGTTAGTGAATGAAGCGCCTTCGAAAGAGATGTTGAGAGTGTTCACACACGACTGCGTGCAGAGCGGAGTACATGCATGTACCAATACATAGACGTTGTCAGGTCTCTGCTCGATCATAGATGGTGAGAGGGCCGGCCTCTTACCTCTACGTTTGAGTAGCTTTTGAAGACACTAGGCGCCTGCAATGCATGGTAGACCTCTCTCCACTTGAGTGAGGAATCTGGATTCATGAGAAAGGAGCTGACCAACCACAGGCCATGAACTGCTGAGACCATCTAACACTTTTGATATTCGATGTTGCGATGCTAACTGTGGTGAGAGCTTGCAAAAGAGAACCAGGTGACAGCTACCCCAGACTGAAGGCACGGCGACGACGAAAGCAGCCCAAAGAGAAGTTCCAAATCCAGAGAACAAAATCAATAAAACGCTGTCTGTGTGAGAGCACACGAAAAAGTATATATATGGCTGACGTGGAGGTTGAAAATGGAGAAGGAGAATGTTGGGTATAATTGGATGATATTTTGGTACAAAGCTCAAAAGCTCCACACATCGACAACCCATAGAACACAATAGGAGCTGCGAGTCGTGCTTGTGTGCCAGATGGATCATGATAGTTGATCGCCATCCAAGTTCTCCCCCCAATATATAATAACGCCATTGTGCCGGAATGAAGCACCATTCATTGTTTTCCTATTTCGTTGTACATTGCTTATTCTTTCGACGAAGGTTGGTATTGTCGCGGCATAATAATCGGTCTTCGCCGTGAACGAGCAAAAGCTTCTGCGGCTTGCTGGGAAATTGTATCTGATCGGATCATACTTCCAATTGACATGAAAAATCTGAGCAAGTCAGCATAAGTGTAGGAATATGGCAAGACCAAAAACCAACCCAAAAGTTGCACCAGAACCCATCATGTATTGTCCCAATGTTCTCATGACCCCATTAGGTCCAGCTCCGTATCGCATGATGTTGACGGAACCTGGGCAGACGCTCAACACAAGTGGACTGAACTTGACAGTCAAGGGAACGTACCGAATATGAAACCAATGATAACACCAACCGCTAGAACGAAATCAGCTAATGGATAAACACTTTGAGGAATGATCACTTACTGCCACCCATCATAGCCCCCATCTTGACTGTCGCCTTTGTTAGCTATTGCCCTTGAGCAGACTTCTCGCCAGCTATGCTTCTCCTTTCAACAATAGCAAACTTACACTTGTCAAAGGCCGAGGGCCCGGCCAAACCTCCTCCTACTGGTACAGGCATGTTGAGTATCTTTTGTAGGCGATTGAAAAGGTTGACTGTGGAGAAAAGATCTGGTGATGGCAGTTTCCAAACAGCATCAATTTTGGCTATGGCACCGGAGCTTGCCGCCACCTTGGACACTCGGGCCACTTTCTCCACAGCCTCATCGCACGTGATGTGCCTTCAAAGAGCTCAGCATCAAGCAAAACTCTTCAGATCACCGAGATTTGCGAATGGCAGACGTGTGTATACCCAAAAGTACCTCTGAGACTCCATGTCTTCGTGCTGTTGCATCTGAGTCCGGTTGAGCGCGTGCCCAGTCTGAGCTCGTTATCTGATTCGCTTGTGGTGAGACGGGATCTCCAAACTTTCGAATTTGGCAACATCACCTCCCAAAAGCATCGCTTTCACCACAAACAATTGGCTTTGATACCCGGCACAACGCATATGTAAGTCTTCTCTGCCATCTGATATATGTAGCGGCCCTTGCAGACTTCAGATCGATGTCTTGGAGGGCGAGTGGGCTCTCGACGCACCATCGTCATGGCGCTAAAATTCCAGGAAAACAGCTGACAGTCGATACCAACAGAGCCAGACGCGGTATCACCTACCTCTATCCTTCCTCAGAGACTAGCAAAAGCTGTAGACCATACATCGCACTGACTGCCGGGAGCTCGAAGTGAAGCGCCATCGAGACGTTGTGCAGAGGTGCATGGGGGAGTTCCGAATCAGAAGCATTCCAACCATATCATCGACACGGTCATCAGCAACACCCCCTCTACCTAGAAGTCACCTTCAATACCTCGCAGATGACGGCTGTTGCAAATCCACCGAGCTTCCAACAGACTAGCAGGTCAGCATGGAGTGCTAATGTCAGTCAAGGAGGATTGAATTCTATGAATGCCGACGAAGTCGCCCGAATGTTCATGCCTCGGAAAAGCGCACAACGCGCCAACTCTTCTTCGTCCATAGCTTCAACATCATCCACATCGTCGACCGCTACAATATCACCGCAAGTCAATGGTGTGCCTATGGCGGCGTCCGGCGATCTAAGCCAAGCTTGGGGGACCGCTGCAGCAAGGAAGAAGACACAAAGGATAGGTCCCTGGCCGGCAAGCAAAGCAGAAGCGGTGTCCGGAATCACTACAACACGGCCACAATCAATGTTGACAACAAATGGTGGATCTACCCCTTCATCACTGGCCTCGGCTCAACCCGCGCCTGTTGTACCCTCGCAACATCTCCTTCAAAGTCCATCACAACAAATGAACGGTAGCCGACCAGCTGCGCAGCCTGTTGGAGAGGGGAATCCTGTACTATATCTCTTGTCCATGAATGGAACCTTCGAAAGGAAAACGATATCGGTGCCTTTCTATCCTGATAGCTTGAGAATAGGACGGCAGACAAATGCGAAAACAGTACCTACACCTGCAAATGGGTTTTTCGACTCCAAAGTCTTGTCCAGACAGCATGCGGAGATATGGGCCGATCGACAAGGCAAGGTCTGGATACGAGATGTCAAGTCTTCCAATGGTACTTTTGTCAACGGTTCTCGATTATCAGCCGAAAACAGAGACTCTGAACCCCATGAGCTGCAAACTCAAGACCATTTGGAGCTGGGAATCGACATCGTCAGCGAGGATCAGAAGACTGTGGTACATCACAAAGTTGCAGCCAAAGTCGAGCATGCAGGATTTCTAGGATCGTCTAATAATGTGTTAGAGATGAATTTTGGTGATCTGGACCCAGCAAATGGGGCAATGATGTTACCATCACAAGGGCCTATGCAGATGCGGGGGAGGTCCAGTAGCCAAGGTTCAGTTGGAAGCAATGGTCGGCTTGGACCTCCTGCCAGCGTGGCCGGCAGCCAAATGAGTGGGATAAGCCAACAGAGGCCGATGAATTTCTGGTTAACACCAGTCACGACAGAGCAGATCGTCAAACGACTTACGGTAAGCAATGACTGGATGGTTGGTCTACTAAGCTGACTGGTTTTAGAATGAAATGAGAGCTGCACGTTTACAGACGAACGATCTAGGCCGAGCAGATGTCTTCTTCGGTTCCTTGTTGTCCAAGGATGATATTAGAGAGAATGAAAAGTCAACGGGTGAACAGGGCAAGGGTGCAATGGTCAATGGTGGTTCTCTGCCATTTCGGACGGATTCGAAACCTCGATTCTCAGATCCTCCAGCACCACCTCCTCAACAACCGCTCCCAGAGAAGCCAGATGTTGCACGATCCCATGCGTTCGAACCATCCTCTCCTTCGTTGAAGCGGTCGAATACCGAGCGTCCAAAGTCTGTTCCAGCCGTGTCTCCTGTTCGACAAGAACCCACGAGTCAGATCATCACACTCGTAGAAGCTTTAGCATCCGCCAAGAAAGAGATAGATGTACAAGGAGCGCGATTACGAGATCTGGAAGAGATGCTTCAGAAAGAAAGGCATGCACGAGAAATGGCAGAAGAGCTGGCTAAGCGTTTAGAACTTCAAACAGAAGCAAAGACGAACGGAGAAGCAAAGGGGGACACTGAAGGCTCGGTCATAGAGGAGGCTTTTGAACCACCCACAGAATCTGCTGAGTTGCCCGAGCAGCCTGCATCCGGGACAAGCTCGAAGGATGTTGTAGACCCAACAGTGATCAGTGAATCGACCACTCTCTTGGAGAAGAAGCTCGAATCGATGTTGGTGGAGATGCAAGGGCTACGCGACGATATGGAGTCGTTTAAACGACGAGCCGAGACAGCCGAGACGGAAAGAGACGCTGACCGAAAGTCCTTGGCCGAAATGGTGGAGAAAATTCGATCTGAGGAGTCTGCAAGACGGTCATCATCAACTGAACGAGCTCGTTTGCCTTCTGCAACAGAACTCAAAGCACTTTCCGTCAATGGGGTGACCGACGCACTGAAAGTTGTCGTTAATTCGGCAAAGGAAGGTCTGTCCAACGGAAGTGCTACTATCTCTGCCGATGGTAATCAGGAGCCGGGTCAATCAGCTGTTGGCACCCTTGCCAGACCTCCTGGTAGTCGCGATCTTGTGCTTTACAATACCTCACCTTATGCTTCAATGCTTGGCGTTGTTCTTATCGGGATGGGTTTAATGGCGTATCTGAATGGGTGGCAACCACCAAAGGTTGACCGGTAGACTGTTGGGCAAAGCATCCGTTCTTGATATACACGCGCGAAGGCCATGGAGGCTGCACATAATCTCCTTTGTTCTTTCCTTTTTACGATGTAGCTGTGCATGGGGCGTTCTGGCGGGCGATGCTGTGTGCTATGCATACCGGTTGGGTTTCGGGACTAGCATATTGATCACTCGGTCGTCCCTTTTCTTTTCTCCGGCGGTACGAGTGACGATGAGACGCGACGAGGCTGCATCAGAAATCTTCTTGAGTACGCTTGAGTAGATACATTCGTGTTAAATTATGTTTCTATGGAATGGATGGATTCAAACTTGCTGCTCAACGGGGCTTCAAAGCCCCATCGCCTCGCCATCTAACAACGTGATCCTAGCATCTATACATTACTGTACTACTTTCTTACTTCAGATATACGTTTAAGGGTCAGCCGCCGTCGACGCAGCCTTATCTCTCGCCTTGTTGTTAGAAGCCGGTACTATCAGGATCCACTCCTATTCATCCAGCACAACCTTCCAGAAAGGCTCAAGAATGCATCTGGCTGTCTACTTTGGGACCCTGCGCTCTGCCTTATCGTCAACCCTCCAGCCGGGGGATATGTTCCAGAAGCCATCGAAGCTCCGAAAATCCTAGAAATGGGAGATGGCTGGTGTTCCTGCATGCCCAATGGACCATCACGTGGACCAAGCTTTGGCATTGACTCCAATTTTGTTGCCGGCGTTCCTGGACCAGTATCTCCATTTGGACACCGCACAACCCCGCGATAGGCCAATCGTGACAGGGGCAGCAAATTACCAATAGATGACAGCAGCCAGCCTCCTCACGATGCCGTCACAAGCTGCAAGCCGAGGCGACAACGTCCACGATCCATCACAGATCTCTCAACTGCCACATCCGTCGACCCTCGCCGGCACTCGCGAAGGATCAAAAAGCTCAAGAGGACGACGAATGCGCTCTCCCATCTACGCTCAATGGAGGCAATGATGCGCCAATTCCCCGTGAAGGGGCTGGGAAAAGAAGAGAAGTCCCAGAGTCTTCACGACGATATCTCAAGCTCGTCACCAGCGACCGACGGCTACGTTGATGGCCATTTCGATACTGTCGATGTCTGTACCACGCAATTATGGTTCCCAGCTCAGCTCAATTCTTGGAACGGATTTCTGGATTGGTCGCATGATGGCTCGATGCTGGTCAATGAGACTTGGCCTTACCAAGATGCATCTGACACTGGAACGGCAGACGTTTGGACACCCGGATTCACAGATTGTAGAACCGACAGCAGCGTCAGTTTAGACTCACAGTCCTTCGATCACATATCCTCCCACGGACTCTCGAATCATGGCAGGACAGAGTACCCAGGCCCTCCTCAAATTCAGTCACCATCTATGGGCAATCAACATATGTATCTTCCCCCGAGTAATTTGCCTATCTTGGAGAAATCAAGGTACCCGAGTAACTCGCCATACAATGCAGATAATTTACATAGGCCTCAAGATTCGGATTGGATGGGCTTCAGTCCGAGGACAGCCGCTTCTGTCACGTCGCATCCCACTTCAGATGTCAAGCCAAGGCTCACCTTATCGACAACATTACCAGCAAATGTACCTCTTCAATGGTCAATGAGCAATCAGAATACTCCTGTGACACCGGGCTTGAACAAAGAGTCAGCTGCGCCAATCCCAAAAAGGAAACACGTATCTCCAGGACCTCCTCCGGCAAAGAAGAGTCGCCAGGTAACATCACAGACAGAACTCGCCGAATACGTTGGTGTGTTTGAGAATGCTCCTGGTGCATTGACTACAGTGAAGAAGCGCAAGAAGCTCGATGGTGCTGTGAGAAAGGCGGCACAGGATGTGAGGAAAGCTGGAGCATGTCATCAGTGTCGCTTTCGTAAGAGAACTGTAAGTTTGAGTTAAAGAAAGTTGAAGCGAACCAGGTGCTGATGGCATTTTAGTGTTCTATAGGCACGCCTTGTACATCTTGCTTGAAGAATGGACGTGGTCTTCATGATCTCAAATGTCAGCGAGAGAGTCCATTCATCGGGAAGTCGATACATCCATGTAAGAAAATTGTATTGATGGATTTTCTTTGACTGACTGTGGGTACAGATTTTGAACATTCGTCTACCAAACGTGTCTTATCCTTCGATATCTTGGTTCCATTGCTGCCAATACAAAGTTCTGGTGCTTGCTATGTGACAATTGATGGCATCGAGAAAATTTCTCACACGATCAAGCTTCGGGCTTATGCAAAGTCCCTTGATAGTTTCGGTGCGGCTGATAGAGCTGCAATCCGAAAGACCGAGATCCCAAATAACCAGATTACAGACACGGATGGCGAAAGCCCTGAAATTTTAATTTTGGAGGATCACGAGGCATTGGGCACTCAAGTCGAGCAGTGGGCAGTTGAGTATGCGTCGAAATTTGTCCATGCTGCTGGTCCGAAGTTCTATCCGACCACAGCTGCGGTGATACTAGGAACTGCTTATCTGAAGAAAGGCTTGCCTGAAGTAAGCTTGTAACTCCAGACTGATGACAATCGACTGACCACTGAAATACAGTCTGAACTTGTTGCAGCGATGCTTCGAGCAGCGTCCATTGCCTTTGTACTCCGTGCTGGCGTTAAATATAAGGCTTCCGGCAACCAGTCCACTTCTCAATATCGCACCATCGAAGCCTCAATTGATACGATTCTCTATCAACGTCTAAAGCTGGCCGAGAAAGACCTCTACAAGATGCTGCAACGAATCGTCTTCCGCTCGCTAGGGTATATTGCACGAGAGCACATTTACCCTGTAGCTCTTGTATTCTGGCAGCTGCTTCGAATGCTTTGTCTCAGCAGTAGCCATCTGTCAAACATTTATTCCAGGTTCAAGACTATACGTAAGTTTGCTGCCAAAACTAATATCCTCAAGACTAAATATCTCATAGCATCTGAACATGCGTCGTTCCAATTCAATGCCCTCAAACTCGTCCTCTCAACCCACTTCGCACTTTTTCGTTCCTCCAATCCCCTGCTTCTCGATTTCAACGACAAACCCAATCAAGACTTGCTAGCTGGCGACGAGGAATTAATTGACTTGGCCATGAAGATGCGGAAAGTGGTGCTGGATTTCAGAGAGAAGGGCGTCAGGGACATGAAAGGAAGTATCGCCTATCGTAAGGAGCACTTCGATTTATTCAGGAAGGTGTATGATGGATTGTAACATGGCATGGCGTTACTCAGCGGTATCTATCTAGTACAAAGTGCGTTAATTTAACCCTTCAACAACCTGAATCACCCTGATCACCTCCCTCCCTTCCTCCCCCTTCCCAGATAATGCAAAGTTGTCAAAAGAACATTTGGTGTTGACAACTTCCCAAATTCCCATCAACGTGGTTTGTTGCACATCGCTACCTGCCGGTCATTGTCTCGTATCACGCTGCATGCATCACCACTCGTCCACGTGACGGGGTCTCCTTTTGGGCCGCCTGAACTAGGTCAATTTCTATTTATACACACACACACACGCCCTTCTGAATCCGCTTACCGAGAGCCCTTATCTCACGTCAGCAAAACCGGTTCTTCTAAATAAAGATTCCAGGCCAAGAAACAAAGTAGGGCTGAAACGGCCCCACCTTCACTCTTTCTGGGAGGAGGGAGTCTAGAAAGGGGGAACGAATGCTTGATTGGGGCAAAGTGGCAAAGCATCAGGGGGCATCTATGGGTTACTAAGTAGGTATCCAACAACACGGTTTCGAGTCCCAAGCCGCCGTTCCTGGCGCTTAGATTGTACATCTCCCGTCACTGGGCCGCCATTTGGGTCAGAATTGGGCAGCAGACGCGGCGACGACTTGTAACATCACAACAACTCTCCAAAGTAAACTCTCCTCTCAAGAGTTTCAGACGCAAAGAAAAGGAGTCTTCTTGTTTCTATTTCCATCCCGAGAGGAGAGGCACAGGGAAATGATTGGCAAGCACAGGATCAGAATGCCAAATTTGCCGCGTGGAGTGGGGGCAGAAACTGGTCGTGAGCCTAGGGGGTATGAGTCTTTAACGGAAAGCATGGCCTGTCTTCTGATAGAGCTGCCCTGGAAATCTTGTTTCGGGTCTATCGTTGTCCAGCTGAACGACGGTGACCAGGAGCAGCAGCTGTCTAGGCGACAAGGCAGCTTGGGTGGCCACGCTACCTACCTAATCAAAAGGGCAAAATGGAAACTTCTGGGTATATCTGGAGGCTTCTGTCATTCTTCCTTCTAGAACTGAAAATTTGTGTTTGATTTCGCCATGCAATTACTACTGATACTTTCGAAATTTCATACTTTGCTGTTTCGATACGGCTTCGTACTTTATTTGTTTTCAAGGATCAAGATACTGGGAAGAGCTGAGACTATGACGGCTCTGCCGGTGGGACGGAAGGGAAAGGGAGAGGGAGATGGAGCGTCGCAGCCAAAACCGAAGCCGCCGAGAGATACAGGTGAGTGTTGAAGACAGAGGAGAGATAGGTTACTGACAGCTATAGACTTTGGTGGGTGAGATCACTTGATGTAATAGTCGACCGCCGACTTCGATCAGGGAAAAGCCCGCGTCCCATTTGCAACAATACAACCAACGTGCCTCAAGCCCTCGACACTCTCCCGAATCTCCGAACTATCTCAACATAGCCTTTCAGCTGAATTATAGGCAATGAATGATGGAACAGATTAACAAGCGGGAAGGACGACAGTGGCGTTCGGTCATCAACGAATCGGAGATTTTTCGAGCATATCACCACCCCGCACAACGAGCTGAACAAAGAGAAATTGGAAATGCAATCATCACAATACGGCTCCGACAACAACAAGCATCATCGTATTGTTGCCCAGAGAAGGAAGACACACGTGATCCCTTCGGTCAGCATCGGTCGAAGGTTGCGCCATAAAATTCCAAGACATCACACCTGGTCGTTGTGTGATGCAATATCATTCCATATAAGAAACTCCTGTGTCCATGGTCGACTCTTCACGACTCGAAAATTTCAGAAAGTGATATAGCAAAGGAAACGCTCAGCTCAACTCATCAATCCGAGAAGCATCACAACCAAACCAAGAAAGCCCACGCTCCAATTGCCCAACCAGCACCACCAATGCGCAGATCCAGCACAGGAGACCACCCCTCAACCTCCATGACCACCACAACAAAAGACTCCTCCAAACCCCCCTCCAAAGGGAAATCCAAAGAAGACGCCAACGACTCGATCCCCGTCCCGTCCTGCTTCATCGACACCCACGGCGTCATAACCAGCACCATGAACGACCTGCCCGGCTACCGCGTCGTCAAGATCCTTGGCACCGTCTACGGCATCACGGTCCGCTCCCGCAACTGGGGCGCGGACATCGGGGCCTTTCTGAGGAGTAGTGTCGGAGGCGAGATTCGGTATTTTACTAATTTGATGTATGCGAGTCGGGATAAGGCGTTGGAGAGGATGGTGGGGGAGTGTATGGCGAGGGGCGGGAACGCGGTTGTTGCGTTGAGGTTTGATCAGGCGGAGGTGAGTTTCTTTTTGGGGGGTGTGAGAGAAGAGAGGGGTGCTAATGGTGGGGTTTAGGTTAATACGTTTTCGCAGGTTTGTGCGTATGGGACGGCGTGTTTGGTGGAGAGGATTGAGGATGGGAAGAAAGAGGAGGGTGGTGGGGAGCAGACCATTAATTCTATGCAGAGGTTATGAGTATCTTTGCTCAGGCAAACATCTGTGATTTGAAGTCATTGGGACATCTAAGTATGTTAACACTTGCTTAGTCTATTAAATTCACATACCCTGTTTCGAGCTGCTTGGCTACTTCTGTTCATCATGAGAATTGGCTCCATAGCAAGACTCACGTGCTCGAAAAGAAAATGTTAAGGTTTCTATACTTATTCCAAGCTCTATCGAACACCTCTATCCAACCTCAAACTCTACAACCGCGCCTCCGCCAACACAGGCGTACTCTCAACAACCTTCACCTCAAACAACGTCCCAATCCACACCGCAATCCCCACCACCATCTCCTTCGTACAACTATGCCCCGTATTCTCCTGCACAAAAACCTCCACATTCCGCTCCTCCCCTGGCACCAAAACATGCTCCCTCCTCTTCTCCAACCACGCCGCCGTATGGAGCGTCGGGACCAGCGGATCCTGTTTCCCGCCGCATATCAACATCGGGACATCGGTTGGGAACTCCTCGTACACCTTTCGATCGCCTTCGCGGATTAACTCGGCGAGGGCGCGCGGCCAGCGCCGCTTTTGCTCTTTGTTCATCGCTTTTTCGAGGTGCGGGTACGGGATGCTTCCTAGTTCTGCGGTGGTGGTGTTGAGGAGGGAGGGGTCGATGCCTAGGCGTGTGAGGAGGAGGGAGGAGAGGTTGGGACAGCCGACTACGATGGCGTAGCCTTCTATTTGGGAGGGTGCTAGGGAGGCGAGGCGGTAGGAGGTGTGGGCGCCGAGGGAGATGCCGAGCATTATGTTGTGGAGTTTTGTGAATTGGGGGAAGTAGGTTGGGAGATAATCCAAGATGAGTTTGAAGTCTTGGGTTGAGGCTGATATTACGGATAGTAGGTCCATGCTAGAATTATTGTTAGCTAATGTTCTCATTAAGTGTGATTGAGTTTGACTTACGCATGATTCTCATTGCCATCTTTCCAGGTGAGGTTGGCTTGTCGGCTAATCTATTGAACATTATTTGATAAGTACAAAGGCTTGGAGTAGAAAAGACTTACCTCACGCTCCCCATGATTCCTCATATCCATAGTAACAGCAATAAGCTCAAACCTCTTCTTCCTCCCATCACTTCTATACCGATGCAAAACCTCATGCGCAATAGCTTCCGTAACCAGATACGTCCTTGTCCGCATATGAGCCAAATGCAGAACCCCTATCTCAACCCCAGACCCTCTCTTCAACTCTTCTAATCCATAAATATAAATTTTAACCCCGCCAATCACCAGCTCTGTTTTGCTCGAACGAGGCGTTGAGTCTGGGAGCGAGAATCGAGGTTCCATTATGTCAACGAATTGCTATTGTCTTGGAAATTCCAGAGGACATGGAAGGTACGTTTATGAGTATATCATGTGTCTCGAATGTCAACCTTTACGATCAACAGACGGGTCAGAGTACTGCAATTGGAAGGTGGACTGCTTGTTGTCGGAAGGGGACATCCTCGGCAATTTGCAGAGACGGGACGGGAAGCGAGAGACCCCTTTGCGCCAAATTTGCCGAAGAGAAAGTGGAGGGACGTGTGATGCTTCGGGGACGGTACGAGATGCCAGAGGAGAATATCACTTTCGACTTGTTCCTGAGGCTGGAAGGCAACGCCCTTTGTTCGCAGGTGGGCACGTTTTGCCAAGGATGGGGTGCAGATGGACTTGGAGATCAGGGATCGCGGGGTTCATTTTTGAGGGGGAAGAAGTGTTCGCTTTCATGAGTTAAAAAAATTTCCTGTCATTGTCACCCTTGATCATGAGTTCTATGGGTGACCATTTTATGCTGTTTATTTTCTAGCTCCTTATTACTTGTGAAGCTCTCCTAAACTACACCAGCTCCTCGAGAGTCTCGAAGATACTCAACGGATGAGACTCAAAGAACTTCAAAATGATCGGAGTCGCATTATAATTCGCAACATGATGCCCCGCCACCATATTATCTGCATTCGGCACCGTACTCGGCCAGTCATGTCCAATGTTAGACTCATACACCAACCCCACCAATCCCGTCTCTAGCCCATGACCAAAAGTATACGTGACCGTATCGACAGCCAAAGGAGTAGTAACATTACTGCTACCCAACCCATCCCGCAGAGCCCATTCTTGTATAAAGTGCGGAATGGTGGGAAGGCATTCATTCTTCCGTTCTTCTCCAAGGTACGGAATCGTAGTATCGTTCCCGCCATGGAAGGCTAGCATCGGGACATCCGTCCTGCCTGCTGAACACGGAATTGCAACAGTCGAAGGATAGCAAGGAAGGGTGTCAATATAATAAGCTCCCGAGACTGGAGCAAAAGCTGCCATGCGCTTCGAGAGGACGGGATCGCAGGCAAGGACGTTGCAGAAGCCTGCTCCGTCTGATTTGCCTGTTGCTGCGATTCGGCTTGGGTTGATGCAGTAGAGATTTTCGAGTTCGTTGAGGATGTTGGTGGTGAATAGGACGTCGTTTACGGTGTCTCCGGGGACGCCTTGCCATGAGTTCTAGACTTGATTAGTGACTTATTCTATTCCCCAAAAGTTGAGAATGTGCTCACAGCAATCCCTTGAGGATACACCACCATTGAAACGGTGTTGAATTCGGGATTCGTCAATTCGTCCAGTTGTAATTGATCCAATGCAGTTCTGACCCCTCCATGATATGACAATATCAAGGGTGTTGGAATGAAAGGGTTATATGTTGGTGGAACAAAAACGAGGTAGTAGCGTTCAACTCCGTCGCTCGTGATTGTAACATTGGAGACGCCGCCGTTGGATTGTCCCTTTGGCAGCGCTTTTCCACAGCCTGCGTAAGCTGAAAGCGGATTGCTTCTGGGTGTTGCTAAGCATTCTGCTACTGAGAAGTACGAAGCAGCGACCAAAGTCGCAGTCATGAAAGAAGATACTAGCATTGTGGGAATAATGTGAAAGCAGTAGAACAAAGTCTAATTACCAGCAAAATAGATGCTGACATTAGAAGGGGCTTTCTTGTCTATTTGACATCCTCATCAAAAGGCTCATTTCGACTTGGCATGCAGAAACTTCACCGTACAGCTTTCTCTTTGTTAGCGCCGGACGGAAAAGTAATAGTCTAGAGAAAAGCTCATTGACTTCACCATGCATGGCCCGAACTCGTACCTCTCCAAGGTGTCGGAACCTGCTAGCCGTATTACAAGCATAGATTTGACCCCAGATTAACGCGCGAGCATGGGTTCCCCAGATGAAGAACATCCCAAGATATCAACTGACTAGTGGGTCACTAATCGAAAATGAGTGCTGGGTCGGCTCATTCGGTAATTTGGGTGTCTATACCGCGGGGACTGGGAAGAAGTCCATAGCACATTATTGGCATCGGAATTCGATACCCCGCGGTGAGAGCTAGAGTGCGAGAATCTCCGATAGTGCATGTTCAATGAGAGATAGAAATGGTATCTTAGACAATTGTCCTTAAATTGAGAGAACAATGAGCACTTTGACATACGATCAGCAGTGAGCATATCACTTCTAAGATAGAGAGACGTGACTTGATAGAGAGAGATTTTATTAACCACAACCAATTCCAAGTGACTCTGATGCAATTGCGAATTATTTTGATTCATTTAGCTGAGAATTATTGGACTTCCCTATGTGTGAACCCTCAAGAAGCCACTGTTCTACAATACATAACGGAAATCCTCATTCTGCATATCCGACAGATCTTCGTCGATGCTGTGAATACCCAGACGTGCACCGCCCGTCATCCTGTCTCTCTTGGCATTATCTCTGCGAAGTAAGAAATACGTGATAGCTGCAATCACGACGACTAAACACAAACAAATACAACTCCCCACAAATCCAGCATGGTACACTGGCCCAGGAGAGGCGCCGAAGATCTCGGGGCCAATAACATTACCGACACAATATCCGATGAAGGTGGTTGCACTTATCGTGGCTTTCTCTGTTTTTCAAATCAGCATTTGCTCAAATCATGGAGGCATGTGCACTTACTCGTATGTCCTGCTACATTTGAGGCAGCCAATGAGACGGCCAGGCCACCTGCCGCGACTTGTACTGCCATGAGGAAGATACCCGCAAAGAGAAGACCCCTATCGCTTCGAGGTCCGCCCCAGCAGATTGCAGCACCCGCAATTGAAATGAGCGCAAAAGTGATAATCACAAAATAGCGAACATTGTTGACCTTTCGTGTGACATATCCGCCGAGAAGGATAGAAAGTGCAGTGATAGCACCAATAGGGCAAGTCAAGGCCAGAGAATCGAAATGACTGAATCCAAAACCGTTGATGACAACGGTACCGAAGGTTCCAATCGCCCCGGAGGGGACACCGGTAAGGAGGATAATCAAAGTACAGCTGTAAAGCTTGTAGTCACGGAAGGCTTCAAGGAATTGCGCCTTGTTGAATGTGTGGCTGATTGTGCCAGCATTGTTGCGCTCCAGACGACGAATCGCAATTGCTCGTTCGGGCTCAGTCAAGCCTTTGGTGGTCAACGGACTGTCTGGAAGACAGAAAAAGAGGACACTTGACCACAAGACAGTAACAGCGCCGAGGATGAGGAAGATAGGCTTCCACGAAGCGAGTGAGCTGTGAATCTGGCCGAGTCCATAATTGATAAGTGGTGAGATAGTAGTTGCAACACCAACACAACTGTACCAGAGACCAGTTCGGAGCGCCTGTTCCTCTCGAGTCCACCAGAATGTGACGAGGACAGTGAAAGCTGGAGCTACAGCAGATTCTAGGAAGCCGAGGAAGAATCTGTTGACCATGATGCCGGCATAGTTGTAACATCCTGCTGTTGAAAGTACGACTGCACCCCAGAAGAAAGTGGCAATAGAGAGGACTCGTGATGTTGAGAAGCGTTGAGTGAGATACATCATGGGATAAGTTCCACAGAGGTATCCGATGTAGAATATCATTGATGCATTTGAGTATTTCTGGTTGTTCGTGATCGCCGTGCCGTCTGCTTCGTGGCCGATGACCCTCGTAAGTCCGAGGTCGGTATTGAAGCCGAACTGAGTAGCTGCACTCATGATTCCCTTGTCGTAACTTTGAAGCGTGTAGGTAACCATCATAAGAGGGACAATCCTGTTGTTATCGTGAGTGAGATTCTCGTTTGGGCTCTCGTGACATGTGAAGTCTTACCAGAAGTCAAGCTTTCGCACAAGTTTCTTCTCTGTTGCATAGTCGATAACTTCTTCCTCACCCTTTGACATGGTAAGATCGTCAGCCCGTTCGACTTCCTCCATTCTCTTCTTCTCTGCGATTTCCTGAGAGGCAAGCCCTCCGTTGATGTCATCGAGCTCCATTGTTTGTGACCGACTGTCGCAGTACTTGAAAGGAAGATTCCGTAATGCGTCCACGATGGAGGGTCCCTCTAAGATATATAAATTCTGGAGAGAACCTCATGAGATATGGGATTTCTACCCCAGACCGAAAAATCCCTTTTAGGTTGGCACTCCGCAATGCTGACGAGGGTCAGTTCCCCATGGGTACTCAAAGCTACCACCTGCACGAGAATTCCAAAGTTCCGGGGATAATTAGCACCCGTAGATTCAGAAAGAGGCCCGTGAAGAAAGCTAGATGTTTCGAAGGATGGTGTCTCCTACTTCCCTGAACGTGGCGGGCTGACTGTGTTATAATTGGCGAAACCCCCTAATTGCCGAATTTGCCGAGATATCCTCGGTTAAGACCTCAACAAGTCTTCTCTTCGGTCAGCTCGGTCAACTTATCATCAATTGTCGACGAAGCCCATCCGTTGCAACTTCACCGGCTTTCTCCTCAACGTCGGGTTCTTTTGATATCGTGGGGAACATTGTGGGGAAGCTGGACAGAAGAAAAAAGAGCCCCTGCGCAGAGGATCCAGATAAGATCCAGCTCATGCCCACTTCTCTACCGCGGTAAACTTTTCTCTCAATTTACCGCTCAGCATGGCACACATCGCTGGGCTCATTCCAATACGTGGTGCATCTGAAGGCGAGGGTCCCACTCGTAAACGCTCACGAGTTGCTTGTCGAGGTTGTAATCATCGAAAGGTGCGCTGTGATGTGACACGAACCGGCATCCCGTGTTCGAATTGCCTTCACGAAGCGGCTGCTTGCGAGGTGGTGCCGCGGAAGAAGCATCGGTAAGTAGCCGTGTATTTCAATATTGAGAAGGTGTACTGATGGAGATTTTGTAATCCAAAGGCCCCGTAGACCTCGCAATGCTTTACAAGCATCATCGTCTACAGCTCAGCAGGATGGAGATAGTCAGGAACCACCATATACCCCAGCAACGTCTTCGTCAACCACTCAACAGAACGATTCTACCCACAACAATGGCAATGGTAAGTCTCAAGTGTTGAACAATATAACACATGTCCGGCGCGAGGACCGCGATGCAGCATCGCAATTGGTAGGACTTGCTGGCCGGCCAAGACTATCTTTATCAGAGAACAGCCCCACAAGTCTTGGAGGTGGTAGTGGAAAAGATCCCACTGCGTCGATTGATGCAGATGAGGTGCTACCAGACGATAGCTCACTAACTTACATTGGTACGGCACTCATGTTGAAAGAAATGGGACTCAGCTAATACCTAGGAGGTGATACACGAGGACCACGATTCTTCGTCTATGATCTATGTCATCCAGAAGCTCCTCAAGATGCCATGCCTCATCTGCTTCCCAGGCAGTCTGACATTTCTTGGAAGCCTCATGAGGTAGAATACCTTCGTCATCAAGGGGTGTTTGTGACACCACCAGATGATATATGCGATGATTTGATCAGATGCTACTTTCACCATGTTCACTTCTTCCTCCCGGTCATCGACGCCGCCTCATTTCTGACAGAATACGATAACAATAATCGTCAGAACATTAGTCTTTTGCTGTTCTGGAGCATGCTTTTAGCAGCTGCGAATGTAAGTTGACCACATTTGAGTCGAGAACCTACCACTGACAGCCATCCTTTTAAGTTCGTTGAAGCAGATGTCTTACAAAAAGCTGGATTTGCATCGAGGAAAGCTATGAAGACTACATTCTATGAGCGTGCTAAAGTGAGCAGCCCCCAAGACATTACCCTTTTCATGCTCACATCACAAAGGCTTTATATGACCTTGATCACGGCACGGACAAGCTTGTGCTTATCCAATCATGCATACTGATGAGCTTATGGTATACCGATCCTCAAGACCATACTGGAGCATGGTATTGGATCGGTATCGCCATCTCTCTTTCCCAAACGCTCGGCCTCCATCGATGTCCTCAATTCAACAATCGCAGCCAACGGCTTCCAGAGACGCAACAGCCAATGATTCGTCGCATTTGGTGGTCTTGTATTGTTAGAGATAGATGGATATCTCTAGCCAAAGGTCGACCAATGCGAATCCATCACGAGGATTGCGACATTCCCGAACCCGAAGCTGAAGATATCATGAAGAATCTTGCAAGTATTACGGCTATCACGAGAAGAAAGTTCGTCCCTTCAGAATCGGACATTCTAGCACAGATGTGGATCAATCTTGTGAAAATCAGTGATAGTCTGGGAAGGATATTGCGCATTCATTATCGTGCTACTGGTCCAAAAGCATTGGCCGACGATGTTGATAGGTCGATGGGAGATCTTCAAAGCTGCAGGCCTAGATTAATCCTCACCGACGATGCAAGCGATCTTTTACTCCTTCATGCGTATCACCTTGAACTGTTTTATGAGTAAGAACCTCTCCTGTAATGGGCACGGGCACTTGACTGATTCCTAGCTAGGGCAACTGTGGCAGTCCTCTATCGTCCATACGTTTTGAGTACGCCCTCAACACCGGCCTCTGAGAAGCCAACCTCATGGCAAAGAGCAGCGCTGGAGCAAGCACGGACAGCAGCATCCAACACCAACACTGTGTTGGAGAAAATCATAGAACTTAACACGGTTCATCTTCTCAAGCCCATGATGTAACATATCCTGTCTATTTCATCCTCAAGGTGCATGAACTGACTTCGAACTTTCTTCAGAATCACTACCATCATTCCGGCAATGCAAATCCACCTCTTCGATTGCAAGTCCTCGGTCCCCTTGCGTCGCGGACTTGGCAAGAACAAACTTAGTCTTTGTATGCTTGTCCTATCACAACTCCGTGATACGTACTGGAGTGCCAGCGTCATATTCCGGTTGTTCGAGCGCGCGCAAACAATGCTCGATAAATCCAAGTCAAACAACATACCTTTAGTAGAGAATCCGGCAACGAACCATCATCGCTCAGAAAGTCACTCCACCAGTAGTCCCCACGTCGACACAGAATATCAGCAGCATCAACAATTCCAGCAAGCCAGTGCACAAGCATCTATGGGACATATACCAGATTCCAACCTCCTCACGGCTGAGCAAACGATTCCTGATACCTACTGGTTCAATGACTCCGGTTCTCCTTGTTTCAGCAACGTCGACCAGCTTCTGAGTCCTGGCTTCTCGGTCCCGGAAAATGTATATCAGCCTTTTTTCACTGGGTACGATAATGGCATAGGAGGTCCCTATAATCACCTGCACCCCCCAAACGGCAATCCTGTTAATTTGATGTATAATGTATGATAACAATTGGATCGGAAGGAAAAGCTTGGATGATGGCGTTTGGGTGGCGTTTGGGTGTTGATGGGTTGTGTTTGCGGCAAGCGATGTATATTGGTACCCTGGCCTATTAAAGGCCGTCACTTGGATTTCGGAAATCAATGGACAAGTTTGAGAGCAGTATATGCTGTTGCGACTCATCTCCAAGGGGATCTGCAAGTAGTTGTGCCCTCTGGATGTGCTAAGCGAGCCACCACACGCCTCGAGACCCAAGAGTTTCTTGAAGTTTTTAATATCTATCGATGGGCGATTGTCAATGACCGAATCCACATCCCCTATTCTTTCAATTTTATTACTGGCACAAAGTGTCATCTGATTTACTAGATCTCAGGGCCGCTCCCAACGCTATATTTTGCGACACACATCCATATTGGTTCTGGACATTGCATGGCAGATGTCATTTTTATCGATTTTACGATAGTATACTCAAGCTTCTTCGTAAAATAACATCATACTGAAGGCAATATCTTGCTTGTGTAGTCTTTTTTATGCTATTATGCTTGGCCAGCAATATCCGATTGCCCGTGTCAATTATGCCGAAGTCACTTGCCCGTGATCTTTTTCTGAAGCTAGCCAAAAGATATCACTCAGGCCACCATGTTCATCACTGATGATCTGAACTTCTTGTCCCATGTCGTTAAGTGAATCTAAGTACGTAGTGAGTACATCACTGCCTCGAAGCTGTGCTATATCACCTGGTGTTACAGAGACTCCTACAAGGTCTTTGGGAACCCATAGATCGGTAGCCATACTCCTAGCGTGGGGATCGGCACCAAAGCTGAGAAGAAGTCGTATCATTTCCAACTGCTTGGCATTGACAGCTGTATGAAGTAGGGTCCAGTTTCGACCGTCGACGAGCGTGGAGTAGTCGGGATGATACTGTATCAGCTGATTAAAGATTGACAAATTACCGTACTGGACAGCACAGAATATTGGGCTCCACGCAAAGACTGTCGTTCGAAAAGCAAGAGATGCTCCGCTCTCAAGTAAACATTTGACATCCTCGGCACTTCCAAAAGCAGCGGCTCGGTGCATGGCAGTCCAGCCCACGCTATCTTGAGCATTGTAGCCTCCAAATGATGCACCCGAAAGGAACTCAATAGACTCATGGGCTTGACACGGTACGCTACGTGGCTGCCAGACATGAAATATAGGGGTCCAGCCTCTTGCGCAGATGTGATGAATGTCTGCTCCCCGAGACAGCAGCAAACGGGCAATGTCCATGCGCCGGTAGTATAGTGCAGCTTGTATGTAGTTCCTAAGATGAATTAGGTTGATAAATCTGCGAAAGACAGTAATCATACGTGTTGAATTGACCAAACGTTCCTCTGACATCTGCACCAAGTGTTATGAGGAGAGAGACCAGCTCCAAAGAGCCGCTCTCTATAGCCCACTATGAATAAAGTTAGTCCCTTTTTCGAAAAGCAGGCACAAAGGTTTTGCTGTGTGGGGGCGCGGGGAGGCGGTTGAAAGCTGAACTAACCCGCATTGGTGTATCATTGCCATACGTTATGTCATGGACACTTGCCTTGCCACGATGCAATAGATCCCAAACAGTAGATTGATCTCCACGTTTGCAAGCCATAACAATCTCCGAATCCTCTGGAATAATATTCTTCACCGTAAGTCCATGACAATGTGGGGATAGATAACCCGAAAGTAGCGAGCTGCGACAAAGCTTGAAATCAACACAAATAGCTTTCAGACAGAACAGCATCTGGAACGTAAAAGAAACATTGTAGATTGACTCTCTTCCCCTTTCAAATAGAACTATAGAACCGTCAAGCTTCATAATCGGGGAGACGACCCTCAAGGCTTTCGATATTTTTCTAGCCCACAGAAAACGTGTCTGAAGAGGTTGGGGCATTGTTGCCATGAAGAAACGAGCTCGCGAGACTTCTTTCTTTAATTCCATGAATTCGATTTTCAAAAGTCCAGAGTAGCGACTATCCTTATATCAGTGTGTGATGTTCATATTCATAGATGTACATGGGATACTCACAGCTCTAGTAGCTGTAGAATATTTTTGAGAACCACAGAGTGACTTCCGAGACATTGATCCCACTTCTTAACCTTATTGGCATCATGGAAAACCCATTTAATTCGGTCGCGCTTCCCAACTCCAACAACATGCGATGCAAAACCATCTCGAATGCTCGAGAAAGTCAAGATCACATCTTGCATGAACTTTTCAAAGTTGGCAGTCTCGCAATCGTCCAATAATGGTTCGTCAATGTCGCCAAGTGTCGCTTTGATGCGTCGCAGGAGCTGCAACTGAATGTTGATGCCATCTAGTCTCAGCTTCAAGGCTAGTAACTCAGCCGGTACTTCGCTGTAGCTGTCGACGAATCTTCTCACAACCTTGAATGTACCCACACCAAGCTCGATGGCAGCGATCAGAGAGGCAGTGAAACTCAGAGGATTCATATTGTTGAATAACACGTTCACAGCAACATTATAAAGAGCACACGATGCCAATTTAACAATATCTGCCAAGAACAGAGCCTGGTGATCCAGACCAGGCAAAGCCCGAGGCCAAATCTGCCTTGTGCGCTGTCCTGGAATGATTGGTTGAAGACATGCAGGTATCGAGCCTCGTTTTTCGGCCTAGCATCCTCCACCATTTAATCTACTCAAGGAGATCGGAAAGCTCAAAATCCACTCTCCATTCCGCCAACGACTCTGTTACCTGAGCAACCAGCCAAAGATCAACTACCAGCAAGAACTCAGTGTCGACTGTCGCATCTTCTCGAAGAAATGTGTGACTATGAGCGTGGGGCCAAGATGACAGGCAAAGCTAGCCCAATGAAAGGCATAAAACCTCTGTGCGTCTTAAGCTCTTCCGATCTAAACATGAGAGTCACTGATTACCCAAAGACCTATGGTGGATAGCGGTGGTGAAGAATGCGATGACGATGGCGATTCGTGCTCAGGAAGTGGTGGTGGCTGCAGTAAGGGGCTCTGAGTGTCTTGATATAACGTGTTGGAAGCATGAGGGCTCTCCAGTAGTCTAAGGTAATGCAATAACATGATAAGTTGTACTGGCAATTTTGTACGTGGGATAACCTTTGCTCGACCAATTACCTACGGATAGATTTCATTGTCGCCCATCAAATCTTTGATATCAGATTACTTGTCTACTTCTTTGAATTTCCTTGGGCTTGGTGTTTGGACCATGCTGCCAAAGGCCCCATGCATTACGGTGCTTCTTCGTTTCTCTTTGAGGTCTTGTCTGTGGCAGCTGGTTGACACTGCAACTCGAGGCTAATGTTGGACACATGCGAGTTTCGCAAAATAATAAATGCACGATGTAAGGTTAGATAAGGATTTCCTTAATCAATCTTCATACCATTCTGGGCTCATTCGGGACTGCGCCCCGTCCCGCCAAGCCAATATCTTAATTTTGCCCTACCAAATGCGTGCTTACACGCGAAAATACGAGGGTGTTCGACAAATGAGAAGCTTTGTATCTTTCTAAGATCCCAATGCCGAAATTTGGTTATGGAAATAAGAGCATGAAAGTCCCCTTGACATTTGTGTTACTGGGCAAAGAAACATGAGAATTTCCACTTTCCTCACGATCGCGACCATTGCCACCGGAACACTCGCCCAAAATGCTTCTGGTATGTAGTTTTCTCTTTCAAAAAGGACGATAATGACCTCAAAACAAAAGAAATCGCAGCAAACTGCCCAAACAAACTAATCTTCAACTCCACAAACGTCGCCACCCTCGCCTTATGCACAACGCTAAACTACCTATGCCCATCCCCCAACCCCAACAGAACCCAATTCGAGACCTACAACAACACGACCGGCCCCGCGCCCAGCACATGTCGCCCCTACGCCTGGGATCTCGCCCTCGACGCCAACGCCACGGGGACCCTCACCATCGCCGGCGTGGCGACGGCCTCCAATGTCTGGTTCGCGGGTCTGGGGCCGGGCTTGAGCCCCTATAATGCCTCTGTGGTGATCCCCGCCGTACCGCTGAAGGTGACGGCGCTCGAGTTGCCGGACCTGGTGAACGTTAAGGGGAGTTTGTCGCTGAGCGAAGCGGATCGGATGGAGAAGTTTAGTGTGCCGTTGTTGGAGGAGATTGGGATTGAGGGGGTGGATATTGATCTCTCGGGGACGGATCCACCGGCTATTGATTTGTCGTTTCCGAGTTTTCGGGGGTCGAAGGGGTTTATTAGTTTGGTTGGGAATATTGATAGGTGAGCTTTTGTGATTGGAAAGAGAATGGGGGGCTGATAAGGTGGATTTTAGTGTTGGTTTTCCGGTCTTGAATTTTTCTACTAGGACTAATATTACATCGACGGGGAACTTGGATTGTTTGTCGTTTGCTGCCAGTATAGTGGATACTACCCCAGAAGGCTTGAATGATGCGGTGATTTGCAATTCGAAGAGAGGTAGCGTTACCACCCCGAAAGCTATCTCAACTCCAACGCAGACTGAGACGAGTAAATCTGGTGCCGACGGACAGACTAGGATGGCATACGATTTGGTGGTAGTCACAGCTTTCATAAGTCTGTTCAATCTTATCTTGTAAGACATCATGTATTATAGCGTGTAAATATTCGGTTCAAATAATATCGGCAGCCATCTGTCCAATTGCGTAAACGCAAGCCTGGTAATGCGCTGCGAGAGGAACGGGTATGACACTCGCATCCACGACTCTTAAACCCTCAACACCATAGACCCTCAGATCTGTATCAACAACTGTCCCCATCGCCGCAGTTCCACCAGGATGGTAGAGCGTACTAGATCCTTCGTCAGCTTCTCCTCACCGAAACGAACACCTCCGAACAACAAAAGAGAAAATAACTCACTCCCCATCCTTCGCAATCCTCCTATCAACCTCCTCATCACTCATCTCCTCACCCACCGCCCCAAACCCCTCCGTCGTCGTCTCCACTTCCACAATCTCCCTCCCCACCTCGCCTCCAAACATTTTCGCCAACGCCCTCATACCCGTCCGCATCACAAATCTATCAACCTCCGTCGTATAATACCCCGGATCCACAACCGGGTCATCTTCCGCCCTATCACTCTTCAACGTAACACTCCCTCGACTCGTAGGCAAGAACCCTACCACCCTGGTCGCAATATGCGATCCATCCATCGGCACCGCTGGATCCGCTGCATGGGCGCCTACGTATATGATGTACGTCTCTAGATGCGCTCTTTCGGTTTTCAAAAACGGATGATCGTCCCCTACTCTTTTATTGAGATCTTTCTCGAGCGCAAGTTTCAGCCCAGGCATCGGGACGGTCGTTGTACCGATGTAGTCAAGAGGGATCCTCGTTTTCCATGAAGGGTCGTTGAAGTTAGGATGTCCGATACTAAGCCCCCGTTCTGGGTAGCGCAGTTTCCACCACTGCGAGACGCCGAGGTGGTCGTGGAAGTTCTTGCCTACTCCCGGGTTATCGACGAGGCATCCGATTCCAAGTTTCTCCAGTTCGGATTTTGGTCCGATGCCAGAGAGGAGCAGGAGTTGAGGGGTTCGGTAGGCGCCACAGGAGATGATGATTTCTTTTCCTTGGCAGATCTTTCCGTCGACTGTCTCGATTCCTGTTGCGGTGACTTTCTCATCTGGGGATTTAGAGAGGATGACCCTCTTGGCGAGAATACCAGTAAGAAGCTCAACGCCATCTAAAGGATAAACCTCAGACGCAAGCTGACGCCTCCCATTCCTCCTGTTTTCCGTCAAGCCTGAGATTCCCAAGGGACTTCCTGCGTTCCCGTCTAAGACTTCCTTGACTCCTTCACCTTCCCATGCTTTCTTGACGAGTTCTCGTAACGGGAAGGGAGGGCTTGAAGAAGGGTTCCAAGTAGAAGTGTACATTGGACCCGAGAAGCCGTGCTCGGATGAAGAGGCTGAGGTTGTGTGATGAGTTTCGGTTTTGATGAAGTACGGCAGGAACCCGGCGTATGACCAATGAGGGTCTTTGACTAGGGAGCCCCATTCATCGTAGTCGTTTCTATCACCGCGTAGCCAGCCACCTAAGATGGAAAGTCAGATCACATGTTTTACTTCGAAGAATTTTGTCATAGAAAGTCTACAAACAAGCATTAATAGCCGATCCTCCACCAACAGCCTTCCCAGCCGCAGCGGCGCATACTTTCCCACCCAACCCGACTTGTGGTGTCGTTCTACCTTCAAATCAGCCTTCTCTTCTTCCAGCTTTCTTATTCAAGATATACTTGAACGCCCAATCCAAATCACTGCCTTGCAAATGCGGAACGGGCGCCGAGTTCACCATCAATGGATGCTTGCTAACATCTTGACCCGCTTCAATCAGCAGAATCATGCGATCTGGGTATTTTGCGTGGAGACGAGATCCAAGTACACAACCTGCGATACCGGCTCCTACTATAATGAAATCATAGTGAGAAGCTGCCATTTGGGCTCTCAATTGGTGACGAAGAGAAGTTTTTTGAATTCAATTTGGGAGCAGAAAATGTTGGAAATGTTGAAAGATGGCTACATATGGAAGTAAATGGTTACGATAGTAAATACGGAAGATCGGACGCAGTCATGGTATGCCGATAGTGGTGGTAGTAATGGCTCCACAGATCGTATGGGATCGTATGGCATCGCTGATGATTGGCTTCGGGTGCGGGTGATCTGATGCTAACAGCACACTTGGCGATCGAAACATGTAAAGGGTCAGCACTACTTTCCGATTTGTCATACCATTTAACCCTAAGCACAAATCTTATTTTAGCTCCTTTGCGGCCGAGATTCCCCTGGAACCATTTTTACCTAGGTACCTAGTAGGTAGATACTTAGGTATACATTCGCTTATATACACGTGATAAACGTGATAAGCAAGTCAGCTTCATCATTCTATAACGTTTGTCTATAGGGGCGGTTTTATATGATACGAATTTCAGTAGCATTCAATTTACTCCTCTTTGCTTTTTGAAAATTTAATGCTATACTTTCCCCTCGTATTCTTTTTCTCATTCTCCTCAAGGCTGAAACACCCTTTTATCGATTGCGCGCCAACGCCCTTTGCCCCAACTACCGTGATCATCAAGCTGATACTTATCCATTGTCATCCCCACGGACTGACTGCCATGAGGTCCATCCACATAGTCATTCAACTCGAAGCACCTCTGTTTGGTCGTTCTTGTCTGCTCGCAACCTTCAGTCATTCAAACAGACCCTCTGTACGCGCTGGCTATCCTGCGTCCCGTGGACGACATTGGAGTTCCGGTCCTTCCAAAAGGGCGCAAAGTGGTACATTCAGAGGTAAGCAAAGACACCCTCTTCATGTTGCGACCCAAATAATCTAACCCATCTTTCTTAGATTCAAGCCATGAACCAAATGCACTCGATCAATTCACCTCAGGGCGATGGCTCTGGGGAGAACGAGCACAGCTTGCGGACCGCTACGTCAAGTTCGACATGCCGAAGCTCTATCGACTTGCCGCTAGTGCCATTGGCTCAGGATCTTGCGTGAAAGTCGTGAAAATATCCGAGGGCCAGTTCAACAAAGTTTTTCTGCTTACGATGGATGACAGGAGAGAAGCTATCGCGAAACTGCCGAACCCTAACGCAGGATGGCCCCACTTCACCACGGCCAGCGAGGTAGCCACTATGAATTTCGTGCGCAAGCACCCTCCCTGACCTAATTGGATCTATATATTGATTTTACTAGCTGAGAAATGTTCTTCATCTCCCCATTCCTCGAATCTATGCGTGGAACTCCAGACTTTCAAACAACCCCGTCGGATCCGAATACATCATTATAGAAAAGCAATCTGGTGTGATGTTGTATGATGTGTGGGATAACATGAAGGGTTCACAAAAAGCCGAGATTTTGAAGGAGGTCGTTGGGATCGAAAAAGCACTTGCTTCGACCAGGTTCACGAAGTTCGGAAGTTTATATTATAAGCACGACCTGCCCCAGTCTGATAGCACTACGCCGCTGTATATTGATGGAAACGGTAACGCAGTACACAGCGCCGAGTTCGAGATTGGACCAATTAACCATCGCTCCTTCTTCGATTTGGGAAAGGAGCCTTGGATATCGATCGTGGGCCATGTATGCTTCCGTTCCACTATCTCGATCACGCGATACTAATCTCTCGGCCTAGGGTCCACAATTGAGGAGTACGTAGCTGCGATTGCGTATAGAGAAATTACCTGCGTAGAGAAAGGACTCAGATACCCCAGAATGCCCGAAGGACTTTTTTACGGGCCGAAACAATACCAACCCAGTGCATCCACAAAACTATCCGCCCTGACCAACTACTTAAAGGTTGCTCCATACGTCCTGCCAGAGAAGGAAGTAACACATGTCTCTGTTCTTTGGCATGGCGATTTACATACGCAAAACATCTTTGTTGATCTAGAAAACCCGACTCGAATCTTGGGCATCATTGACTGGCAATCCGTCAGCGCATCACCACTTTGCATGCAGGTCACCCGCCCTGCCTTCCTAGATTTCAATGGCCCGATCCCCGAGGATCTGGGTAAAGTCAGCCTCCCCCAAAACTTTGACACGTTGTCTCCGGACGACCAACGCGAGGCAAAGGCCTTGCACCAGGCCCAGGCCCAGACGCTCCACGATCTATACATGGCCCGATGTTATCAGCAAAATCCTAATGCGTTCCTGGCCAAGCAACAGAAAGATAGCCTACGTCACCAGGTTACCGTTGTACCGAGCACGATTATCATGGACTACGAACCGTACCTAAACCACCTATTAAGGGACTTCGAGAAAGAATGGCCAAATATTGTGGGCCTGGGATCCGATGGGCATCCCTTGATACGGTGTCCACTCCACTTCTCAACCGCCGTGATAGAGCAACAGGAAAAGGATGAGGAGTTATGGGCTCAGGGGGTAGAGCTTATGAACACTTTTATTAGCGACGTAGGCGGTTTTAAACATTGGGATGGTAAGGTCAGCAATGAGGATTACGAGACTTCAAAAGCCCAGCTAGCTAGTGGCATCGAACAGTTTTTGGATCGCGAGGCCAGGAACGCGGAGGAGCTGGCTACATGGCTGAAAGCATTGCCCTTTGTCGATCACGAATAGGCGGATTGGAGAATTGTAAACTGTAGTCATTGGAAATAGACATAGTAGCTTCAGTGATATTGTCTCGACATTTCCTACCGGAGGCCAGCATGGAGGAACATGGTGTTAATTGATAAGCTCGTCCAGTTGAGGCAGCGATATCTTTACTCACTTAGTGAAAAGAGGAATAAGACGCAGAGGAAGATCTGCGAATCTGTGAATGAACCGTTAACATTAAAGACTCAATTGATAGAGAAGTGGCTGTATTGCGGGAGAAATCAGGTAAATGCATCTGAACAATTGAATGCGGATGGTGGTTGAACAAGAGGAGTGATTTCTCTTCTAGCAACCTTGAATTTCGTGGATTGTGCTGTACTGGACTACTCACCAAATAATCTATTGGCTAATAGAATGGCCTTTCTGACCAAATTTAGGGTCTTTTGACCAATAGAACGGCATTGATGAATAGATCAAGCGTTTCATCAATAGACTGATCTACCCAAAATAAGCCGATGTTTTAAAGTTAAGGTTTGATCCCCCCCCCGGCCGCTTCCCTTTTTGCATTAGATCTACCTCACCTACACACTTTATAAGCCCGAATACTACTGATCCTATTGCTGAAAGCGTCTTACTATATGATCTACTGATTATAGCTTAAATTTTTTTTATTTTTTTTTATACCTACCCTTCTAATATGCCAATTTGCACGTAATATTAAAGCTGCCACTACTAAAAGCTCTTCTACACCTGGCCTAGCAAGTTAAAAATTAAAGAAGTCTGGCAGAGTCCTTTTCATTAAGTTATTAATCCTTGTCTTCGATGCTAGCATCGCTGGCACTTAATAAAAAACAAAAATTATTAGACAATAAATCTTTGGCCAAACAGCTAATCTATTCATGAAACCTCAACATTTAGCCAATAAAATGATTTATTGGCCAATAGAATATTTGGCGAGTAGTCCAGTATAGTGCGCTAAAGAGGTTTTCTTTCTTGAGACTTTGCCTCGCGGCCATCTTCCCTCCTTCAACCTTTATCATTCTTCAAATTCGCGTCTGGTATAAAATGCGACACTATCGCATGCCTCAAAGACCGAGGCCTGGCATGCTCCTGAGTCTCTCATCACTCCAAAGGTATAGTCCTCCCTACTACCTTATGATGAATTTTCCAACGAGAAATTATCGCGGCTTATGACACTCTTTAATGGGTGGTTGATTAGCAATTACAAATACGCAACTTCTGATGTTTGTTGTCCTTCTATCCTGGCATTTGAACATCTCAACGCGCTCATCGCTGACATTAAATCAGATGCCGACACATCTAGCTAAACTGGCCGACTACCATTCTCTACAGCACGGCGCTCCGCCGCATCAGCTCTGCATCAGCTCTTCCTCCGTGCCCATATCCTTCACCCCCGCTAGATATAATCCAGCGCACAATACAGGAGCCAGCAATGGATCAGTGCTGTATCAGATGGAGACTTATATCAGCTAACTTAGCCTGAGCTCTGGCTGAGAAGTGGCTGGGCAAATGGAGGCGCTATCTATAAGATCCAGCTCATCAATTCTCTCCATAGCATATTCGACCCGCTTCCAAGTCTTGATGCCCCCGGTCTTCGTATCAAGTTCGAAAACCCGCGTTCGTCGGTGATATCGCTTGTCGCCGTACGAGCAATACCCTCCGAATCCACTGCCCCCTCCGTAGCACAGCCAGGGGCCGTGGGGTTTGTCGTCATCCTGCTGCGACTCTTTTGGTGGCCGAAGAGCGCAAAAGTCATTCACATGATCGTGCCCACAGCTTAATACTGCTATGCCTTCTTGGGCCAAGGCATCGTAGAAGTGGGAATTAAAACTTGGTCCTTCAGTTGGTTCTCTTCGCTTGCCGCCCCGCACTATGAGATCGCTGTCTGCGTATTCTGGAATTGGGATATGTATGAAAGCTAGTGACAGATGATTATTGTCCTTCTCATGCCGGTCCTGTCGCAACGCTTGGGAAGTGCGTGTGAACCAATCGATTTGGCTTTGCTTAATGGGGTCATAGTCTGGATCTCGTACTGTACTCGGTATTTGCCCGTGCGAGTCCAAGAAGTATAGAGTCGACAACGGGAGTTGTGATGGCTCAGGAGCGAAGATTTGAAGGTAGTAGTTGCCCACGCCGTCAACCCGCTCTGGGCCTGACTGACAAAGACTAAACGGCAGATCCTGATATAATGACATTTGTGCCGTGCCTGCCATGCTATCTCGTTAGCAAGAGTCGCAAGTTGTCGTTTTAGAATATTGTTCGTTAAATTATAACGCCCTGAGTGTGTCCCCGATCATTTGCTCTATTTATGGGCTATGAAAAAAATTGACTCACGCGATAATGTGTAAGTACCCTCATCGTCATGATTGCCAAAGACGGCTGCGTATGGGATTGAACGCTCGATCAAAGGAGCAACTACTTTGAAAAGAGCAGATTGACTGTCTAAGATGTCGTGGTGCAATTGATCTCCAGTAAGAATCACGAGGTTTGGTTTCTCGATATCTAAAATTCCCCTAAGAAAGTTGACGGTGAGTGGGTCAGCCCCGCGTTCAGGCAAAGGATTCCCATGGGCATCAATAGCATCTTTGCACACCCCGACGCCAGTCACCATATGTGTATCAGAGATCTGGACAATTTTGAACTTGCCGTCCTCTTTGACCCGTAGTGGTATCCGGGGGACGTCTAGTGGCGGCTTCGCCCTGCCCTGCCGTACGGTTAGTCTTGCGACTGGTACCTCAGGGTGAGCGCCCAGCTGGAGCGGCGTTCGCATGAGAGCCCATTGCGGTCGCGGGTCAACTGCATCCACACCAAAGAGAACGTCCACGGCCGCCACAGCCTGGTGGCGGTCGCCAGTGTAGGGGCTCCTTAACACCCAGATGCCGCCGGGTCGACGCTCCCATGATTTCTCCTTGTCCGAGCCAGCGCCAGCGCTGGGATGCAACTCCCCAACTCTGATCCCCGTAACCACCAAGTCGTCCCCATTAAGGTCTTCTTCCCTCGCCTGCGCTATCAGCAGCCACGCAGTCTGCTGAGCTGTATGTAGGTAGAGGTCCTTCTCTATGCGGAGCCATCTCGGTGAGTCGAGGGCGCAGGTGGAAAGAGGGTCGGTCGGAGAGCAGAAGCTTACGGTCAGATCGGTGACAACTGGGGTGCGCGTTGGCATTGCCGATCTCGATTTTGGAAGGATTGGACAACGTCGCTATCTTGGCGGAGGAGGAGGAGGAGGAGGAGACTCCAAGAAGCTCGAGGGCACCAAGGACGACTGCTGGGACGAGCCTTATTAGCGCAGAGACCGCGGCATGCGCTTGTATTAGGACACGGAGAAAGGAAGGTGGAGCGCCAGGCGGTAAGAGCAGCTAAAATGTGTGGAACGAAGCCGAGGCCCTGAGAGTTGAGTCTGTTCCTGTGATCTCGCGAAGAGGATAAAGGCTAGAACTAACCTCGACCGCAGCTCTACTGCTCGAGACGGAGTGTTGCCTACAACGCCGGCGTGAATCTGACGGATACGCACAGGTGGAGGCACCCATGACTCCTGTACTCCAGACAGTGAATTTGAGCAATTAATCCTTAACTGACTCAGGCGCAGTGAGATCCTAGATGCTCACGGCTTACCAAAGGTGAAGCGCACATACTGGTTACGAGCCGGTTCTGAAATCCAGCGCATTAAGCAGAATATTCGAGACTCGCGCGAAATCTTAAAGACTCGACTTGAACTGCTTGGGCTGAACGATAGGTAAGCAAAGTTCCTAGTTTCCGCAATGTGGTCATGCTGATTTAATAAACTGCTAGTGAAAATGTGAAAACAAAAGTCCTCCAGATTCAACGCATAACACTGTCACGATCACGTGTATCAGTGGACCTTAGGCTCAGTCAGGTGACAGCGGCTACTTGATAGGAGACCCTAGATCACGTGATGAAGTCGGAAGGAGTCAGCTGGACTCCTTTGCGCTCGACCGACTCCCCTGACTCCATAGCTGAGGAGGGCTATATAGCTTGGGAATAAGCCCTTAGATAGGATCGGTGTGCTCAACTTAGTTATTATTCTTGACTACCATAAATTGTTCTACTCTACTTCATATCACCATACCAACTAGCGTGACAAACACTTACAAGCCAAGAAACCATTCGCGAGCTGGAAAATCGTCAGCGGGAATTGTAACATGAGTTCCGACGGTTAGGAAAACATGCCAAACAAAGTCTGGAGCAAACACAGGCGTATCTCAAGCAAAGAGAAGCAGATATTGATGCCCGCCTGGTCCCCATGCACGTCGAGCAACGCCAAAATTTTGCGGTTCTTCAGGCTACCTTCACGAGCTCTATGCAACCTCTTCATACTCAGATGGAACGGATGTCACTATCTTTGTACCAACAGACTCGAATGCGGCAGCATTTAGTTGGCAATGCTCAAATTCTATTCTACAATCCCGAGACGTCTCGTAATAACTCAACAGTTCGCGTCTCTGCAACTATAGCTTCACAGCAGTGCTCAAGGGGTTGCAGCTGTCAGTGCCATACCCGCGCATCAATTCGTACTGGCATACTTTTCTAGATTACAGTTCATCTATTTCGATGAGATCTTGCAACTACCCTCCCTGCCGAAAGAGCTTGGGCAAGCATCATTTTACTTACTACTTCCCGCCATGGCTGGTCTTAAGGGCAATTGTAGCCTCCGCAAATCTAGACGACCTTTTTGGTGCCGGCGCAAAGGTGTTGATTAACATACCTCTTATCGTCCCCGAGGAGCGTCACCTTGTTTGGTCGCTCGTGGTAGCTGGAAACTTGGAGCAGCTGCGGAACCTACTGGCGGGTGACAAAAATCTGGTGCACGTTAAGAACCAGTGGGGTCAGTCTATAATGCACGTAAGTAACACCTCAAAGCTCCTCACACCCTCTATTTGCAGGATGCGTCTCGATAAGTATGGAAGCAGGAAGTCTGGATTGTGTATTCTTGGCACTAACTATGAATAACAACTGCAGGTCGCTGCTAAAATACATCAGCCAGCTGTCTTCAACTTCCTCATCTCCATCGGTATGGATGAGCATTCTCCAGATGAGAATCAAAAGACAGCCGCCACTACCGTCTTAACGCGGAGAGGGAACCAGGAGTATACACTTAGAATCGATGCAGACGATTTGGCTAACCGCCTTGGCTGGACACCTTTGCACGAAGCAGCTGCGCTGACCCGAGAAGGACGAAAATTAGCAGAAGCCCTTCTTCTGGAGTCCGAGTATGTCGATATCAATAGCAGAGATGCTCTTGGCAGAACACCTCTGCATTGGCTAGCCGAAAATGGCGAGGCAGACGCCATACGACTCCTCACCCAAGACCCATGGAGAGCTGATGTTCACATGCGTGACAATTGCGGATTCACGGCGTTGCATTGTGCGTGCTGGGCTGACGATCTTGAAAGCGCGGCTGTACGCCTCGAGGCAGGCAGCAACGCTAATGCGCAAGATAAACATGAACGAACTCCCTTGCTTCATTTTGATAATTACAAATTGCTAGACCTCCTGCTTGAGAAGGGAGCGGATGTGTATATCGCTGATGATGAGGGTGCGAATATTATGCACCATGTTGCTGTATCTAACCAGGCTGTTCTAGCAAAGACTTTGCTGGAACGGTACGGCCATACGCTCTGCATTACGAACTATAATGGAGATACGCCACTCGGCTTGGCTATTCAAAATAATAGCCTGGAGGTTCTGGAGGTTTTGCTCCCATTTTTGGAGGATTTCCCGGTAAGTAGCCAATTTTCATTTCTCTGTCACGAACAGAAGGAGCAAAGAGGCTCGACCTGCGTCATGCCTTGAATGCCGGTTGACTAAGAAGCGAGCGGAAAATAATATCCATGCGATAAAGACTGACAACTACTGCGTTTCAACCCAACCAGTCACATCTTAACCAATCATTTCTCTCTGCACCAGTTTTCATAAAACTTTCGACTCTAACACATCCCTCTTATAGATAGAAAAAGTAGGCATGTCCAACATCCACAAGAGAAACCCCCTCCATCTCGCAGCCTTACACGCAAGCACCGAGGTAATGGAAATGCTTACCTCCGCCAATCTCTCCGTCCTTAAAGGGATATCCGATGCCCCAGACAAAGACGGCCATTCACCAAATGTATGCTTTGTAAGATGCCGCGGTGCGCATTGTGCTGTTACAAGAAAGGAATGGGATGTGGAGAAGAGAGTTTGGGTTAGGTTGATGATGTTCGCAAGAGGGGAAAGTGTTGCTGTTGATGATGAACATGATGAGACGGAAGTCAGGTTTGAAGAGGATGCTTGCAAGAAGCGTAAGGACTCGTTTTGGGATGTAACCGATGAACATGAAGAGAATGGAGTGATGTCTAAAGAAATTTGTGATAAAAGCAAAGAGTCGTCTTTTTTGGTTAGCGAGACGGGGTGTGAGACTGATAGTATGTCAGAAGAGGAAGAGGAATTTGCAGATGCAGAGGATTGGAAAGACACGGAAGGCTGGCCGCAAGATACTATTTACGAGACAAGCAGCTAGAGCTTGGCCGGGGAGCAAAAGATCTAGGAACTTAACTTAGCCAGTTGTGACGGGTTGAACCCGATATTTGGCTGCACTACTACGTAGTGCAGCCTGCACGTGACTACGCGGGCCTGCACATGACTGCGCGACGCCAAAGCGCGCGGGCCATTCTACGAACCAGCGAGAGCCCCTTTTAAAAGAGCTCCTCGTACAAGATAGAACTCTTCTCTCTTTAGTTAATTCTTTTTGTAATACAATCAAGTTCTTGCTTTGACTCATTGCATCCTGTGATGGGTTGAACCCATTCTGTGGCTATGCCCCTAAATGGGCATAGCCGTCACGTGAGCAGACGCTCGGGCCTTGGCGCCCTCACAAAAGGATTTCTCCGGGGAGAATCCTTCTTTCCTTAACTAGTTCTTTTTGTAATACACATAGCTTGTTACTTTGACTCATTGTATCAGCCTGTGACACATCCAACCCGTGACACCAGTCAATGCAATTCTTAATAGTGTCACAGTGCTGGTTTCAGTCCTATCACGTGACAACTCACCGCCTGGCAGAATCCTGTATATAAGCACTCCTGAGAGCTGTCCTCAGCTCTTCACCTTAGTATTCTAAGAATGGATCACCTCTTGCATCTCAACCTGATCTGGTCTGTCACAAATAGATTATTATAAAATAAATTATAATAATTTTTTATATATATAATAAACGACTTTGTAAGGGGCTACGCTAAGAGGGAACACTTAAGACGTAGGCAGTGGGTAAAACTGTCGTTGAATTCGATGAAGAACTGAAAGGTAGCTAACTAAGGCTTTATATACATAGGATCAGAGGCTTCGTAGAAGCCTCGGCATAAGCTAATTGTGACAGCACGGTGGGAAGCTCAGTACGTAGACGAAGTATCGATTCGGCTATCTCTTAGAATCTAAAGGTAAAGAAGAGAAGGGGAATGAAAGAGGAGAAGATCTAGATATATATATGCCAGGGGAAAGGGATGTCATGTGAGGAGCTAAGCCCCAATAGGCTTAAAGCTAGGGAACGCCACCATTCCCGGCCTGACCTTTGTCGCGGGCGATTAGGCAGGCGATTAGGTCAGGTGACAGGCGATTAGCCAGGCGATCCAGGTGGTCCGTAACACTAATTACCATAAGATTAAAGTCTTAGATCGGAGATTGCAACTCGTAAAGAAAATAAGGAAGCTAGTGCTTAAGCGAGGCGTAGCCGAAGCATTATGGAGTTCAACCCCTGACAGACTTAATAATAAAATTTTAAATATTAAATTTTTGAAAAAAATTTTATTTAAAAAAATTATTATACGAAATTGTCACGACTCTCTCCTTACCCTGGTAAGGTCACGTGGGTTGGTATGGTGAATGAAGTAAGATAAGGCAATGATATAGTAGTTAGGAAAACTTAATCAAGTTGAGCACGGAGTTCCTCCCTAGTGAGTGACAACTCGCCGCTATATAGGACCTCCGTTTCCTGGATCGTAGTGGATCGCTCGATCCCCTATGATCCCCTATGATCCACCACGTGACCCAGGGCCCACCATAGGTCGAGATTCCCCGCTTGCCGAGCCCATGGTCCACTAGTCCCGTGATCGTAACAGAAATTTTTTTTTTATTAAATTCGAATTTATAAAATTATTTAAATAACGTATATATAAAATTATTAAAATTTTATATTTATAAAACGTTTATCGAATAATTAAATTTGCGTTTTCGTTTATTAAGCAATTAATTAAAACAAAAATTTAATGCCGACTTCATGTTACGACCACGGGACTAGTGGGCCTCAGGCCGCACGGTGGGTCACGTGATGGAGTTTTACTCCCCCATAAAACTCCAAAGAACAGTAAAACTCCAGGAGGGGGTTTTACTCCACGACACTCAAGTTCTATATAACTCCGGGTTGTCACCCATTAGATAGGAGCTTTGTGCTCAACTTGATTAAGTTTTCCTAACTACAATATCATTGCCTTATCTTACTTCATTCACCATACCAACCCACGTGACCTTACCAGGGTAAGGAGAGAGTCGTGACACTTCAACGCTGCGAGCTACAAATAAAAGTCTTCAAACAACAGGTCGACTTGAACGTTTTCTAGTTTTTGTAGTATTTACTCTTGGAAACAGTTCAAGAAGATGCCGTCGTTGCCGTGGGGCTCGACGAAAGAACACCAGACGTGATAGCCGGATAGCCAGTCAGAAAACAAGTACATGCCGAGCTGACACGACTAGGAGAACTTCCGCAATTGGCGACATAGGTTGGAATGGCCGTTGAGGCAGTGACTGTCTTTTCCAGATACGTAGTGCAGAATGCCGATGCGGAAGCAGAATACCTCGCATCCCGTAAGTTTCTGAGACAATTGTCGCTAGTCTGGGAAGGATCAGTATATCGAGTGTCTGAGAATGGAAAGAGCTTACGCAAGTAATTGGCTCTGTTGCTGGACTTGGTGGAACAGGACCAGTCGCCCACTGCACAGGATTTGGCCCCAGAACAAACTCCATCGTGCCACCATTCGCGAAAACATCATTCCAAGTGAGCCAGTTTTGGGTCCACTGCTGGCCGTTTACCTTCAAGCTCTGAACATAGAAATCTGTGTCGCCATTGCCGTCCCCACCTGTACTTGTGATTTGCAAAGTCTTACCATTGCCAAGGTTAATTGTCATGGATTCGAACCATGGGGAGTGGATCAAGAATGTGGTCTGTCCTGTTACCGGATAAAGACCAATCATGTTCCATAAAAGCCACGTCTGCATAGCTCCTGCATCCGAATTTCCTGGTAAGCCGCTGACACCAGTGTTGTAATCTCCTTTGGCGACTTTGCGAGATTGGTAAACTGAGCGGTCTGGACGATTGATGAAGTTGTAAAGATATGGGACGTTGAATGTCCTGAAATTGGTCAGTAGAAGTTATGATGCAAGGACAAGGAACCCAAGGACATACGGCTCATTGGTGGAGTCAAAAATGATTCCAGTAGGGTTGTTCGGATCCGCACCAACTGTAAACATGGTTTCGAGGCGAGAGTAGAATGTGTCTGCCCCTCCCATCCACTCTATAATCTTTGCTATGTCGTGAATATCACCCCAGGAATATTCCCAGGAGCTAGCTTCATAGTATGGGTCTCCCCAGTAGCCGGAATCTGTCAATGGATCTGTAGCAATGAAAGAAGTGAGATTCCTTGGCACGATGAAGCCGGAGTAACCAATAGACTCGAGATCTGGGTTCCAGTGATTTCTCCAGTTCCGAGATCTGTTGAGATACTTTGCTTCGTCATCCGTCTTACCTAGACCTCTTGCGACCTGGTACAGACCAAAGTCATTGAAGGCATATTCGACAGCGCGTGATGCGGCTCGAGTGAAAGCTGGAGTGATGAACCTATAAGCGAGCCAATCTGGTAGAGCACCACGACCTTCCGCGGTAGAAGCCTCGGGAGCCATTGGGTCAGGGGGAACAGTATTTGGAGGTTGGACTTCAGCGTCTTTGACCATCGCAGCATAGCCGTCTTCCCAATTTACCAGACCTCGAACGCCCTTCACGTATGCGTCGGCAAGAACGTTATCCGCATTTGAACCTCCTTGTGTCCGGCCGTTATAGTTCGAGGATCGAGCATCTGGCATATAGCCATCATGTCTCCAGATATCGATCAGGGAACGAATGTGCTCTTCGTACACAACAGGATCCAGAACTTGTAACAAGGCAGTTGAACAACGGAAGAGGTCCCAGAAAGTGAAGATGTCTGAATAATACGGCTCGGTGGAAGTCCATCCAGGATTCTCGCCAGTTTGGTTGGTTGGCAGCAGATTCATGAAGTACAGAGAAGTGTACAGCAGTTCAAGATTCGAAGTATTGGTCGTGGTAGTGGTGATCTTGGAGAGAATTTGATTGTTCCAGGCAGTCTTAGTACCTTCAATAACGGACTGGAATGGAGTTCCGGCTGGGATTTCTTTCTCGAGATTTTGGCAAGCTTGGACATTGGAGATCCAAGAAATGCCAACTCGAGATGAGACGGCAGAAGTGTTGAAGCTGTATAAACCACCAACTGCTGTGGCCCAAGAGCTGGAATTGGCAGAATTTGAGGGCTGTAACACGCTGCCACCAGGAACCGTGCCGTCGACAGTGTTGGTGTAAGCATTTGCAGCCGACGGAGTCACATTGAAATAGCCACCTAAGATCATTAGTAGGTAGCGATTTTGAAGCTTGGAATCTCAACTTACAGGAATAAATCGTCCAGTCTGGAGACCTGTTCCATCCATTGTTATATATCCCAGAGGCTTCATAATGACCGTCATCCATAATCGAAAAATGGCCCCCAGCATATCCTTGACCTAGCCCTTGACCTCTGAAAGAAGGTAGCACATGACTCATATCAATCAGAATATTGTTTCCCGTGCTTCCAGCTGGAAAAGTGTATTGATACATGCCAGCACGCGTGGCTGCTGCAAGTTCCACTACCACATTTTGAGCCGTTTGAGCTCTGTAATACCCCACAGACCCTTGATCCGCGGTAGCTCGTCCAACTGTGATGTTCGACAATGGATTGCTGATTTTGCCAACCAATGGAAGCTGAGCAACAGTACCGTATTTCTGTAGGCATATCAGTACGATTTCTTTTGACAGAGGTCTGACAACCAAGGAGCTCGTCCGAGGATCTAAAACATATTTCCTTTGGTGCGCAGCTTTTGATGATAATCTTTGTCATCTCGGCTCCTAGAACGCATACAAAACAAGGGCAGAAGTCACGTACGGGAGCTCCGCCTGTTCCTTGCTCATGCATCATACTGAAGCCGGAAAAGTTGCCATTGGGAAGATAGCCGGAATATGAATCGGTGCCCGTGACCAAGAGGTCAGCTCCTAGTTTCACCATACCAAACGGACGAGCAACTCCAGGGAAGTCATTCCCACCATTTTGAGTTCCAGTCCTAGGCCGATCAGCAAGAAAGTATATTCTGAGCATTGTGACTTACAAGACGTTCACATATTGGGTATAGTCGGTTGTCTGCGCAAAACTTCTCAATGCCAAGAGTGGCAAGAGCAACAACGCGTCGAACATCCCAAATAATGATACTGAGTGAAGTCTCTCCAATCGGTCTTCGAGATCAGACGAGAGAAAAGAGCCATCTTGGGATTATATAGGATCAAGGGTCGTTGTGGCATGGTCGGTCGCACTTGCTTCTTTAGCCTCACGGAACAACAGATCCTCCCTTGCACATACTTACTTGTAGACACACTGCATCCTTAGAGAAGATGCTGCAGCCGCCGACGACAATGGAGAGTGGATTATTTCTGTTGAGTGCGGGGCAGAAATTGGCATCGACAGGAGAATTGCTGCATTGGTGCATATCGAATTTGACCAATGATCGAACAAAACCTGGGGTCGTGTCTTCTGGGGGAGACACGTGATGCCATGGCCTTTCTCTGAATATCAGAAAGTCGAGGCAGGTGCGTGTACTGCGATCAAGCTTATTTGAACTTAATCGCAGGCAGCTTTGAGGCAAACAGCCAGAGAGCCGTTCGGAATATTAAGGTTGACGGCATATGAATGGCAATTCAACAGCCTAATTGTGGACTACCATTCCGTACTTCGAGAAATGAACGAGATCACTTGGGCCTGCTTCAAAGCGACCGTGAAGACTTCTTCCTCTGCATGCTACGCGACTATTAAGAGGAAGGAGAAAATTTGTGAGCTTCGGATGTGTTCTGCAGTTGAAATATCGATAATGGCAGGAAATGTTCCGAAAGACCTATAGCTAAAGAGGTCTAGCGTATAATTACTCAGCGAGTCCTTCAGCTCATCTTGACTCCTCTCTCGTCTTCTTTCCATGCCCGACATAAGAACAGCATGTATTTATCTCCCCATGCTATCTGCTCCACGTGTAGCACGTTAAAGTTTAGTTTCTTGGCACGATTCCTTGAAGCAGCTGACAGTCTCAACCATTCCCCTTCTAGCATCCCGTGGCCTACGGCATTCCCTCTTCAGCCCGAAAAAAAAGGTTCACAGGATCGGCACTAGATATTATATCGGACGCTTCTCACAGTCGGAGTGACGCCGAGAGAGAGCCTCATGACATCAATCTCTGTTACCGCCTTTTAAGGTAATCACTTTGGTGGGACTTTTCTGTGCCGATCCAGGGCTTGGCTGTTCAAAATGCGGGGTGCGGCTGTGGGGAAGAAGCACTTTCTCCAAAATCCAGCGAGTGCTGTACGTAGTAAATGCTATGATCCCCCACTTTCCAGATTCACTACGATGTGGACATATAAGCCCAGTTTCTGGAAATGGTTTTCGGGAATTTTAGGTAAGAGACTTGTTTGTGTCCAACCAGTTTCTATCTATCATGGCTGTTTTCAGCTTTACCTCTGTGTTTTTTGCTTTCTGCTGGCTTATAAGTCAAGTAGGAGGTTCTGCTATCTGCAATTTTACAGCTTCAAGCCTTTCCTTCGATTCAGACACAACAGTACTCTCCACGACTTTCTACTCAAATGGCTCTACGATTCCACTTCCAGGCACGGTAGCATCATGTGCCATCAACTCTACAATCGCAACTGGTGATCTCTGCAGAATCACTCTCAATGTACAAACAAGCTGCATGTCTTCCATCTTTCTTGAAGCCTGGCTCCCCACGAACTGGAATGGCCGTTTCCTAGCTTCAGGCACAGGAGGCATTGGGGGCTGTGTCGATTACACCGTTCTCCAATCTGGGGTCCAGCAAGGCTTTGCGACACTGGGTCAGAACGCTGGTCACAATGGTTCTACAGGCTTTGACTTTTTTCTCAATAATCGGGAATCGTTGATTGACTTTGGCTACCGATCTACGCATATCGAAGCCGTGACTGGAAGACAGCTCGTCGAGCAGTACTATGGCAAGCCTGCAACTAAGAATTACTACATGGGGTGCAGTACAGGCGGCAGACAGGCTTTCAAAACTGCAATGATGTATCCGGAAGATTTTGATGGCATGTTGGCAGGCAGTCCTGGTGTCGACTGGCTTCGAGTTGTTAGCTCAAAAGGTATTCTCGCCGGAAGAATTGGCTGGCCCGATGTCTCAAGTCCAGCTTATCTGAGTGATGATCAATGGACAGCTATCGTGGCAGAACAAATCAAACAATGTGATGGACTAGATGGAGTTATCGACGGAATTTTGGACGATCCAACAAAATGCGGATTCAACCCGGAAACCTGCGCTTGTGGAACTGGAGTGCTCAATAATTCTGTATGCTTGAATCCGTATCAAGTCAACAGCGTTCGTCAAGCATATCTTCCCATTGCCGATACGAAGGGTGACATTGTGTATCCTGCTTGGGACTATGGCGTTGCTACGGATGTGTTCTCAAAGTATCCAACTTCATACGCGATCTTGTCGGTGAGTTTGCAACCGCTTTTGATGATCGCAGCTAACAGGACAGGACTACTTTCGCGGAGCTATCTATAATAATAGCGATTGGAATTCATCAGACTTCACAGCCGCGGACATGGACTTTGCTGTGAAAGTCAATCCGGGCAGCGTCAACACCGGAGAAAGTGACCTCTCTGCTTTCTTTGCTCGAGGTGGAAAATTGATGGCATACCATGGGCGAAACGACAATGTATGCTCCCTTTCCAAGATATTTGTTTTTGCACTGACAGACGCCAGTCCGTAACCTCTCGCAATAGCGAGAACTATTTCAACGATGTCCAACGAACATTGAATCTTACCATAACGCAGATACACAGCTTCTACCGCCTCTTCTTCATCCCAGGGATGCACCATTGTACCGGTGGCCCCGGGGCTTGGGACATAGGGCAGAATGGACCTGTACCCACCGACATGCTGACTGTACAGGATAATGCGTTGATGTCGCTGGTTGAATGGGTTGAAAGTGGCGTCGAGCCGGAAAGCTTGGTGGGGACGAAGTATACAGATGATAATCATTCGATGCCTGTTCTGGCGCAGAGAGGTGAGCCCTATCTTATATGTTCTCAGAAAACTGGTCTAGTTGCCTGATGACCACTGTAGCTGACTTGAGGTAGCTCATTGTGTGTATCCTAATGTCAGTGTCTGGGATGGTATCGGAGATACAAAGGTTGCATCAAGTTGGAACTGCAGACTGCCTTCATAACGAGCTCGCCAACACGCAGTCATCCCACTGCCTACGGTCACGTGGGTTTCGAAAGACCGGGGAGATTTTAGAAATTCTGACTAATGTTCGATATGAATCATCTTGTCCCATTAGCTGGAGTGTAGGTGGTTTGCAATTTTGCATCACTAGGCAGAGGGCACAGGAAGTATATATTCTGTCAACGTGCATTTCATATCTTCTCGCCCTCGGCAAAGCAGGCCACAAGCTCGAAGAACAAGCTTCACGTCAAAACGTCCACCCCACTTTCATCACGAAGCAGGCAAGTGCGCCGTCAGGAACGAATCAAATGGCTGTATGCTAAGGTTAATATGGACAAGCAATTTGTCGGACAAGAAAGCGATATGAACAAAACTCGTATCTGCACCCGCACGGCGCAGCACCAAAATACCCGTTTGCGATGTGGCAGTGCTTCATTCAGGGGTAAATAATCGAAAGGTTGGGCTTAGCGTTTACTCACGAAACCCCGACGCGTCAATTTGATGTCATGTTTCCTTTTCATCTCATTTGTATTCGATGAAGACATCGTGACATTTGGTGCTTCCATCTCTTCTTGGGATTGTTGCTGCATGTCTGTAGCTGTGTGGCGTTCTTGCACGTGGTAGTAGTGAGCCCGCGAGTATGGCACTGGGATTGAGGTCCCTTCTTGGTGGGGTCGTGATCTTCTTGGCTGCCTTGGTCTCTGCTACCGTCGATCCGGTGGTCATCAAGGTGAGCTTCAAATGTCCAATTCGGTATCTTGTCTGACGGCCATAAGGGATCACATTTCTTCTACCAAACCAATGGCTCAGAATTCTTTATTCGAGGCATTACCTACCAGCCTCCATCGAATTCGACGCCCATCGACCCGCTGTCAGTCTCTTTAAATTGCATGCGCGATATTCAATTCCTCAGCGATCTCACCACCAACGTTATCCGAGTATCCTACATCGATTCAGCTTCCGATCATTCAGCATGTATGACCGCTCTCCAGACTGCTGGGATCTATGTTCTCGTGGACTTGCCTGGAACGGCCACCATCAACAGCACGAATCCAGAATGGAATCTAGATATATATGGAGCTTGGGTTCAAACCATAGATGCGATGGCTGGGTTCACGAATGTTCTAGGATTCTTTGCTGGAGATAATGTGGTTACCAATAGCAGCAACTCGCCAGCCGCGGCATTTGTGAAGGCAGCTGTGCGGGATTTGAAATCATATATCGCAACCAAGGGCTACCGGCCGATCCCAGTTGGCTACGAGATGAGTGCTTCGGACAATTATGATGTTGCTTCTCTATACATGACCTGCACCAATTCCTCTCAATCGATCGACTTTCTGGGCATCTCGGACTTCAATTGGTGTACGAACAACACTTATGTTAATTCCGGTTATGAGAATATCATTAACCAGTATGCTACTTATACTGTTCCAGTCTTCTTCGCGGAGTATGGCTGTAAGGACGTGGCCACCGTTCCCAGAGAGTTCGATGAAGTGGCATACATATACGGAACTCAGATGACGAACGTTATTAGTGGAGGGATCGTCTACGAATACTTCCAAGATGACGAGAACAAGGGTAGCTCATTTCCTCCTCTGTGATATCTATATATCTTGCTGACTGGACTAGGACTCGTCTCAATAGTTTCAAATTCCGTGGTCAGCCCCTTGCCGGACTTCACGTCATACTCTTCACAAATAGCCAAGATCACACCATCTTCAACCTTCGCGTCAAACTACACGGTCACCAATACCATCACCCAGAGCTGCCCCACTACCGCTTTCTCTGCTTCGCCAACTTTGCCACCAATCGTCAACAAGGACGTTTGTTCTTGCATGGTAAACTCTCTACAGTGCGTTGCTAGATCACCCCTCAACTCCTCGACCACAACATCACTACTTGAAGGGATATGCGGAACCAACTCCATAAACTGCCCGGCGTTGCACGGAGATGGAAGCACAGGAATCTATGGATCGTACAGCATGTGCAATGTCACGGAACGACTTTCTTGGGCTCTCGATATGAAGTACCAAGACAACTTGGTTGGATGCACCGACGATCCGGATGCGACGACTCAGGAGACCGACGAGTCCTATGACTGCGAAAATGTCTACGAACAAGCTGGAGCGGTCGGGACTGGGACTATTACTTCGTTTCCCACTTTGACGACAGCAACGAACATAGGATATCCGTCAGATTCCCTCACGCCATCATACTATTATGGTGACGATTCGAATTCGCTCAGTGGTGGTGCCATAGCTGGTATTGCGATAGGGAGCATCCTTGGAGTTGCTGCCATAGCCTCTGGATGCGCATGGTTCTTCTGCTTGCGAAGACGAGGCTTCAAGCGCCAGAACAGCGAAAGCAGCAACGGAAACCCACGAAATTCGACACCAGCCGACCATCTATTTCCTCCGCGCAATATGCGAGGAGGTAGCGCCTCAGTCATATCCGATGATTCTCGAGATATGTCAGAACTGCCACAGTTCGATGGGAGTTATATAGGCCAATCGTCCACGCAATGGAGTCGTACTGAACTGCATAGTATTCAATCCGAGGTCCCAGCTGGATATAGATCAATTATTGAGCGAGACGCGGCGATTTCGGAAATGCATACGCCGGTATCGAGGGGTTCAGACCTGGAACATCCGAGTCCTGTTATTCCGCCTTCGCCAATGGGATCTGAGAAGGAGCTGCCGGCTTTTCGGACGAGGATGGAGGACAAGTCGTTGCCGAGCATGAAGTTATTGTCGCCCATGATTAAAGTTTCGCCTGTATGAAGATGAACGATGAAAAGGATGAGCAACCAAATCCATCAACCGGCAACAAAATGGTATAGCTGCGGAAACCTTCCAGGAGTGCCGAGATATATATTGCAAGACCAGCAAGCGAGGAAGACAGAGATCGGCCACTCACTCGAGAGAAAACAACAGCAAATCATTCGAGGAAAGTATGTTCCACTTCGTTTCCGTAACTAGATCGGGAATTAAGGTTCAAACGCCAGCAAAAGTAATATATCGAGAGGCGTCGCACCCCTGGTCGACGATTCTTCCATATAGCCTGTCCTGATCTAATTCAACATTCCCCTCACACCTGATCGGCACCTCACCGAACACACCATATATCTCGAAGACGATACTCCAAGTTCAATCATCTCAAAGTACGCCAGCAAAAATGCAACTTACACACCTCCTCCCAGCCTTCCTAGCATTCACAAGCGTCCGCGCAGCACCACTCGATCTCGACACGCCGATCGCGCCATGTCCTGGGCTTGCATGTTATAATTACCTCAAGAGCACGATAATCATCACGCGGGAGCCGCAGATTGGACCGCCGTGGAATCTCTCGTATGTTTCCTTTTGAAAGTGGATAGAGAGTATGGGCTGATGATGGGTCATAGAGGGGGAATATGTGGATATTGTAAGGATTTGTGTCATTGGGATGGGACTGGGAGTAGTTGTCCGAAATGAGGAGATGAGGGTGAGGGTCGACGTGTGGATGTCGGAGCGATTGGTTGGAGAGATTGAAAGGAGAAGCAGGAACCGTGGCGAACCTTCGCGGTTTATTCAAGAATCCATAGACCCAGGACAAAGTTTCCTCGCAATGCGATGTTGAGCTCGAAACAGCCGATACCTTTATTGAACTCTTTCCCTTTGCGAACTATATTTCCTGTTTTCTGACGACAACTGATGCGTTATCATCAGTCGTGGCCCTAAGCTGCTATTCAAAATACAATTCTTCTGGGCTATGCAGCACCCTCGACCGAATCATTTCAGGCATGAAACTACAGCGCATCCCGCGCGTTCAGCGCATGAAGCACATTCCGGGGCACTATACTCTAGCTCAGTGGCGTCTCTATCCTGAAAAAGTGTAAATATGGTATCTTAGTGATAAAGCTGATCTCAGTCGTGGAAGTTTCGCAGCCTGCACGGACAAGCCAAGAAAGTCAGAAAGTTGATCTCCTTGATGAGGTTCATTCATATTCAGTTAGGGAAAAGCACTTGACAAGGCAGCGGAGCTAAGGTAGACATTATGATGAATTGTTAAAAAGTCCCCAGGAAGTCTTCTACAATAATACAGTAGCGCTGTGCTCCATCCAAACCCGATCTACTTCGGCATCAGCTTGAGAGTATATCTTTGTGATACATCCTCATATACTTTCGAGAGCATGACCTTTTCTACCCCCTACTTTCATTTTGCCCATCACACCCGTCTGCACTTCATTCTTCTATACACTCTCTTCAGCCAATTCCGTATCCGAAGTTCTTTTCTCCTCTATCCTCTTTCCCCCCATACTATCATAAAACACATACCCCATCCCAACCAGAATCCCCACTCCACTCAACCCAATCCCAACATACAACGCAGCCCTGTACCCCTCCAACGTACTCCCTCCATACTTCCCAATATACGCCTCCGCCGTCCCCGCAAACCCCAACCCAACACTCTGCGAATAATATACAACCGTCGCCACCAGACTGGCCGCTATCCCCTGCTCCCCTGCCTCCACCATGCCACTGATGAGAATCGTTGCTGCTGGAAAGCTAATATCCATTCCAAACGGCGCCACCACGTTTGCCCAAAACATGTTTCGCCAGTATGATTGCTCAACTGGCATTATTGCAATGAGGACATTCATACCACAGAAGAAGAACATGGACAAAGCCAGCAAGTAAGAAGTCGGAACGCCGCGGCCGAGGAGGAACGATGTCAATAACGAGGCGGCGAGACCACTGAACGGAACCGGAACATACTGAGCGGCGGTACTGAGGAGACTGCATTGCCGGAGCTGGGTGATAAAATTCACGCTGTAGTAGATGAAGATGCCAAAACTGGACCAACCGACGCCGACAACGAGGAGAACGAAGATTGCATCTTTGGACAGTTTGTTGATCGGTAAGAGAGGTTGCGAGACTTTCTTCTCGATGGAGAAGAACAGACCGATGAGGATGATGCCAAGGATGAGAGGGGCGATTGCTTGGGCCTTTTGCCAGCCAACAGCCGGAGCACGGTTCCATGCGAAGTTGAAGAGGATGAGCCCTGATATACCGGTGAAAGCGCCCCAGTAGTCGAACTGGTTCTTCCCTTCTGAAGATGGAATAGTAGTTTCTTTGTCACAGATAGGAGGAATTGCGAACGACGCAAGTCCAGCGAGACCCGCGCAGACGATAGCGGTCGAGTAATACGACCAACTCCACTCCGCTAGCTGGGCCAGCAAAGCGGCGAATACGCCTCCAACAGTAAACCCAACAGGCGCCCCAGCAGCGTATAAAGCGAACGCGAGATTCTTTCGGTGTCCGTCTCTGTATACCGATCCCAGGATGGCGAGGGAGGCTGGGACGAGAATCGCTGGACCGATACCCTGCATCGCTCGACAGATATCGAAAAATATGGCGGATCTCGAATAGACCGATAGTCCCGCAAGGAGAGACCATAAGGCGAACCAGAGCCAGCCCACGACATACAGTTTCTTGTGCCCGTAGATATCTCCTAGTCGGCCGGCTGCTAACATGAACGTCCCTGTAAATTGTTAGGTTTGGACTTGGTAGAGAAAGAAGGATGACTGAACGTACCTGATGTCAGACTATATGATGCTGGGAACCAGGCAATGTCTGTGGGATCTGCGCCGAAACTGGCGGCTATGGCGTAGTCGGGTAGGATGCCTTGGATATTACCTACCTGAACCATGAAATTTGTCAGGAAGATGACGAAGACGAGGATGATTTCGCGGGTTAGAGAGATTGGTGGGATGAGGAAATCAGACTCTTGACCATCATTGCGGTTTGAGGTCGGAGGAGAATGCATTGAGGAGACAAGTAACTTTAATCGAAAAATGAGATGCTCAACGAAAAACAAGGTTCTTGGAGAGGGTTAGAGTTCAGGGGTGGTTCTCTTTTATACGATGAGCGACTTTTTCATCATCATCTGCCAAGAGGAGAACATCCTTTCTAGACTCCGTTGTATGCCTTGGTTCATCGTCCAAAGCAAGAAACTTGATAAGCAAAATAGATCAACAAAGCTCGAAACTTCTAAATAGTTATGATTGAGCCTTTACATACCCTACTTTGGGTAAGAGCCTCATCATCACTGAGCCTCGATCTTCCCTCTCGTTAATTGCGTTTACCGTTTTGGTTGTAGGACGCCGGTTTACTAATCCGTGGGCGCGATGAAACCCCGAAGGCGGTTCGTGATTTGAGCTTGAAGTCAAAGGGCGTGGAGATGCTTATAAATTGACACAATAAACTAGTGGGAGCCGCCGGTTCTAGACACTTGCTTAGAAGTGGATCGATGTAGTCTCAGCACCAGATGTGGAATAAGCTTTTTGAGGTGTGCGGGGATTCTCGCCACTGTGTGAGCCTCAGAAATATAATGTTTGGTGTGTGGAAAGACGGGGTAATTGTGAAAGAAAGTTATTGCACTCGCAGATTTTAGTATTCTGACCTCTATGAGAGGGTAGCGTTGGTATATCCGATTCTTACTGTATCTCCCAAGATAGCTTCTTCCCTCGGTCCGAGATTCAACAGCGATTTGTATCATGTCCTGGCAAGGCAGTCTTTCGGGTGAAACAATTTTCAGACGAATCTGTCTGTGGTTGGAAAACTCTGCTCGTCTCTTGCGTCTGGGCTCTTGAAGTCCTCCAATGCTGCTGCCGCTGGGTACTGACCCAGTCATTTCAAGAAATAAACAAACGAAGCAAAAGGGGCTCGACAGAGTGCGAAATTGAGGACTTGATGAAGAATCAACACTATTGAGAGACTCACGGTCGCATGCAGAATGCGCCCTGAAAGAAAACGACAAGGCTGCTTTAGCGAGCGATTCTAGCGTTCTCCAGGAAATAGGGGCTTACAGTACTGTTGTCGCTAATTTGATAGTGAAGTGGGGTCGTATCCCTCAACCTCCATCTTCGTGCAGAATAAGTCAGTCCAACACAGCTAACACCAAATCAGCCAAAACCTAGACAAGCATCCGCCGATAGCATTTGATTCCAGACTTACTGTATATATCTATTTAACCAACCTCATAGAGCAAACGAAGCGGCAACAAGATGTCTTCTGGTGGCATCTCAACATACGAACAACGCCAAAAGTGGAGGGCCGAGCATTTGCAGACCAACGACCCCTTTGTGGTAGATATTCCTAAAATAGAGCTTCATGTGCATATCGAAGGGACAATGACACCAGAATTGCGTTGGAAGCTCTCTCAAAAGAACAAAATACCGCTCACTTGCGGCGCAGATAAAATTGCTCTCACGTCCCTGGAAGAAACCCAGAAGGCATACACTTGCATTCGAGGAAGGATAGGAGCTGCATCTGCCGAAGCGTCAAAATCGTTCACGTTCTTCCAGATATACTATGAGGGATTTGATCTTCTTCAGAGTGAAGAAGATTATTATGACCTAGCAATGAGATATTTCGAAAGAGCCGCAAAATTGAATGTTCGGTATTGCGAGCCATTCTTTGATCCTCAAGGTCATACACGAAGAGGGATATCTATGGAAGTAATCATGAAAGGCTTTCAAAAGGCACAAATTGAAGCGGAAAGAGAGCTAAACGTAAGCCCGATACCTTCAACTGTGTCCATTGTTGACCATGTTCAGGTGAAATCACAATGGATTATGTGCTTCTTGAGAGACATGTCACCAGAATCAGCGACGGAGCAATATGAAGCCGCTCTCCCGTACAAAGACATGATTGTTGGTATTGGCCTCGACTCTGATGAGCTTGATCGTCCTCCAAAGCTTTTCGATGAAGTATTTAGACGCGCTCGAGAGGATGGTTTTCGGCGCACAAGTCATTGCGATTTCAACCAGAAAGACACCCATGAACACATTCGCCAAGTCGCAGAATCCCTCGGCGGCCCAGGAACTGAACGTATTGATCATGGGTTGAATGCGGCAGATCAGGATGACTTGATGAATATGATCAAGGAGAAAGGCATCGGCATGACGATTTGTCCATGTGCCTACATCCGGCATGCTCCTGAATCTGAGGTATTTGTTCGAATTCGGAAATTGTTCGACGCAGGTATCAAGATCACTATTGCAAGCGACGATCCAGCATACATGGAAGATAATTGGGTACTTCATAACCTTTACATGGTTCGAGACAAGTGCAAATTCACGGATCAAGAGATGGTGCGGCTCCAGAGGAATGCAATCGAGATATGTTGGGCGAGCGACGACGAGAAAGCTGCTCTATCTCAAGAGATTGATTTTTTCGAGAAAGCACACCTCTCATGATTGTCTGTCCTCCTTCAAAGGGAAACTTGGAATTGTCCATATGGTTGATGAAGGTCACGTGCACACTCCCTTTATCGCCAAGAATGATCCGACCTCCACTTTCCCTTCCTCTCCCACTCTTGAAGAGAAAAGCTTGCGACACCATGTAACGAACCATCGATAGTCTTATCGCGCGCTTGCCCGCGGCCCGATCAACAATAAGTAAAGGTTTCGGCCTTTAACCACGATGGATTCCATCGACATCGAAGAAATTACAGAGTCGACACCGCTCACATCTGAGACAATGGCTATCGACCCACCTACAGACATCGCTGAGATGGAGGTCCAGGATGTGAGTCCATACACGAAAGCGCTTGCCAAGAGAGTACTTCGCAAAATTGATTTCCGGATCCTGGCCATCATGTTCGTGACATACAATTTGAACTTCATGGATAAGACGATTTTGTCCTCGGCTGCTGTTTTTGGTCTCGAGGAGGACAATCATTTGGTCGGCACGCAGTATTCTTGGGTTGGATCTATATTCTACTTTGGTTATCTGGCTTTCGAATACCCGACTACAGTCTTGATTCAAAAGTTGCCTGTTGGAAAATATTTGTCTGGGGTCACGCTTTTGTGGGGTGCTATTGTTGCTTCGACTGCGGCTTGTCATAGCTTTGGCGGTCTGGCTACTTGTCGATTCTTGCTTGGTGTTGCAGTAAGTCTAGATTGCCTCTTGTTAGGCCAACTAGCTGATTTATTCTACAGGAAGCTACCATCTCTCCAGCATTCGTGTACGTCACGAGCATCTGGTATACACGTGACGAAATTCCAGCAAGAACAGGAGTTTGGTTTGCTGGAAATAGCTGTGGAGGCTTCATTGCGTCTCTTCTTGCATATGGAATCGGACAAATCCACAGTTCGCTTTCGCCATGGAGATGGATGTTCATCGTAAGCTATTCTCATTTCGGGAATTAAAGAACTGCTAACAAATCCAGATCTTCGGTCTCATCACCAGTCTTTGGAGCGTCATGGTCTTCTTTCTTCTTCCCGATACAATCAGCCAAGCATCATTCCTCACAGAAGAGGAGAAACAGTATGCGGAAGATCGTGTCGTTCTTGGTGGAACTGGACGTGTCGACCCCATCAACAGCCGCTGGAAACTCGAGCAAGTCATCGAATGTCTCATTGATCCAAAGACATACTTCTTTGCCGCAATCTCCGTCTTGACACAGATTCCCAATGGCGGCACGGGGAGTTTCGGTAATCTTGCAATCAAGAGTTTCGGATTCACGAGTCTTCAGTCAACTCTTGTTTCTCTTCCTGCCTCCGTGATTTCCATGGCGACCATTCTCTCGACAGGGTGGCTAGCAAGTCGATTTCATAACATCACCACGTTATTGATTATTGCGGTGGTACTTCCTCCCGTTGTGGGAAGTGCAATCATCTTTTCAGTAAAGACAAAAGGCGTTCGTCTCTTTGCATATTATTGCGTAAGTTGCAGTCCAACTTTGCCATTGCCCGCTGACATCCCCCACAGCTCCAAACGGGACCATCGGCTATTCCACTGACACTTGGTCTCATCTCCTCGAATTACAAAGGTGTCACGAAGAAGATGACAGTGACCGCAGTGGTATTCCTGACATATTGCGCTGGCAACATTGCTGGACCTCAAACGTTCAAGTCCTCCGAAGCGAAACAAGGCTACCCGACTGCTTTCAAAGCCATTCTCATCTGCTATGGACTTGTGGTCTTGATATCTCTTGGTTTGAGATTTTATCTGATGTTTGTGAATAACAGGAGGAATAAAGTTGAGGGAGACGAGGCTGCCAGAGCGAGGGAAGTGGACAGGACCGCGCCCGAGAAAGCTATGGCTGAGTTGACAGCGGAAGATTATGAGGATATTACGGATTGGAAGACTGTCGGGTTTAGGTATCGATTATGATTTTCGATACCCCTGAGTATGCGTGTGATAGATTAATGTGTGGATTAGAGCGAGGAGGGGAGAGATTGTACCTGCGTGTCACAAAATCCAGCAAATGTCAGAGAACAAGTTTATCTTGCGAACGCCATTCGGAACATATGATCCCATTGACAGTGTTTCAAATGGCTTGACTTGAATCTATTCCCATTTGCTCGTTTGCAATTTAGAGGATGCCAACTCTTGTTTGTGATCCCTGTGGCTGATGCGTGGCCATGACGTCACAAGCGAGCCTCCTCTCCTTCAAAAGGGGAACCACAGCCACAGTTTCCTCACATCTGGAAGATAAAGCAAAGTAAAGCAATAATCGAAAATCATCACTGTTTCAAGACCTCTTACAGATATCCAAACAATCAACAGCAATCATGAGCTCAAACAAAGGCGGTGTCTCTTCAGGCGTAACCTGGGTTACCTCAACCGTTGGGTAAGTAGCACTCACTTCCATCTTTTTTACTTCCTCAACAAGTTCCTACACTCCCTCTTTCTCGTAAGAACACAAAGACTAACGAAATTAAAAACAGTAACGGAGTAAGCGGCCTCACCAACACCGTGGGCGGTGTCGTTGGAGCAGCCGGTCGCGGAGTCGGAGAAACAGTCAATGGCGTAACGGGCAGCTATGGCAAACCAGTTGGAGATGGCATTAAGGATGTTGCGGAGGGAATTGAGGGTGGTGCTGCGAGGGTTGCGGGTGGTGTTAAGAGAGCTGGAGAGGGACAGCATGGACCTTTGAGATGAAGGATCAGAGTTGTTAGTAGTGGTGGAATAATGATGGATGACTTGGGTCGGTTATGAATTGGATGTATGATGATACTATGAAGATGATTAGTTCCTATGTGTACACATTGTTGCTTATTCCAGTCTTACTTCTGACCAGGGATATGCTACCAACTTTCCTTCCGTCCTCGGAAACCTTCTTCTCATCTCAGCAATTCCAAACCCCATGTGCTCCGTTTATCTCGACTCGGTTGCCGATGCAACCTCTACTTAGTAGCGAAGCAATAGATGTGAAGAAAGGGGCAGACCAGTGCGGTTAGCTCTTCGCTTAGGAGAAGAGACTACTATCAACCGTCGGGTCTCGAAAGCTTCTCTTGGCATCTTCCATCTTTCATCTTTTTATGACCCTTCTCGGTCTCAATCTCCACGACTAGACAGATTCGCGCCCTCATCGGTACTGATATAGGTAGTTGTCCTGAGGTGGTTGCGGCACCGGCGTAGGGTACCTTTCAGCACCCACGAGAGTCGGCGTCCTCTGTGGAGTCACCCAAGGCAACGATTCAGGAACCACGGGGACACCTTCTATTCTCATCCTTAACGTATTCGAAGCGGCCTATTCAGGCAGCAAATGGGTTTCAGTCCATGGCATTCTCTGGAATTGAGGATCGGCTGCTTCCAGAGCTGCTTTCGCCTTCGAAATTTCTGCAAAGAATGCTTGTTCTGATATTAGACCGCTATGCACATTTCCAGCCCTTAATGATATGCAATCTTGCGGTGGAATCTTCTTCACGATTTCTGTGCTTCTGTTTGCACTGGTCATCAACACTTTGAAGGTTGGACCGCCCAAGCCATGATCCCGAACGATCGATTGAAGTGTGTCAACAACCAATTGCAGGTTTTCGGTTGAGTTGTTCATTTTTGTTTCGTACTCCGAGATGCCATCGATGATACAAAATACAAGTGTACCTCTTGGAAGCTGCTGGACAAGTTGTTGAAACAGATGACGCAATGCATTGAGCTCATGGGCTCGCAAGTCATTGTAAAGTTTCTGTTGGCTCAGCGAGTCAAGATTTGGCTCCTGTGTATTGGGATAGAGAAGAAGTTGGCAGATCAGGCTTCGAAGCAGCCCATGAGCTCCTCTGAGTGGATCGACGAAAGTCACGTGCTGGCCACAGAAGAAGTGCAAAACAATCGTCGTATGAAGCTTGATGACACTAGCGATGAAAGTCGAACAGAAGACAGACATTGGCGAAGTCTTGCCTGATTTTGCTGAGTCGCCATGGCCATCGACAAGAAGAATGTCTGATCTTCCTCCTCCCAGCCAATTCTTGAAGCGGGTTGTGGTCATGAGCCAACGGCCGTGCCCAAGAGCGTCAGTCTTGAAGCTCTTGCTTTGCCGCAAGACAAACCTAAGGTCTGTATTGGCTGTATCGTATGGCACCTTCAAGATTTCTAGAATATCGAAAGTCGAGATCTTTTGGTACGTGGGACTTGGAGAGCGATTTATTTGAGGTTGAGAGTATCCTTGGCCGTATTGTCAGCACATCTTGTACAAAGTGTAGTTTGAGGTTAAGTCACCTTGATAATATACTCTTTCCATTACTATGTACCATATTCCAGTTTGGATTGTTGTTGCGAAGTTCATATCCACAGTTTCCACTGCCATATGTTGAGAGATTTGATATTGTCTCTTCACGTCGTCCATCCTGTCGTCTATCTTCTTCTCTATTGCCATTTGCAGCTCCTCGCCCACCTCGTTGAGGGTTCGTGTTATATGGTTCTTGACCTCCATACCAGACTCTTCGACCTTGTTCTCTACTTCGTCCAAGTGCAATTTTGATTCTTCGCGGTGTGCTTCAAGATTCGCTCCGACCATAGTCAAATCTTTTGAGACATCAGCAACTCTAACATGAGTACTGACGGCAGTTTGTCTTATAGCTTTCGTTTCTCGGAGGTTCTCAGTCATATTCTGATCCGTGTGTGCGATCTTCTTGTGCTGAATGTTGTCGAGGCAATTCTTCAGATCGACGTAGCCTTTGTTTACCTTCCCAACACTCCGTTCAATAAAAGCCTGCTCATGACCTGGTATTTGGTTGGCCCATCGTTTTAGAACTGAAGGAAATTAGTTTGAAATTGATCGAATTGATGAAGTGCCCACTCACAAAAAGCGTTGTGTTTTCGAAGCAGAATTTTGATGAGTTGTGGCATCTCTTCAAGTAGCATTTTGTATAGTGCAGTCGCATTCTCGTGCAGGCTCTCCTCCTTCGGATAATATTGTCGAGTTGTTTGAGCTTTCTCGATGATCTCGGGAATACTTTTAAAAGCTTGAAAGATCTTCTCCCTGTTTGCCTCTCGTTGTTGCACAGCCTTTCAAAATCAGTTACTTCATTCAGAGATACCATGAACTCACATACATGAAAGATCATAGTCAGACCTGCATGCAGGATACTCAACCCGTACTGATCGGGGATCATGTCCAACCACGGAATCACGTTATTCGACATAGTGTGACCATGACGGAAAAGAGCTCGGACATGGTTCTCGTCGCCTTTCGCTTTATAAACATCTTGGGCCTTCTGCATCTGTCCGATCACATCGCCCCATGTGCAATCCAAGACTTCGAATTCAAAGCTCTGCCCGGCTTGCTTGCAAGCATCAAGCACATCTTTCAGATCACTATAACCGTGAGTGGAAACTTCTCGACTGGCATTATAGAAAGTAAAGATACTAACTGATATGGTTTCTTCACCGTGAAGGCCATGCGCTGCTTATCGTAATGACTTTCCGCCCCCAGAGCCTTGTGGATTTGTTCTCCAGGCCCTTGTCTCCATTGTTCGAAGGATTTGAGCTCTTTGTCGTCGCTCAGATGATCGCTCAGGCCTGTTGGGGTCCTCAAAAGCGAGGGTTCGCCCATTTTCAGATGGTGTTTGAGATGACTCTGGTGGTTTTGATATTCGAGGCATCGAAGGTTTTCTTCACAAATCGCGATGCGGATCTAGACTCAGCCTCAATGAAACGTCCAACGGGGTTGATTTTAGGCCCCCACGACGTCGGACCGGTTCGTTTGTCTCAACCCTGTGAGTGCAGCCTCCGCGTCAGCCAGATTAATATTGATTGGCTCAAGAACAAGTTGAACGCAGCTTTCATTGAGCAGGAGCCGGGCTAGTGCACTTTGGGTGCGCGCCTGCAACAGCAGTTGCCCTCCTTGACAAGGGTTGTAAAGCGTTAGAGGCACGGGCGCCTGTCGATTTGCCAACCTCCGATTATATCAGTTTGAGGGGGTCGAGGCCTTTTTATTTCAACCATGCCTCAGCCTCCTTCGTCGCAATCGGAAGTACTAGTCATACAAACACAGGCTGGGCTATGCAACAGAAATGAGTGGGAACATTGTTCAAGTCGAAGGCCCTCCGCCTTCTCCTGGAGCCTCATCTGCACCACATGTTGCTCTTGCTCATGACGACGATGATAGCGAAGTCACGAGCGCTCTTGTCCGTCCTGATACCAATGACGACGATCCAACACGAAAAGCTGAACGTGATACTGTAACGAATGAGATTACGACCGCGGAGCAGGAACAGGCAAAGAACGACCCAGACGAGATCTCGAACAAGATCGAAGCCAGCGATCTTACTACGAAAGGGCATAAAGGAGACGGCTCACGACGCTCGACAAAGCGTGGGAGCGCACGAAAAAATTCTAACGTTGCTGTTGGTCCCCCGCGGCTTCGGTCTCGGGCATCAAGGTTCGCTGGATTGCTTCGCCTTCACGACCGAGTGAAGGAACTCGAGAACCGTGCCAGTAAAGGCAAGAATCGAAAGAGGCGTGGTTCTGCTTCTTCATCGGGCAGCGGCAGTGGTAGCAGCAGCAGCAGCGGCAGCAGGAGCAGCAGCCTTGATCGGGGATCTGAGGATGGGGATACATTTGATAACCGTCGCCCGATTGCCGAAGTCAAAGAGTGTGATTGGGAGCAATTTAAGAACCGTTTCGGCCCTCAGGATGTATATTATGCTGTCGAATATTTCATTTCTGGTGAGAAATGGAGAGACGAAGTCGCGCATGAAGAGAGAAGACGTGACCTTGCGGCGCAAAGGGCTCGGTACAAGGTGTTTGATGAGAAAATTGACAGTGGACCGTCTAGAAGGAAGATGCGACTCGACAAGGACTGGGGTGAGATGATGCAGAACAACGATGCAAAGAAAGACACCGAGAAACGATGGATCCAGAGAATCCGGGTCAATTCTGTTCCGGTACTGAAGAGACTGGGGCGGGTTGCTGGAGAGACATGGACAGGTTCGCCGAGAACATTCTTCAGACCTTTCAGAAAGTTGATTCATTATCATGATAAGATGAAGGAGGAATTGCAGACTCTCGAAAGCATACTTGCGGCCAAAAGCAAACCTCTTGACCTTTTAGCGAAAGAACAAGAAACCCCCGACCGCGCCAACAACGGAGCAGCCAATGACGTTTCCATCGCAGTCGAAAATACCACAAACTCGGACGATCCTACGACCCCTGAAAATACAGCGGCTGCTTCTCCTGGGGTCGAAAAGGCAGTAGAACCCCAGAAAGATGACATCAATCGCACCAACACGCAGCTGAGCGAAGTAGTTGACGACCCACCACATTCAGAGACGCAAAGGTTAGAACAGGAGATGAACAGTAAGGAGGCTCTTCAAGATCTGAAATGTTTCGTCAGGTTCGTCGATGAGAAAATCATGCCACTCTACCACCAATTCGATAATCCAGAGAATGTCAACTCTCATAAGATCCGTTTCGATGATCTCTGGTATCTGTTTCGAGTTGGAGATCCTATCTATGTCCCTAATACAACCAAGCACGATACTCAAGCAAATTCAGACGCGAAGCAACCTTCAGTGGATCAAAGGATTTGGCGACTCTTTTCTCAATACCCACCAAGCATCAGACACAAGATTACAGGGGCGAGAGAAATTAGGAGGCCACCTCCTCCTCCTCCTGGTGTCCCTCCCGGTGCTCCTAATCCACCTCTTCCACCGCCAGTACGAAACGACATCCCAAGATTATGGTGTTATTACATTGATTACGACGGAGGAAGATATTGTCCGGTCATCAGAGAATTCAGTATCGCGTACTTCACGGGCGAGAAGTCCATCCAGGAACTCGAGATCTACCCTCTTCGTTTTGCACCTGATTCGGAGGAAATAATACAAGAGTACCAAACCCTAGGCCAAAACTTTGTCCAATACCTTACACAACGGCCTCTGGCATACAACAACTGGACGCTCATCGCAGACCCGAGGGGTGGCCCAATCAATAATTCGAATGGCGATCCGATCAAGCATCCAGAGTATATTGATAGCGACATGATTGTAGATTTCAAAGAAGCGTTCCAGACGTATCCGCCATGGCGCCCACCGATCCAATTCAATACCATGGCACCTCGCAGGATATCGGCGGTGGAGCCAGAACAGTTTCACATGATTCGATGGTCGGACAGTAACTGCATGGAAAGCCTTTCTAAGTTAATTGAATTTGTGCTAGAAGATGACGATATCGATTACATCCAACGGAATGCGAATTTGGAGAAAGATCCTTACCTTCGGCGGGGTGCAGCTAAAATATTTAACGACGAAGATTATCTTTTGCTGCCCCGAAGATTGTTTGCCTACGCTCTCCGCGAGCGAAGATTCGTGCATGTTGATGTACAGTTCCTGAAGCCTATTGCTGAGCATCTCGATGGGTTTCAGAGTCTAAAGGTAGATCCTGGCCACAAGAAAATGATTCAATCGCTTGTAAGCTTTCATTTCAAGAAGAAAGACGTCGAGAAGAAAGGAGCGGAGATTGGAAGTCAAGATTTCATCAGGGGCAAGGGCAGAGGAGTGGTTATCTTACTCCATGGCGTCCCTGGCGTTGGAAAGACTGCCACTGCTGAGGCAGTTGCTCAGGCAAACAAAAAACCACTGTTCCCGATTACTTGTGGCGACCTGGGATTCACACCCGAGAGTGTGGAAACGAGCTTGAGTGAAATATTCAGGTTGGCACACCTGTGGGACTGTGTTCTATTGTTGGACGAGGCGGACATCTTCTTGAGTCAAAGGACGAAAGATGATCTACAGCGCAATGCTTTAGTCTCTGGTGAGTAAGACGTCCACACATCTGCTTCAGTGGCTAACACAACACAGTGTTCCTCCGTATTCTGGAATACTTCAACGGCATTCTCTTCCTGACCACCAACCGGCCTGGAACGCTAGATGAAGCCGTGAAGTCTCGAGTCCACATGTCTCTTTATTACAGTTCCCTGGGCGAACTCGAAACAGAGGAAATCTTCCGTCTAAACCTTAGCCGCCTCAAAGAGATTGAAGAACAACGCGCCAACGTTTCTGGAGAAGAGAAACTCTTCATCTTCGATGCTGAAATCATTGAATTCGCGAAGCAACATTACCGAAAGCATGTTAGTGGACCTGGAAGATGGAATGGTAGACAGATCAGGAACGCATTTCAGATTGCATCATCACTCGCGCACTATGACGGTGATGCTCATCCTGGAGCTCAGAAACAACTCAGAGCAAAGCATTTTGAAATAGTTGATGAAGCAACCACGATGTACGATCAGTATCGCGCGGAAATCTCTGGTAAACAGGAAGGCGAGTTGGCGCATGAAAGGGAAGAGAGGTTCGATGAATTTCGGAATGCTGAGAGGGAACGAGGAAAACAAGCTTCGTTTTATGGGGAAGAGAAGAGATATCAAAGCGGAAGCTACGGAGGCGAGCATGGTTACCCCCAGCCATCAAGCCAATTCCAAGCCCCCGGCCCAATGACCGGATACAGTCAAGGAGCACCAGCCCAGACTCAAGGCCCTCCGCCTCAGAATATGAGTGGGATGCAATACTCTTCTCAGACTCCACCCTCCCAGAGAATTGGTCTGCCAATACCACATAGTGGAGCACAACAGCAGCAAAGTAGCGGATATCCCATCCCTGGCTACGGTACCTCCGGAGGGCAATTGCATCCTATGCAACAACAGGTCTTACCCACCCCGCAAGAACATCACCAGCAACCACCCAATGCTTACGGACAAGCTGCCTCTGGGCCTCCTTTGGATCCAAGATATGGAACGCCGAACCAAGGATATCCTGAGTATGGGAGTGGACCAAGTTCTTCGGGCACGGGCCAGACCCAAGCTGCATCACCATTCGCTGGGAGGGGCCCATACGATCCATTGCGGGATGTTTTTGCCCCTGGTCCTTAGATAGATGTCGTATGCTTGTACGTACTGTTATGTGGGAAACGTCACTGTTACTGTTGATCAAGCAATCTCAGCTCTTCCTTCTATAATTCATCTCTGGAAAGGGGCTTTAGCGAGCACAGCTTCCTAGCGTAAATAGGGATCTGTAGCCATATTCTACTTTTACATCACTAGTCAATATCTCGTCTCGATGAAAGTGTCATTCGTGCATGATGAAAGAGCAAATACTTCCTATGACCCAGAACTTACGAGCTCACTCACCGAAGATTTCTCGCAGCTCTACCGGCTTCCCATCCATCCTCGGCGCGTTTCCTCCATCTCTACCTTCCAAACTCCAAGCCCACTTCTCGGTCAATGCAGGGCTCAAGTGACCTTCCATGGAGTCAAGTACTAAGTCCCCAATAACAGGGAGGAACTTCCAAGCATGCGCTGACCCAGCAGTGGCAACATGCAGTCCCGAAATTCTTGGATGCGGAGCGATGAGAAAGTCTGCTGTCGGAGCCTGTGCGAGCCTACGAATCGTCAATACTTGATTATGCCATCAGCGATTAGAGATTACTACCAGCAGAGTTTCGTCCTGTCAAACGCACGCTGGGCAAGACTTGGCATGATCTCCTGCAAGTCTTGTCGCATCAGCTTTTCAGCTTCTTCGGGCATATGCATCCCAGGATGTGTAATGCTTGTCCTTGGCAAGGACACCTCTATCTTGTTCTTCCTATCCTCCGGGTTCTCGATTGTGACTGTGTTACAGTACCCTGCCGACCTTCTCAACACTTTAATCTCGCCCTTGTATGGTGGAAAGACATTTAGTCCAGTACTGAGATTTGTTGTGATTGACATGTGCTTCCATTTCTCCTCTTCCTCGGGGGTGACTTTGAACCAAGCAACTTCAATGGCTGAAGAGTACATTCGACCTTCCAGAAAAACTAGCTTAGAAGACCATGCTCCTGCTGCTACCAACAACTTCTCAGCCTTGTGGACACTGCCATCTTCGAGAATGACGCCGTGACAAATGCCATCAATGAGGTTGAGATGGTCAACCGCGACCCCGCACTGAAACGTGATGGAAGGTTGAGCAAGACAGCGTTCGTAGTAGATACGAACACATTCTCTTGCATCAATGAACGCATCATCCAGGTTGCAATACGCTTTATTCCATCTCAATTCCCTTCCCAACTTCGTCTTCGTCGGGAGTTCACTTCCTGATCCATGAATTCGCTCAAAGACTTCTTGAGAGCTGCTCAATGAGATGATCTGGTCTTGATGGTGTCGCCCGCGAGCAAGCTTGACTTGAGCATGCCATATATCAGTGAAACGACTCGGTTTGCCATCACAAACAAAAGTCATTCCTTGTTTGAAGTAGTAGCGACTCAAGTCGGGATCTGCTTCGATCTTTTGCTGAGCTTCAAGTGCCAATTGGGCGTAAATGGGGTCGGCATAATCTATTCTCTGTGAGACGAGAGTAATTCGGGGTGAGAAAACGAATGAAGGATAATTTACCTGCTCGTATACATCGGGTAGTATCTACGCTTGAGCCATCCTCGATTGGAGGCGTCAGACGATCGATGATTGTGATCTTGGTGGAAGGGTGGCGACGCGAGATGGCGAGGGCAGTTGAAAGACCGAAGATGCCTGCACCAATAATTATGATGCTCGAGGGGAACTTAGAATCCGCCATGATGTAGGCGGGAACTCGGCTATGGTGTTTGTATGCGAGAAGGGATATTTAAGTCGGCTTCTTGAATGGAAGCTCCCACTTTTGAAAACCGGAAAATGCCGGTCCAATCCGGTCTAGCATCTAGTTGCACTTCCTTCGAATAAAACCAAAACCATATTGTTCATGGCCAGACAACGGCTTTCTTTTGCATTGTTGCCTATACGATTTGAGACCGATACATTGAAATGAAAGCCACTTCATCTTGGCTTGCTATTGCTTCCCTCTCAAATATTAAACATCTAACTAATCTTATCTGGTGTATCGAAAGCTCCTATTCTCCTTATCTGTCAAATCCATAAAGTCCATGTCATGATCAGCGCCTGATTCATTCCCAGAAACACGCAACTCCTCATCTCGCTTCTTGTTTTCTAGATAGCAAGTGTACCCGTAGAACAATCCCAGCAACATGCACAGAGCATAACAAGTTGTCATTGCAATTATAGCACCAGTATATTTGGGAGCCTGATCTGCTTTGAATGTTTGAGGACCAATGATATTACCGACTGCATAGGCAAAGTAATCCATTGCGTTGACGGTTGTTTTCTTACTTCTACCAGCCGTGTTCGCTTGAAACATAGAAAGTCCAACGATATAAGGGGCCTTTGTATCAAATGTTAGCGAGATATGAAATCGAGGTCAGCAAGAGCGTACCCAATAGACGTAAAGCATGTAAAGGCCGATCAGTTGTGCGGCGGTGTTACTTCGTTCTGTTGCTAAGTGGAGGTCAGAGCGATACTGGAATCATGAAGTGAGGTGCCACAGACCATATACTACAACAGCTCCAATCAGTGGAATGACCAAACTCGCAACGAGTACCAGAGTGCGATATTTCTTGGTGCGTCCTGCCAGCCAGCTAAAGCCCCAAGCCGAGAACGTGGAGACTAGTCCTACAAGATGTCAGTTACATCGATTGATGAAAGCGGGGTAACTCACCTGTTGGAATTGTCATCAAAGAAGAATTTCTTGACGTGAAGCCGAGAGACTTGATGATGATTGTCGAAAACTGAAGCAAATTAGATTCGGATGCGTGTTTTGAATTTGAAGTACATGCCGAAATCAAGCCACCATTTGGAATGTTGACTGCAATGAAGAAAAGCCAAAGAATCCAATTCTTTTTCTCAAGCACAGCCTCTCTAGCTTGATGCCATTTCCATGTTAAAGAGTCTACGCCTAGCTTCTCGTCTCTTATTCGCTCAACAGCCACAAACTTCTCGCGATCTGACAGCCACTTGCAGTCGGCTGGAGAATTCGGCAGGAAGAAGAATATCAAGGCTCCCCAGATGACGGTAAATCCTCCGGGCGCTAAGAAAATCAACTTCCATTTGGCAATGTGCGAATGCGTCACGAAAGAGAAGCCGTAAGAGATGAGACCATTTCCAACTGACGAAGTCACGGAACAGATGATCGCAATTCGAAGAGGCTGTTCTGACTTCTTCCACCACATTGTTGACAGGATGACCATGGCTGGAAGACCACAGCATTGAAAAACTCCCAACAGAAACCGACAAACAAGAATACCAGCGGGATTCTTTGTGGCTGCATGGCACATCTCAACCACTCCCCAGCAGAAAATATTAGCTGCTAGGTACTTTCCAGTCGGCAATCGTTGGAGAGCCCAGAGAGTGGGAAAGATGGCTCCCAAAAATGCTGTAGCTGTAAGTAGATGAGACAACATGAAAGGAAAGGAAAGGAGACTGACCAAAATACATGATTGACCCCACCCAACTATATTGACTTCCTGTTAGACCAAGATCTGTTTCCATGCCATAGATGGCAGCGGTCCCAACCCTGGAGCTATTTCAGCACGTTGTCAGTCGTAATAACAGGATATACTTACAGGACTTTGTCCCAACCGGAGAGTTGAAGACACACGAATAACATCGGTACTAGACGCCAATCAATCTTGCGTCTCAACTTTGTCATCTCCTCTTCGGTAACGGGACTTCTATCTTGAGCATTTGCTAGAATAGCAGCAGCTATATCAATCTCCTTTTCTGGTTGGAGTGATGTGATAACTCCATTCTCAGTGTCCACTTTGTCTTGCGAAGATTGGAATGAGGTGCCTTTAATGTCCTCTGGTAAACCTTTGATTGAGTCCATGTTGCTTGCTTCTGTGGCCGTTCCAGTACCAGATGATTCGGATACTTAGAAGGACCAGAGAAGTTATAAAACTTCAAGGCTCGACGAACAAAGATAACAGTATCGTGTTATCGTGTTCCTGCATCTTCACTGCGGGTCAAAACACCCGCTCCTCCACGCAATAGAAGTATTCGAACAAGGGAGAGGATTGGAGTGAAATCGGGGTTTCCTCGCCAAGGGCCATGAGCCCGAGCCATTTTTGCAATGCATATGGAGACCAATCCGGATCTCTCCCAATTTCTGACAACTATGTCCCGGACAATAGCGATTGAGGATCTCGGTGTCGTCCGGATACATGCCCACTCTAATTGGCTAGCGCATCACACTCTCGGCCACCGTATCACGCACCTGGTGAACGTCGGTCACAACAAAGCTGCAATGTGGAACAGACTTCAGCACGATCAAGCAATCAACACACATATGATCTGTTACCAAAGAAAGATGTCAGAGATGAGTGGGGTCCTAGCGATGGTTAAAGAGCACCTCGCTCACATCCGCCCCACGAGGAGCAAATCAATCTGCCATACCGGACGCGTCTCAATCGTTGACAGTACAACATGTACTGTACAAGTATAGAACGTGGTGTATTTTTTCCCTAGTACATTCCTTTCGTCTGCAACTTGATAGTTCAAGCTCAATCTTGCTGTGATGCCTCATTCTATTTCTCCAGAGCCGGAAAGAAATATCCGAGTATATATCGGTATAGTTCGACAAAAGTCCAACGAGATATTAGCTAATACTTATAGATCGAGGTGGGACATTCTGCGATTGTATTGGTGTTATACATGGACGAGAAGATGTTGTTATAAAGCTCCTTTCCGTCGATCCAGCCAACTACGAGGACGCGCCTACTGAAGGCATCAGACGAATCCTTGAGATTGCTACAGGCAAAGCTATACCCCGCGGCGTGAAGCTCGACACATCTTTGATCAGTACAAAACCTAGCCACTAATTAGAGCAACAACCTCGCTGACTATACATCATCCAGGCTCGATCCGAATGGGAACCACAGTCGCGACGAATGCTCTTCTCGAGCGTAAAGGCGAACGCTGCGCATTGCTGATTACAAAGGGCTTTGGACAATTGCTAGAGATTGGACATCAGACGAGACCGAAGCTATTCGACCTCAACATACGAAAGCCGGACGTGCTTTACTCAAAGAGCATCGAGATTGACGAGCGAGTTACGGTTGATAATGCTCTGGCAGAGGACAAACATATTGGGAGTGTCGTGCAAGGTCTCAGTGGCGATCCTATCCGCATACTAAAGCCACTTGGTATTTGCCTTAAGTTCCTCGCCGATCTTCTTTCCTGACATAATTGCAGATGAAGAGGCAATTAAGCGGGAATTGCTCGCACTCTATAACAAGGATGGGTTCCGGAGCATTGCGGTCTGCCTTGCTCATTCATACGCGTTTCCGCAGCATGAGTTGCGCATTGCGGAAATAGCTTCCGAAATAGGGTTCACACATATCTCGTTATCGTCACAACTCACTCCAATGGTCAAACTGGTGCCTCGTGGCATGTCGGCAACGGCTGATGCATATTTGACTCCTGAAGTAAGTCGATACATCAAAAGCTTCAGCAATGGGTTCGAAGGAACACTTGAATCACCCAAAAATGGGTCAATCCGTTGCCAGTTTATGCAGTCTGATGGTGGACTCGTCGATTTCAAGAAGTTTTCTGGCCTGCGTGCTATCTTGTCTGGCCCAGCTGGCGGAGTCGTTGGTTATGCCAAGACAAGCTACGATGATTTCGATGGGAAACCAGTCATTGGTTTTGATATGGGTGGTACCAGTACAGACGTTTCTCGGTTTGCAGGCAAGTACGAACATGTCTTCGAGACTACTACGGCTGGAATCACAATCCAGTCTCCCCAGCTAGATATCAACACAGTTGCAGCGGGAGGTGGGTCCATTCTGTTTTGGAAGAATTCTCTGTTCAAAGTTGGACCAGAAAGTGCTGGAGCCCACCCTGGACCTGCGTGTTACCGCAAAGGAGGACCTTTGACCATCACAGACGCAAATTTGCTCTTAGGATATCTTCAACCAGAGCACTTCCCAAAGATATTCGGCCCATCCGAAGATATGCCACTTGACACGGACACTGTTCGCCATAAGTTTTTCGAGTTGACTGAGCAAGTAAATGCCGAAACAGGAAATAACTTCTCACCAGAAGAGGTCGCTCTTGGGTAAGCCTCCTCGAAGCTACGAGATCTCCTTGGATGCTAAACCATAAAAAGATTCATCAATGTTGCAAATGAAGGAATGTGTCGTCCCATCAGGTCATTGACCGAAGGCAGAGGATATGACGCTCGAAATCACAACTTGGCAGTCTTTGGTGGGGCTGGTGGACAGCATGCATGTGCTATCGCTAGAAATCTACGCATCAATACTGTGATTATTCACAAGTATTCATCGATATTGTCTGCATATGGCATGGCTCTGGCCGAAGTCTGCCAAGAATCTTCGAGCCGAGCTCGGAGGTTCTCACCAACGAATCGATTCCTCGTTTGCGCCAACGGCTCCATTTACTAAAGGAAAAGGCCAAAATGGAACTGATTGACCAAGGCTTCACAGAAAGCAATTTTCGATTTGAGCTATACCTGAACCTCAGATATAACGGAACTGATACGTCGCTCATGATCATGGAGCCAGAGAACGAGAATTTCGAGGAAGCTTTCTTAGCTCAACATCTGAGAGAATTCACTTTTACAGTTCCTGGTAGACAGATATTAGTTGATGACTTGAGGGTACGAGGAATTGCTACTGACGGTACCATAGCAAAGCAAACAAATATTGCGCAAGAGATACAGGCAACGAGGTCTCTGGGTATGATGGTTGATCTGGCTACAGCAATCGGCTCTGCTGAGGTATATTATGAAGAGCTTGGAAGAGTTTCATCTCCAATCTTCATGCTCCAAGACATTCCTAGTGGAACAAATGTACTGGTAGGTGTCTGCTGAGGCCCACGCTATGCCCACTGCTAACAACATCAGGGACCTGCCACTATTCTTGATGTTACACAGACAATCATCGTCCTGCCAAACGCAACTGCTTTGGTAAGATTACTATCCGATCATGTTGTCATTGATGTTGGCCTCGGTGCAATCAAGAAAATCCGTGCAGATTTGATTGATCCAGTTCAGTTGTCGGTTTTTGGACATCGCTTCATGAGCATCGCCGAGCAGATGGGCTTGACACTACAGAAAACAGCCGTTAGTCTAAACATTAAGGAGCGTCTGGACTTCAGTTGTGCTATCTTTGGTCCAGAAGGAGGTTTAGTCGCCAATGCTCCACATGTTCCCGTTCATCTTGGAAGCATGCAGAATGCAGTCAAATATCAGCACGATGTGAACTTGGGCAAACTGAAGCCTGGCGATGTTCTCGTCACAAATCATCCTGGTAAGCACTCGCAATGACCAGAGTCTTCAGCATCACTGACTTTGGTTCGTGGACAGAAGCAGGAGGCACGCATTTACCAGATATCACCGTCGTCACTCCGGTTTTTGACCAAGATGGTAGAGAAATCATCTTCTATACAGCATCAAGAGGTCATCATCGTGACATTGGTGGACTCGGGGGCATATCAGGCAATGTGAATTGTACAACTCTTGAACAAGAAGGTGCGCTCATGAAATCCTGCAAATTAGCATCTGGTGGCATGTTTGATGAAGCAGGTATGATCAGTCAACTCAAAGTTCATGTCATCCAAAAACTGATCGCTTGCCCAGGCATTACCAAAATCCTGTGCGAAGATCCAGCACAGTATCCGGGATGCTTAGGATCTAACAGCATCAACGATAATCTCTCGGATCTCAAAGCTCAGATGGCCGCAAATCAACGAGGATGCATTCTGATAGATGAATTGTTCCGCGAATACGGCACAAAATGTGTTCAAGCTTATATGGCAGCAATTCAGAAGACAGCCGAAATCGCAGTCAGAGATTACTTGAAAAAGGTCGCTTCGATCTATCCGGAGCCTCTCAAGGCCGTCGACTACCTCGATGATGGCACTGAGATCCATCTTGAAGTCCGCATTGATGGCGAAACAGGCAGTGCTGACTTCGACTTCACTGGCACTGGACCCGAAAGCTATGGAAATCGCAATGCGCCACCTAGCCTCGTGTACTCTGCAATTATTTATGTGCTACGAGCCATGATCGATGAAGACATACCGCTTAACCAAGGATGTCTGAATCCTATCAATGTCATCATTCCCGAGAATACGGTTCTTTCGCCTTCCTCGGGTGCTGCTGTCTACACTGGAAACTCATTGACAAGCCAGCGAGCCACAGATGTATGTTTCAAAGCATTCCGAGCTTGTGCTGCGAGTCAAGGGTGCATGAATAGCGTGCAGATGTATGGTGGTAGCAAGGCAAAAGTGGGCGAACCATTTGCGGGCTTCACATTCATGTACGGCGAGACATTATGTGGCGGAAGTGGAGGCGGACCAACGTGGGATGGAACTTCAGCTGTTCATACCGTAGGCTTTACCTCATCCCCAGCTTATACATTCACTAATAGGATGCTTCCAGAACATGACCAACACTCGAGTCAGCGATCTCGAGATTCTAGAGAAACGCTACCCGGTGCTCGTCAAACAGTTCGCCATCCGTCCTGATTCTGGTGGGGAGGGTCTTCACCCAGGCGGTAATGGCGCCATCCGTGCTTTTCAAGCCCGTGCTCCAATGACATTTTCTCTCAGCTCTGAACGTCGAGTTCATAGACCTTACGGGATGAATGGAGGTGGACCAGGGAAATCAGGGATCAATCGTGCTATTTTGCATTTGCCTGATGGGAAACAACGAGTTGTGAATATTGGGGGAAAGGGCATGATTGAGTTGAAATGTGGCGAGATGGTTCGTGTTCAGACTCCAGGTGGCGGTGCTTGGGGAGCGAAAGAGGACAGGAGTGCAGGTGAGGGGGGACTCAAAGAGGAGAGGAAAGAGAAAGTGCAATATCCTAGGGGTACGGGAAGTTTATATACATTTGCTGCGACACAGAATGAGGGATGAAAGCGGGTGCATCGAATGGGAAGAGCAACAGACTATTGTAGTTATGTTTGATCCTTCTGCCTCGAACAGGTCATTGAAACAAAGTTGTTTGATTACAGGGCTTGGAAGATCTGTCAGAACTCCAAAGTGCTTTTTCCCCATGGCTTGAAATTCTAAAGTCATTGAGCAAACCCCATTTATCGCATGGGGTCGGGCGCCAAATGCGGGATTTGCGCTGATTGCGCTGATTGCGCTTTGAATGCCAGAAGCCTCCAGATTACATACCCGACATTTCAGTAGTTTGGTAACACGCGGAGTTGAATATTCTTTACCCTGACACCGTAGACTACCTAATGCAGATCCACATAGAACGATGTCAACTCTTGGCTGTCTGGCAGCCACTGTCCGCTGCCCATCATTGTGTCCGTATCCATATTCATTCCACCAGCCATTGAAGCGTCGGCATCCATACCTCTCCAGAAGTTCTGAAACGGCTGAGAGATCTGCGAGCCTGATAAATCGCTACCAAACATAGCGTTATTAGGAACGTTCTCCGTGGGACTGAACAGAGAGTGAACATTCGGAGCTTGCTGACCACTGCCACGTCTGGGGAGCTCAACAGCTCCAGACATGCCATACTGTTGGTCACAAGCAGTATCATTGTGCAGCTGAGCTAAAGCCCGATCCATGATGGCATCAAAAGCATCTCTCGTCCCCTTCGCGGCTGGGAATTTCTCCACCACAGCCCACAAAACAGCCGCACAAGCATTCACATCCGCAACCAAATTCCGAATCGGAATTTGGTCCCTCACGGGTTTCGAGTGAGAGTAGCAATAGAGTATAGCAGTGCCTGCTGCAAACAAATTATGGGCCGCTTGCCAAAACAGTCTCAGCTTTTTCTCCTTGACGGACGTTCGATAGAGGTGGATCGTGCGAGACGAAGCCTGAGCTAAGTGACATAGTGTTGTATCGGAGGGCGAAGGTATAGTAGGGGAGGGTCGTAGCAAGAGAATCTCTGCTGTGTAATAGGATATCTCGAGGGCTTCTGGCGGCGCTATGTAGCTTTGTGATGTATTACGAGGGGTGGAGTTATGCCAATCAGAGAGTCGTTTGAGCATTGCCGTTTGCCATTGACTGTAGTCAATTGTTATGTAAGATGGGACTTTTTCATGAAGTACTGTCTGTATCTCCGATTGAAGTTGTCGATATCGGAAGTAATGTAAAGCAAAAACTTTCTTGCTCGTGTTGCTTGGGTCGATGTTGATTCCGTCTTCAGTAATTGCTTCGTCTTTTTCTGTTGCTAGGAACTGAAGATGATTAGTCGAGAAAATAGACAGCTGACAAAGGAGGGACACACTTCAGTTGTAATAGCGCCATCGGGGAAGCTGAAAGGTCTGCCGAGATATATCCCAATGTTTCTGTCCATAGAATAGACTACCCAAAAGACTCTTCTTCTGATATCAAGCTCCAATGCATTGAACTGATCTTGGACGGTTCTTTGTGAAGGCCTTGTTTGATAGCAAGGCGGGCTGCCATTCCCATCAAGTTCCACGTGCTAACAAAACTTGGGTGAAGGTATGAATAATTGGCAAGGAGAAGCAAGATCTGAACACTCTCGATATTGACGTATAAGCCTACTTCTGCTAAGCATTGCAGCGCTGAGCGATGATAACTTTCACACGTTGAAATTGATACACTGTTAGAATCCGTTTTATGTAGTGTGAGTAATGCAACTGCAAAAACGAGGAAGGAGAACAGCTCATGCCGTCTTGATTTTCTTCCGTTGACCTGCGTCTGAGGCTCCTGAGAAGTATATGCTGCAGCGAGGTAGGTCCGAAACGTAGGTTCATGAAGAATTGGGAGGCTGAAGTTTGCTAACTCGAAGTAAACGGTGGCCAAATGCTCGGCTACCTTTTTACTTGGTAAGGCAATGGGTCCAGAATCCAATGTTCTAGGAGCCTCGAAGGTAACGTATTCCATGTTTTCTTCGACAGCACTGCTATCAGCAGTACCACTGACTGTAGTGGCTTGTTCTTGGTCCCACTGTAGTTCGGACAAGAAAAGTCTCGTGAATGAAGTGCCATTGTTTGAACCGACATGGAGATTGTCCGAAAGACTTTCAACTGTGACCTGAGCACTCTTGGACAAGATAGTCTCCAAATTTTGGTTCGAAACCACATCCGCTTGTGAAGATCTCTGAGTGGAAGTTGTGGATATTTGTCTAGATGGGGATGAGTTCAAGTTTGGAGAAGTTCGCGGCGTGTCCGCATCACAGTCAATCCCATGATTTCGTAACCTGATCTCTAGAGAGGCAATTCGTTCCTCTAAGCTGTGAATGTAGCTAGTCTGGTTAACATTTTAAAAACAAACTGTGCAACTTTACTGACCTTCTTGGTGCAGGTCTCTGTGTCACAGCGTCATAACCAACACATTCGACATTAGCTTTTTGGCAAGGCCCACAGCTCTGATAGGTCATTAGCGTATCAAGATCTTAATTCACGATTGAAACTCACAGGTAGTCCTTGGTCACACTTCTGCTTCTTTCGTCGGCATCTTAAGCATGCAGTGATGTTGGCACGAGTAAGCGTCTTTGCTGGTCGTGAGGCCATGAAGTTCACAGAGTCATGGCTAGACGTTGTTCTTCGTCACTAACCCTACTCGTCAGGTATGGAGAAGATTGCGTCGTACTCGTTGCGAAATTCAATCAGCATTGCTGGGTGCTAATCGTCTGACATATCCCACTTTGAAGCAGGATGATGTAGATCGTAGATATAATTCACGTGACAACCACAACATCACTTAATCACTCAGACCAAGAAGAAAAGAGAGCATGAACGATTTAGCATAGCCTGGATATACATATTCTTCCTCATTCACTTCATCTGCATAGCACTCTTCTATGGCTAATCACCCTTCGTCGATTGAAAACTCTTCTCTAGTTAAATAATATCCTCCAGCTAATCACTCTCACCATCTAACATTCTCCATTGCCTAAGTGAAATTTGTAAATCACGCATTTCGCATGCGCTAAGTACTCTTATTTAATCAAGCATTATCATCGTATTAAGCGTGGTTCCGAGCTAATTATTGTGCCGGAGCCGAGGATTTTGCTTCAATAACACACTCTTCTTCATTCGACTACTATTCAATACAGGTACATTGTCGCTTGACTAGCTTGGCATTCTCCTGTTATTAATCTCCCTTCCATTGTTGTACTCATCCAAGAACACTCATTCCAAATTATATTCAACCCACCAAAATTTGGAACTGCTATTAAGTCCACATCCAGAAACCGAAAATAAGCATTCTATCTTCTATATGGGATTGGCTGATCTGAAGCAGCATCTTGCCATGTTATTTTCATTACTTCACTCTCGGCGGGTTACAGCTGCCAAACTCCATATCAGAAACCTTCAAAGCTTAAGAGATGCATTTCATTCACTTTCATTTATCAAGATGTCAGATCAGACTAGAGTATACAAGTGACTCACTATATAGCTGTATATATCACTAATGATATGTTCCTTGCCAGTCGATAGTTTGACTTCGACTTAAGTAGCAGAAAACTTGTGCGGCTTTACAGTACATAATTAGAGACGGACTTTGAATTTTTCAACAAATTATATCTGTGAACTCTCCTCCGACTGCAGCAATATGTTTCTATATTTCTGGTAAGCTAACATATGAACAGTGAGAGAGCTGTAACGTCTAACGGGTAATTTAACTCAATCACTTCGGCCATCAAGATTTGAATATCAAGAAAGCGTGTAATTCACCATTCGGGTCAAGTTTCCAATTCTGCAAAGTAATTCATTCACTTCCGCCATGATCCAAAGAAGCTTCGCCTACCTTCGGAGTCAAGTTGTCTTTCTAAACTTCTCTCTCTTTTCTCGGGTTTCTTCTCACACAAACAACAACATTCGCAATGACAGGTTCCACATGTTCGAGGTATGGAGACACCAATAAGGGACATCGGATACTTCAAGTAGTATTTTACGTTCATTTTTGGTTTCGTTGTAGCTGCCCTTGTCCGTTGCGGATGCCTGTTGTCGTTCCGAACCTGCCATTCTCACTGCCAAGGAGCTTTTTATTGTCGTGTAGTGCGAAAGACCCCGAACATGTAGTTCTCTAGAGGGTATAGATATAACCAAATGCAACAAGACCATGTGTGGATGAATCAAAACTCCGCACACTAAGTTCTGATCCAAGGAGACGCCATGAATCCTCCGCCTCTGAAATGCTTAGTGTCCGGAAAACGGACGACCCCGAGGAGACAAGTTGTGCCATTTATAAGTTCGAACGGTATTCTTATGATTACGTCGATTTCTGAGGCTGAGATTTTCATTCACTGGAAGGCTATTTGTTTGGCATATTTCTAGTCTGCAAGGCTTTTGGCGGAGAATATAAACTATTATGACAGACCTTACTTGTCCTATAGTAGTCTTCATCTAGAAGCAATCTACTTCCTAAAGGAGGGGACCGGGTGACAGATATTCCACTATGGCAGTTGTGGCACTGGCTCTCGTAGGACTTAGACTCACGTGCTTAGATATACAATCATGACTTTAACTACCACAAAACATAACCTTCCCGAAGTTTCGGGATATCTACTTTATTGACAGCAATGAGAAACTTGACAAGAGTGGTTACAGGGAGTCGCAAAGATACCACGTGGGGAAAAAAATTCCAAAATATTGATAAACCTAAATTGTTAAACTTTTGATACTCGCCGGTTGCCAGAATGCGTGTGTTTGATTATGATCCGGTGCCGTCGTTTGTGCCTAAGGCGGTCAGATTGAGCTCGTTGGGGCGGATACAGGCTCTACAGGTCCATGAAGTAAGGTTTATATACAAAAGCAAGGGCGCGTTTCTCTTACTTGGTTCTAGCTTGTTTCATTCTGACATCTCTATTGTATTCACCCAATTTCCTGCTCCTTTGTTTCGTCATCCAAAAAGGCTCGCATTGACTATATATCGGCAAACCATGTGCTTACGAAAAACTTTGTGCTCCACAGCACCAATCTTAACGCTGCATGCTGTGGTTTGGCGCCGGGAAAGTGCTTGGCTATTTTCGATGAGTTGGAGTGTTGTAGCTCACAGTCCCTGTCTTCTGTTTGCATTAAAATGTTCAAATAAGCTTAGACTGTTAATTCTTCAAGACAACAGACAAAATTTCAATTGACAACAAGAGAATATCTGACAAAAAATATGCAGAATAAGCTTGCTGATCTCAAGACAATTGGACGTCTTCTATTGGTTTCATGCAGCGACCCGGCGCCAAATGCGTCACCAATCACCGTCTCAAATCCTTCCTGCTTGAGCGCGTTCTTCGTTCGGGATTTCGATGGTGGATAGAAAGAGGAAGACGACTCTATTTATACGAAATTGCACTACCAAATATACGTTTCGATTCAACAAGGTGAAACTCTTGTTCTGGCTGCCTGAAGTTTTCTCCTGTGTCTTTTGACAGAAGGTGAATATCCACGTGCGAGTTGTTACGACTCATTGAAGCAATTCACTTATAAGCGGCCTCTTTTCATATCCACCAAACGATCTCCTGCTCTTTCGTGGTGTTCATGTCGAAGTATATAAACCCTACGGGAGCAACGACTCGTTATAGAATGACATAAAGTCGATAAAATATTCGCTATTTTAGCCTATATTTAACGAGCAGAACTCGTTATTTTAGTCGATAAATAATGAGTATTACTCGTTATTTCGAAATAAAATTATTAATAATTCGAAGTCGTTAATGCTATACAAAAATCTACTATTTAAGAGAACGAGTCTATATAGTTAATTATTAAGTTTGGCTATTTTAGAGTACTCTATCCCTCATCTCTTAAATATGCTATTGCACTCCCTTACCTTTTTACTTCAAATATACTACTATTCCCAACTTTTAGCATTCTAGTATATTCACTTATGTTTCTATCTTTTCCATATAAATCGTTCGTACTCGCTATACTCTAGCCCTAAAAACTAAATTAGATAAGGTATTAAAACGAGCTGATATACGTACTTGTAGAGAATCCAGGAGTCCAAAAATCTAGTGCTAGGAGAGAGTGTAGTGCCAGGAGTGTAGTACCAAGGGAGAGTCTAGTGCTAGGAGTGCAGTACTAGGGGAGAGTCTAGTGCTCGGGGAGAGTCCAATTCCAGGATCTAAAGAAGTGCAGTCAGTTATAGTGATGAACGCAGTACAGCTGATGATGTATTACATAGAGAGATAATAAGGATGAAATTTTAAGGCAAAAGGCCACGTAGTAGAAGTGAAGGGTGAAAACGCTAAGAGAGCTTAAGGTGAGTACAAAGCATGTAAACAACTTTAATTTAGCTAATAGGAGACGCGTCTAACCCACTAACCGAGCTCTTAAAGTCTCCACTTCACTACAAAACTTGCACTGTACATATAGTTCCTTTTATGATTTTCACTCTTTTACTTTAAGTAGGAAACTATTATAAAGTGTAGTATAATACTAAAAGTGCAGGTGCATCACTCACTACTACTCAAAATAAAGATATACTCTAAAATTATGATAGTAGTGAGATTATGATAATAGTGAGATTATGACAGCAGTGACAGCAGTGAGAGCAATGAGAGCAGTGAAAGTAGTGAGATTTCAAATTAATAAGCATATGCTTATAAATATCGAGTGTAGTGAAGTGTTCTAGTGTTTTGTAGTATTTTTAGGCATTAATTAACGATATTACTCGTTAATTAATTAGAACTACTCGTTATTTAGCGTACCAAGTCGTTCTATAACGAGCCGTTGCTCCCGTAGGGAAAGCCAACAACCCGCACTGAGAGGATACCTTTCTCACATCCAGCAAACATGAAAATCGTGGACAGAACACGCCTGTGTTAAGCTTCCTCTGTACATCAACCTTATACGCCCCGGTATTTTGTAACTCTTTATCCAATTTCTTGCAAGTGAGATTTTGAAGTCTTCCCAAAAGCATGAACAGAAAGTAAATTACTTGGCAGCAATAATGAAAGCGACAGCAGCAGTCCAGAAAGGAGAAAAGAAGACTTAGGAGTTTTCAGGAGCTTGGTTGTCTCTCCTTGAGTCTTTTCCATCGAACCTCAAAAGCGCCGGGCTGGTGGAATAAGCCAAGATTCTGTGATGTTAGCTCAGCATTGTTGTCGCTCTTGAGTCCAGACAGGTATTATTTATAGCCTAAAGCTTCAACCTCACCCTCGACTCTACTTTGGCTTCCGCGTTATTTTCATCTTCCTGGTTCTTCAAACCTCAGTTTCTGTTTTTCTTTGCAAGAAGTGAATGACCAAGACGAGACAATCGTGAAAGATGGACAGTCTCGAAGACAACAGGTGAATCCGTTTGCCTAGTCGTAATACACAAGTCCTAGGTAGATCCAACTAGCCGAAGTTTATCCGAAACGGGCATAAAACGGAGCCTTTCTCTCTCCAGAAACTGCAAACTGCAGGTTGATGCCAACACGGGCGATGTAAGAGTCGCAGCCATGCTCCCGGTTACCTTGGAACCATTGCTTTGAGGTTGAAGGGCAGTCTGTACGTTTGTGTCTTAGAAGGATGTAATAGGTGGAATCTGGATTTTGGATCAAACAAGCAAACTTATTTGGAATGACAATGAAAAGAGAATCGACAACAGCATTAAAATGGTTTTGGAAAAGAGTTGCAATTTGACGGTATCAATGAGTTTGAGCGTATTGGGTGCTTCTTTGCCGCCGGCGATTCTACCCTTCTCAATCACCTTGTAGACCCTCTTGAAGCCAGTGAGAAAGAGGGCAGACTTCTCTGTCAGAAAAAGCCATATATATAGTTCGAAAATAACAGTTAGTGAGCACTCGAATGAGTCAGTGAACTTTACGCACCAATTTCGTTTTACTTATTCACAACTCCGTGATCGGAGCACTCGAGTGTTCTTAGTGAATCTGACACATCTTCTAAGACTATGACTCGATTCCACATGTTGACCGTTTCGAATTCGGTGTGCGAGCTAATATCGAGGGTTATAAATAGACCAACCCTCTCCCAGGAACAAGGAAGGATAAGGAGCCAAGCCCAAAAAAACCCCACTGACCAAGAAGTGTCTGTCTACAGCACTGTAGTTCTCCCTCCGCCGGGCCATAAGAGATGTTGTGTCAACAAAAGTTGAGACTGGAGAGTGACAACAAACAGCATGAGGCCTACTTCATGGCTAAAGAAATTTTAGGCCCGGAGCCAACATCGCAATGTACACATCCTGACTTTAGACGTAGTAACTTCCCTGAGCCGTTTGTCTCCATGACAGTACACATATTTGTTGACAACACCACATTACTACTAATAACGTTCATATTCTCATATCCCATCCTCTCATTTTCTCCGTTAATTCTACCCAAAGCGTCTCTGGCATCTTCGTCCTGGCTCACACTCTCCCACCCAACTTTCCACGGCCCAATGTAAGGGAGCGAGCTTCCTCTTGATTTGAGGTTGAACTGGTACTTTCGTTTGGATGGAGGTTCAAGTTTCTCCGTGCCGTCTGGTTTATTTATACTTCTCGGTGCTCGGTCTTTTCTTGCTCCGCTGGGGTTGTGAGTCAGGAGCAATTGGTGAATTTATTTAGACATCTATTTTCTCTTCAAGATCCTCAGCCTCATCAACTCCTTCTCAGATTCACTTCTGACTCAACTCACATCGCGTGTATGACACTTCCCAAACTCTCCCTTTACACGTAGATATATAAAGCAACCTTTCACATACTTCTATCCTTCACATCTCCTCTGTGATCCAGACTCAGCCGGTGTGTGTGGAAGCTCGGTCTACGACTCTGGGCAGCGTGTTTCATATGCAGCTACCCCTAGTTTCGATGTTGAGGGATGATATGCTTGTCAATTTATTTTATCTCGTAGACTTCGACTACAACCGTGAAGTTTGATGTGAAATACTAAAGAATTTGACAACGGAAATTTAGTTAGCAGCGAGTTCACTTGGAAAGCGTTTGATCGGGACCCCAGAATGCATCTCGTGGAGAAAGATCAAGATCAGATACCAAGAATACGATGTTCGCAAAGGACGCCCGTCTGCCACTGAGTCCACGAACCTATTCGATGGTCATTTTATACTAATCCAAAACTTCGAAATTTTCGTTCATCGATAAAAAACGAGGCAGCCTGAGGATAGATGGGACCTGGAGATTCACCCAGAGTGGCTTGATAGCGCTCTTCAGTTCCAACTGCACCTTAAAGTAGTTCAAACAAGTACATAAAGTAATTTTTGGCGCTATTTTCTCATCTACCACTTTGATCAAAGACTGCCAGAAGATGTCTTCATCTTCTATGTGTAAAAGGTAGAGTGCAATGGCACAACATGATCCTGATATTCACTGAGTCTTGACCGGTTGTGCTGGAAAACTGTTGAATTTATTCCGCACAGTTCAAGTTGCGTGGCAGAAGACGTGAAAATGGTCGACAAAAGAAAAAGAGTTGACAAAAAGCGCACAAAAGTGGTATTAGACTCAAGAAATCAAAAGCATAACTAGATTTCAACCACCCGAGCAGATGAAGAGCATATGTCAAGCACGCCCAATTCGAAAAGAACACACCATTTCTGGAGCAATATAGTCGAGTATACCATCCCCCGAGAAGATGTAGGCTGAAACTCTTGGTCAATTTATACTTGTTGGAGACCTTTGATTTTGGAGATGGGTTTCTGGCAAAAGCGTGTGACTCATAAATATTTCAGATTCACTCAAAGGGTAGCTCGATTTCGCTCTTTCTTGAATCCATACTAGTCAATCAAAATACCCGTCTATTGCCATTAACTACCAAACCTCAAGATGCACCTAAACAAGGCCTTGACATCACTCTGTGCTTCACACGCCACGCCACTCCATTCCATCCCAACCGAATTATCAATCCCGTACTCTTAATCACAAAACCATCCCCTCGAATAACAACCACAAAACTTCTGAATGCAACGACCCCATTACCAAGAATCACAATGACCTCTCTCACACCATGGATCCTATCTTTAAATCTTAATTATCTCCAGCTTCCTCTCCCATCCCCTAATACCGCAAATTATCAATACATATCAACCCTTAGCCCTCAAAATGCTCTTCCCATCTCTCCTTCCATCCACAACCGCCCTCCTATCAAATAACCTATCCCTTTCTTTCCCTAACAACGAAACCCTCCCCCATCTCTCCACTAACCATACCATCCCAAAACGCACAACGTAAACCCCCCTTCCTTTCCCCTTCGCTTTCTTCCTTTCACTTAACTAACCTCACTAATACAAACCAGATACACCGGCATAGGAACAATCTACCAACAATTCTCCACGCCCGGCTCCTGCGGATCTATCTCCTCGGATAGCGCAATGATAGCCGCTCTCGGTACTCTTTTCCTCCCCTTTTCCCTTTCTCTCCCCTTTCTCTCCCCTTTTCCCCTTCTCCCTCTTTCCCCCCTCCCTCCTTTTCCCTTTCCCCTTCCCCCCCTTTCCCCTCCCCTCTACCTTTCCTCCCCCTTTCCCTTTCCCTTTCCTACTTCACCATACGATTGTTTTCGCTGTCTAAAGCAACCCAGGTATGCCATGGATGCACAACCTCTACAAAGCCCAATACTGCGGGGACCAGTTACATATAACGAATATCGGGAGTACGGATAACGTGGGTGGAAAAGGGTACGCTCTTTTTCCTCTTTCTTTCTCCCTTTCTTCCCTTCTCTGCCTTTTCCTCTTTCCCCTTTCCTTCCCTCTCCCTCTCCCTCTTCCCTCTCTTTCCCCTCCTCTTTCCCCTCCTCTTTCCCCTCTCTTCCCCTCTTCCGTTCCCTTCCTTTCTTCTCCCTCCCTTTATTCTCCGCCTCTCTATTCCACTTTTTTCCGACAGAAAATAGGAATACGATAACAGTAACAGTAATGGATTCCTGCGCCGCATGCGACGTGAACCATGTTGATTTCTCCATCGGGGCGTTGGGATGCGTTGACGGGTGGTGCGGCGTGGGGAGTTGTTGGGATTGAGTGGTTAGTTTTTTTTCTTCTTTTCTTTCTTTCTTTATTTTTCTTCTTTTCTTGGCTGGTTCTTGGGAGAGAAGGGGGGGGAGATGGGATAAGAGGGGCTGATGAGAGGGTTGAGATGGGTATTTTATTGGTTCTAGTTCTGGAGGAGGTGGAGGGGGAGGAAGTGGTGGAGGAAGTGGAGCAAAACCCACACCAACGAAAAACGCAGCCGCGAAATCTCGATTTCGACCTCCGGCTGCCTGGGTGGTGAAGGTAAAGTATATCTTCGAGTTTACCGTTGTCCAGCGGATGTATGGCGCTATTTCTGCGTGTAAGGAGATTATCGTCGGTGCTTGTAGATGATGAGGGGAATGAAAGTTCGTTGATAGTAGAGTCGACCGTTGCTCTGTCGAGCTAGAGAGTGAAAGGATGTCAGATTGTTGCAAAGGAGGGTCGGTATTTCCTCTCGAGCTTCTTGACGAAGCAGTGAAGTTGCAGGCCTCACCAAGTCTTAAGAAGGAGAACGCAAGGTCATAAGTTTCTACCAAGTCAAGCGAGCCGAGAAAGGCAACGGAGAAGTTCTTGTGCTTTGCTTGATGTACTCGCTTCGGATGATGTGAGGGGAGGATATTTCTTCATATACCTACATACATACATATATGTTCAAAAGCTTGAAAATATGATGGTGGTCTGGAGACTTGTGCACGTGAGGTTGGTTTTAAGTTTTTGAGAAGTGCTAGCTTGTTGAAAGACTAGATACTTGACATCCCTGTACACTACACTCTGTACGCGGAGGCCTTGTATCTGACTTACTCCCTCAAGAATAAGCATCACCAATCGCAACCTCATTTTAAAGTACTACACAGTCACGTGAAACTCACGTGCCATCAACTTCCTCCCATTTTCATCTACGTCCTGCGTCCCTCCTCCTCCACGGCCATCAAAATATCGCCACACTCCCAGAATCCCCATCCATAATCTCCGCAATCAACCCATCAAACGCTCCCATCCAGTCTGCAGTGGCGACTCCCAAACGCAGCGCGTTTGAGCGACGCGGCTAAAGCTCCCGATCGAAAGAATACCCGCGTTCCAGGTTGACAGAAGGCTTGTGTGGGAGATCAAACGCCGGTAGCTTCATGAATACTGATGTGGAGTTTGGATACAGAGGAGAGGTTTGTAGTGATGTGGAGATTGTTTCGCCAAGATTATGAAGTACAGAGGAGAGGGTGGTGTTTGGGTCTGAGAGGGAATGAGGAGATGATGAGATGAGATGGGATGAGGAGATCAAACTTTTGTGGGGAAGAGAGAGATGATGTGCTTGAGATGAGATGAGATGAGATGAGATGAGACGAACAGAGGCGATTGAAACTGGGGAGATTGAATGAGATGGATTGAGATGAAACCATCGCGGGTGAGTTGGGAAGAGAGATTGAGGTGTTTCCCTCTCATCTGGTGCGAGAGAGAAAATTGTGCAGATGCAGCAGTAAAGTAACACAACTCCTTCTCTGCTGCACTCGACAACTGGCAGACTGGCATTACTACTGTACACCAGCGACAGCCCCTATATGCAAGCACAGCGAAAATATCGCGCAGCAAAAGCTTTCGCAAAAAAAGAAGCCTTCTCGAAGCCCGTCACAAAAAGCAAATCCGAAGCCTTGCAAGGAAATGAATCACAGACATAAAATCTCAACCTCTAGCGGTGAAAATCAAACACTTGCGCAATCAGAAAATGACGAACGACGAACGACTGTTCGAAACAATATGAATCTGAACACAAAACGATCACCGGGGGAGGAAAGGAGAGAGCGAGACCGGAAATGGTTGTTTGGCCGAGGTCGCGAAAGCCACCTACCTACCTCCCTAGGTAGTGTCCTCGAGTTGGACAAGCGAGGGATATAAGCTCTTCAGGATGCGAAGCGTCTGCTGCATGGAGAAAACCAGCATTACTTGATGCGCCCAATTTCTTGAGATGTCAGACATTGAGGATATACTCCCTCCTCATCCCTCACTCCTCGGTCCCTTTCGCAAACCCACCGAAGCAAGAACCCCAAAGATAGCCCATCCCATGCGATGCCCGACCGCGGCTCAACTCCCTCGTGACTGCACTGTACTGTATCTCCAACCCCAGATTAGCCGCGTGCGTGTGCGGGAAACGATCTCATCTCCAACCTTCCCTTCTCTTTCTCTGTCTGTAAATTACCTTGCACGACATCAACATCCCTTCGTCCCTGCCTGTGCAATCAATCGCACAAATCCTCCTCCCGGGTCTTCTCTTGTCCTCGGGAGGGAAAATGGGAAAAGGCGGTGGCTGCTGTCTGTCTATCTGTCGCACACGTGGCTGTGTGTGTGAATGAGGTCCGATGCGATGCGGTGCGATGCGATGCGCTGGTTGTTCTGTTTCGAAACGAGAGAGAGAGGCCTGATTTAAACTTACTTGCGCAATGTTCCAACAAAAGCAAACAACTATGGTCCCAACTCTGCGACCTGATGGATATTTGAACATTCCTTCTCTATATCATTTCTTCCACACGAACAATCATCTCGTCCTCCCGCCTTCCACGATAATGGATACCTTACCTACCCATCCCCACCAAACGGAAAAAAAATAAAAAAATTCATCAACACACAATCTTTTTCTCCCATCTCGCCGCCAAGATCCCGGATCAGGTACCAGGGACGCCGTTTCCAATAAAGCACCGCGCTAACGTCAGGAACCCGCCGACGTGGGCGAATGAAACGGGGCGAGTGTCAGATTACACCAGGGCCGACCATGCGCGCGACAAGGGGTGCCCTGGTCGGATGTGCGTCCTTAGGGTAAGGAATTTAAGATTGCGGTGCGACGGCGGGATGCGCTGCGCTGGGCGTTTTTTTTGCTTGAGGGCTGCAGAGGAGGATGGAAGGATTTTCTTGGGGGAGGGACGTGTTGGGTTTGCGGGCTTCGGTGAGTAAGAGTGCTGGAAATATGGGGAGGGGACGCTGATTTGGTGAAGATGGGGAAGGAGCTTGCTGTACTGTAGCACGAGGGCAGTTCCTGCTTCGAGGGCTCCAAAAGTGAAAGATTGGATGGAAGGAATAATTACAAGTCGTCTTCACATCATCATCTGAACTGTCTCTGTCCGACATCATCTCATCTCATCTCACCCATTGTTGCAATTGCGTTGCGTTGGTCGGTGTGTAAATTGTGTTGCTTGCTGTTGGCCTGGTCCAGGTCCCTCTTTACTCCTCCGTCAACCATCCAATTCCATGTTGCCGCGCACCAAATCTCCCCCATTTTACCCACCCACCCATCCATTTCCCTCCCTCTCCACTTTAACCCACCCATCTCACCCTCTGTCGCATCGCATCCCATCCCATCTCACGATCCTTCCTTCGCTCCTCCACAAACAAAAAAACAACCACCAGACTTCGTTGGCAAAGTCTATCCATTATCGTCTTTGACAGATTCGATTTCCACCTCGCTCACTACGTATAATACAATACAAACGCCAGTTCGTTTAACGCAATCAATCTACTCACGCTCATTGAGACAATAGCTAGCCATCAGACATCATTGTCGCGAACAGCCAGCCCGCACGCACACCCGTCACAATAGCTCAAACATACCTGCAAGAGCACAATACTTAGTCTCCCTCGACCGAGCTATATCACTACGAAGAAGAAGAAGAAGAAGAAGAAGGAGGATTTGATTTTTGGAAACTCTCTCTCGATCTCATCTGCAAAATCTCGAATCGCACATCTACGAAAGCATAGCACGAATCGCATACACACAGTCTCTCTTCGATCATACAAACAAACCTCAACCAACCTCACTCGCGAACAGCTAATCCACGAAAATGCGACTCTCAACCATCCTCCCCCTCATCGCCCTCCTCTCCCCCGTCCTCGCCGACTCCTCCTCATCCTCCACCACCTCCACCACGACCGTAACATCCACCGCCACCATGACGAAAACAATCACCGTCTCGCAAGTCGTCGCATCGGTAACATCCACCTTCTCGATCTCAAACTCGACGACCTCCGCGCTGGGCCTCGCAACCGGAACCGGGACCGGCGTTGCGGTTGTGAGTGCGAGTGCCACGGCCAGCAACACGCTGCCGGCGAATTATATGGGCGCTGCGCCGAGGTTGGAGGCGGGCTATGTGTTAGGGTTGGTGGTTGTGTGTGCTGTGTCGTTGTTGTAGATGGATGGATGGATGGGGAAGTTTGTTGACGGACGGCATTGGATGGGTTACGGGGTGGTTATCTTTGGAATGCGTAGCCGACAATCTTCCTCACACCTCTGGATCTTCCCGAAAGAAAGGAAATTCTTCCCGCAATCGTCGATACGCATATCATCCTCCTTCTTCTTTACGGATCTATCTCTCGCTTCCTTGGAGATAGACATTACGCCCCTTTACGATTTTCCGCATACACGCACGTACGCTTCACGCTAGCTACCTACATGATAGCATGATTTCTTCGAATTCGACTTCTACTCTACTTCACCGATACCCCGTATCTCACGCACATTCTTCTTCCTTCCGATTCTATTCGAATGTGTGTCTGTTCTCTTTCCCCATTTTCCGCTGGGTGGTGGGTTTCTTGTTGATCTGCTTTGAAGAGATCTCTAGCTTGGTGGTACTTTTGTTGTTGAAGAAGAAGAGAGGGATGGGGGGGAGATCTCAAAACACGTTCTAGCGTGCTGAATCCTTGCACATAAGGAGTGCATACAAACAAACAAACAAATCCCTACTGTCATATATCTCGCCGGCTAGCTTGGCTTGAGAGTATCGAGGGCTGGTTCTTTATTTCGATTTTTTCGCATATTCTGATTTTTCGCGCGCTTGTTTGGAAAGGCTGCTTGCTGCATTGGGGGAGTGTGGCGCGGGGAGGAGGGTTTTGATAGTTAGTTTGGTGGTTGTTGGTGGTTGGCGGTGAGGGTGGGTTGAGTTGAATTGAATTGAATTGATGAGGATTTGAAAGATTTGATTTGAACGATGATTTGGTGTGATGTGATGTGTGAAGTGATGTGGTGAATGTGAAATGCTGGGGTGATGTAGGGTCAAGTGACTATCAACATGTAAAGAGGTTCGAATATCGACGTGAACAAGGACATGCATAATACCTTGTCCCTCTTCCTCTTCCTCTCCTTTTAAATTTGGGATGTACAAAACAACCATGCTCATTTTCTACCATATGATCCCTAGAAGCGCGTTCTTCTTCTAGTCAGGACTTCTCTAGGACGAGAATCTCTGTCGAACTTATTTTCTATCTCTTCCTTCTCCCTTTCAAATCCAGCATTGACAACTGCACTTGAACCAATTTCAATCTCAGACTATGTTTTGCCCCAGAAGTGCGTTCTTGTAATAAAAAGCTTTTTTTTAAGACGAGAATATTTATCAAATCTCTGTACATCCCACTCTTTCCCCGACTTCTCAAACATCTCTATAGATCATCTCATTCCACTACTTCCTTTCCATAACAAGCATTCAACCGACAACAAAACTATTCGTAACAACAAACCTATTCTGAACAGCAGAGAGCATCTCTCTTTCTTTGCTAACAACTAACTACTCCTCCTTGCAGCGCAAATCGCCTATCATAAGAGTAATAAGGGTAGTTCATCATCGTTCAGCAAAGTGGCTAGCGGGAGCCAGAGCCATGAGACGGCTGCAGTCCGACGCTTTGAGGTTTGTGGTGTCTAGGTATGGGTAAGAGGAAGGGAGACGGGGGGGCGTATTTATCCTTTGAGGAGGGAGGTAGGGGGGGCTAGGGGAGAGGAGAGATTTGGGGATGGGTGTGGGGAGGAGTGAATGGGAGGTGCGAAAGAGGAGAGGGTGGTGGGGAGTGAATAAGTGTGCGAGGGTCGATGGAGAGGAGTAGACAGAGAAGTGGAGCGATGGCAAATAGGGAATAGCTGCGAGAGGGTCGGAAAGGAAGAGTGAATATTCGGGAAACAGTTGTCAGGGTTCTTTTGGGGTATAAATATAACGAACCCAGCGCTCGAGAAACTAACAGGAATTGAAAAGTAGAAGAAGAAGAAGTCCGTCAAAGCTGGAGATGGCCGGGCGCGGGCGCGGGCTCTGTGAGAACGAACGGAATATTGTTCTTTAGAAGTATAATGTAAGTCAGGTTTCTGGAGTTCATGTCAAGCTTTTCCTTTTATCAAATTATTTCTCGTTATCAGGTTTCTCACTTATTGCCAATCTCACTTACACATTATCACCTTATCCACTACTTATTATCAACACAAACTACCGCCGTCAACGCAACACACCTCCCAACCACTCCCACAAACTCTCAAACCTTCTCACGACATATGGAGATATGAATGTCTAACCTTTCTTTCTTTCCCAAGCCGGGACCAAGGAGCCGGGAGCCACCAGTGAACCGAGAATGGTATGCGCAATTTGTCGATGAGTATCCCTGTTGCTGCGGAGCTTGTGCCATGCTTGAGGTGGCTGAGGAATCCGAAGTTCTGGAGCATTATATACTTCTTTAGGATCACGTGCTTGTTTCTTTTTCGATTCTCGAGTAGGTTCTTCTGTATTCACTGCTTGAAACCGCGCGATTTGGAATATGATATTCGAAAGAGAAATTGTATGGCCAAATCTAAGGCGCTCAGGCTCTCATAAGCAACTTTCGAGTAGGTTTGTTTGTATTCACTTCCTAAAGCCGCTCCATTTGTGATAGGACATACGAAAACAAACTTGCATAGCTAAACTTAAGACGCTCAGGCGCCCATATGTGGAGTATATTAACTCCCAAGTTCCCGGTTCCAGGTTCTTTGGAAACTATCTACGACAACACGGGATATGGCAATTTCTATGCTTGTGACGGAGCCGGGGCTTGTAGCCGGGGGTTCAGGATTATGGGTGGAGTTTTCTGTGAAAATGCAGGAATGTTTGGATTGGTATCTTTTGTTGTCAAAATGCTGGTTGCTGTTATTCATTGCCTGTGTTTAGATAGATGATAATTTCTTGACACTAATTAACGATTATTCTCACAATTTTATATCATCAAGATTATTTCATTAAGTTCCCGCGTTAAAAATAAGTTCTGAACCCGTTACATTGCTAGCTATGCTATAGGCCGGGCGCCCATGCCTTGAAGCTCGTTCTCCAGATTGATAAGCGTGTTGTTGAGAATTTTTATTCTGTCAGAAATTCGAGCTGTTTATATACCCTCGATAGATATGAGTGAACACATGGAGGTTTCGACATGAACAAGTGAATAAGTATAGTTTCTGACTAAAGCTGCTATTTTTCGAGAGAGAACATTGAAGATATTAAAGTTTCGAAATGAACAATTGAACGAGTATAATTTTTGCCGGAAATAGCTGTTTTTACTTGCGCTTGTTTTATTCACTTTTTCACCACGACTATTATTGACGCTCTGGAAAACGATAAATAACGCCTTCGGCATTCGTTTCTCTACAAATAATTCTATTGTGTTGGCATTCTGGCAGAAAGGGGAATGGAAGCCGCCGGTTCGGTGTGGAACTTGGTAGATGTGTGATTGTGGGATATCTCTAGCTTGATGAACTTGAAGATTATATGGAGGTATTGATACCATCTTTTCTTAGGTGCTTGGCGACTGCCGTCAAGTGTGGACTATTGTCAAATGCAGGTAATTGTCAAGTGCAAAGTTGTTGTCAAGTTTTTGAAGACTCACTTCTTTATTCTTATCACCAAGGAAGAATCAAAGTTTCATAATGTATGCTATTACGTGATTGGAATGACATAGGTGCTTTTGGAGATGGAAGTGTTTGGAGCGTCGCAGCGTCGCAGCGTTGATCTCCTGCCAAACGTAGGGCAAGTCTTCATTTCATTCATCTAGTCATATAACTCTAAGCTCTTCAACGTTGCTTTGGCTATATGGCAAGTAAGTATAACTCGTATCTCAAAGCCGAAATGTTATTACTTGTATGCAAGTGAGCATTTGAAGTGGTATCTATGTACTTGTGAGTCGTTTCCACAATAAGTCGAGTTGGAATGTCCCACTTTTTTCTATCGGATCAAAGAAATGGCTTTCGCAGAATCCGAAATCAGCAACTCGGACCTTCCCATCGTGACTCCGACTAGATAGAACGAATAATCAAGCGCCATTGATAGATTCATTCCGAACAAGATCTCCACCTCCCGTCGTGATTCACAAAACAGGCAAGCGAGCACGTGCCAAGCCCCATGACCTCGGTTGACTAGCGCATCCTTAGCTGAGACACAAGCGTCATCAACATCACCTGGACCTCAACCTCACGATAAGATCAACAACACTTATCAACTCTCACAAAACACAAACCAAATCAAACGTTCCACAATCTTCTCATCATGATGTTCTTCAAGTCCGCCTTCGCCCTCTCGGCTCTCTTAGTCGTGGCATCCGCCATGTCAATCCAACGCCTCCCAGGTAAGCCTCGTTCATCATCCATCCAAGAATCATCACTCACGATAGCAGTCCCCGCCCACGAAGAGATGTCCATCCTCCTCGCAACCGACGCAGTAGCCAGCCCTTTCAGAGGTACATTCACTTCCTCTCCCCTCTGAGCTCTTTCTAACATGCCCAGCCGCCTCATTCTCCGCCACCGCATCCAGCTGCGAGAAAGAGGACGAGGATGACTGCAAGGAGTTCTGCGGGCTCTCGGAGCAGACTGCTACTTGCAAGGCTAATGGAAACAAGATTACTTGTTTCTGTAAGGGAGGCAAGAGCGAGTCTAAGTGTGAGGAGAGATGCTTGTTGTGTATGTCACGTGCGAGATATTGTTTCGCCACGCGCTAATGATGGTAGGCATGCCCGATAAGTCCGCTTTGGAAGAGGCGAGCCGTCTCTTTAAGTTGGGAGGTTCGAGAGTCGATGAGCTTTGAGGGTGGGGAATGGATTAGATAGGGTGAGGTTGTGATGGCATGCATTTGTTTCGGTCACATCCTGGCATAGGGTACGTGCTGAATTGCCGGTTTGAGCAGACTTTTATCATTCGTTAAATTGTATTGTAACATTCATGTCGACCATGATGCTCTCCTTCGTATTCTAGGGTACCCAGCATTCTCCACGTCTCTCCCATCTTCTCTCCACCTTCTCCTACATCCTCTCGCCAGTCCTCCCTCTCAACCTCCTCCTGAGCTTTACTCTGTTCTGGATCAGCATCGAAAGTAATTTCCTTTTGCTGAACAGAAATCCTTTCCTCCAAATCGAATAAAATCTAGACGAGAGTGATAGTGTACTTTGGTATATCATCTTTGCCTGGTCGTTGATCTGGTCCTAGATCAGACTGGTACATGGACTTGTCCATCAGTGAACCAGGTTGGCGTAAAAGCCTCTTCACCAGAGCCCTATAGGATCTGAAAGTAAAAATTAAATCAAATACCCCCCAGCGGCGGAAGTGTCCATGGCCACGCGTCTCTGCTCCTGTCACCATCAATCCACGTATGCCAATCTCATCCGGACCTGAATATTCAGTAATGAATTCTGGAACGGGCATGAAAAATATAGGCTGGTCGATTGTTTGTCCTCTATGTCCATCGTCAAACCAAATTTTGTGCCATAGCTCGTGATAGCCATTGTCTGAATCCTTCTCGCCTTCCTTTTTGAAAGCGTAGAAACTGTCTAGATAACGCTGGGGATTCGACATGATTGTCTCATAGTTGATCATTGGGCCGCACGCAATAGTTAGACTCGCATCTTCTAACTCTCCTAGAGCATCCTCTCCTTTAGGAACCAAGTAAACATTCCGAACCTCGATCAGACTTGATATTTGTTCATCTTTGTGAGGAGTGGTGTAGAGCATCCAACTCACAGGCTCATTTATGGAAGCCCATGACCATGATGGCGCTTGATATATAGTCTGTGCCGTGGGCATTTGGGTCGGCAGAGTTGGAACAGAGGATGAAGTAGTGATTTTGTCTTTGTCGACTCTCCAGCAGAGTTGCCTTTCTATAGCTGGTTCCCATAAACCTGCAACAATCCGCGCTCCAGTCATATTCTGGAATTGACGTGCAACGCCGGATATTGCCACCAATCTATCTCTGGCGAATGTCAACTGGGTGGCAGAGTATATTGAGACTGCCTCGAACCATGCGCCGGGATGATCTCTACCCGTTGGCATTATACGCTTAGGAGCGTAGACCTTCCATGTCGAAGCAGAAAGTCCGTCTGGATTTGAATCGCAGCGCACCCCATCCCTGCACTCCAAGATGATCTGGTGTCTGGTAAAGTGCAATGTACGTCGCGCTAAGAATCGTTCCTGGAAGCACCAGCCTCGAGATGTGAGGCATGTGTTCTGCAAACATCGTTCATACAAGCGCGGTTCTCGGAATTCGTATATCTCCTCGTCGCTTATCTGGACGTGATATTTGGACTCTCGAACAACATCTCTCTCGAAAAATAAACCCACGGACCCGTCTTTGGCACCGGCCGCTGCAATGTTTACCACTGCATTGGCGTATACCTCACTCATCAAGGCAGATTCTCGGCGCCAGTCATCTTCATCATCTTGAATGATGCATAGTGAATCGACCCGGAAGAGTGGTTAAGAGAATTTTATGCTGACAATCGCCCACTACTCAACGCTACTTGCGGCAAATATCTAATTAGAAAATCATCTCCAAGGCCCGTCTAACCTGCTCCGGCTGCTTGTCTTGCGCCCTCGTCTTTGCCAAAGGTATTTGATCGAATGTCCATCGCTGCGCCGGAATAGCTTTGGTAGAAGAAGCACCCTCCTTCCGCATAGCCTTAGCCTGCCTCGTCTTCATTATTTTTCCTTTCTCAACATTGCGCACAAAATCCTTGTCCTCTTTGATTTGTTTACTGATTTCGACACGCATCCGGCAAGCTCGTTCAGCGTTTTCTGCTGCTATTTGCCTTTAAATTCGTCAGTGAGAACAAAACACACGACTCGAGAGTTGTGAGTTCATGATGGGTATAAGATATTACATACTCTGTTAGGTTGTTCCATTTGAAATTTTTCAGGTATCTCAAGTTCAACACATCGTCATGGTAATAGCCGCTCTTCTTTCTGCCAATCACCCGCGTATTCAATAACTCACACGCCTCCTTAGCATTCTTCTTGTTGACGAATTCTACCCATCCTTCTGTATAGAGCTTACGCTTGTTGCGGCTGTTGCGTACCTATCCAGTCATGTTAGCTTTTTTATTCCATGATGAGAAATGGCTCGAGCTGCTCAGCAGAAGATTCACTCGAAGGAAGCAACTTCAGCGTTTTTCAACACTCACGGATGCATGCCACTCCCCAATATGTCGAAAAGATATAGGTATGAGAAATACGTACCCGCCGCGTGCGTGCTGCAGATTCTTCGGGTGCCAAGAATATGCGGTTGATAATGCCGTATTTTTCAAGAAGGGAGCGTAATTTGTGTAGCTTCATGAATGGCGGAATACGGGAGATATAGACCACGCCTGACATTTGGATCGCCTTGTCGGTAGCACCAAGGGTAAGCTTGATAGGATTTCTTGTCGACTCGGATGGTTTCCCCAGACTGCCCAATCTCTTCTGGGAATCCAGCTCACTACAAAAGTGCTCCTCCTGCAGAACCTGCGCCTCTTCGCCACAATTAAAGCTCTCCTTTTCGCTGCTCGCAACCTTCAACCCTCTGCCTCTACCGCGACGACCTCCTTTCTGCGGTTCTGCCCCCTCGGAGTCATAGCCTCTGCTTTCATCGTCGCTGCCCTCCTCTGTATCGAGCGTTCTCTTGTTGGGGTGCATGGTGGAAGAGGGGCCGACGGATCGCAGGTAGGTATTCAGGGTGATGCGCTCGATTGCTTGCTAGAGTAGCGTTCTGTTCTGTTCTGTTCTGTTCTGCGCTTCGATCTGTGTGTGGGCATAGAAAGTAATCGTGGACCAGGTGAATGGGATACGGTATTTGTCCAAGACTAATCACGGATTTAGATTCTGCCCAAATTTACGGGCTTCTTTTGTCGTTCGTGCGCAGTTGCCTTAGTGCCTTAGGCAGGCAAGATCATCCCTTTCGACATCTCAGCATCTCCCTCCAAACATCTTGCACGACGACACAGCACATCAACATGACACGATCGCCGGCTCCCGTCCGCCCAAGGAGCTGAGCCCGATACTCCTGCCCTATGGCAGAAATCTACGATTGTCCCAGGCTTTTTTCACACAAGCGCTCCGCGACAAGCCATGCAAAGTCGATTCACCAGGGCATCAAACTCTATCCTTGCCCTCTGGCAGAAGAGTACAGCTGCGATGAGACATATTCCCGTAAGAGGTCTGCGACGAACCATGCAATGCTGATCCATCTGGGTATTAAGAAACCATACGCTTGTCCTATGGCAGAACAACTCAAATGTGCAAAGACCTTCCCCAAACGGTTTCTCGCAAGGAACCACTCAAAGACGGCCCATGAGGGTATCATGGTGCCTTGCCCTCTAGCGAAAGATTACAGTTGCAACAAGACTTTTTCAAGGGTCAGCACTGCAAAAAACCATGCAAGGTCAGTCCACAATGGCATCAAGCCACACCCATGTCCTTTTGCGAATTCGCACGACTGCGACAAAACCTTTTCCCAGAAAAGAAATGCCACGACCCACGGAATGTCAGTCCATCAGGGTATCAAGCCGTATCGTTGCCCCCTAGCAGGAGAATGCAGTTGTATTGCCGCCTTCGACTTGGAGAATGCTACACAGGAACATGCTCGTTCGGTACATCAGGGCGTCAGGCACGCATGCCCCCTAGCACAAGAGTATCATTGTAAGAAGACCTTTTCCTGGAAAAAGAATGCGACGAAACATGCGAGAGCGGTCCATCTAGGAATCAATAGGTGGATGTGCTCTGTACCAAGACGTACATACGCTGTTAGACGACAGGCTCTCTCAAGTCGTCGAATGTCCAAGCATATGGCAAAACACCGGAAAGTAGGCCATATTTCTGGTGGGCATACTCATCCGCCAATCGCAGTCCAAAACCTGGCCATCCATGATGCATCTATCACATGCTCCGGATCAAAATTATGACTTCGACTTGTTCCGGGCCGAGCTGTATCATGCAATTTCCTCTACGTGGGAATCTGGCCCTAGTCTTCAAAACACTTTACAGCTGTATGATATGATCCTTGCCAGCGAGGAAACTCCTACTAGGCGAATTTTCTTGGACCTCGAGTACAGTATCCGCACTGGGCGTATTCATGAAGTCGGGATATGTGATGCAAATGGCAACGATCTTGTGGACTGCGCTACTCGACATAGCCAACAAGAACTCGCCAGGACTGAACCTAAGACTAAGCTTGCAAGCTTCGATTTACTGTCAAGTCCGTTCTTTTCCCACTTTCGTCAATCTCGTGGAAGTCGCAACAAATGTTGATACAATCATCATCGTCGTCATCATCGTCTTCATCAGAGTCGGAGAGAGAGTCGGAAACGAAACCATCACTGTCTCCCGATCCCGAGTCAGAATAGACAAGAAGTCTTTTGATAATATCTTAGTAGAAGGCTTTCTACCACGCTTTATTAAGACTAATAGTACTTACACAACGGGATCTTGTCTCTGTAATTATTGACATCGTAATTTCAAAAAAATTGTGTTGCAAAGTTCAGGGCTCCGCTGAACCTCCTGATAGCGGTGTTGCTGGTGCAGTTTTTCTGCTTCGACGGCTTTGCCATTGAGTAATCTTTCGGCGATGAATATAGGTTCGAGATAGAATATTCATATATTTACTAAAGTTATGTCGACAGCTAGTGGTACGAGTACGTCTGGTGCGCAGAAGTGGATGGTTTCGTCGAGAAGTGGTTTTTGAATGAGTCTCCTTGTGCTAAACCCTTTAGCCATACTGCCTTATTGCTGTCTAACTCTCAGTAACGAACATGGGGACAAAAGTCCGTGCGTTCAGGCTGTAGAACCTCGAAATTAAAACTCTTTACATTAGGACTAAACTATCAACAACTCCACCATTATGGATCCTTTTACCACTCCACCTATGTCTCCACGTCTCCCAGGTGCAGAGATCAGAACCAAGCACAAAGAGGGCATACGCCGGCTCTTCAAATTCGCTAAAATAGGCCTGCAACAGCTCCAGGGCTACTACCACCTAGGAGACAGCACAGTTAGGAAGATCCTACTATACGATGTGCCTGAAAGAGCGCGCCCTACACGCACAGGGAGACCCAGAGAATCCCTCAATGAACAGGAGGTTAGAGATATTATTGAGTATATTTGCACCGACTATGCAACTAGAGTGCTGAATTGGATCCAAATACACGATGAATTGCAACTCTCTTGCTCTGTTAAGACCCTCAAACGCCGCTGCAAAGAAGCTGGATACTACTCTTGTATCTACTGCCAAAAGCCCTACCTCACTAAGACCCAAGCCAATGCGCGGTGGCTGTGGGGGATAGCACACATGTTTTGGACTATTTGGGAATGGAGTCAGATACTGTACTCAGATGAGGTCACATTTTAAGTTGGAGGGAAGAAATGCAAGCAGAGGTGTATTAGGAATAAGAAGGAACGCTATCATCCTGACTGCATTCAATTCCAAATGCATAGAGGTGGTACTATTCCTGTACACTTCTTTGGTGCTGTAGGCTACGGATACAAAAGTCTATTGATCAACATTTATGGAACTGGGAAGAGTGGGGCATTTACACAAACTGATTACCTTGGTCAAGTACTCAAGCCTTATATTCAGGATTTTTTAGCTGCTTTTGCGGCTGTTTTGGGGCCTGGGAAGACCCCTCAGTTCATGGAAGACGGCAACTCTGCTCACGGCCACAAGACTACTAGCAATATTTGTGCTACTTGGCGTACTTCTATGGGTATTACTCTATTCCCCCATCCTGCAGTTAGCCCTGATATGAATCCTATTGAGAAGTGCTGGAGGAGAATAAAACAAGCTCTCCATAGGCGCCTAAGGCAGCCAACAACTGAGGTTCAAATGGTTGTAGCAGTATTAGAAGAATGGGACAAAATTCCTCAGGAATGGATCAATGGGCTTATTGAGCAGCAGGACTTCTGGGTACACGACTTAATTAAGCGATGTGGCTGGTCTACAGCTAATTAATTAATAAAATTCATGATTCTGATGCCCTGAACGCACGGACTTTTGTCCCCATGTTCGTAAGTACATACATCATCGATTCACATGTATTACGTTCTCTGGTGCTGGTGAGAACAGCTTCCTCGTAAAAGCAATGCTTCCCCTCGACTTGCAAGAGGACCCATTTAGTTGTTCATTACTGCTCCTCAAGGGATATTGCAATTCGATACATGCGTCGCTATTTTCCCTGATAATTTTGGCGATGATCAAAACCCTCGTTAACGTACCAAGCCTAGGTAGGTAGAATTTTCGATCGAGAGGACAGAGTCGACAGCGGTCCGTGCACGTGTACGTAAAACAAGGCACTCATAATAAAGCGCCGATGACCATCACTCTTGATTTTCTCAAAATCATAAAGTTAGCCGCAAATTTCATCGTCCTCTCACACATCCTTTTCAATCATGGGTTACACACTCTACGACGGAACCATCACGGTAGCTCAAGGCATCCTCACCACCCTATCCCACATTCTCCACCAAGCCGAGAAACATCCCCAGGCCGACACTCTCCTCTCGGCCCGTCTACACTCAGACATGTATCCTCTGCCCGATCAAATCCGTCTCGCAACCCAATATTGCGAGAACATCGCCGCCCGCCTCACAGCGCGGGAACCCGTGACATTTGCCGGCAGTCCCACCACCTTCTCCGAATGTTTCGAGCGCATCGAGACGGTGCTGAAGACGCTCAAGGAAGCAGATAAGGAGACGGTCAATGGACAGGGTGATGTGGTGGCTATGACAAAGATGGGGCCAAAGTATGAGGTGGAGATGAGTGCGGCAAAATATGTGCATTTGATTGCGTTGCCGAATGTTTATTTTCATGTTACCACTGCGTATGGGATTTTGAGGAAGGAGGGGGTCGGGTTGGGGAAGTTGGATTATTATACTGGGCTTTTGCCGCTGATTGCTGGGAATCAGTAGAGGAGGGAGGAGCTGTGGAGTGAGAATGGTGCGTGGTAGGCAAGTATATGGAGCTGACCTTGTCGATGCTGTTAAATGAACGTAGCGCTCGAGGTCTAGAATTCTTCTGCTTTTAGTTCTTGGGAGATTTATTGGAGCAAGCCTTTCTCAAGAGCGCACGAGAGCTCTTGGTGCTGGTTACGAAAGCGTTCGTTGCCAAGTGCAACGCATCATGGGTTCTTGATGTCAATTCCTTACGTTCATTATGCAGGCAGAAATGGAAGTGATAGCAAGATCACAACAGTATTGTATTCACCGAACAGCTTACAAACCTAGCAACCATGCTTGGCATGCTCACTATAGACCCATTATCCAGGTACCCGAATATTTCGCCTGCATCAAATTACGATTGCAGACATATCAATGGCCTCATGCAAGGCAAGAGCATATTGACGCGGGGTCTGCAAGGCTGAATTAGTCAAGAAAAATTTGGAGCGATCAATGAGAAGACTGCCGGTAAAACAGCCCGCAGAGGGAAATAGGTAACGAAGTAAGTGCAGGGTCTGGGGTGACACTGCAGAATACCATCCATCGCATTCGGTTTCCTGGTAACAGCATTTTGGTTTTTGGAACTGAGTTGAAGATGTATGAGACCCCGCATTTTCTTACTTTGGGTTTCTTCGTCCTTGATCTTCACAACAACGTTTGCACGCAGCTTTTCGTCAGCGTTCCTATTTCTTATTGAGCTTTGTGTTATCCTTGCTACACCAGCGCAGCAGCCACCAGATGTGAACTTCGAAGCCGCTCAAAACCAGACATATGATTATATCATTGTCGGAGGGGGGACATCAGGTCTGGTTGTAGCAAATCGACTGTCGGAAGATCCAAGCAGTATTTATCCCAAACAATGATTATCAAAACATGGAGATGCTAAAGTTCTCTGTAGTATCAGTACTCGTGATTGAAAATGGATATATTGACAATCGTCCCGCAACCAGCATTCCCTATCTAGCCACAATCCTCAATACTGGAGACATGTACGACATCTTCAGCGCACCAGTACCGAATCTTGGCAATCAAAGTTTTCGAGTAGCTGTTGGCAATGTTGTCGGAGGAGGAACTATCGTCAACGGCATGCTCTGGGATCGAGGGTCTGACGCAGATTATGACGCATGGGAGAAGCTTGGGAACAAAGGATGGGGATGGGCTGATCTGGCACCGTATTTCAAGAAGACAAATAACTTCACAGCTCCATCGGAACAAACGAAGGAATACTTCAACATTACTTACGACGAATCTGCGTATGGAAATGGGCCCGTTCAAGTCACTATTTCAAGTTTTCAAGATCCAGATTTGAAGATTTTCTTCGCCTCTTATAGAGAAGACGGCCTACCTATGCCACAAGAGGGTTATATCAGTCCACTAGGTGCTTATTGGGGACCCAACGATACCAATAATGTCACGGCCACGCGGTGTCACGCTCGTGCGTCCTATTACGATCCCATCCAGTCAAGGCCAAATCTCAAACTTCTCACTGGGACCAGAGCAAACCAAATTCTCTTTGATGATGGCGCAGAACTTATAGCCAACGGGGTACAAATGATTTCTCGAGTCGATAACTCCGTTGGCAAGGTCTACGCCACGAAAGAAGTCATCCTCGCAGCAGGAGGGGTCTTCACTTCTCATTTGCTAATGTTGAGTGGAATTGGTCCAAAAGATGTCCTTGAGGCAGCAAACATTACCGTCAAGAAAGATTTACCAGCAGTGGGGTCGAACTACCAAGATCACTCTCCAATGACCATGAACTTCAACCTATCCAACTTGGCATTTCCCAATGGTTACAGTCTGTCTCAAAATGCAACGTTCAATGCATCCGCTGCCATACAGTACGAACAGACTCGTACTGGTCCATGGGCATCTGGACGTGGCATCGCAGTAGCTTTCCTTCCATTCAAGTTATTCTCCGCCAACTATCAGAATATAACTTCCAAAATCAGTTTACAAAATCCACTCGACTTCCTTCCAGCACGCTACACCAAAGAGAAAACCTTACTTGCAGGTTTCCAGAAACAGAGGGAGATCTTGACCGAGCAATTTCTGGGAGACACTTCAGCAGCTGGGGAAGTTCCCATCCAAGCTTGGGGCGTCCAAAACACCGTTCTCGAGAAACCACTTTCTCGCGGAACAATCACATTGAACAACACCGACCCAGAAGCGTTCCCCATCGTGCAATACAACACGCTCATGAACCCAATCGACAAAGAGATTCTCTGTGAGCTCGTGCGCTGGAACCGCAAACATTGGGCTGGCGCAGCACTTGCTCATTACAGCCCCGTTGAGACTGCGCCAGGGCCGCAATATGTGACTGATGATGAGATCATCCAGGGAGCGTTGAGTTTAGGTATTTTGAGCTCGACGTTTGCGCATTCATCGGGAGCTTGCGCGTTGATGCCGGAGGAGTTAGGTGGGTGCGTTGATACGGAGTTGCAGGTTTATGGGGTGAAGGGGCTTTCTGTTGATGATGCTTCGATTATTCCCATGATACCTGCTACGCATCTTCAGGCTACTGTGTATGCGATTGCGGAGAGAGCTTCTGATATCATCAAGAGCCGGTGGAGTGGTCATGATGTTGTGAAGTGATTGAGGTGGTTGGCAAGGGTCGTCGTCCAAAGGAAGCTCCATCAGTGATTCAAAAATCCAGTTGAGTATGGAAATGTGCTATGGGAATCGTATAGTCCTTTTCTAAGGGTCAGTTACATTGATCAAAAGTCGGTGGTATAGTTGCCAGTGCATTCACCCCGTAATTTGCTCCCTGCAGATCGTGACCGGCACATACAATGTGATTATCTGGACTTCTCACAGCTATAGATGACTTTATAACTTTTTGAAGCATGAGTAGCTGCTTAGGCACTCAAGTTTGGCACTCGCTAATTCTAGGGGTTCGCTTAGGGCTTTCAGGGGCTTACGTGAAGACGAGGCAAATTCTCGTGACACATTGCTGCCTAATCTCCTACCTAGATATATCAACAGATCAAATCGATTTCCTTCCTGCATCAAAACAATAATAAACCCGTCGACATCAAAATCTTAAGAATAACGTAAACATGTCTTCCGCCCCCGAGGAACCACAGACCAAGATCCCCATCGAAGAGGCGCGCAAGATCTACGATCTACCAAATCCGATGCCTCGACCCATTAGAAGCCGTCAACTAAACATGATGTCATACACCGATGGTGAAGGTGTGAAGCGTGAGATTTGGATGCCGAGAGGGACCTCGACTCGGGCTTGCGAACTGTTGATCGCGGAGGATTGGGATGAGCTTGCGAAGTATCCTGTCCGGGGTCAGTTCAGCCTCAGCTCTTGATGATGTGGATCGATGTGCTGACAATTGAAAGGTCCAGATAATCTAAGCTATCAGGAGGAGGATGCGGCTGAAGCTAAAGAGAATCAGAGGAAGGCTCAGGAGGAGAAGGACAAGGAGATGAAAACTTCAACTGCTTAATTTGTTCAATGCGATTTATTGGGATAGGTTGGATCGTCTGAGAGGTACTTACCTTCATTTGAGGCATAACGCGCCAAAGTTAGCAGCAATTAATCATCGTGTTTTGTTCAATGAAATCGTGTCGTCAGACCTGCTTAGCTATGTGAAACAACGGCTATTCATTATTCTACCTCTGTTGCACGCAATTCATACTCTAACGCTCTTCTCATTACATCATCAATATCTATAACCATATCCTCGCCCTCCAGAGTCTCGTCTACCACCTCCACTTCTTGCTCCAACAGTACTCCCTCTGTGAGCAACCAGACTCCCACCATATTCCGAACTTCTTCCCCTCTTCCCCTCCTCCTTCCTTGCATTCCTCTCCGCCACAGCAGCACTTCTCTCCCCAGCCTTGGCACTCCGAAAACTAGCATGCGTCCCTCTCTCAACAGCATTAGCGCTACGCTTGCTGTGATGCGCACTCTTTGCTGATGCCTTTGATGCATTGACAGAAGCGTTGGCTGCAACGGCCGTCGGGAGAAGCGAAGCTACAGTTGCGAGAGAGGCAACTGTCGTCCATAGCGTTTTCTTCTTGAACCAAGGCTTCTCATCTTTCTGAGACGAGCTGCGACGGGAGCGATCTGGAGAGTAGGAGTGTCGGCGGCGGCTTGAGTGTCGAGGCTCTCGCGAGTGAGATCTGGAACGGGAACGGGATCGTGAAGATCTCGAAGAGCCAGAGAAAGTAGATGAGTCCCCGAGCGAAGATGCTGGTGATGGTTCTCTATATGCTTGTGGAGTCCCGGGAAGGGTGGAGCTATAGTGGCGAGGCGGGGCGGGTGTCGATATTTTATATGGGGCTTCGTTTCTTGGGGACGCCATGTTGCCAGCTTTTGCTCTGGTTCAGAGCTTTGAAGCAAACCCCTCTGCGAAGACAAGAAATGAATCAACTTAGGCCTTGAAACGAAAGAGCATTAGTGCGTAGAGAAAGAGAGGAAATCTTGAGTACTTGTCAAAAGTCGTTGGGGTGACAGGTTGCGTCATTGAGGTGTTTTCGAGTTCGTGAAGCAGCGTTGTCCCTGTGGCAGACCCTGTCTTATGAGAGCGGATATATCTCCACCAAGCGAATAATGTCAACCGATCTCTCCTCCGAAACTGCAGATAACGGCAACACCCTCAATCGCGACATGACTACTGGATAGTTACCGAATATATTCTTTCCTTTTTTGAAAGTGATTGGTGCCCAATGCTTCTGTTGGAGCCTAGCTCAACAGCCTCAACTGCAGTAGAGATGCCAAACCTGTTGTCTGCACCTCAATTGAATGACAACCAGCTTATAGTTACCTTTTGCAGCTTGGAGTCATGCCGGCAGTCAAATTCGTCGGACAGGGAAATCGCTCGATCAGGGGGCGGGATTCACGTGATGCCGTACCTCTTAGGTACCTCTCGGTTCTTGGCAAATATTTGCTGCCCACTTGGCTTGTTCTATATAGAGGAAGGACTATAATATATGCGGAGTCTATGAAAGGTATGATCTTGCTGCAAGCCTTTACCGACTTTCTTTTGTTCACGTGGTTGATTTTCAAATACCCTTTCAAGTTTCACATTTCGACAATAGATCGTTGAAAGTCTTTCATACAGTATTGTACAGTTATCCCATCCCAATTTCCAGTCCACTTCCTAACTCCATCTACTCATACACCTTCTTGAGCCAGAACTCCACACAGATAGCAGATCCCCTGACTATGCGCAACTGATATATCCCTGAACAGCAACAGCAGAACTACAGCACTTTTAGCTTATACCCAGGACTTGGTTTAGAGAAAGAGTTACCATGCAGTTATGCACGCTGCGTCTTTATTACAGCTCTGAATGCATGCTACTTCTTGAGCGGCCGTCGCTGTTTCGCAGGCAGCAATGTCGTCTCGACTTTGAATGGGAGATGCCATGACGAGAGAGGTGAGGGTGAGGGCAATGATCGTGGAAAGGTTTGAGAATTGCATTGTGGATGTTGTTTTAAGGATGCGATTTCAAGGCAAAGTGGAAGACTCGAATGAAGGTTCTTGCTTAGCGCTGGAAATGCTGCTGATGAATTTAGACTGTTGTCTGGTGGGAGAGTACGTGGAATCAAGCAACCTTTTATATCTCAACATCTCACCCATGGGAGTATACTTCTTATCTTTGCGAGATGACAGAGTTTCAAGGATGACGAAATAAATCGCATTATCTCATAGTAGTATAAGCTCAGAGGCATGAAGTGAGCGTATGTACTCGATCTTCCCCAGCCTCGGCAGTTCAGTATCACTCCGAGAATGATCTGAATGATCTTCATCGAAGTGGAGTGTTCTCGCCATCTCCATGTGTATCCTATGAGGCTCTGTGATGGGACGTCATAATGCATGAAGAATGAAGAAAGGTTGTCCCTGCGAACTCTGTTTCATCTCAACACAACGCCTTTAGATGACTGGCTACTGACCATCAATCCGCATAACGAGTACATCGCAGGAAGTAAGACGAAAACTTTAATTGGACCATCATGTTGTGGTTCATGGGAGAGTTGAGAAATCATGAAAGCAGAAGTCCAATATGACAACACAGCTCATGCAAACACCCATGACTGGTAGTAAATGAAAGCGCGACCCTTGTCTTATGCTCCAAATATGCTTTCATCCAGCGATCATGAAACCAGACTATCAGATTCGGGCTCTTCAGACGAATACCGACGAGGGCCCAGCAACATGTGATCGGAATCTCTTTCAAGACCGCATGGATTTCCTATTCGGGACAACCCAAGAATGGATTCGACGCAATTTGTCGAAAAGCGAGCTTTGGGCATTGCCATGATAACATTATGTCCTGCATGCATTCCTTAGGAAATCCTTCTGTTTTCTTGCATAGACTTCTATGCAAGAAATTTTTCGTCATCTTTCCGTCTGATCTTTCGATGATACAAGTCCTGGCTAGCCGTATATCCCACGCCGCTGTACCCTTTACATAGGATATCGAAGGTACCGGTATGCCAAAGAAACGATAACCTCCTGACCTCGAATGCAACAAAATAAAGTCCAAGGAATTGCTGACTGCAGAGCTGTATTTCTCAGCGCCCGGATACTGCAGCGGCCGTTCGGACATATCAGACAGCTTCTCTTACAGAACTCAGAATCAAGCAGCAAGAACGATATAAATGTAAGCCTTTGCGTCACCTGAGGCGGAGGATCGGAGGAAGGGTTCAACAACGGTTGACAAAACCGACCAATCTTATCGCCGATGACTGATGGGTTCCAGTCTAAATGTTGGGTTTCGAATGCCGATCAACCATTCAGCCACTGCTTCAACAAGTCACTGGTTCAAGAAGATGTTCTTGCTGCAAAGAAGCGCACTTAGGAGCGCTTAAAGCCTCCTAACGCCGTGACATCTGCATCGGCCGAACGTGTGATTCGTCGGCCGACGTCAAGCTCGAATGCCACCCCTCATTCTTGAGGAGCTCCAAGCCAATTTCAACCTCACTTTCTCCGCAATACCTTTCATATATAAAGAGTTCATCTCCACCTCTTTCCAATCCATCCCAAATCAAACTTCAATCTCCCACCTTTTGCTCTTGATCGAACTCCTCGATCCCCACCACAATGGCCAACACAATGAAATACACAACCCTAGGAAACTCGGGTCTCAAAGTATCCCGCATCTGCGTCGGTTGCATGTCCTACGGCGACCGTCGCGGGCGCCAGCCCTGGGTCGCCGAAGAAGCCGAAGCGCTCCCAGTCCTGGAAGCATGCTACAACGCAGGCTTCAACTTCTACGACACGGCCAACGGCTACTCGAACGGGGTCTCGGAAGAGATTCTCGGCAAAGCGATCAAGAAGTACAACTGGCGCCGCGAAAACCTCGCCATTGCGACGAAACTGTGGTCTCCGGTCGGGTACCGCAAGGAGAATGAGAACGGGAGGTGGGATGATGCGTTAGCTATGAGCGTCGAGGAGAGGGATCGGAAGGGGTATTTGAATATGTATGGGTTGAGCCGGAAGCATATTTTTGATTCCGTGAATGCGAGTTTGAAGAGGTTGGATTTGGAGTATATTGATTTGTTGCAAATTCATCGCTTTGATCCGAATACGCCCATCAAGGAGACCATGAAAGCGTTGCATGATGTAGTGGAGAGCGGGAAGGTGAGGTATATTGGGGCGAGTTCGATGTGGGCGCATCAGTTGCTGGAGATGCAGTACACGGCTCGGTTGCATGGGTGGACGGAGTTCATCTCTATGCAGAATTTGCATAATGCCACCTATCGGGAGGAAGAGAAGGAGATGATTCCCTCGTTGAAGAAGTTTGGGATGGGGATGATTCCTTGGAGTCCGGTGGCGATGGGGTTTCTCTGCAGGCCACATGTTGACTTCACGAGTTCTGATAGAGGGACATCTATGAAAGGAACATTCTTGGGAAATGAATGGACCGATGCGGATAAGAAGATAAATGAGAAGGTTGAGGAGATTGCGAAGAAGAGGGGCACGACAATGACTGTTGTGGCTCTTGCTTGGAGTTTGAGCAAGCCCTTTATGACGGCGCCAATCATCGGAATGAGCAAGAAGGAAAGAGTGGATGAGGCTGTTCAGGCAATCAATTTCGAGCTTTCGAAAGAAGACATTGAGAGTATTGATAATCTTTATGAGCCGAAGAAGGTCATTGGATTTGCTTAGATAGCTCTTGAAAATGTTGGGTACAGAGTGTACAGTTATGAAGACAAGTACTGAACACACGGTTAACAATGATTCTTTCAGACCAATCTGGTATAAACTCACCAACAAAGCACACATTTCTAGTCTCAAAATCTCCTAGCTTCTAAGCATTAATCTGCTCACAAGAGTAGTTAAGTCGATTTCAGACAATCTAGTCAACTCATTCCAGATTAGATCATAGCAATGCCCATAATATTAAGTCGGAACAATTCACACTTGACAACAGAAGTATGGGACAAAAGAGACGGATACATACAAAGTATTGATAACAACCAATCAACCGTGCTCTTCAAACATTCCCCATTTCAAGTCCATACGTGAGCCAGCTACAAGGATCCAGCACCCGTTTCCACATAAATCTGCCGGTCCACCACAACCCATGATGGTGAAGAGCGCGTAGTTGTTTGTGATAGCTTCTTGCTTGGAGAAGTCCAGCCTATTTATACCAAAACCCTCACACGAAATTTTCCACGCAAAGAATTCACCTCACCTTGTTCTGCAAATCCACCTAAAGATTTCTTGATGATTAAAATTCACGCACGACATCGACAGTTCCATCCTCCAACATGGGTTCACCCTTGTACTCAGGCCTCTGGATTCGACTCTTCGCAGCTAAAAACGATAAAGACAGGCAAAAACCCAAAAAAATCACCTTTTTCCACCATGAAAATATACACAAAATTGTGCAAATTGTTAGAATTCACGCACGACATACCCACAGTTCCTTCATCGAGCAAAGATTCACGCTTATACTCACGTCTCTGGATTTCGAGTCTTCGCAGTCCCCCGCCGTCAAGAAAAGCATAAATACCACCGTAGACCGCCAGAATTCTTATCTACAACGATTTGAACCCCGCTACCCCAATGTCCAGCCTTCGCTGTGAAGACGAGCCGCTTGGTGTCTGTGTGGCTGGCATGAAGGAAGCAATGGCTGCTTGGTTCTTTTCCTTATGGTAAATGAGAAGTATTTGGCTAGTTTGAATGTTGCCGTTATCTGTGAATTGAGATTGTTATTAAATGCTAGATGAAGATAGAAAGTGGCTTGTTGATGGATTTGTTGTTGCCAAGAGATATTTGAGATTACTCATTGAATAAAAGTTTGGATGGGCCATAGCAAGCTGTATGTCCTCACCATACAAGATCAAGAGGACAGTGTTGGTAAACAGGAGAGAGAATGAATCCTAGATTTGAATCCTGAAATCTCATTCAACAGAATTGTAGCATATGATTGTGCAACTTTAGACCAGACAAAATGAGGGGGAACATAACTGAAACAAGACTAAATACATATTCTGACCTTTGAGTACCGAAGTCAACATAGAACTCCTTGCGCCATGGTATCGCTCACCCAAGAATAGCTATATGCAAAATGCTAACAAATCATATACAACAGAAGCACTAACTCGTAAATATATATCCAAACAACTTTCACAGCTCGACCTCCATAGCAGTACATCTATCGCAAGTCCCTCCTACTATTGCTCTCCATCTCAAATGTCTCTCCATCGTGGTGCTGCACATAAACTTGCGGGATTTCAGGACTACCCCTCCCAGAGCTGAGTCCACCAGTCGGTACCGTTCCCCTGTATCCAATGTCGCCATGTACCTCTTGTGCGTATGGCAAGTAGCTTTCATTTCCATAGCTCGAACTTCTAAACGCCTCGAATCGCGTGTCTCTTTCATGATTGTAGCTAGCTCTTCTTTCGCTGCCCGGTTGAGCCTCGATGTCTGGCGCAGCGTATGCTTTGGCACTGTAGCCCGTGTATGGAGTTTGTATCGCAGGGTATTCGGGGACACCGTCGACGTTGGAGGGATTCGCGTTGGGGTCGATAACTGAGGAGTAGCCGTCACGGCGCGTACGGTGGTAGATTACTGAACCGTAGATTAGAGGGATGATGAAGCAGAGCCTGTTGGTAATTTTTGTCAGCTATTGTTGCCTCGATTGGTCTGCAGAAGAGGGAGAACGTACCACAAGACAGCTTCGATTATAAGCCCAACGAATGAGACAGTTCGAGAGTTGTTGTCCACGAATGATACGATGTCCAGCACAAAGAGAACAGTCCAGATCGTGCTCTTGATTGTATTGAATATGACGAAGGTCTTGGGCTTGAGTTTGTGTCGTGCCAGCAGAATTATCTCGGCGATGGTGAGGACCAGGCATATAAGTAACATGGCCATCCATATTGGAACGATACTAACATTTTCGATTAGCAGATACTTAGATGAAATCAATTGGCAGAAGGTACATTTTTGCCCCAGTCGACACCTCGTTGAAGTTGCAATCAATACCATCCGCACAATACCCGTCATTGTTATCCCAATTGACTATAACCCCGACGGCCAGCCCAAGCAGTGCCAAATCCAATAAGCCAACAAGGAGTTGAATTGACCAGAAAGGGATCAGGACCGATTTCCGCCAAGGTGCATGTGCATGGTGGGAACGCATTCTGTCGTCTCGTGAAGTCGTGCCTTGGGGTGATGGAGAAGATGCAGATCAAGGCCCTCTGTCGACGTCCCACCGCTCAATATATGAGCAACAACATCGTGAAAATTAGTGTTTCCCAATTCAGCACCAAGGAAAAAGCGCAGTCAAGCGGCTGAAGACTGTCTCCACATCACGCTCTTCTTCGCTCTCAAGCATCCAATCCCATTGCTCGCCACTCGCGCGTAATTTCTCACACAATGGTGGAGTGGTGGCCTTGTCAGTTGGGCTTAAGTAGTGTCCTGCAATCTTCTGATACAGTACCGCGAAGGAGCGGAATGATTGTGGTTTGACGTGAGGCTTGGGTTGGTGTCTCGCTTGCTGGCGAACACAGCCCTGTCGACAGCGCCATTATGCTTAATTTAGGTGGTCTGGCGCACGGCTACTGCATGTGGAGGGATGGTGAACCTTGGAAATGGAGACAAGATGGCGGTGTGATTGGCGGTTTCGTGGTGGATAGATTTCGATGAGGCTTCGACTTGGAACTTGGGGATGCAGGGGAAGAGAAGAAGGAGGGAAGTGGAGGGGCGCGAGGCAGATTTCGAGCTCAAAGAGCTATCACGTGGAGTTAGGTAGTTGGAAAGGATTGATATCCACCATGGGCCGATTTTGTTGGCATTGCTCACTTGTCGTGATGATTGTGGCAAGATATAGAAGTCTAACTCGCATAGATGCAAGTGTATCTTAAGATGGTGAAGCAGTGAAGCTGTCTGTATGCATCAATATTTGCCATCAATTCAAATGATGTAAGGCAACATGCAACTCCTTCAAGGGGCAGCCGCGTTGTCAATCGCAAGTTTTCTTTCTGCAAATGTAAGTCCAAGGATGAATCATCAAGGCGATGTATTCGAAAAGATAGTCTCGTATTTTAAAGTACCCGTGATCTACGCTTCTTTCTAGTTACTTTAACTCTTCATGTGTGTATGAGGCTTCTCGAATGTATACATATTACCGTCCCATGAACTGCGTCGTTTTCTTCATGTATGCATGCTTCCAAGATCAATACAGCCATTACTTGTTTCCATGACATTGTCGTGTATTTGCTCGCTCAACAGCCTTCTTCCTCTCTCCAACCGCTAATGTCCATCCATCCTCCTCCCCGCATCTTTCTCATGAATCCCCACTCCATCTTCCAAATCACTTTTCCCCTTTGCCTTCTTGCTCATTCCAAACAATCCTGTCTTCCACCACTTTCTCTTATTACCTCTTCGACTCTCCTTCCTCTTCGACATGCTATAGTTCACCGGACTTTCCTCGCCTTCGAATATAGCAATGTCGTAAATCAAAGATCCCATCAGCCCACCTGTAATACTCGCAACCCAAGCTTCGGCCCACCAGCCATTTGCCCACATCGGACTACCGTACCCGACCCACCACGGCACGAGGCGTGAAGCAAGGTCTTTCGCGGGGTTGGTCTGTGGTCCGGTGTTGTAGCCCAGGGTTGATGCCAGTGCGAAGCCGATGAGGCCGAGAATGAAGGCGTGCATTCCTGCTCCTGGAGGAGAGTTGGTGTCGTCGCCGAGGGCCATGACAGTGCCAATCCTGCAATTATATTGTCAGCATGAATACCTCATATCTTGCGTTCATTCCGGCACATAGAGCTGATACTTCAATACAAAGTCAAGGACTGAAAAATCATATCTTACATGATAGCCGAGCTTACGAAGTCGGTGAAGAATGCCGTTGTGGGAGTAGCAAACGTCGCGGGCAGAGTAAAGAAAGACTTTCCTGTGGCGGAGTTGCCAGTTGTAGTCTTCAGTGGGTCGATAGACACGATGGCATCGTGGTAAATCCCGTATGCAAGGAGGACTGCACAGATGGCTCCAAGGAGCTGGGCACATATGTAAATGAATGCTTTTCGGGCGGGAAAGCCACGAAAGACAGAGAGGGATATGGAGACTGCTGGGTTACCTATGATTCTGATTGTTAGTGACGATCGACGATAAAGTTGGCAAGGAGAAGTTGGCCGTGTAGAAGGAACAGAGAATGAGCTGACATACAATGCGCTCCTGAGATACCACCAGCGATATAAATCGCCATCATGGTCCCAAGACCCCACATCGCTGCTTCCTGGGTGAAACTTCCATCCTGATCTTGGGATGTCTTGACTTGAAGATTGCCCGCTGTCCCAATAAAGACTGCTACCATTGTCTGCAAACCTGTCAGTATATCAATGCCATGGAAGAGTATTTGAAGCTACTGACTCCGAGCCACCTGAATTGATGTCAGTAAAAGGAGTTTCCCGTTGTAGAGGGTGGTATCTTACTCTGCAAGAGGTTCACGCAAGTACTTCCTCCTGACACCAAACCACCAGTTCGGAATATCCTCATCATCCTGCCCTTCTTCAGTCAAAGTCTCCTCACTGTCGTTTCGACGTCGCCCTCCATCGTTATCCCAGTCAGCGAAGTGTTCCAGGTAATTCGTATGCCCGCCCTCGTCCTCATCTTCAGGGTTGCGGGCGTTGGACGCAGGACCACCAGGTGCTTCGCCTGCTGTTTGACCCCGGACAGGAGAGCCATGGTGTCCGCCAGGACCTCCTCCAACCTACAGAACGTCATCATCACGACACAAGACCATAGCGAGGGAAAGACTTACCTGACCCTGAGGATGACCACGGTGACTCCCTCTCTTCGACTTCCTACCCTGCCTATCTTGGTGCGGGAACGGAGCCCCTAAGCCCCACTGAGGCTTTGGCCTCCCTCCACCGCTCCTCTCGCTCTCACTTTGAGGCTGTTGTCTCGGACCCGCAAGAGAATATGATGGATCGGGACGAGCTCTGCCAGATTTGGTGCGAGAAGGATTACCAGCAGATGAGCCTGGCTCGCGACCAAACACCGATTTCTCGAGTCGTGATTGTCGAGAAAGAACGCGTCTCAGGAGACTATCTTTCGATGGTTGCCGTCTTGCTTGATCCACTAGAGGCCAGCCGCCTTGCACTCTGCTTTCAGAGTACTGTCTGAAGGGTGCACGCTCGTAACGCCCGTAGGTGGTGTCGAGGTGAGGCTCCTCGGCTTGTCCTTGACGGCCGTTGGAGTTTGAGAGTGGTATATCTGTGAGTGGCGTTGCTTCATCCATGTTGAAATGCTAGAAGTAGGCCAAAATAGATGCTCACAAAATGATGCGCAAGAGATGAAAGAATTTGCTACGAACGAGAACCTACTCGGTGGGCAACAGATCTCACCATATAGTGATTGCTTCAACTCTCCAACGCTCCGGAATGACTTCATACTAGACTCCGACCTTGGAACTGGACATATTGAACCATGGGTTTCGGAGGCTGCTCCTGCAAGTGATCGTGATCGCAGCATCTCTTCCCAATTCGATGTATTCTATTATAGGACTGAACATGGAATTTCAAGAATTGCATGCATTGAAGCTCGCTGTCAATGCAGACTTCAACGGTCGTTACCCGTTTTGGGCGAGAGCAGATAAGCGTTCATCCAATTCGGTGCTGCAATTGACTTTTCGCTGTGATGATCTGCAGTTGGTGATATCATATTTTCCGAAGCGCCCCTGGCTAAGTCTGACGTGGAAATGTGGTTGTGGAGATAGCTGTTTCAGGTGCAACATGGATTCGGTTGGTTGTGATTGACTGGCCTGTTGTACATTTTATATATAGCCCTGTCAAGATGATAAAAGAACTGTTATGTTGCACTACTCTGGCACCTGGTATGTCGACCACCTCGCTTAAATTTGATGGCACATTGGAGCTCAACGTGCTCGCCCGCATCGCAACCGATTATTGTGCAATGATTCTAGTTTTTGCACTAATTGAGACTGCATTATTTCCAAAGTTACTTGTCCCTCGAGTGCAAATTGATGTGAAGGGAAATTGGAAAGCTATAAATGCCAGAAGTTGCGTTCAATGCAGTGCTGCACAAGGCGGCTTTGACTCGTCTGGTAGAAGCCAATTTGCCACTGCACGCAAGCGTCACGAACCTTCTAACACAAATCCATTGGAAGATTTCGTTGAATCCCCCGCTACCACGGTACAAGAGACCAAAGGCACAAGATCAGTTGTGACAGGACCAGTCTCAAAAGTCTCCAAGGCCATCAGCTAGTCAGTATTGCAACAAGCGCTACCCTTATCTAGAAGTTGAAAGATCCGAAAGCTTAGACAGCCCTGTGAATGCGCAGTGGCGAAATGCCATACACGGGGGGTGGGGGTGACATGGGAGATGATGTACATAGAGTCTTAGGTGCGATCAAAGGGTCATCCGACACTGCATGGGCAGGCGCAACTTTTTATCTCATTGTTCTCCTTCTTGAGTACACTGTTAAAAGGCTAGAGTTCCACTTCGTCAACAAGCACTTGCATCCCGATATAGAAGTCTATGGTGAGATGATATGTCTAGCTGACGTTGCTTGCATATTGACATTGCTATACTCCTCGAATCCGGTATCCAGGGAAGACGCTAAGTAACGTCTTGCTTATGCTCATTGGAAACTCGGAAGCTACGGCTCGGCATGAACTTTTCGGGGGCAGCTGGGAGGCTCGGTCTCATTGAGGTCTTCTTGACAAAGAGTGAGCACTAAGGTTGCCTTAAGACTTGAAGACGTTCGGGGAAAGAGAGAGCAGTCAGTGCTCTTCTGAAGGCCAAATTGTCTCCATGTGTACAGCTTATAGACACCGTAGCGTTGCCCATGTTTTAGCGTTCACGCAAAGCAGAAGCTCTCAAGTGTCTTAAATTATTGCTTTAAGACTTTTAAGATCTATTGTTATAATACCGGAATCTCGACACTTTTTAATTATTAAGGTCACGTGATCTCGCGCTGCTTTTGCTTAGGCTGTCTTAAGCCCGGCTTAATTTCTGCTTAAATTTATTTAAATTTATTTTATTAAATATTATTAATTTTTAATAAATAATTTGTTACGGACCACCTGGATCGCCTGGCTAATCGCCTGTCACCTGACCTAATCGCCTGCCTAATCGCCCGCGACAAAGGTCAGGCCGGGAATGGTGGCGTTCCCTAGCTCTAAGCCTGTTAGGGCGTAGCTTCTCACATGACATCCCTTTCCTCCTGGCGTATATATATCTAGATCTTCTCTTCTTTCATTCCTCTTCTCTTCTTTACCTTTAGATTCTAAGAGATAGCCGAATCGATACTTCGTCTACGTACTAAGCTTCCCACCGTGCTGTCACACTAGGGGGTGTCCGGTATAGGGACTGTCCCCATTAATCCGTATGGTGCGAGACGGCTTGTCTTATTCCTAGTACAAGTGTCACAACTCTTGATAACCTTTTTGACGAAGGCTCTCATCGACAGACACTAGTACTCCCTTAAGAGTCTAAGGAAGGTCCTTCGCTCTCCTTAATGGCCATAAGCTAGCAACTCGTGTTACTCTCTTATGATTTCCTCCCTAATACTTAAGGGAAGGTAAATCTTTCCATCATGTATGAGTAGTCCTCCGGGCGTCCTCCTAAAGTATTGAGAGGCGGAATTTGCCACCGGGTCTGTAGCATAGGCTTCCTTAATACGGGCCTCTAGCGGAGTCCCGTCCAAGCGTCCTAGAGAGGCTATCTCTCTAACCGCTAGTGCTAGGTCCCCGTTGTTAAGGGTACAAAGCAAGGGTTACTTATTGTACACTTTATCGTTCTCGTATCCGAGTTTCTTGCTAAGGGCATCTACCCTTAGGTTTTGTGTGCCCGGCACATGCTTGATCCTCAGATCAAAACTAGTAAGTTCCTTAGACTATCGTACTAACCTTCGATTGTTAAGGACTTTAGTGGTTGTAAAAGCCTAAAGATTCATATGGTTAGTGTGGATAGTAACTGGGAACTTAGCCCTTTGGAGGTACACTCTCTAGTGCCTAAGTGCCTCTACTATTGCCAGAAGCTCTTTCTAGTAAATATCGTAGTTTTGTTCTGCGGGTGACATCTTCTTAGAGAAATACGCGACGGGGTGTAGCTTCCCGTCGTTAGCTTTCTGCAAGTACACTACTCCCATAGCTATGTCTAATGCGTCGGTTTCAACAATACTCTCTCGATCTTTTCTATACTATTAGAGTACTAGTTCCTTTAAGAACCTTAACTTAATTTCCCGAAAAGAGGCCTCCGCTTGGGGTGTCTATACAAATGGGATATCCTTCTTAGTGAGCGCTGTAAGCGGCTCCGCGAGCCTAGAGAAGTCTCGGATGAACATCCTACAAAAGTTAGCGAAGCCTAGAAAGGACTAAATATCTTTAACCGTTTAGGGCGACCACTACTCTCTTATCTCCTATAGTTTGTCTAGGTCGACTAATACCCTTCCTAGTTTAATAACATACCCTAAGTACTTTGTACTAGTGACTCCGAAGTCGCACTTCTTGAGTTTGAGCCTAGAGTCGACCCTAGAGAGGGCCTCGAGGACTAGGCGCACGTGTCCCTTGTGGTCCTCCTTTCTCTGTGAATACACCAAGATGTTATCCATGTGACAGCACGGTTGGACTCAAGTACGTAGACGAGGAATCGATTAGGCTATCTCTTAGGATCTAAAGGTAAAGAGGAAAGAAAGGAAGGAAGCGCCGGAAGGCAGGGCATATATACAGGCGAGCGGTCACGTGAGTATTTCGTAGCGGGCACGTGACTCCATAACCGTGACAATCCAAATAGTAGACCACAAACTTGCCTAAATATTCCCGCAGAATATTATCATTCTGTCGTTAGCATGTGGCTGGCGCGTTTGTGAGTCCGAACGGCATAATAGTGTATTCCCATAGGCCAGAAGGCAGCAGAAAGGCTGTCTTCCATTCGTAGCCTTCCCTAATCCTAATCAGGGCAAAAGCTGTATTCTGATCTAGCTTTGTGTAAATAACTGCCGACCTAATCGCATCTCTCAAACTCTAGAGATTGGGCAAGGGATACACGTCCCTTACTATAGCGTCGTTCAGTCCTCTGTAATCCACACAAGGCCGTCTCTTTAGATCGTCTTTCTTGTGTGCGATTAGTATATTCGATGCTATAGGGGACTTGGATTTCCTAATCCATCCCTTTGCTAGCGCTCTTTGCACATACTCTTCGAGTATACCCAAAGTCTGCGGGTTGTGCCGGCGGAGCTTCTAGTAAGGCGGCTGCTTACCTTCTTTTAGATTGATCTTATAGTCCTAGGGCTAATGTTTGGGTAGGGCCCTCAAGTCTTCGGGGTCCTCAAATAGCTTAGTGTATTCCTTATAAGGATAAAGTATTTCTTCTCGTCCCTAGTCAGGTAGCCTAGTGGTTGCTTGATCCTATGCCTCAGAGGCTGTGGCACTAGCCTCCCTAGGTCCTTGTAGTCATTCGTTTGAGCAATCACACCGATTGAGCCTCAAACTCTATTTCGTCCAATTAAGTTCCGGATTATGCTTCTATAACTAAGGAATCTCCAAAACTATTTAGTATCGACCAATCGGGGCAATATCTAAGACAATTATCTCGATATATCCCTGTATTTTCATTTGTAGAGGGGATGTCTTATGCATAACCCTTCCCTCATCTTAAGCGATAGCTGTCTCGTCTATTGTGCTTAGCAAGTATAGCTCATCCTTCGGCCAGACTGGTAGTCCTAGCTAGGACACTATTTCCCTAGAAATATAGTTCCCTTAAGCCCCTAAATCGAGCATAACTAGTGTCACAGCGCCGGCTGTTACGGATCACCTGAGCCCATCGCCTGAGCCAATCGCCTGTCCTAATCGCCTGTGACAGAGGCCAGGCCGGGAATGGTGGCGTTCCCGAGCTTTAAGCCTAATGGGGCTTAGCTCCTCACCTGACATCCCCTTACTTCTGACATGTATATGTATATAGATCTCTCCTCCTCTCCTTTCTTCTCTCCTTAGCTTTAGATTCTAAATGAATAGCCCGACGTTGCGTCGCCACCTCACACCATCGTCACAGTGCTGTCACAACTAGGACTAAACTGCCCTAGACATTCGCTCGTATATGGAAGTGATTCGTACTTCCCCGCACCATCCTAATAGTTGCACTCAGCTGCCTTAGAGGTAGAAGTGTGAACCGTACCAAAGCTTGTCGTTAGCTTTCCATTGTGTTAATTTCCGTTACCCTTTAATTGGTATACTAGCATTCCCATACTTTTAGGGCTATTATCCACTCAACAAGCCTATAGGGAGTCCTTTCGCGCAAACGTGCCCCAAGTGGGTTATCTTGCCTTTGTATAGCGATCCGTGCCTTGTATCCCTCAAACGGTGGGAATACCACCTCCCTTTACACCCAAAGGTCTGCAGAGTAAGCGATTATCTCCCATATTTGCCCCACCCCTAGGACCTCATCCAGGGTCTAAGTCTAGTCCTCCTTCCTTAAGAAGTACGAGACGTGTACTAGCAATCCGGTCGTGCGGAGAGCAATTCTCCACGCGTCCCGATATACGACAATATAATATGTTCCTATCTTAGGCAAATCCATTTCGCTCTATAGCAGACTCTCATACTCGCCCTTTCTCCCGTACTTTAGTTCCTAGGTCACTAAAAGTCCCCCGATACTAGCGACGATCCATTCTTCGTTAACCTCAGGGAGAGGGTCTGTGGGAGCCTCGACTAGTTCAACTTCCCCAAGTTGATAGTTCTCCTCTTAGACACTCCTCTCAACTAGAGTCCCTGATTCCTCCGACCCGTCGTCAGAATCATAGAGTTCTAGCGTACTGTCTGGAGGTCCCCACCAGCTGCTGTCTGAGCCTAGCTAAGTATCATACTCCTAGTCCTTCATACGATGAGTAGCATTAGCTTGTCTCAAAGTCTCGGTTCCTTCTATAGCGTTAGCCTGCTTGCCTTTTCCCTTATTATAGGAAGATACAACATAACTAGGTAATCCACACTCATAATAGAGTCCCTTCTCCCGACGTTCCTTCCTAACTTCTAGCGAAAGCTATTTCCTAGGCTTCCTCCCATTAGAGCCTCCCCTTCCGCCCTTTCTCTGGCCTCTAGCCTTGGTTCCATCAAGCTGCATGGGATCCCCCTTATCATATGACTTTGGGGAACTCTGTAGTTAATAATAAGAGTACACCCCTTTTTGCTCAAGGCGCCTCTCGTAGAACCGCTCGTCGAATCTTGCGGCTAAGCGTATAGTTTCTTAGAGGCTAGTAGGTTCAGGCTCCACTCGGGCGAGCTCGTCCTTAATAAACTCCTTGAGGCCTATATAGTACGTTCTTTTTAGAGCCTTCCCATCCCATTTAGCCTGACTAGAATACTGCTAGAACTTAGAGGTATAGTCCTTAACAAACCCTGTCTATCGTAGCCTCATCAATTCCCTCTCAGCCGTTTTCTCGACTTCTAGATCCCTGTAGACCCCCACTATAGCCTTCTTAAATCCTCCAAACCCTCTAAAGATAACCTTAGTCTCTTCCCTAGTACTATTGAGGATCGTTCTAGTTGTCGCGTGTCGATTAGTCATATAGTCAGACAAGTAGGCCTTGAACTAGTTAAAGGCTAGTCCCCTTAAGTAGCTAGCGGCAAAAGCTACTTTGGCCCCCTCGCTAGGGAACAAGTATGGGTTGAACATCAAATAGATATCCATAGAACAAAGGAACGACTCGAGCCTGTGTCGGGTACCGTCATAAGTGTCTAGTACCTTAATAGCTGGGGTACGTTCCTATACCGCGATGGTCGTCACCTCCGTGGGTACTGGGGTCTCTGCTCGTCCAGAGGTAGACATAGTTACCGAATGCTAACTTTAAGACCGGGTGCTCAAAGTGTCACGACTCTCTCCTTACCCTAGTAAGGTCACGTGGGTTGGTATGGTGAATGAAGTAAGGTAAGGCAATGATATTGTAGTTAGGAAAACTTAATCAAGTTGAGCACAAAGCCCCTATCTAATGGGTGACAACCCAGAGTTATATAGAACCCGAGTGTTGTGGAGTAAAACCCCCTCCTGGAGTTTTACTGTACCTTGGAGTTTTACAGGAGAGTAAAACTCCATCACGTGACTCACCGCGTGACCTAAGGCCCACTAGTCCCGTGATCGTAACATAATATTTATTTTAATTTTAATATTATACGAATAAATTATTTTTTAAATTTTATTTTATTTTTTATATTCTTTTCACCGCTGTACTTATATATCGATCATAAAAACCGTAAGAATAATTACACTTTATCAAGAAATCAACGGCATTTCCTACATCTTTATACACGTTGACTACACTTTTATCTCTACCAATATTCAGTCATAAACGCACGAGGTCCACATTCGGCCTCCATTCCTCCCCATACCTCGACTACGCAGTCGGGGCAAACGGCGTCTTCTCACTAGGCTTAGGCCTCGCAGCATTATACAATCCATTACCATTTCTTTGCGCATTCAACCTCGAAGCTAAGTCACCCGAAGCGCGAAAAGTCGCGAAAGATTTACTCATCGTCTATGAGACTTAGCTCTAGGTTTTGGAATCACTTCGGCAGCGTATTATGGGCATAAGGAAATCATGGGTTGGTCGATGGTCGGCGTTTCTGTGATTGCCTTTCTAGACGGTCTGGTTTCGAGGGGAAACGAGAAAGGAGGAGAGTGGAAACATTGGTTATTCATAGGGGTCTCTTTGGGCCTCGCCTCGGCCTGCTTTAGATATGTCTAATTGCCTTCTACAATTCAAATGTAATCTTTGAGGAATTATTCATAGTATGTATAAAACCAGACTGGTCGTGACAACCCTTGTTATTCGTTAAAGCGCTATCACGTGGAGTTATTCAATCAACAAGGGGTTGACATCTACCAATAGGGTATTTTTTATGCCAGCTCAGGATGTCAGCAGAGGGTTTTCCAGCGAGGCTGGGATCCGACAGCTTCGCCACGATTTGACCTCGACTTACTTTTTCTCCGTGTTCTGTTTGATCATGCCGAGTCACCGTACTGCGTCTCTCATATATGTTTCTCGAGTCATTTTGATTACTGGAAGCTGACGACAACTACTAGAGGCGGCTTCTACGTCAAGGTCCCAGATCGGTCTCGCATGCCTGTAGGTGCATGTCAAGACAGTGAACCTTACTCCAAGCACGAGTTTGTTCTTCCGGAATGACCAAAGCGACGCACCTGTTATCGGTGTTTGAGTGAGACCGCAATAGCACGCCCTAGGGATCTTCATCGCACCTTCCAAATGGCCACTGCAAACGCTTCGCAAGGCTCGGTAACACCAAAGAACCACAACAAATCCCCATTTCCTAAACTCAAACGGACATTCAAGAAATCGAAACAACCTGACAAGACCAAGGCAACGTTACCGATAGATCTGCCAAGCAGATCCCTTCAGGATGCCGTTCCTCAGATCTCTCACACCCCTGAATTACATTTGACGGAGCTTTGGGACGCGGCATACGAAGAGCTAAAGTCCTCAGAAAAAAAGCTCATCGACGAGTATGAGGAAAACCTTCGTGGAGATCTGACGACGATGCTCGGTGCTACTGAGTCATTCTCGGGTCTCAAGATTGAGCGCAAAGATCTCATGCGGCAATTGTTGACACAGAAGATCGCTGAAACGAAAGAAAATACCTGGAAGTTGAAGTTTGGCGAGCACAAGATTCCTGTCAAAGACTTGGCTGAGCCTGTCATTGGGATTATCAGGTGGGCGGATGATTACATATCTGGTGCTTTGAGCGCGAACCCTTACGCTTCTATTGCTTGGGCAGGAGTTAGTTTATTGCTTCCACTACGTTTTAAGTTCTTAGCTTTACCTTAAATGCTTTCATACTTGACTTCTTGGCGTCTTGGTAACTAACCAAAAACTCCCAGTTGACCCTCAATCCTTTGAAACAAGCGGCCTCTTTGGCGAAGGGACTCGATTATATCTCCGATCTCATTGTGCGCAGTACCATGAGATAGTCCTTATTTGCGAGTCTATACCAATCGAAGATAAGGGAAGAAAAGCAAAGCGTTGACTTGTCTGGGCTCAAGCTCTATGAAGACACTCTGAAAAGTCTTTACGTCGAGATATTAAAATTTCAAGCAACTAGTATCTGCTATTTTTCTAAGAACAAAGGTTCCAGAATTGGTTTGGATGTGCTTCGGTGGGATGACTGGGACAAATCATTGAGCGATATTCAGTAACGTGAGGATGTCTTTTGCAAGGTATACGATATTTGGAAGGACACTAGGGAGCAGGAGGCGCAGGAAAAAGTATATCGACAACACAAGGAGAATTCTGAAGCTATGGGGACGATCTCATGGAATCTCGTTTCACTTCAGATGTCCATTGATGCACGACAACGAGAAACATGCAGGAGTGACCTACTCGACTGGCTCTCCTCTGTTGACCCCTCGAAGAATTATAATAACGCGCTACGTACCCGAGAAGATGGAACAGGAAACTGGCTCTTGAAAAGCAGGAACTTCAAAGATTGGGAGATTGGACGTAGATCTCTCTTGTGGTCGAACGGGAAAGGTATCACTCTCTCACCAGGTATGCATTCTTACACTTGATGCTAACACTCACATCAGCTGGTTCTGGAAAGTCTATATTGAGGTATGATTTAAAACTGATGAGTCCTTTTTATAAATGCTGAGCCAAAATATAGTGCTTCAATCATCGAACATTTGCGAGAAGCCTATGGGCCGAACCCGGAGACTGCGTTAGCGTACTTCTATTTCAGCTTCAACGATGGGAAGAAACAGAACGTAGTGGAAGCCCTTTCCTCCATTGTCAAACAACTCTGCTGTCGTCGGCCCGACACCCCTGAGGCTGTGGAAGCCCTTCGACAATACAAAACTTCTGGACAACGGCCTGACCAGAAAACGCTTGAAAAGACGTTAGATGCCGTGCTCCATGGATTCACCCATGTTCACATTGTATTGGACGCTCTTGACGAGTGCCCATCCGATGATCAAGCGAGGCATAATCTACTTGAAACTATTGGTCGGGTTCTAGCCAGTGAGCCCGATAATCTGCACTTGCTTCTTACAAGTCGAAGAGAGGTTGACATTGAGAAAGCATTAATACCCGCACTATCAAATGCTTCTTCGGATTGCTTTAGTATCGACATCAACGTGCTAAATGAGCAAGAGGCCCTCGAAACTGATATTACTTTTCATATTGACCACGAGTTCAACACCGAGCCTTTCTGTTCGTGGCCACCTGATATAAAGGAGGAAGTAAAGTCTGCATTAATCAATAACGCAGATGGAATGTGAGATTTTTCGATATTCGAAGTTGCCCCAGCCGTGTTCGGATGAAACTGAATTTTGATAGGTTTCAATACGTGGCATGCCAATTCAATGATCTCCGACTTCATGGTTCCAGAGCCACGATTCGAGCCGCTCTAAGAAATCTTCCTAAAGGACTCGATGATACATACGACAGAATGCTCCAGGGTGTGGCTCCACAATACCAGCAAAGAGTTGCAGGCGTGCTGAAATGGCTTGCATTCTCACTTCGACCACTTACCCTTGATGAGGTTGCTGAAGCCTTTATCCTCGATCCGGAAAAGGAAGTGCCATTCGATGAAGATGAGCGAATCTTCAACGTACTCACACATCTCACTGGGCTTGTTATTCAAGTACCAATTGGAGATGATGGAGATCCGCAGATCCAACTTGCCCACTTCTCAATCAAGGAGTATTTATGCTGTGGGCGCATGACCCTGAAACACTTCTCAGCCGAAGAGGAAAGTTCACACTTGTACTTGGCCAAGTCTTGCCTTGCGTATCATTTACAGCTAAGTAGCGAAAGATTTGCAACGACAGATACCATGAAACCCTATGCTCTTTGGGATTATGCAGCTCGGGCATGGACTTTGCACCTAGAAAAAGTTAAGCCCCAGACATGGACGGATCATCTCATCAGGGAAGCCACTGGAGCACTTTCAGCTGGCTCACAAAGTTTGTTCAATATGATTCGAATATCCGATCCGGATGAGGAATGGGAAGGGCTAAATGAGGACGAAAACACCGGTTCACTGTCCTTGCCGCTTTACTGTACTGCTTCTTGGGGCTTGTACCAACTTACTTCACTCCTCATTCGCAACGGAGCTGGAATCAATGATGTCTCCGAAACTAGCGCACGGGGGACTGCCTTACACGCAGCAGCTTATCATGAACATGATGAAATTGCCATATTATTGCTGGCGAACCAAGCCGATGTCAATATAGTATATGAGGGGATGAGTGCACTGCAGTTGGCGGCAGCTTCATGTAGTCAGACTACGGTACAAGTCCTTCTTGATCACGGAGCCGATATAGGAATAGAAGGTGGATATACATACACGCGTTGATAACAGCAATATCAAATAGGAGGACAGAAATAGTACAATTGCTAGTTAGGTACGGAGCAGAGATTAATGCCCAAGCTGGACAATGGGGGACGGCGTTGCAAGCAGCAGCTAATCTAGGGGAGTCAAGGATAGTGCAATTATTAATTGAACATGGGGCTGAGGTCAATACTGTAGGTGGAAGATATGGAACAGCGCTGCAAGCAGCCACATACAGGTCGAAGACTGAGGATGTGCAATTGCTAATTGAACCTGGCGCCAATGTCAATACTTTAGGTGGAGAGTATGGAACCGCGCTACAGGCAGCGTATCCAGGATGAACAAAGAGAAAGTGCAATTGTTAATTGAGTACGGCGCCGATGTTAATGCCGTAGGCGGAAGATATGGAAAATTATTGCAAGCAGCAGTAGCAGAAGATGCGATAGAGATTGCCGAACTTCTTCTTTCACTTGGGGCTAAAGTTGACGAGCCTGGGACGGCTTGGGAGGAGCTACTTATACGACTGGGCGAGATCCCTAGACCTTGGGGAGTTTCTATTTCTTAGATCTCGCGAGAGTTTCAAAAAGCTCCCGCTGAGTACATTGCGAGACGCAAGGCTCTGATGAGGATAACATTCAAGCAAAGAGCAATACTATGTACACAGAGACTTTGCTGAGCAATGACGAACACTAACTTAACTCTACCAACCCTTTCTCGTTTTGGATCCATGATTTACTGAACTAGAAGCCGATTCCGTCTCCCCTTGGAAAGCAGGTATAGTCGCGAAAAAGGAGTGTAATCAAAGGACTGAGGAATGAGAGGTTCAGACTCTATGAATGACGAGTGTTGCAATATGATAAGCACACGAACTCAGACCTACGTTGGTACGAGTAAATACAGATGCAATTGAAAATTCTGGTGCACAAGAAACTCTACCAAGTCTAGGCCACGTGAGTCCGGTACCCATGGATCGTCGCAGTGGAGGGAAATCTCCAATTTCAATCATCAACTACATCCACAGCAGTACCCCGCATCTTCAACAAGTGGGACGTTGCAATCGCAACTGCCGTGGTTCCTACGATCCCGCAATGATTCCTCCGATTTATATTGTGGGGTAAAGTTGAGCAATTTTTCCAGTGCCGAAGGAACCTAGCCTGAATATATAATTTATACCAAAGTTTACCGAACTTCAATCTCTCCACTGGAAAATGGGTATATATGAAGTGTTCTGCCCTGAACTATAATGGAGCTTGAACGACGTCGATAACCACTATCCCTCTTGACAAGTCGCAAACAACATGCCTTCCCTTCGAAGTCTCCTGCTCGGCTTCTCTGTTGCTGCTCTCGTAGCATCAGACTGTACCCGTGATACTCTCAAAACTTTCACGGACAGCCTCGTTGCCGCCCAAACAAAGGGCGACCCTACCGTCTTTGCCAATGTCCCCTCTTACAGCGAAAACTTCAAGACCCTTACTCCCAAGACTGGAATCCTGGCAACTCCTCTAGTCATAGCCCACAATCGCAGTAGCTACGACACCACCAACTGCTCCACCTACACCGAGCTCATCATCACGGATCCAAAACATCCTTACGTTCTTGGCACTCAGATCCGATACACTGCCGACGCATCCAACATCACGAAGATGGAACTCCTTGTCACAGAAGCCGGCGACTGGCTCTTCAACGCTACTGGAACGTATTACTGGGCCTCTAAAGAGTCTTGGGATACGATCTCCGTGGCGAAGCGCGATACTCGTGCCGTGATCCAAGCTGCTGCAGACGCTTATCTCAATATTTTCAAAGACAAGAGTGTTGTGGTGCCGTGGGGAACTCCTTGTGATCGATTGGAAGGAGGAAGCTACACCGGGACTGGCAAAGCGACGGATAGCTGCGATGTCGGGATCCCGAATAATTTGGATTTGACGAGTAGGAGGTATGTGATTGATGAGACGGTGGGTGCTGTTGATGTTTTCTTGGCGTTTGGTGGCGTGAGTGGAAGGCCGGATAGTCATGAGTTTAGGATAGAGAGTGGGAAGATCCGGTATGTGCATACGTTGACGAACATGAGAACATGAAGTGATGTAATAGAGAACTTTGGGTCATTCTGTTGATAAAACGAGATGTGCTTTGTATATATTGGATGGAATTCGAAATGCCTGCTGCCATTGCCTGCCTGAGAAGTATTGATCTTATTGAATCGAGTGCTCAGTGAGGATCATCATGTCTGGTCTCAAATTGACCATGTTTCGTGGATGGAGAAATGGTTCAACTGCTTGGTCTGCTCATATTTCCTGTAGCTCTGTCCAAGCTGTTCATTCCTTTCCAAGTTCGACAACGACATCGTGATTAAATGTCTCCTCGCGCCGTTTCAAATCTGTCAATAGCTTATCCTTCAACTCCTTGTAAGTTAATGCTCCCAGGATAGACCAATGGTCTACCAAGCAAACGCAACATAAAGGGAAAAACTTGGATGCTGGCGTTTCTCTCGGTTCTTGCTTCGGATCCCAGCTATTGGCTTGCTTGTCAAGAATGCGACCCAATGCCCAGCCGTTACTGAATAGATTAAGGATTCGAAACATCTCTCCAGGTACAATAGTATTCCTATCGTAGTTGGACGGATCTTCCTTCCGGGGCCACAGAACAGCTACGTAGCTACTCGAATCGGTCATGTAGTTACTCGGATTTGCTCTGATCCTATCCCCAGAGTAGTAGTCTCTGAAAGCTTGAATGAGGCGAGCGTTGGGATTCGCTGCTGGAACAAGACCTCTTGGGATCATCTTTCCTTGCCAGGATGTTCTCGAGAGGTCGATGAAATGGAATGGTTGGGAAGATCCTGACGCTACCAGCTGAGGTTTGGTGGCATCCCATAAGTCGATCATATTGATTTCGTCTACAAGAGCCCACGTGTCCGGCTTATCACCAGACTTCCGATTAGTTACCTCCTCATCAATCTTCTTGGAGAGTCTCTCTTCGGCCAATCTCCGTTTAGCTTCTTGTCTCGGTTCAGCTTCTTGAAGATTATCGAATCGCATTGGTGGAACTTCGTCAGCGGATGGAAATGACAATGCATATGGTCGTCTTTGACTGGCCTCCTGAGGCCTATATCGTGCCACGGTGCTAGCCAGAGGATCTTCTGCGTCTCCAGTACTCGAACCCTGTACTTCGACTTTTTTCTCTCGGGTCCGATCGTCTGGTAAAGCGTGTGGAGTGCGGGAGTTTGGTGGAGCCGGGATCGCAGTGGTAGACAGCTTTCGGTGATGCACGAGCAACATGTGTGTACTAAGATCGTTCTGATTTTGGAAGGCACCCTGACAACCTGAGGTATCGCATCGGTATGGTCGTCTGAGTGTATCCGCGTGTCTTCTGGTGTACTGAGTTAATATCACGCAAATGAACTAGTGTTGAATGATTGGAGCTTACTGCATGTCGGAAAATGACCTGAATACTGCTTTCCAGTCACGTTCCGGGAGGGCGCGGTTCAATAGGTCTTGAGAATTCTTTGGAGCACCCTGTGTTGCTGGGGAGGGTTTGGATGATGGTGGAGCCATAGCCCGTACATGGGGCATTGGGTTTGATGAAAGGAGGTTTGAAGCATTTACAAACGATGCACCTGCATTGCCTTCCGAATCTCGTTTTTGTATGGCTCTTTCGCGTTGACGGCCGGGATAGTTTCGTAACCTGTCAATCCTCTCTTCCGATCCAGGTGTTTCAAGAACTTCTGGGATGGCATTAATTACTGATCGAACGTCGGTTTCCCAGAGTTCAGGTTTGCGTTTGAATAGTCGCGACGCAAGATCTTGTATGCCTGGCTTCTTTTTCTTTTGTTTCTCGAATGCATGATTTTGACTTTCTCCCTCGGTAGTTATGGTACCTAAAGCTATGTACTTAGTTCGCAAGTACTAATGTCTATGCGAGATTTTACTTACCACCATGTACATATGCACTGTCAGACTGTGTGTTTAGTGTTTCAGGTCCAATAGAAGGCCCTGAACTCCCTTCATGAATGCTCTGCAATTGCAGTTTACTCTGCTGCTTCATGAACACTCTTCGATACGCCGCTGAGTTGATGACCAGATCATCGAAGCCGAACTCTTCATCTCCAATCACCGATCCCGTAGTCTCGAGATCTGTTTCCTTGGCTGGTACCATTGAGACCGAATCTCTCAGAGACTTGACATCATTTGATACGCTCATCAAAGATCGTTTGACCTCTTGACTCTTCATGATTTCATATGTTTTAGCTGTCGTCTCGCTGGATGCAGAATTAGCCACGATACAATTCAAACAGGTGGTATGAGACATACGATTGAAAAGCTGTGAGTAACAAGGTGATCGCAATAGCCTGGCCCCGGATATTCTGTCGTATCGACTCCATTGTCGTCTCTTTCCAGACGGAATTTATTTTTGAGATGGCATCACTCCCATGTCGCTCATTCTGACCGTTGAGTCCAAGGCCATCCAATCTTTCGTTGAGCAATGCAAATGTCAATGAGCAGGCTGAGAGCACGGCCTCGTATTCCTCGAGCACAAATTGCTCGAATTGCTGGCCAGAAGCTTTTCCATTGTGCGCACTGATCAATTTCTGGATCTGGAGAAGTGCTACTTTGATGCTCGCACACTCTGTCCGAACAGCGGCGATTGAGAGGTCGGCAAGCTTGTATTTGGTGGCGTATGTTTGGCAAGTTTGGACGGCGCCTATGCTGCGTGTCACGAGAGTGAGGACTCCAGTCGTGATAGACAACGGGTCCATGGCATCGCACTCGACGCAAATGCTTCCGAGCCTAAGATCGCGATGACATTGTAGACAGTAATTGCAAAAGGAAAATAGAAGATCGAGGAGCAGATGTGGTGCGGCTGGGGTTACTTGAGGTGTGTCGGGCTGTGCATCCCCTGTGCATGCATGGTGGCGCTCTCACGTGCGGAGCCCTGCTTTCTGAGACAACATCACCATCTTTCTCAATCGAGAAGGTTGTACATATATGGACAAACGGGATGCTATCTCTCATACAGGTATACTCTTAGCGCCCAAATGTCCAGATAAAAAAAGGGGTGCTAACGTCCACGCGAGAGCGGAGCTTTGAAGACCTCGACTTCACTTCCAAATCTCATAGCTATCCTCACCTTTTGTATGACTTTGAGGTGCACACCAACATTTGTAATCTGCCAAAAAAATCTCGGGGTACTGATTTTGAAGCTACCCGGGAAACAAGTTTGACAACTTGGAATTCGTGCTAGTCACGTGGTAAGCAAGGAAGAGGAAAAGGGCTATCTAGGAGATTACCACCGAGTTTATAACTCATTCTTCCTCCCCATCCGCGTATACAGGGTTGAGTCCTTCTCATTAGGCACAAGCTTGACCTTAAGCCTTTGTTTCCCCTCTTCCCCACCACTTGCAATCTTAGCAGCACCTACACCATATCCATCAGCATCCACCACAACAAGGTACACAAAAGCCCACTCACCAAGTCCCCAAGGTCTAAATTTCCATAAATAGTCTCATAGCTGCCTTTTGGAGCATGATACGTCTCATGCATAATACCCACACAGGGATATTTTTCTGCTAGCCAGCCGTCTTGGGTATGATGAGCAACTCCAGCAGCGAATTCATGGAGACTTTTCACGTCTTTCCAGTACGAGATCCAGACTGTGGTTGTACCCTCGTTGTCTGAAGTGTCGGCTAGGGTTGCTGTCCTCCCGAGATCTGGAGAGCTTAGAAAGTAGGCAATCGATGCGGTGGAGGATGGAAGGGAAGTTCTCCAGCTGTGATCATCCCTTTTGAAGCAAGCAAGGAAGGGTTAAGGAGCTTACATCCCCATTTCTCACGATTCTTCTCCACCTCGCGCCACATATTCTTGAACACGATATCCAGATCAATCGTCCCCGGAGCCAGCTTTCCAAATGGACTACCCTATCATCAGTAATACCATCCTATATCTTGCAATTAATACACATACTGATTAAGTCGCGCACCCAGCACAAATACAACCACGCCGTCCGGCACCCGTGCCGTGTGCCTCCCTTTCACAATATCAGTGAAAGAAGTCTTGAACACATCGCGAGAGTCGATAATCGACCTCAGGAAGCGATACCCGAGCCAGGCGAGAGGAAGAGAAGTACTGAGGAGCGGCGGCAGGTAGACTAGGCTGAGAAGCCGGAAAACGGCCCTGAAGGCGAGGAAGGTTGGGATAGAGAAGTCGGTCTTCTCCGGGATGTCGTAGAATTGATCGTGAAAGTCCTTGCACGCTTTTCGAAAGGTTGGGAAGGCCATGGCGGTAGAGTTTGAGGTACTTGGCAATTGATGCGAAGATGGAGATGTTGCCATGTTGGGTTACAAAGTGAAGTTGGTGTTCGAGTAACAGGTTACGTAATCTGTCGTACAATCCAACATCACCCGCATGCGTTGGTTTGTATCCTAGCATGCTGGTAAGTTGACAATCCTGGAATAACTATGAGGCTGAACGATATCCCTAATAATCTACAGAATCACGGTTCATGCAAAAATGCGGAATTGGCCGTCTTTAGCTCTAGGGTTCCCTTCTGTAAGTCTCAGCGATCTTTCATTCTCACACGATGGTCGAATCAGGGCTCGAGAGGTTCAGAACTGAAGCAAGAAGCTCATAAATTCTTCTTCTCAGTACCCCTAAAGATGACTGAAATCGAATGTCAAGCAACGCGTAGTCGATTCTCTTCAAGAGTCTTCTTTGCGTGGTATCATCGTAATGGCCTTTTCATGCGCAGGTGTCAGTCCAGGAGTAGCAGAGCAAGGAGTCTCAGACGTGCCATTTGTCTTAGCATAACCAGAAACTTGCGATAGTGCGCCTTTGAGGGCAGGCATCAACACTAGATTCTTCATTTCCGATCGTTGACCTGATAACAGATGCTGTCTCTCTTTATAAACACAATTTCGTGAAGCTGTTTAACAGCTCTGAAGCACAGGTTATGGGAGCCAAAACAGTGAACAACCTGGAAGTGTTGATATACTCTGGGTCAGATCACATGATGCGGTGCATCACCCGCTCATAATATCGACTTGTATTGCGGTAAGTGAAAATCTCGTTAAAGGCTGAGTGAGATCGATGTGCTTTGTAGGGAAGTTACCTTCCTTATGTATTCATTCAAGTAAGGTCAACTTGTCATTTGACAACGCGGAAGATGATGCTGCCTTAACTACTTATAGTCCACCAGGATTCTATAACAAAAGTTATTGCACTTCCAAAGCTTCTACCTCCAGGTTCCATACGTTGACATCGGCTACCCATAGACGAGTATTAAACATCATCCCGAGGATAACCCGGCTTAACGAAATACCAAAAAAGAAGGTTTGGAAACGACTGGGTTTGAACCAGCGGAGCACAATGTCACAATCTCGCAAAATACTTGGTTATGACTCCCTGCATAAGGCGCGGGTTGCAGGACCCCCACGCTACATAAATGTATTGTGAGAGAGCACAACGCTTACCGTCTGACCGTTAGCCATATCGTCAAGCATTGGAGCAAGCTGTGTGTGGGCCATAGTGTTGGAGTGGTACCAACGCGGCAACGTTCCCAAATTGTATGATGAAGGAACTTTGCTTATTTAGTTCTATTAGAGGTATTGTGCGAGTAAAGAAGCGCTAGTAGACGACGGGATATCGATACGCCCAAGCGGCCGCTCCACATGATTATATAGCTAAGAGGTGCGGATTACCAGCGGGGAAGGCAGCCTGACGCTTTAGGGTGTAGCTGGTGATGGTTGATAGGACTCCAGAGTCTCTAATACAATATCACTGAGCTAGTATCTGAGTGTGAAATGCGAATTTGGGGATTTACACCGAATTCGGCGGTATACAAGGCCCAGTGTTGAAGCAACCCAGCATCTTGACAATGAATGTGCAGCTGGAATGGCAGTGTTATAGACCAGTCAGCATAAATGTATTGGGATGCAGCTCATCTAACGATGAATTTCTGGCAATTGTCTTCAGTGAAGACGAGTGTCACAAATCTTGTCATGCCGCATCCTTCATGGTAAATCTCGCATAGTCTCGCGTAATTTGTATGCCCAAAAAAGGGGTCTGCATTGTCTTCATCAACACTGAGAACGAAAAGAATATGCAAAGACTGAGAACAAGAAAGATAAACGACACATCATCACATTGACATCATAAGAGAGGAAGTAACGGCGAAAGGGAAGCAAGCATGGACAAGCCAGGAAAGGAATAGCAAGTGCAAGGGAAAGAAGAGACGAGGCTAACATAGACACGGGAGAGTGTAGGGAAGACTTGACTCAAGAGTACTTGAATCTAGTTGCGTAGCATAGGACTCAAACAATCTTTTGTATGGCCCCTGAAAACATTCATATTGTCGCGGCAACGTCCACTTGCAAAGAAATGCGCGTTTGAATATGTACCAGTCTATTATTATATAAGCTTTCACTAGCGGGAAATAGAAGATAAAAGAATGACTTTGCAGCTATACACTCGCACTCCCTAGTGTGAATTGAAGAATACACGAACCCATATGCAACGAACGTTTGAGTGAGCCTGCAATTCCAACCCCTTTTGCCCAGTAAGAATCTCGCTAGACGACATGCAACGAAATTTTTGCTGACCTCACAACTCTACCCCCTTATACGAGTGAGGGGTACTCTAGACGTAATGCAACGAAATGTGTAGGCTTCGTAAGGACATGGTCTCCCAAAGTTGAAAAGATACAAGAGACGTAATGCAACGAAAGATCTGGGTGCGCATTCCCTTCCAATAAACGATGCAAACGTCACGTAATGCAACGAAAGAAATTAAGATACAGTTGGACTTCAACCCAGGAGCCACAAGGTGACACTAACATACAACTAGCGGTGTAATGGACCTCGCGCGATGGTTGGCCATTGGCATCAGCCCCGCTGAGAGCACTCTCAAGCTCGTGAGTGCCAGCCTGAGATCTTTCCACAAGCACTTAGGTCCAATAAGATTGTGTGAGGTTGTGTGTGTATGTTGGCTATAGCGCGACGCAGAACCATCGCAGCAGCGTCTCTGGTGCGTGAAAAGTTGCTAATTGGGGCTAATGTGGAGCCTTGGTGTGAGTTCGTGGTGGTGCGAAGTGGGAACGGAAGGTGACGCTGAAGGAGGAATGAATCAACGACTTGGCTTGCACCCTGCAAAGAAGTACAACTAATCGCGGAGTGGGAATAACAAAAAGAAGAACTTATGAGAAATCAGTGGATCAAGCAGACTGTACAAGTATACAATCAAAATAGTCAAATCTAACAAGCTGGTGGGCAGACAGGGTTGCCCACAAGCTAATTTGGGCGCAGATCACTCCAACTTCGCGGTCGGCGTCGAAACCCCACACCGAACCAGAACTGTGCAAACGCTATACTGAAGCAGCCGAAAGTCGGTAATGACAACGTGTCTCTGATTGCTTGTGACGAGGAAGTACTTGCGCTTTGGTGCTGGCTAACACACGTTGAAGGTGTCAGATTTGCTGTCTTCTAGACTCATCCTCCCTCTGTGCGTGCAAAGGATCTTCATGGTGATATGCATATTAAAGCCTCTTTCAACTTCAGTGGCTAAAAGAGAAGCTTCATAAGCTTCATGGATATAAGCTGAGATTACAGCTTATTCAGATCTTCGAAGTTAATCAAAACCATCTCACAAAGGTCGTAGCTCTGCTCTTACATCACAAAATGAAAAGAAAGACAAGAAGTGCCAAAAAAATTCTTGAGATAACCTTTTCAGGAGATCCAGAAACTCCTGCATGAAACAGCAGGTATAGCACACACAACAAATATCCTCAAGCCAAGCACGACGCAGTTACATAGGTACTACCCCTTACCGACAAGTTTACCGACAAGTAAACTCGGGCCCGAAATCAATTATGCTCTGTGGGTTACACAGATTGTGTAAAACGTGCTGCGCTTCCATTGCGTTGGTCTGGCCATCCGCATGATTGGTTGGTAACACACGCTTATGTGAATATATGAAGAGCTTTAGGCTAGGTCGCAGGCGCGTGGGGGTGACGGCCAATAGCGATTGTCGATTTACAAGGCAAAGGAATGGCTTGAATTTTGATAATCGTTGTGAACACAGAGATTGATGACACGCAAAGTTTGTTTACAGTGGGGTACATTGAAGCTGCGATCACTATGAGGATTGGATATCTATTATAAGGTTCTTTACTTGGATATGTAGAGGTGATGATTTACGCTACAAAGTTCTTTACAGAATAGGACTACTAGATGCAAAAAAGAAAGAGGAACGGCTGAATTCGAACCAGCGAAACACAATATCACAATAAGGCGTCCAGACCCAGCCAAGCAGCTCAGCGGAAGACCACTTTTCAAAGCAAACGCCTTCTTAGGTCCAAATACCCTCGACCCTGTGACTGCTCTCCGATAACAGAGAGGTCAAACAAGGTTGTGTGTGGGCCGTATTACAATGGAGCAGTTTTCCATCACGGCAACGTCCCTGTGAGGTTGATTGGGTGACAGAATGCTTATTGGAAGTTATTGAGAGTCTGCGTGCGGGGTAGGGTGTAGTTGAGTGAAGGAGGAAGGAGCGCCTTGAGGAAGGAGCAGGGATGGATGCGAAGCTGTGATTGGCCCTGATGGAACAGACGGTGAAAAATCAAAGCAATGGCGTATGAATGGACCGAGGTAATACAAGTAAAGCTGCAAGCACAAAGTATCTTTGAAATATTTCGAATATTCATCAGATGTGCTGAATTTGGTCCTTTGTCGAAAGTTGGTTGCGACGCGTTTGTGGCTACGCTGTCAAGGGAAAGAACCTCACAGGAACTGGTACAACTCGGACAAAATCTTATTCAAGGGCCTGAAAATCGCTTCCTGGGAGCCATCCGTACAGTAGCACACATCGACACAAATTTAAGCATCAGGTCAATCAGCATATATTTGTCTCATAAGCAGTAACTTGCACCTCCTGTCGCCGGTACATCCAGATCTCAAGCGTCTGGAAACCGGTGTGATTGTTAACAAGAGATTCTGTGATCGAATTTAACAAAGCGTGATACATTTTATAAGACAAATTCGTAGTTTAATTTGCGGAATCTCATTCACGCATTTATCTATGAATACATCAAACCACATGAAAGATAATCATAAATTGAATACCAAAACACCATCACTAATTGGACGCTAAATTCTTCAACCTATTCTATTGTGTATAAATTGGACCATGCTCTAGTAAACAACTTGGCATCTTTGAGGATGTAGAGTAACCTACAGATGACGAAATGACGGAGCTGACTGTCCTGGAGAGGATTGTATTCGATTACAGAATGCACTGACCTATGGAAGTCATATTTTACAATTGAAGGTGTACGCTTTGTTCGATATCAGACACAGCAGCTGAACAAGATATTGACAGCCGAGAGTATTTTGGCAACAGACATCATAAACCAGGATGAAGCAGTACTACAAGCAAAGAGAGGGGGTGTGAAACAATTGTACAGCCATCTGTATGCCAACAGTCAAGTATGAGCCGGGAAGTACCTACCTCCAAAGCCATGCGTCGCAGCATAGTGCAAGGCTGAAGTTTTGGTGATGCTTAGGCAATGAATAGTGTAGCGCAAGGGCGAGCTGTATTTATACTTCGCTTTGCCAGAAACTCGAAACGTTTTGGGAGCGTGAATATTGCTGAACAGACACACCGAAAGCTATCGAAGCAGTAACGACGATATTCACTCCCCAGGCCCGCTCTCTTCATTTGGGAGGCGTGAATATTTGCCGCTTGAAAAAAGGAGAAAGGCTTTGAAAACCAAGCGACAATATTCACGCTCTAAAGAATTTTCTAACACCCACAAACGCAATTGTGAGTCAACTTAAAGCGCAGCCTTCGACGTGCAATATTCACGCTGCAAACAATATCTGAGGCCGCCTCAGAAGTGGCTGTGAGCAAGTATAAAGCGCCGTCTTCGACGTTGTTGAGAAGTTCAACTGTGTTCTGCATAGCTGTGTTAATGGTACAAGAGCGTTGAATTCTAAGGCTTTCATGTCACCGTGCAGCTTATTTTCAATGCGAACAAGCAGCAAAGCAAGACATTGATTGGCAACTAAAAGTAGTTGACAACAAACATCACATTTGTAAACTAAATCGAACTACCATTGCATGTGAAAAGTACAGAGTGAGAGATAGTTGTATAACTCTCTCTACGCAAACCATTAACGTTGAATAAGCAGGCCCGGCTCTAAAACCACATTATACAGCTTCGAATCGCGGAGCCATTCATGATGGTTACTAACAAGGGAGCGTAACTTTAATTGTATTTATATTTCGTTCCGCTAAGAACTCGAAACTTTTCCTCAGTCTCGACTCAAAGGCGTGAATATTACCGCTAGATGACTCAAGCGGTAAGGTTCATACTCGAAATTGCTTGGAAGGCACGAAAAAAGCGGCAATATTCACGCTTCGAACGACCTCGAAAGCCTGATAGAAGCGTCAACATTCACGCACTAGCATAAATTTGACAGAAGTAGCCGCTTGTGGGTATAAATCGCCGCGTTCGACAGATTTGAGAACTTCATCTGCGTTTCTGAATGTGGACATGTTTGCATTTAGTGTAGTCCGTCGCATAGGGGGCATAGCGTGGTGCTGGTGTCTTGTCGTTTTGGAATGGATACCAGTAGACAAGATATTTGCAGTAGAGGTGCGTGGGTGTGATGAAAGGAAGGATGTTGACGACGATCAAACTTTGTTGATGTTGATAGGAGCTTATACTGATGATCGAAGGACTCGAAACATGTTCAGAACGAACCAAAGCTTGTCAGATTCACAAAATGCTGGGACGGGAGGGATTGCCTGTAGTTCTTGTGCCAATCTAGGGTATTTAGAAATTGGCATCGAAGATCACACCTTGAAAGGTTGTCTTTATATAGACCTTGCAAGACAAGCAAGAAGTGAAGTGACTGGCAAACTGCCATCCAAAATAGGGAGGAGAAAACAATAAATTCAACTTGAAAGATAAGTATTGCTTCGTCGGTGCTGATGTCCATCCTTTACCACACATCATACCTCAAAATATCATGCTCATTTTTAGGACATTCAGTACAACATGCATTACCTCAAACAGAAAGCACTTCTCCACTTTAAATTATCTGGCTCTGTAATACTATTTCGCACTTCCCAAAGCCACCCACTGGTCTGGGACAACTAAAAGAGTATATTTATCCTAAATTTGAAAGTGAAAAAGTACTTCCTGAACTCTGCAAAGGTATCTTGGTCAGATCCTAGGTGGCCAGAATCCTTTCACTCGGCAATAATACCCTAAAACAATAACAGGCTACAATGCAGCTACTCAGACTAGAGAAGGAGAGTGGAGATCATGCCCCCAGAAGACGACAGCTGTTGGTGGAGCGGCAAAAGTGCTCATAGTCACTGTGCTTAGACACAACACACAATGTGATGAAGTTCCAGTACCAGCAAGAATGGTAGAGATTGGGAGTAGCCCACAATCAAGGGAGCAGCGTACTGTCCGCGACTTCTTTGCCGAACGATCTTTCAACCTTTGTACTTTTTGCACCGAAAAGAAAAAGGAATAACATCGCAAACATCGTCCTACCCAATCTACAAGATCAATGGACATACCAGGAGCTGAAAAAGGAGCGACTGTATTACGAAAATGGAGGAGCAGAAAGAAAGAATTCGAGGACACAAAGTGTTATTTGTTATGGATTATTGTATAGCTAGGAAAGAGCCAAACAACCTCAACCCAACAGAAAATGCCGGATTCGGCGAGAAATGGGTTATGGCTATCGAAGCAACTGTTCCAAAGCAATAGTTAATGACATCTGCCCCGCAAAGTGTCGCGCTTGATAAACTGGTGGCGGGGGGGAGGGTTAAGAAGAGCAATGCAAAGAGCGCGTAGATGAGCGTTTTTTTTTTTTTTACTTTCAATGACACCACGCATACTGTGGCAGAGGAACGTTGCATCTTAAGTTTGGCCTTGTAGATGTTGAGGTTTATCAAAAGCTAGGAAGCTGGAATGCACTTGCTCCTGTCCTGAAATGTCCCTCCACATTAGATGACTTGGCTCAATCAAAAGTCGGGTCTGAGTTGGGGACATTAGACCTCCCTTGATAACTCATGCTCGTAGTGACCAACGGCAAAATCTAGGGAGGCACTTGCCACCATGTGCCTCAATGTCCGGAACCAGAACAAAATACAGGATTGAGCAACTCTTATTAAATATCGTGGAGCAATTTGGAGCACCTAGCTTCAGAGCATCAACCTTTCACAACCACATCAAAGAAGAAGGCTCATGAATCAAAACATCTTCAATATACACATCTCAACTCATCTCATCTCTATACTACAAACATCCAATCCATCTATCCCAACTCCTTTTCAACCGTAAAAGTCATTTCCGTATCCCATTTCCATAACACCACAACTCATTTCCATAACCATAACCATAACACCGTAAATCATTAGATAATAATACCCCCTCTTAACACACTCCTTCACTTCTCTCTCTCTCGTCTCTCTTCATCACCAAACCAATCTTCATCTCCCAGAAATAACCATAACCCCCTCCCCTCTCCTCCCCAGCCTCTCCACCCCAAGACACTCCACCCCGCCCCTCCCCCTAAAAACCCCAAACGCGAACCGATGCCTCTCACCCCTAACCTTCGTGGCCATCAACCGCGTCACCAAATCCGCCTTCGACTTCGGCGCCCTGAACGCCGCATCATCCAACACCCCACTCGCGTAGACAAAGCTCAGGATTTCCGCTAGACACGTAACGCCGTGCGGGAGATGCATACTATGTCTCTTCGGAATAAGCAGTAAGAGGCCGAAGAGATACAGGATTAGGAGCGCAAGGATGAGGTAGAAGGACGGTAAGTTGGGGATCATTCGAACAGCGCCCGAGGGCGTCGTGAGCTGGAAGAATGTCCCGCCTGCGAGGATGGGGAGCAGGATGAAGAGGAAGGAGAGTAGGGAGAGGATTGCGATTCTGTAGTGGGCGTTGGTGATGGCTTTGATGGTGCATTGGATGGGGAGTAAGGCGGGGTAGTCGAGCAGGAGAGAGTGCTCTGCGAGGGCGCCGTGCGGTTGGCCGAGCGAGGACCAGGGCTTGAGTTTTCGGACGGCCATGTCGAGGGGTTGGAAGAGGAGGTAGAGGATCATGCCGAGGAGCGAGGGGAGGAAGCTGTAGAGGAAATTTGCTGCGGAGAAGCCGGCTGAGTTGGGGAGTACGGAGACCAGGGGAGCGAATCCATTGCGGATGGCTGTTGAGGGAAGGAAGGAGACGATGAAGAGCGCCAGGAGGAGGAAGAATGCGGCAACCGACCAGAAGATGACGAATGTATCGGTCAGGAACCATGGGATGTACCGAAATCGAGTGTTGGAGTTGTACAGCTCGGCAGCTTTTTCGATGTCTGATACATCATCGAAGTTGAGACGCTTTTCGTGGATCTTCCCAGATTCCAAAGTATACTGTCGTGTTGATGCACCCTCCTCCCCCATGCAGTAAAAAATCCCCTTCGTTGCATTTGGCGTCCTCCAATAACCCAATCGATCGCTTCGTAAATTCAGTTTATGTCGGATATCGTACTTGTTCCTCATGATATCGGTTCCAGGATAATCCCTCAAGCAATTACTCCTTGGCAACAATGCAATAATATCGGCCAAGGATCGAGGATCCCACATCAATCCCGTCGTCCGTCGGCAAAAGAACAATCCCACCAAAAGCGTCGCGATCAAAATCAAAAAGTATACGCCAACAAGTGTCCATGCAATTCCTTGAACTGTGGTCCATCTCCATACGCCATCAACTTGTACAACTGAGAACAAGCATCCTTGAAGTGGTATCGTAAAAACAGACAACCAGAAAAAGAAGTATGCAACATTAATAACAATCGGGCCATCCCATTTCGGCCATAGCATACTCTGCGGCCAAAGATCAATAAACAACGCATTCGTTCGACTGTCCACATCATCCATAGCCATTAACGTGTAGGGCATTATTCTCGTAATCGTCGACATGACACCTTGGACATATATAAGTATGCACGCCGCAAGAATCTGCGGCAGAAAAGAGAAGACAAAATATAAGCCTCTGTATATACCGCCAGACCAGGCCACGAGACCATGGTTGTAAGAAGAATAGACGGCGCAAAAGATGAGGGCAGCAATCATTAGTAGGCATAAACATGACAACATTATCGTTGAAGTAGGTCGTAACATGGTCGGAACGAACGTTAAGTCGGGATATCGTGGCGTATTAAGAGGAGGGTCGACAGGGATAAAAATCTCCGGGTCGGAAGATCGATTTTGCTTGACTGGAGTGTTGGCGACAGCTGGTTCAGCGAACGAGAGGGGTCGTGTCGCATTGAAAGCAAACAATCGGCCTTCTGCAGGAGAAGAGCGATGTTTTCTGATGAGTTTCAAAGCTTCCCTCTCTCGTTCTGCTGCTGAAATATATCCCAATCCATTGTCAGGGACGATCCGGTCAACGGGGTATGAATCCGAGCTTGTAGCAGTACTAGGCCTTTGCATCGCCCTGATGTCTTCATCTCGAGTCAATTGATCGATCGCGAATCGTATATAGGGCGTATCGTCTGTTGGTGTGGGTGGACTCGAGTCCAAAGAAACATTATCCATATTTCGATCTCGCCGTGAAGCTTGCGCCTCGTTGCTTATAATCTGCTCCTCGTCGAATCGCACAACCAAAGGGGTATCAGATCTATATGCCGCTTCATTGACTCCAATTCGCGCGTATGTTGCTGGTCTGAGGGTGTCGGTACTCTGTTCAGGAGAATGTATTCGTGAGGGGGGAGTCTGCCATCGGACTACCGTCGCTGGTTCTGAGATACTCGACGCAAAAGAGGGAGTGCGGTCGGCTTCGAGTCGAACATTGAGAGGAGTGACGGGGAGATCTGAAGTATGGACTCGTTCAAGTTGTGGGCGGTTGTCTGTTGTCATGATCAAATCAGCTCTGATTCAGACAACGCATCAATCATCCATCAGTGGACTCGAGTCGACTTACGATGCACGCTGCGCAGGTCTAAATCTCCGAGGTTCATTCTGAATGGAAGGTCAGCTGCAGGATATGCAGGATACTGGGGAATGCATGGTGAAGGGCGGGTTTAGACTGTATAAACGGTGCTGTTGAGTGGCTGAGAAGTGCAGGAAATCTTGGAGGCTGGTCTGGCCACTCAGCCATCGCAATTATTTTTTCTTCCAGGTCAAACACACTACCCAACGGAGATTTTGTGATGAGAAACAGGAGATGTGATGGGCACCGGGATGATTCCAGCCATCTTGACCAGGTCCGCGGTCTTTCGCATCGTGTGATGTCGGTGGTGATGGATGATGTTCGTGAGGGCGTTGATGATCGTTGGAGCTTCCAACGCACAGGCCCATGGTTCATCCACACATTTGATACTCACCACTTTCTGCCTGTTTGTACGATCATTATGAAATTCACAAATTAGGGGAGATGTTTCTTTTGTCTTCGCAATGGACAGGATTTAGATCCCAAGTCTCAAATCTCGTTATGAAATTCGGACGTTGCTGTGCTTGAAAGGAGAAGCTTCGCTTAGCTGCACTGCCTGTCCTGTCCTGTATCACAACGACGATCTCTTCCTTCTCAGCCCTACTTCTTCCTCGCCATCTTTAAACCAGGTTCCAGAAGCATCATCTCCCCTGTAAACGAAAGACATCTCCTTGAGAGTGAGGCTCTCTCCAACTTCCAGGGCTATTGCGAAGTCTGGTGCCTGAAGCACCAAGGTTCGGCCCTCCCAACCTCCCTCCTTATTTCCGGAACCACTTCCCACGGGTCCGGCACAATGCCCCGCCCGGAATGCGGGGTGCAGTGAATCCAAACATCTCCCATAACAGGATCACAACCCCTTCCCACTCAAGGACCACAATCCAAGACATAAGAGTCATGCCTCCTAAACAAAAACCACCGCAACGCGTCGAAGCTCCCAGCTCCAGAACTTCAAACCCGGCAACGTTCTTTTTCTTGCATGGGTACGACGATGATGCTGATGGATGCATTAGTAAGAATTTCCCTCGTTTCAGTAAGAGGAAATGGATATTGATATAACGTAGATATCGCACAGCAGTTCCATGCTGCGAATAAACTCCCGCACATGAGCTGGGTATTCCCCAATGCACCATGGAACCACGATGCGATGGCCAACGCATGGTATCCGCCTACCTCCTTCTCGCCGATCCCAGTGGGGCGCTCAACGCAGGCTTCTTTCCAGGCTGAAGAGGAGGAGGAGGAGGAGGATGAGTTTAACGAGGAAGGTGAAGAGGAGATTCTGAAGAGTGTGGAGTATTTATGTTCTCTCATCGATGAGGAGATTAAGAAGGGGGTCAAGCCGGAGAGGATCGTTGTTGGAGGGTTCAGCCAAGGTTGTGCTATCAGTTTGGTGACTGCGTTGGCGAGTCGGTATCAGGGGAGGATTGGAGTGGTGGTGGGTTTGAGTGGGTATTTGCCTAGAGGGAGGAAGATTATGGAGAGGAGGAGGAAGTTTGTTAAGCAGGAAGATGGGAAGGGGATGAAGGTCTTTTTGGCGCATGGGACAAAGGATATGCTTGTTCCGATGAGGGTCTTTAGAGATACGAAAGCGAGACTAGCAAGGACGGTGGGAGAGGAGGCTTTGGAGAGTTGGGAGTATGAGGGGATGGGTCATGTGACGAGTGGTGCGGAGTTCAGAGATATGTGTACGTTCTTGGAGAGGATTGTGCCGGAATGACGAGCTTGGTGGTGCTGTTGCAAGTGCATTTGACGGTGCTGTTGAAGAGGTCGAATGTGTAGAAGAAGGCTGGATGTGGGTTGGTTGTGTCTGTTGGTAGATATCTACTGACTTAAAGATAGACGAGAAAGTCATGCATACAAAATTCAACTTAACATAACCAACCATCAAGACAACAGCACAACCCAACACCTCAAACAACCCACGGACACTCCCCCATATACCTAACCCCCAACTCCGTCAATCCCCCATCCTTCCCCATCAACTGCGCCTCAGGACTAACAAACGCATCCACAACCTCCCTCACACACCCAAAAAACGCATATTCAACCACCCACTCCCTCTCATCCATCCAATTACACAGCTTCCCCGTAAACTCAACCACAGCCCTATACTCCCGACTCGTACACGCAATCTCACTAACCACCACTTTCATCGCCGGCCACCTCCCATGCATCTCCTCCAAATACCTAATCGCTGCTTCAGGCTCGGGACCATAATAATGCAGCCCCAAAAAATCGGGCTCTTCTCCTTTAGCTTTCAGGAGGGACATGAAGGATTCGAGCCATGCTAGCCCAGGGGCATCGGAAGCACAACTCGGGCCAACAACCTTGATCCCTTTCTCTTTCATCAGCGGAACGATTTTCTCGAACCACAGCTCCGCAGCCTCAGAGGGAGTGACGCCGGAGCGTTCCGGCTCGTTGAGGTAGTGGATTATAGGGGAAGGGGAGGAGAGGATGTTGGACCAGTCTTGGCCGGAAAGCTGGGCGGGAGTGCGGATTGTGGGGCGGAAGGGGATGGAGGGGGGGAGTTCGGGGGGTTGCCATGTGTTCCAGTTGGCGACTGAGGTGATGGGGCCGGGGATGGGGATTTGGAATATCTTTTCGGGGCAGTCGCGTGTGTTTGTCCAGTCCCAGAGGAGGCAGCGTTTGTTGGGTGGCATTTTGGGGCCTTGTAGCGGGGTTATCTGTGGGAAAGTCAGATTGGAGACTTGTAGGTGGACGGAAATTGTTTAGAATGCAAGGAAGTATATTTGATGGAAAGAATGTAGCGATGTCCTACTTATGGATAATGATGCTAAGCACGAGATACTCAGATACAATCTCTTTTCAAACAGCATCTGAGTATATGTAGAAACCAACTTAGAGTGAAACCTTTTAGTTAGTGAAAGAAGGTGTGAATATTCAATTCGAAAAACTCCAATGCATAACTTCTTCTAAGACGTGAGATTGCAATACTACTCAGCATTATATTCACAAAACATAAAAAAAAGGAAACTTGGCCTTCAAAATCTCGGTACGAAGATCGACTCTACGAGCCTGCATTTCATATTCCCCGCCATTGGCTAGTTGGCATCAGCCACCACATGTTCGATGACGTCGGATGTTCGAGCTTGATCAGAAAGTCCGTATACGAATCTTAAGGTTGCTGCTGAAAAAATTGAATTGACTGACGGGTACAACTGCTTAGCCGACATCGAACAAGCTGAAAGGGGGCGGTGATAAGAGAGCAACATTCAGTGAATGGAGATAAATGGTAATTTCCTGTGTTGACGTGATGTTCCTGAACTGCTTCGTTTCTATACTTAGTAGTATACGACGCAACAATCAGAACCGCAACAACTGTCCTTTTCTCCACGATCCCCATCGCATTCGTGGGAGCCGCGTTCTTAGAACTCGGAGGAGAATTCATTGTGGCAGTACCAGTCCTGTCTTGGCCACTCAAATCAATTTCGAACTTGCAGCAAATACACTACAATTGGAATGTTCGCCATTGCAATTGCCCATCACGAATTCCTGAAGCTGGCTAGGCATTGGGGGCAAGACCTGCCGCTGGGCGTGGAAAGCTAGATCTCTTGATTTGAATGTTGGGGGACCTTAGCGGCTGGCAACGCACCAACCAACATCACCACCACAACGTCCACTCTTACGGAGATTGTTACAGTCACAGCAGAGTTACAAAGCTCTGACATCTGAAATTATTGGGAAGCTTTTACATGGGCAAAACTGTACACATAAGGGTGATTCGAGGGTTCTACAAGCACAACCATCTATATCCATTCTTGGAGGGGTTCTTTAAGTCTATGAACCTCTGAAACGCCTGCAATGCATAACCCTTAACGCCAGACCCATGTTATTACGTGTTGAACCGCTAGTCGTGTATCGTAGTTTTACACCACAGCCTTCTGCATTCCAGTAGCCTCGTCGGACAAAACCGTTACACCCCTCCTCTTCTTCAAGACATTCTCTATGAACGCCTCACCAGCTTTGTAGGAGCTTCTAACTAATGGTCCACTGGCACAGTACAGGAATCCCAAATCCAGAGCTCGCTGACGCCATAATTCGAAAGTGTCTGGATGAACATATTCCTCGACCTTCATGTGGCGTTTCGTTGGTCGCATGTATTGTCCAAAAGTCACAACGTCCACATCGACCTTACGAAGTTCTATCGCAAGTTAGTAATATCAAAAACAGATGAGGAACGTGCATACCTTTCAATGCTGCCCAAAGTTGCTCCTCGGTCTCACCTAGACCTAGCATAATACTTGTCTTCGTGATCAAACCCGGCTTGGCTTGCTTGGCAGCCGCCAAAACATCCAGACTCTGCCTGAACGTTGCCCTCCTATCTCTAACCATAGGCGTCAACTCCTCCACCGTCTCCACGTTATGGGCATAGACATCAAGTCCACTATTCGCCACCATAGCTACCATGTCCAGGTTTCCAGCATAATCACTAGTCAATGCCTCGACCAACATATCCGGCTTCTTTTGCTTAATCTTCATAATCGTCTCGGTGAAATGTCGAGCGCCACCATCTACAAGATCATCACGATCAACAGAAGTCAAAACCACATATCCCAACCCCCATCTAGATAATGCTTCCGCAGTATGTTCCGGCTCATGAGGGTCCAATGGCTGGGGCGTTTTCAAAGTCTTCACACTGCAGAATCTGCAGCCTCGCGTGCAAGTATCTCCCATCAGCATAATCGTTGCGGTGGCGGCAGCTTTATCACTTCCTCCCCAGCAGTCCGAGATATTGGGACATCGTGCTTCCTCGCACACTGTATGTAGATTCAGCCCTCGGAGATCTTTCTTAATCTTCTTGTAGTTCGAATTATCTGGAATTGGCGTCTTCAACCATGTCGGGAGTCGTGTGATCTGCTTCTTCTTTCCAGGCGGGCCGACCATCGCAGTGCGCAATTCGAGCGCATCTTCGGGGGTCAGAGATTGCTCTGGTAGACCAACGAACTCAGAGAATGAAGGGACAGAATTGAGTTTGTCTTTGAAGTATGTTGGACGTCTTCGGGGAGTTTCTGCTGGAGGTGAGGTCTCGGTGGCGAGGCTTCGAGAAGTGGTTGAGCTAGAAATCAGAGACCGGGAAGCATTTCGCAAAGAAGGTGCATTCAGACACCTGAATCTGGTCACTGTGGTCGCCATTGCAGAGGATGCGCGGGCCCAATGTTGTGAATTGAAGCTGTTGAGGATCCAAGAATAGTTGCCGGAATAATAATCATCGATTGTTAATCCGAGCCACGAAAACGATTCCGCGTCCAGCCGCTGATTCCCGCCGGTCACGTGCAATAAACTGTATTTCTTTAATCCCGTCGATATTCGTTCCGCTCTTCTTCTTTACCATCTTTAATAGAAATCACTGCTTTGCGATCAATTTCTGTAGTGGATGAGAAGACATTATGTTCGATTCTAGCGCATACACTACAGACTTTGTCAATTCATCTATCAAATCATGCATCAAATCGATCAGAGGTGAACCATATATGTCCTTGCTTCGAGGTTCATCAGCTTTGATCAAGTCAGAGGGCTTGTTTGTCGGATATGTTATTAAGAGCTTATCTAGTCTCTCCTCCGAGATGATACTTTGTGATGAAGTTTCATGCATCCTCAATGCATATAAAACGTTCCGAAAAAGACTAGTGCCCTGCTAAAATACATCTTATTGTCTGGTGTCATCTTGTTTGCTGTCTTTCCATGCCGCCATAAGTCCCTTGTTTCAATAATTGGGCCCAGAGAGCCCTTATTCAACGAAACATGCTTTCCACAAGGTGCTCAAGTCGACAAAGGGGACTCAATATCTTCCCATGATTGAAATCCTTCGTCGGACTTCATCTTCTTGTACTCCAAGAAGAACTTTTCGAATTCCACGCGATTGATTTCCAGGGTTTGAAAGATTCGTCTCCCTTCCAACATCCTTTCTTTTCCAAGATCAGGATCAGGAATAGATCGCAGATGTGTTGACCAATTTTTATTGTGAATCTCCATTGACGGCAGAATAAGCTCCCGGCAAAACCTTTCCAGGGCCTCGACATGGTTGGGATGTAGATCTTATCGATCCTTTCTCGCGATGAAAAACGTTCCTTTGGGTATTTTATCTCCTTTCTGAGCATTACCCCATTCCTGTGAGCTCGGGGTCGGCTTCTACAAGCAGGTTGCAGATTTCGTAATTTGTAGAGTAACACCATGGATTGCCTTGCTCGTCTTTGTGTTCGCTCAAGCCAGAGCTATATGTGATGCCAGAGTCATATGCGTAGAATTGGAGTTCAAGGCCAAGCTGATCAACGATGGTTTTGCTGGCACCTTTGAATATGGAAAGCGTAGCGGACCGATCAACCCTGGCTTTGCTGAACTTCGCATGGCAAAACTCCCTCATGTCTCCTATGCTCTTGACATTTTTTCCGCCGTGTAACTGGGATCGAGGGATGTATTCTGGTGTATCAGGTTGCTCCCATGCACCCGTTTGGTCTTCGTGCCTGTGGAATCTAAGCCAGACGAACTTTGGAACTAATTCATGATTCGGAAGCAAGATGCCGAGATGCGATACGGGCTTCGGGTTTTGCTTTTGAAAGTCAGAGCTTCCTTGGTAGATGACTTTGTGGAACTCTGTATCTTTGTCCTGGCATGTAGTGGAGCAGTAAAATGCGGAATTGCAAGATGTACATTGGATCTTGGAAGACTTTTCGAAGCAGCAATAGCAGGCGGGCGAGTGCTTTCTTTTGGTAAGGTTCGTAAAGTTTAAAGATGACCCTGGAGTTCGATTGGTAGACATCCTAAGTCAAGGCCCTACTTTGAGAGCTTGAATTCTGTCAGCTTCGTGGCAGAGCGAAAGTATCTGGACACTCACCAGGCAAGTCTTTCGGAAGTTTGTTCAAAGGACGAAGGTGGAAGTGTGTGTGGCGGAGATCGAGTCGCAGATGATCTCCAAGTTGAAGTCGAAGAAGAGCTCGTCTGGAGAAAGATTGAGCCACCGGATGTATGTTCATGGGTTTGCAAGATGCTCAGCCTGGCGATTTTGGTTCTTATGCTTGAGGTAAGAAGAGAGAAACCCAAGTCGTGAAAGAGGGTGATGGATAAGAAGTTGAACACGGCGTAGGGAAAAAGTTATCTGAGGTTGAGTAGTTGACACTAAGGAAACTTCTTTCTTAGACGAAATCAAACTTGATACTTGGGAGACTTAGGCCTAGATTGAATTCGGCTATCAAGCCGCAGGTATTTTGTTGGGAGTTTATGCGGAATGATCTCGATTTTATCGCTGTTCATTTAGTAGCAACATTCTAATTTCTGTGGCCGCTCCAATTCAAGCTTAGCTACCACTGCAATTTGTGTCAAACCATTTATTCCTTGGTCATCTCTTCTCCATCGTAAGTTTCAGGAAGATTTATGCAACTTGCTTCATCACAGAACTATCAGCTTCTTACCACGCGATTACAATAGAGTTTATATACATCGTAAAACCGCAGCGGGCCGTAAAAGTGGAGTCGTCATGCAGAGCAACGTAATCAGCTAGCACTCGGAGTAACCTTCTTCGAACTCCGCGTGCCTTTCATGTCATTCCTTGTCCGGTCTCGGTTGCTAGATGTATACATATACATAAACCACTCCCAGATCGTTTATTGCTTTGATCTTCGTCCTGAACTATTTTGACCCTCTCTCAAAACTCCGCCTTTCTCCTCCAAGCCAAATAGTCACTGATCTCAAAAATGGGGTCAATCGACAAAACCAGCGAAACGCCAGATGTCGTCTCCGCCATGTCAGCCAAAGGGGAAGTACTGAATGCCTGGTCGACACCAGGCCCATCTGCTTTCGATTTCCGCAGTTCGTCCTGATCTCTGCTCCCCTTTTCAACTCAACATTAATTCCAATCAGGTGACACAATCACAACCCCAAATGCCTCCATGCTTCAAGCCATCCAGAACACCACTCTCTTCGACGATGCCTACGGAGAAGATCCCACAACCACGGCGCTCGAAGCCAATATGGCCGAACTTCTCGGCCACCAAGCAGGACTTTTCCTCCTCTCAGGAACCATGGGCAACCAAGTCGCGATGCGCTCTCTACTCACACAGCCCCCTCACGCCGTGCTCTGTGATCATCGAGCACACATCAGCTACCTCGAAGCTGGCGGCATCGCAATGCTTTGCGGAGCAATGGTGAACGGAGTGGTACCCAGCAATGGGAAATATCTTAGAGTTCAAGACATCGAAGAGAATATCATCCTCGGCAACGCAGTGTACTCTTGCCCTACCAAAGTCATCAGTCTCGAGAACACCCTCAGAGGAATAATTAACCCTCTTGAGGAAGTAAAGAAGATCTCCGAGTTCGCGAAGAAGAATGGAATTAAAATGCATCTCGACGGTGCGAGATTGTGGGAAGTGGCTGCAGCTAGCGCAGGCTCTTTAGCTGATTACGGGAAGTGCTTTGATAGCGTGACGCTTTGTTTTTCGAAAGGTCTTGGTGCGCCTATGGGAAGTATTTTGGTTGGGAGTAAGGGGTTTATTGAGAGGGCGAAGTGGATCAGACAAGCGATTGGAGGAGCGCTTAGACAGGCGGGTGTGATTACGGCGGCGGCACAGAATGCTGTTGATGTCAATTTCGCTGGTCAGGGTGAGAAGCTTAAGAGAACGCATGTGATTGCGAAGAGGATTGCGAAGCATTGGGAAAGTCTTGGAGGAGTGTTTGAAAATCCTGTGGATACGAATATGGTTTGTCTAGATTTGGTGCAAGCTGGAGTTGATGTTGCGACGCTGAAAGAAATGGCAAAGGAAAAAGGGGTGAAGCTGACGAGAGGGAGAATTGTGGTTCATTATCAGATTGTTGATGAAGCAGTTGAAAGACTTGAAGCAGTGCTTACTAGTCTTATGAAGCGTTGATAGATATGAGACATTGCTGTTCTTAGGCTTTGGGAAATGGAGATAAGCGACCTGGGATGATTTTCCTAGCAGTAAAGATCACGCCAATTGCAGTTTGACGTTTCTATCCGGATGCCAAATAGCCCTTGCTTTGAGCATACAATGAATACTTACCGGAGTCTATTCAGCACCTAGGTACCTTAGTCAAGGTTGAGTAAGTGGATCCTATAAGGGAGGCGCCCCCTTTTCCTTGACTTTACTAGTAAACACCCACCAAAGTCAAGCCTTGGAATCAAAAACTCTTCAAATCTCTTCAGTATTTCAAAGTAGCTACCCTCCACCTACGTAGAGTACACATCTTCCGCCTCCTCCACCGGCGCATCAATATGGTTGTTGAATTCTTTGCTTGAATCAAATAAAAATAGAGACGCTGTAGAAATAACCAGCCCCGGCCATCAAGCAAAGAAGCCATCTTTACCAATCGCAGCAAGTACGACGAAGCACCGGGCCGAGATCCATCCATATAAACCCGGTAACAAAAGTATCCAATGAAGCATCAACACCTGCCGCAATGATAGCCGGCGTGACGCCGGGAATACTTGGCAGTCCTGTGATGTTCTTGCCAAGTAGGCTTATGACGAATGGTTAAATCGACGCTGTCGGAAGTCCAGCTTCAGCAGCTGCTTTACCAACATTGTCTCCCATGTGCAGGGTAGCGGTAGTGAAGACGGCATTATCTGCAGATTGTTAGTTTCGTGCTTCACTTTCACAACTCAAAGAAATATTCGTTATCTCACACACTGCAATACTAATAGTTTCACCCAAAGATCTAACACTGATAATCAAACCGCTTACAAAGGCAATGAGCTTCGGAAGCGTCGACAGTTGAGCAACAGTAACCAATGTTATGAGCGTCATTCCCAAAGCCCAATCCAGCAACACAGGATAACCCCAAACTGTCATTGAGCTATCTTTATCCGCAGTCCCCATACAAACTAAGAAAGCTGTGAAAATGACAAAAGCTACAAATGTCACAATTCGAATCTAGACCTGTACACCCAGGCACTGCAATCGTGGCTATGAATGCAATAGAGAAGCGGACACCAACGATCAGGAAGTCTGTTTCGTACAGTAAACTGACCTATCTTCTCATGAGTAACGTAGTGAATATGCGAAGCAAGCTTACCTGCAAATCAAGGTATATATTTGCAGCAAAGAATGCTAATCCTTCGCAGAACACGCACGCACTCGCGAAATTTATATTACCCTCAAAAATTCCATGGTGAAATATGTCCTCCTTCTTGAACTTGGCTTCATACCCAATGAGTACTAACCCTAAAGCCACACCAACAGCAAATGTGGCAGTCACATGAGGATCTGTCCAAGGGTACGGATTCTGAGACCAAGATCATGCCGTGCAAAAAAGGACAAGACTTGAAGCCAAGAGTCCATACCCAATCCAGTCTAAATGGTTTATCTTCTCTTCAAATTGGCCGCCGAAGCAGCTCAGCTTCGTCCTGTCGACTACAAAATTGAAACCACAGCGTCTTCCTTCCGAAGGCACGCATCGTCGCTTAACAGCATGGAGACCAAATTGTCGGCAAACCTCGACCTCGTTCGAGAGGTTGATGGGTACGAAACTCCCGCTCTAGACCGCTATGACCATGGATTAATAGCGTATAGATGGCCGTATTTTTAGGAAAATCTTTAGGAGTATAGAAATACGATGGCGGGATATTATTATTTTATGATTAATAGTTATAAATAGTTTTTTTTAGATATATTTGCAATTCCAAAATCGATCAAATAAATTGGCTTGATCATTGGAAGGTTAATTTTGAGCAAAAAATGCTTATTTTTAATTTTAGCGGGAGTATTGAAGAAAGAAATAAATTTATGGCGAAAATATTTTTGTAAAAGCACGAAAAAGGCGAAGTTATAGAATTTCGTGAATTGTTGGTAGAGATGTATCTAATTTACGATGTTAATAGAGAATTTTTTTTATCAATTAATTATTTAGTTTCGAATTTATTTGATATTAAAACATATAGCGTTTTTTTTTATTTTTCCTATTCGAATAGACAATATACAAAAATTCTGGGTGATTACGAAATCTTTAAGATTGGCGATATACTTAAAAAAATTGGACATATGTGTTGAAAGTAGTATGTAGACTTAAAAATCGCTTTTTAAATATTTAATTCGGGAAGCAAAGGAGGAAGCGTTTTTACTAACTGCTTTCACCCGAAAGTTTGTTTAGCTTTATAACACAGTGAGATACTATTTAAGTATTAATAATTTCGATTAATCTAGGAATCGAGTATAGATTTAATTCATTTACGAATTAAAATTACCGAAAAATATAATCCTATATCTTTGTAATAGTGAGGTAAAGGATTTTTGTTTAATAACGATAGAAAAAATACGTTAGGCTTTAGAATAATAAGATTTTAAATTAAATATTACTATGACGTAGATGGATTATATAATTCGATATGGTTATGTGAATTCGGAGAATGAGAAGTACTATGTTGAGATCATTTCGAGGCTGTATCGTAAGTTTGACTTCTTCATAATATAAACTAAGGCTTATTTCGCTGGTTTTGGCTCACTGCGGTACATAAAAAAATCATAGATAAAATCAAATTGAACATTGGAGCGAACAAGGAGTTTACAGTACTGGGTAAATGTCCGTCACAGCGTTCTCCATTTCTGCCTCAGTAGTGGGTTGGTGCTTTCGTCTGTGCAATGCGTGGGGAACAATTGAATATGGGTAAAAGACTCCCTTGCTATTTCTCCACGGACCTGGCAAGAAGGTTGCCTTTACACACCGCGATTATCTAGCCCAAATTCTCGCACTGTATCTTGAGGGTATCGTAAATGCCTTCACTGTGACAGCACGGTGGGAAGCTTAGTACGTAGACGAAGTATCGATTCGGCTATCTCTTAGAATCTAAAGGTAAAGAGGAAAGGAAGGAAAGAAGCGCCGGAAGGCAGAGCATATATACAGGTGAGCGGTCACGTGAGTACTTAGCGAGCACGTGACTCCAGAACCGTGACATTCACCTCGATTACCCACTTACTTTGCCTTGCACTTGAGCCTAGTTGGGCTAAATGCTTTAGGAAAATACTTAAGCATCATTTTAACTGCGACTTTTTAACGAATAGCTTTTGGGACGAATTCATTACTTACATGTGCTAGATACAAGAAATTATTATTCTTAAGTTTCTTAAACTATTAGAAAGAAATGGCAACTAAATCACACTTTGTTTTATTTATAGAAACTTTTAAGAAAATAATTTCGGTAATAAATTTTTTTTAAAAAACTCTTTATATTTAATATTAATAAATATTTTACGCATTATAAAATAAAGTTTAAAATATAATTGTCACGACTCTCTCCTTACCCTAGTAAAGTCACGTGGGTTGGTATGGTGAATGAAGTAAGATAAGGCAATGATATTGTAGTTAGGAAAACTTAATCAAGTTGAGCACGAAGCTCCTACTCTATGGCAGAAGTGCTAGTTATATATAGTCCCTCCATCTCCTGGAGTCCGATTCCCTTCTGGAGTCTAGGAGTCCCGGGGAGTCCATCAGACTCCCTTGGACTCCATAACGTGACCTAACCCCCTCGCCTACTGAGCCTATAGCCCACTAGTCCCGTGACCGTGACAATAATACGTGGAATATTATAAAATAAATATTTAAAAAATATAAATATAAATATTTTAGCAAATTAATTTAATGATTAAAATTAATTATATAACGTGAAATTGTTACGACTCTCTCCTTACCCTGGTAAGGTCACGTGGGTTAGTATGGTGAATGAAGTAAGATAAGGCAATGATATTGTAGTTAGGAAAACTTAATCAAGTTGAGCACGAAGCTCCTATTCTATGGTAGAAGTGCTAGTCATATATACTGCCCTCAGTAGTGGGCCAAGATGGAGCGCAGGAGTTCCTAGGAGCCCCGTCCGCTCCTTAGTGCTCCTCTACGTAACCTAGAGCTCACCGAGATGACTCAGCGAGCTTACGTGCACGTAGTCGTAACACTATCCCCCATTCCTCCTAGCGCAGTCCCGTGCGCATAACTAGTGTAAGGAAAACATCTCACGGTCGCTATGCTTCTTCTTCCCTTTCTATTATAAACGATAAATCCCCAAGGAAACGCCTCGAATAGCTGAAACTCGCAAGAAAGATAGAAGACGTTGGCTACGAAATGACACCCTGCTCCTGCTGTGCGAAGGAAAACCGCCGGTGTGTGATGGAGTCCTTTGTCTCTTCTCGGTGTGCTGAGTGCGTTCGTTGCAGACGCTCCTGCGATGGGCTCTCCGACGAATAGGAGAAGAACGTTCCTAGAGAGAAGGATTAGGAGTCGATCGAGTGATAAAAGGCTCGCCTAGACGAGTAGGAAGAGGAGGCGATGGCGAAAATCCTCCGCCTCCGAAAACAAAAGAGGTTTCTTCTGAAGAGAGAGAAAGAAATGATATGTTGTAGTCTGTGGTACCTCAACGAACTAGATTCCGTAGAGGAGAAGGAAAGGCTAGAGAAGGAAGAGCGGGAGCGGGCCGTAGCCTCGTCTCCGGCTGTCTGGGAACCTTCCAACATCGATTGGAATGCCCTAGAAGCGTCTCTCCTTCCTGCTCCTAGCGACCCTTCTGCCCCTGTTCCCTCCTAGGAAGGCCTGGATACCGGCAGTGGAAGTTAGTTAGGATCTTAGGGCAGCTAAGATTCGACTTGGGCTCCCAAGTGTTCTCTAACTGTAGGTATCCTTGCCACTTGATCAAATACTTGATCCTCCCCCTAATATACTTGCAATCTAGTATCTGTTCCACCTCATACTCGGCATCTGGGTTGACTAGGTTGATTTCGACTTGAGGAGCTAGTGGCGCTCCCGGTGGCGCGAGCTCGAGAAGTGATATGTGGAATGTTGGGTATATCCTTATATTCTTAGGCAACTACAATTCATAATTAATAGGTCCTTTCACTCTTTTGATCTTATATAGCCTAAGCTTCTTATAGTCGAGTTTGTTGCTTAGCCTCTTAGTTTTGATGTTTTTTCTGATCAAATATACCCTATCCCCCTCTTTTAGCGTAGGCTCCTAGCTACGTCGCTTGTTGTAGTAGTATGTAGTGCGCTTAGAAACAAACTGTAACTCAGAGGCTAGCTAGGTGTGTAGTTCCTTGATCTCAGAGACACGGATCCTAGCTAGGTTATTGTCGATGGCTATGATGCCTAGTTCTCTATATACCACAGGTTTATAACCGAAGTTAGTATAGAAAGGTGTTTCTTTTGTAGTCTTTGTAGTTGAACTATTGTACGCGAACTAGGCGAGCGGTAGTAGTGCTACCTAGTTGTCCTATTGGTAGTTAACGTAGCATCTTAAGTATGCTTCGACTACCTAGTTTATTCTCTTGTTTCCTCCGTTAGTCTACGGATAGAACGTAGTAGTTATTTTCCTCTTAATCCCTAGGGCGGCTGTGAGGGCAGTCTAGAATTTAGAGGTAAAGAGCTTGTCTCGATCTGAGAGTATCTCTTTAGGCAGGCTATGCCAGCTGACTACTTCCCTAAGGAAAGCGTGGGCAAGCTGCTTAGCCGTGCTTGCCTCCTAGTAGAGTACTAGTATTATATACTTTGTGAGTCTTTCTATAATAACTAGGATTGAGTCGTACTTAACTCCTAATACCGGATCTTTAGATAGCGGGAGCTTTGTGATAAAGTCCCACGATATTGATTTCCAGAGGGTGTCTAGTATAGGGACTATCCCCATTAATCCGTATAGTGTGAGGCGACTTGTCTTGTTCCTAGCATAAGTGTCGCAATCTTTAATAACTTTCTTAACAAGGGCTCTTATTGACGGACACTAGTATTCTCTTGAGAGTCGGAGGAAGGTCCTTCGCTCTCCTTGATGGCCATAGGCCGGTAATTCGTATTGTTCCCTTACGACTTCTTCCCTAACACTTAAGGGGAAGTAAATCTTTCTATTGTGTGTGAGTAGTCTTCCGGGCGTCTTCTTAAAGTACTAAGAGACGGAACCTACCATCGGGTCCGTAGCATAGGCCTCCCTGATACGGGCCTCTAGCGGAGTCCCGTCTAGGCGTCCTAGAGAGGCTATTTCCCTGATCGCCGGTGCTAGGTCCCCGTTGTCGAGGGTACAAAGCAAGGGTTGCTTATCGTACACTTTATCGCTCTTATATCCAGGTTTCCTATTAAGGGCATCTACCCTTGGGTTCTATGTGCCCGGCATGTGCTTGATCCTTAGATCAAAGCTAGTAAGTTCCTCAGACTATCGTACTAACCTTCGATTATTAAGGACTTTAGTGGTTGTAAAAGCCCGAAGATTCATATAGTCGGTGTGGATAGTAACTAGGAACTTAGCCCCTTAGAGGTACACTCTCTAGTGCCTAAGTGCCTCTACTATTACCAGAAGCTCCTTCTAGTAAATATCGTAGTTTTGTTCTATAGGTAATATTTTCTTAGAAAAATACGCGACGAGGTGTAGCTTCCCGTTGTTAGCCTTCTACAAGTGTACTGCCCCCATAGCCGTGTCTAATGCGTTGGTTTCGACGATACTTTCCCGATCCTCCCTATATTGCTAGAGTATCGGTTCTTTTGAGAACCTTAACTTAATTTCTCGAAAGGAGGCTTCCGCTTAGGGTGTTTATACAAACGGGATATTCTTCTTAGTGAGTGCTATAAGCGGTTCCGCAAGCCTAGAGAAGTCTCGGATAAACATCCTACAGAAGTTGGTGAAGCCTAGAAAGGACTGAATATCCTTAACCGTCTGGGGCGACTACCACTCTCTTATCTCCTGTAGTTTGTTTAAGTCGACTAATACCCTTCTTAGTTTAATAACATACCTTAAGTACTTTGTACTAGTAACTCCGAAGTCGCACTTCTTGAGTTTGAGCCTAGAGTCGACCCTAGAGAGGGCTTCGAGGACTAGGCGCATGTGCCCCTCGTGGTCCTCCTTTCTCTGTGAGTACACTAGGATGTCATCCAAATAACAGACCATAAACTTGCTTAGATATTCCCGCAGAATATTATTATTCTGTCGTTAGTATGTGGCTAGTGCGTTTATAAGTCCGAATAGTATAATAGTGTATTCCCATAGGCTAGAAGGCAGTAGAAAGGCTGTCTTCCATTCGTAGCCTTCCTTGATCCTAATCAAGGCAAAAGCTATGTTTTAGTCTAGCTTTGTGTAAATGACTACCGATCTAATCGCATCTCTCAAACTCTGGAGATTGGGCAAGGGATACACGTCCCTTACTGTAGCGTCGTTTAGTCCTCTATAATCCACATAAGGCCGTCCCTTTGGATCGTCCTTCTTGTGTGCTATTAGTATATTCGATACTATAAGGGACTTGGATTTCCTAATCTACCCCTTTGCTAACGCTCTTTACACGTACTCCTCGAGTATACCCAAAGTCTGCGGGTTGTGCTAGCGAAGCTTCTAGTAAGGCGGCTACTTACCTTCCTTTAAGTTGATCTCGTGGTCCTAGGGCTAATGTTTGGGTAGGGCCCTCAAGTCTTCGGGGTCCTTAAACAGCTTAGCGTACTTCCTATAGGGATAAGGTATTCCTTCTCGTCCCTAGTTAAGCGGCCTAATAGTCGTTTGACCCCGTGCCTCAGAGGCCGTGGCACTAGCCTCCCTAGGTTCCTATAGTCACTCATTTGGGCAATCGCATTGATTTAGCCTTAAACTGTGATTTATCCAATCGAGTTCTGGGTTGTGCTCCCGTAGCCAGGGGATCCCTAGAACCACCTAGTGTCGACTAATAGGAGTAATATCTAAAACGATTATCTCGATATGTCCTTATATTTTTATTTGTAGAGGGGCTGTCTTATATATGACCCTTCCCTTGTTTTGAGCGATAGCTGTCTCGTTTATCGTACTTAGTCGGTACAGCTCGTCTTTCGGCTAAGCTAGTATGCCTAGCTAGGATACTACCTCCCCTAAGATGTAGTTTCCCTGAGCTCCTGAGTCGAGCATAATCATGGTTAACATTCCCTAGATTGTTGCTTGTATATGGAAGTGACTCGTACTTCTCCGAATTGTTTTCACTGTTGCACTTAGTTCTCTAGAGGACTCCTCAATGAATCTCACCCGAGCTTGTCGACGTCCTTCCGTTGTGAGGATTTCCACCACTTCTTGATTAGTGAACTAGTATTCCTATCTTTTTAGGGACGTGTTCCATTCTTTTAGTTAGTATGGAGTCCTTTCTCGCAATTTGGCTGCAAGTGGGTTGTCTTGTCGCTGTACCGCGAACCTCGCTCTCTATCCTTCAAAGGGTGGGAACACCGCTTTCCTCTAGACCAAAAAGCTTTAGTTGTGTACAACTATTTCCTAGATTTGTCCTACCTCTAGGACCTTATCGAGTGGTTGGGGCTAGTTCCCTTGCTAGTTGAAGTAGGATACATGTACAGGTAACCGAGGTGCCCGGAGGGCAACCCTCCATGCGTCTCGGTACACAACAGTATAGTAGGTTCCGGTTTCCGGCATATCTATCCCCCTCTATAAAGGGCTAACATACTCTTCCTTTCTCCCATACTTCGATTCCTAAGTCACTGAGAGGGAACCCACACTAGCAACGATCCACTCTTTGTTGACTTTAGGGAAACGTTCCCCTGGAGACTCAACTAGACCAACCCCCCCGAGTTAATAGTCTTCCTCTTGGATGCTCTCCTCCACTAGGGTCCCCGATTCCCCCGATACGCTATCCGGTCCCCGGAGTTCTAGTGTGTTATTTAGGGGTCCCCACTAGCTGCTGTCTGAGCTGGGTTGGGTATTATACTCTTATTCTTCCATTCGATGGGTCGCATTAGCTTGTCTCAAGGTTCCTGTTTCCCCTATAGCGTTAGCTTGCTTGCCCTTTCCCTTGTTGTGGGAGGATGTAACATAGCCAGGTAATCCACACTCGTAACAGAGTCCCTTCTCTCGACGCTCCTTCCTAACTTCTGGCGAAAGCTACTTCCTAGGCTTCTTCCCATAAAAGCCTCCTCTTTCGCTCTTCCTCTAACCTCTGGCTATAGTTGCGTCGAGCTACATGGGGTCCCCCTTATTATGTGACTTTGGAGAACCCTGTGTTTGACGATAAGAGTACACTCCTTTTCGCTTAAGGCGCCTCTCGTAGAACCGCTCGTCGAATCTTGCGGCTAGGCGTATGGTCTCCTGGAGGCTAGTGGGTTCAGGTTCCACTCGGGCGAGCTCGTCCTTAATGAACTCCTTGAGGCCTATGTAGTACATTCTTTTTAGAGCCTTCCCATCCCATCTAGCCTGACCAGAATACTACTAGAACTTAGAGGTATAGTCCTTAACAGACCTTGTCTATCGTAGCCTTAACAATTCCCTTTCAGTCGTTTTCTCAACTTCCAGATCCCTGTAAACCCCCACTATAGCCTTCTTAAATCCTCCAAACCCTCTAAAGATGACCTTAGTCTCTTCTCTAGTACTATTAAGGATCGTTCTAGTTGTCGCGTGTCGATTAGTCATATAGTTAGACAAGTAGGCCTTAAACCAGTTGAAGGCTAGTCCCCTTAGGTAGCTAGCGGCAAAAGCTACTTTGGCCCCCTCGCTAGGGAACAAGTGCGGGTTGAACATCAAATAGATATCTATAGAACAAAGGAATGATTCGAGCTTGTGTCGGGTACCATCGTAAGTGTCTAGTACCTTGACAGCTAGGGTACGTTCTTGTACCGCGATGGTCGTCACCTCTGTGGGTACTAGGGTCTCTGCTCGTCTAGAGGTAGACATAGTTGCCGAATACTAACTTCAAGACTAGGTGCTCAAAGTATCACGACTCTCTCTTTACCCTAGTAAGGTCACGTGGGTTGGTATAGTGAATGAAGTAAGATAAGGCAATGATATTGTAGTTAGGAAAACTTAATCAAGTTGAGCACGAAGCTCCTATTCTATGGCAGAAGTGCTAGTCATATATACTGCCCTTAGTAGTGGGCCAAGATGGAGCGCAGGAGTTCCTAGGAGCCCCGTCCGCTCCTCAGTGCTCCTCCACGTGACCCAGAGCTCACCGAGATGACTCAGCGAGCTCACGTGCACGTAGTCGTAACAGAAATATTTTTTTAGGTTTTTATTTTATTATTTTAAGCATTTTGCGTATTAAAAATTGTCACGGTTATGGAGTCACGTGCCCGCTACGAAATACTCACGTGACCGCTCGCCTGTATATATGCCCTGCCTTCCGGCGCTTCCTTCCTTTCTTTCCTCTTTACCTTTAGATTCTAAGAGATAGCCGAATCGATACTTCGTCTACGTACTAAGCTTCCCACCGTGCTATTACATTATCTAAAGGTCAAACAACCCCCTACCAGCCTGGGAAGGCATAATAAAGAATATCCGACCAGAGACTGTACGCATTGGATGTGTACCGCGAAGAGTATATCCTCAGTTATATCTTCAGCACCACCAGACCCCCGATGTCGAATGTCGACACTCAGACTGCAGAGCCATTCGATATAGTCGACAATAACGAAGCTTCCTCCCCCAGAGTACACACCTCTACTTCTACTCAAAGGGCCAGCCCTCGAAAGCTTCCTCGAATCATCTACTATCCTCCGCCTGCAAGAATGAGTGTATAACACTCCCCCATCGAAGACGCCGTCTCTTCGAACGACGTACCCTCCCTAAGACCCTCTATTGAAGGGCACACACTTACCCCTACGCCGGGTGCCCCCTCTCGGACTTCTCAAACCAGCCCCTTACGTCAAACCGACTTTGCCGAAATTGCAGACGACGATCCTAAGCTCCTTGCCTTGATCCAAGCGGCTCGGCAACAGCTTATTCGAGACAGAGCCACTCGCGCCAGTACTATTGCGGATAGTGCTCCCGCTATGGGCCCCGATCTGAGACCGGCCCAGTTCGCCTCAAACGCTGCTCCGGACGACCCTTCAGGAGACTCCTCGTCAGACAGCGACAGACGGACCCATCCTCATTTTCGAGGACCATCTGCAAGACGCCACAGAGGCGAGATCCCTACCCAATTAACGCCTGCCCCTCAAATTAGGTCTATTGCGCCAGCACTCCGGACCAACTATCGTTTCCCTGACCCACCTCTCTTTGACAATGGAGAAGACTCTACGTTTGATTCGTGGATAATCGACCTGGACTCCAAGCTCGAGGCCTCAGGTTACATGGACCCTAGCGTATCAGAGAAACAACGGATGAACTACGCCCTCAGTCGTACTACTAGTGAGGCTAGAGCTCAACTGCTAACTCGCTTCTCTACCACTCTACAAAGAGTCCACCATGCGTTCCGTACGTTGGAAGAGATGGTCCAGTCCTTGGCTATAGCTTATGTAGACCCTTTCGAATCCTTGAAGAAGCAAGACGAGTATCGCTCTTTGGCTATGATAGACACTAAGACTGTGCGACAGTTTAAGATCCGCTTTCTCACTTTGTTAGCTTAAGCAAGGATATCACGAGACCAGCTCTTCTCGGATTTCCGCTCTAAGCTTACGCCCCGCATCCGTATCGCTATTGCAGGCCAAGTGTATAGCATGCGCCAAAGCTTTACCAACCTCTGCGCTGTAGCAGAGCAGACCGACCTCGAACTCTCACATGTAGCTCAGACGAAGCTAGTGCCGACCCTAAGGAAGTCTCGTGCGGAAGCTCGCTCTACCACCGTCCAAGGACCCCAGGTACCGGTCAGGACAACACAACACTATCTGCCCGGACCACCTCGATCGTCTCCCAAGCCTGCTGCCCCTACGTTTCATTGGCAGGGCACTCCTAGCCGCCAGCAGTCAGCAGCTCCCCCTGACCCAAAGACTAGCTAGTGTTTCAACTACAAGAGGATTAGTCACTTTGCGAAGGACTGCCCTTCGGTTACACACTTGGATATTACCAACATAGAGAGTGCATTAGAGATAGAAGAGATTGCAACCTACCCTTAAGGCCACATGGAAGAGGAAGAGGTAGAAGACGATGAAGACAACGCAAGTCAGCTTATGCCGGGAAATAGCGCAGCCTAAGGGAAGTCTCCTTCTTAGGCCGCTTTGTCGATTGCTCAAAGCTAGACCTACGAGCAGTGATAGGTGGAACACACTTTTCGTACCCATATACTATCAGTTTTAATGCAATTAGTACTACTATTCACCCTCTCATCGACACTAGAGCAAATGGCTTTGCCTTCATTACTTCTGCCCTTGCCCGCGACTTTGCGAACTTCACTAGTGCCAAGTTTCAGCGCTTACGCTCTCCTATCCCTGTTTCAGGCTTTAATGGTAGACCTAGACAAGCTATCTCTCATTGCCTACGCCTCCACCTCACGGTAGACGGAAGGAAGCAGCTCTTAGTCCCTTTTTTGGTTACAGAGCTCGGCTCCCATGACATTATTCTAGGCCGCACCTGGCTAGAGATGTGTCAAGTCAAGCTAGACGTAGCTAAGCGCCAACTCCTTTGGCCAAAGGACTACACGCCTTCAGACGTACGATCTACTTTGCCCGACAAGCACGTGCCTCGCTACTATATGAGAAAGCTTCCGGTTGGACTTAGAAGCTAGGACTAGTTGGATACCGACCGTCGTGACTTAGTAGTAGAGATCCAGGATCAACAACGAAGAAGTGGTGCTCAACATAGCTGTGCCTAGCTAAATATCAACAGTTTAAGCCCACCTTCACCGTCCCCGCCGCCACAAGAGCCTAGTGCTACGCCACCAAAAGTGCCAAGCCTCCTACCTATACCAAAAGAGGAGCTTATGTTAAAAAAGCCACTATTAGCTCGTCCGCCCCCACCTATATCGGCAAAACCGCAAAGTTATGTGCCCCGACTACTTGGGAAGCGTACCTAGTCCCTAGATAACCGAGACAATATGCATAAGATGGATAATGCCTTGTCTAGAAAGCTAAGTCAAAAGCCAACTCCACCGCAGCCTCCTCCAAAGCTATTAGACTACGTACTAATGCCAAAAGCTGTGGACCTCTATTTAATTACGCCAGAAGCGTTCCACCTCAACCTTCGCCAGCCAGATACTAAGCTCTTTACCACTAGCTTATACGAGCTAGATCGGTTGATTGAGGATAAGCGTCATCAAGAAGCACGGCCAGGAGTAGAGATCAAGGAAGTCGAGCCGTCTATCCTAGCAACATACCAAGCATTCGCTCGAGCTTTCTCTAAAGACGATTCCAACACACTGCCTCCCTCTCGCTCGTACGACCATAAGATCGCCCTTGAGAAGGACGAAGCGGAGCTTTAGTTCACGCCTCTTTACAAGATAAGCGCTAAAGAGCTAGCAGTCACTAAGCAGTACTTGATAGACAACTTGTCTAAGGGCTTCATTGAACCTAGTCAGGCCCCATTCGCGGCACCCGTCCTCTTTGTGAAGAAATCTAGCGGAGCCTTACGATTTTGCATCGATTTCCGGAAGCTAAATACTATTACGCGCAAAGACCGGTATCCATTGCCATTAATCGACGAGACTCTCGCCCGAATCGCCTCTGCGAAGATCTACACGAAGCTAGACATACGCCAAGCCTTCCACCGAATCCGAATGCACCCTGATTCGGAAGAACTAACTACCTTTCGTACTCGCTATAGAGCGTACAAGTGCAAAGTCCTGCCTTTCGGACTTACTAAT